GGGCCTGATTTCCTGGCGTTGGGGGTTGGTGGCCACCAACGACCCCCAATCCACCCCCTGTCGATATGGGGCCTCCAGGGGCCTTTGGGGGTCCTGGTGACGTCCACATAGGGGTTTTTAGGTGCTGAGAAGCCTAAAAGGCCCTCTAAAACGTGTAAAAACGACTGTTTTTCAAAAAGTGCCGAAACTCGTGTTNTTTTTAGGKGCTGAGAAGCCTAAAAGGCCCTCTAAAACGTGTAAAAACGACTGTTTTTCAAAAAGTGCCGAAACTCGTGTTCCGGCCGGTCACTTCTTTCTATATATAGTTTTAAGATTAAAAATAGTTCATAATTAGCTTATAGATATATAAAAAATTATAAGTTAGATTCTAAGGCTTATAATACTATCCGCAAATTTAATATTATAGATCTTAGCTTTTAAGAGTAGATTTCTAAAAAATATAGTTATATTTATTATAGGGAAGATAAAATATTAATTCTTTTCTATTCTATTAGAATAAAGCATATCTATTTATAAACTTCGAATTAATTAGTCTATTTATAAAGATTATATAACTAGATATAATCAATTTATAGATATTATTAGTAAAATATTTTAACAGTATTATCTAGCTATAAGCTTAATAAAGATAATTTCTAATAGTTTTAGATAGATTTGAATAGTAGTGTTAGAGATTTTAATAATTAATATATTAGAGCTATATTAGAGCAATTAAAATTTATAAGATATATACTATTTCTAATTATATAGTAATTATTAAGAAATTTAATACAAAAATTAATAAAAGAAAAAAAGCAAAAAAATAAAAAAGATTCAATAAAGGAAACAATTTAGAATATATTATTAATTAATGATAAAGCAAGTGCTAGATTTATAAAATTATAATATTATACTAGTCTATAAATAACAGCTATTAAAACTAGCTAAAATAATATAGCGTAACGCTATGCTTAATCAGGACTAGTAGTCCAGTCGATGAGTCAGCAGATAATGACTAAGCTAATATGACTAAAGATAAGATAATAACTGTGACGATATATCAAAATATAACTTTATATACTTAGGATAATAACTCTAACTCTAAATTCTTATTCCCGCTAGCCAATCAATAGGGTTATAAATATATTCTGGGCTGATTATAATTAGCCATAGGGTATAGAAACAACTACAGTATAAAGACGTGGTCCTTTAACACAAATACCGCTCTCTTAAATTACTTCAAAAAATTATTCAGCGTAGCAGCAACTCAACAATGCATCTGCCACACACTCAAGCAGAATAGGATGCTACATTAGTTGTCGTCATGCTGCAATGTATCTTGGAAATAGCAACAGGAAGTGTCATGGAATGGACATTCCATATGAAGAGGGCTGTCTCGATCATGGAATCTTATACGCAGTTAAGTCAAAAAGAAGGTCTCAAGTGTGATGATATTTCCAGTCCATAAGTTCTAGAGCTTATTTATAGCCTCTTTTCCGAAATCGACACATTTTTGGCTACCACCCACAACAAAGCAGGAAACCATCCTAGCCACCATTGGTCTGCCCAGGTGCAATCAATATTTCCTTTTCTCGGGCATCTCTCTTTGAAAATTAGTCCATGTATAAGATTATTCCCAGAGCTACTAGACATCATATCTGGCACAACGAGCCTGGCCTTCTTGAGACGACGTGAAGCCGGAAACAACAAACAAAGCATCCACCAAGAGTTCATAAACCTGCAACTCCGTCTATCCCGCTTGAAAACTCAGCCCGAACATTTGAGGGTTACAGGCTCAATTAGTCTTCACACAGCTGCTTTTGAGGACGCAACTTTGATTTATCTCTACCATGCGATTCAGGGCAGCGATTACTTTATATCTAACAATCCTGTACACGATATCTATCTCCCGCGGCTACTCAAGACCCTTGAAGACATACATAATATACAAGGCCCCCTCCTTGGAACGTTGCCACATTCCATGTGGGCATTATTCATCGCAAGTTGCTCAGCCTCAGAAGAACATCGAGTAGAGATTCTCGAGTGGTTCACCTTGCTTAAACGGAACAGGCCAATCAGCAATGTACCTTCGACTATGACTGCGGTTGAGACAATCTGGAGAAAGAGGGATTTAGAGATAGACAGAGCGTGCGATAGATATACTCTGTGTTGGGAAAGTACCATCTCACAGCTGGGTTGGAAGATGTCATTGATTTGATGACTACTCCGAGAGTATCTAGATAGTATGAAAGAAGGGAAGTCTCCATTCATGGTGAAAATAATGATCACAGTTTTCCTGTGATTTGACCGGCTAGAAATAACCTACCTTGGTAATCAACATGGTCGACCATGGATCTAATATAGGGAGCTATTAGGCGGTAAACCGCCAACTTATTAATTTCCTAATCGGGCATGTCAAACGTTTGTTAGTAAAAATAAATCCGCATATAAGGCGCATTTAAAATAGATGTCAGGTAACTTTTCTATTCGCTGACGGGTTATGTTAGATTGTACGTGATACTCTAGGCTCTGATTATGTTAGTATAAAACGATATAATGGTTTAGTAACAATTAGCATTATAATCTTATATGATCCTGGTAAACTATATCATCTAGATTTTACAGTGTTTTGTAATCTTTATTCAAGTCCTCACGGGCGCTCGATCCGCAATATTTATTCAGTCATTAACTAGTGACCTAACCAACTGCTGTATAAAACCTAGAGCATGCTCTCTCTGATGTACTGCAGACCATGCCCAATCGCTACATTTATATTGTCCGCATTCCAAACTTCGCGTTCCCCTGCCCGTAGGTCCTTTTCGGCATGATCATTATTATTACTATCATCCCTCACCAACAAGCCAGCGCGCAGCAGAACTTTCTGTGGCGGCACTGTTTTGCGTCCAGCCTTCAACACGTATTTTGTCACCAGTACCGCTAAAACGCCATTTTTAAGCTTGTCGTGCTGCAGCACCGCTGTAGGACCTCCGCCCAGGACATCCACCTCGACGGGTAGCTGCGCCATGTCTGCACGCAGAAAATAGGTCACCGTATAGAGAGACTTGTCATCCCACGTTAAAATCCGAGAGCACACCCAATATGCCTGATACGGTCGGATTTCACGCCGAAATTTCGACTGGACCGATGCAAGAATGGGGGTGGCCGGGCCCACGTCTGCCATTGCGTTTCCCAGTAAGGTACTTAAAAGCGTGGCCCGGCTGATATCTGCATCAGTGAAAAATGTACTGTTGGATTTGTGGAGATTGATATCGATGTCGGCCAGGGTCGCCCGTGACTTGGTGGTGTGGTATTGGAAGAGCTTTGGTACCGCGTACGTGAAGCTGAGTAGTGACGAAGACGCGTTATCAGACTCGTCAGAGGACCCGACTAGCTCACGTTGGGTTTTGAATACTCGGGGGCGAAGGAATCGGTATAACGAGGGCAAGAGCTGGAAAGTGTACGAGAGGGGTAAACCTTTAGCATTGGTGGCAAACCAAAGGAAAGCTTCTGCTGTTAGGGCGAGCATGACTTCGTTCATTGAGACAGTTTGCACTGGAATGGCAAGATCAGGAAAATCATTGCCAATTTCTTGTGAACACGGTGTTGGATAACAGTTCAGTTCCAGATGTTTGAAGTCTTTGGTGGCAGAGTCTGGAGATGGCGAAGAACGGGGCAGGAGTAGCTAGTCCATCGGAGGGGGACTATACAGACAAAAATACTAGGTTTGGTAAATGCTTACTACATTAAGTAGTAAGCAAGCTATGTGAAGTAAGTATGACCTTATTCATGGATTAGTGGATACCTTGCTGTGTTTGGGTAAGAAATATAGGACGAGCCATGTATGGACGGAGCAGCTGAAGAAATTTTGATGATGTCTCTGTTGAAGTGATGGTCCTTGCTGAAGCTACTCAAAAATCATCACCCCTGCGTATTTCAGATTGCTGTCGAAGTCTTAAGCGGCCTAAAACTAGTAATGGCACTATAATCCATGCGTCTCGTGGAACAAAGTGCTGACATTTGATTCACGTACCAAATCACCTAATGAAGATTCTTCAACTACGGCCATTTGTTTCGAAAGGCGCCATTAGTGACGCCATGGAAGATGCTGGCTCATGCGCCATCATAATTGCCACGTTGCAACATCGCTAGCAGTAAGTCATTTTTTAGTTAGTACCCAATTTTCACTAGCTATGTCAAAATTAACTACTACTCTGTTTTACAATAATCCTAGTACGTATTTAATTAGGGTCTTCATGAAAGTGAGAACATGATTTCCATTTGCAGCTAGTTAAATTTACATAAAGCAGAAAGTGTGGGTTTCGAATATGTTTTCTCTCCTTGCTTGTAGATTTTGCGTAGTAATCCTTGAGGTCAAGGTAAATGTTTCGAAGCATTTCTAAAAGCCTGTAACCTTGCACATCCAGCCATCAACATCTTGGCGCCTCCCTCGTTGAATATCGAGCATTATATGTGCAAGGCCAGCGAGCTTCCCGTCGCTTGTAGCCTTGAAGGTATATTGTTTATTTGTAGAGAGTTGATCTATGGTGGCGATTGGAACGGCTGCGGCAGCAGTACCAACAGCAATAACTTCATCCAACTCTCCAATTGAAGAAAATGGGAGCTGAAGTTTTTATGACGTCAGTCAGAATTTTTGAAGACTCTTCACAATGAACTTAAAAACAAGGCTGAGTGAAATGACTTACAGGAGACTCGTCAACTTTCCAGCCTTCTCTCTCTGCGATAACTTTGAGACTTGTGGAGGTTGCGCTTTTAATAGCGTTTTCTGACCTGGGAATGACAAGCACATCCTGGCCATCGATGAGTTTGTGCCCAATGAAGCCACTGGTAGCAAACTCCTCAACTAGCGAATGCGTCTCACTGTCAAGATGCAATGTGATATGGAAGCCCATCTTCATGGCCTTGGCTGCGTGTCGCCAGACCTTTTCCACTCCAGAAACCTTTATTAGTGACAATGAATGAAAATAGAAGCTACTTTGGCCATACCGGTGCATAGTTTCCTCCAACCTTGAACCGGCCCATTCCCCTTGGAGCCGCACGATCGAACTCCTCGCATACGACGCCCTTAATCCCATGCACGCCGTGGTAGGCTCGAGCAGGATGGCAGTATACAGCAAAAACGGTCTCCTCGCAAGGCTTGAGTGGCAGGCCATCAGAGGCACCAAATAGCACGGGTCGGATGTAGAGGAAGCCGTTAGACTCTACTGGCGGGACATACCCAGCATTCGAGGCGACAGCCAAGCGAACACTCTCCAAGAAGAGCTCCTCAGGCACCTGTGGAAGGCAGACCGCAGCGGCAGATGCTGCCATGCGAGTAGCATGGAAGGTGGGCCGGAAGATAGCAATGCTCTCCTCATCGTCTGGTGCAGATGGGGCTTGACGGAGAGCCTTTAGACCCTCGTAGCATTGCTGACCGTAGTTGAGACCTGGAGAGATGCCCGAGACGGAAATATTGTTTCCCTTGACTAGGACAGGACTGCTCCACGATTGCGTGGACTGGCGGAATCTGACCTCAACATGGCCGTTGACGGGAATGTGGTTGGTCATGTCCAGCTTTTCCCAGTCTGCGCACAATTGAAGTCAGTAAACTTTCAGACAAGGAGACACGTTGATTCTGGAAACTCACCAAGGCCTGCTTTAGGAGCGGGTGGACCAGTGTTTTGACCATTCTCAAAGAATGGGTTCAAGCGGCGAAAGAGTAGAGAGAATAATCCTTGATCCATCTTGGCTCTATTTTGTGTTTTTTGTGTTTTTTTGAGTTCAGAATTATTTGGGCTTGTGTTTACATCCGTCTACAAAATGCCATTCTCGTCATGATATTAGAAGGAAGGGTACTAGAGATCGCCAACAATGCATAGTAAGCAATTCAACTTTACTCATGACCCAGGTTCAGCTAGAATTTGAGTGTTAATATGGATATTAATTTACGAGTCGAGGGATTAGCGGCTGTACGTGCACGGTGACAATATGACAGTAAGTAGTCAGCTAATTACGTAGTAAGTTGCAATTACTATATACTTGAAAGGGGCGAACATATTGAGATGGGATGCTGTCGGTCCATGAGCGTGATCCGCCGTCGGATAATATGTTGATCCGAAGGATCCTACTACGGCAGAACTGCATGTGCTTTATATAGATTACACCATCTTACTAAAGCCTTTTAAACCTTTATTATATATATTTTATGGTCTATAGATGGTTTTATATCTTTAGTTATATATTCTAGACTTGAGACGTTGCAGCACACACTGATAGTGTATATACCAGATGGATGAACAATAGCATGGGCAAGGAGAGAGGTTGGGTTGTATTAAGTAGACATGGCAAAAACCGAACCTGAACTGCAACCCAAAACCACACTAACCCTAAGGGTACGGTTTTGGTTTATAATATTAAGAATGTGACAGCTGTACGCAAGTCATATCAATGAGGCGATCATTATACTGCCGGGCGGTGAGAGTTTTGATGAGAGTTTCCAGGAACCTATGATTTACTCGATTGTTCCATACCGCTACCAAAATATATAACTCCAGATTCACCAAAGCATTATTAATAATAAGCTCAATAATCTAGTTATTTGGATCCTTCTCATTAAAATCAGATAAATCTCTATAGAATAGATCTAGTCAGATAGATAGAGACCAAGTCCTATAAGAGGCTAGTAGCCATAGCCCAACAATGCTGTAACACCACGTGCATCCTGGTAAACCAGCAGAAAAACAGGGAATAATCTGATAACGGGAATGAGCTTAGGGCTAATGCTGTTTTCCGTTATGCGGGAGAAGGGCCGCCAAGACTAACCCCACCACCAAAACGAACGACCAATCAGACATATTATCAGTTGATGAACCGGTCCCCTTAGAAGGCATGCCCGCACACAAGGGAGGAGGAGGAGGAGGAGGTGGCTCGTTATCTTAGAACAATCTCTCTAGTCTTGCGATCACTTGAAACGGATAGATCGTAATTTGTTTTCCATTCTTGTTACTTGAAAATGACTAGTCTAGGATTGTTGACCAAATTGGTATCTCATGAATCATGTTGCGTTGGGTGTTTGCATATCGCATAACGTCCCTAATGACGAAGGATCTCAAAACCGTCTCCAACACTGCTGGTTTGGCTGTTGTTGGATAACTTATAGAAGAGCCCATGTTTCTTCCTTTGGTTCAGTCTGTAAGAAGCGAGTTTAGCTTTCGGGTTTTCTCGGCCTCTCAGCTCGGGGCACGGACCTGTGAGAATTTTCTTCTTCGAAAGAAGTATCTAGATTCTTGTGCTTCCAGCTCGCCATCGCCCACGCTTTTCTCCCAATGATCAAGCCTGGGTGGAAGAAGGTGAGGAGGCCGCATGCTAGGATCATCATGGTCCCTTCAAGCACCATGAACGTAATCTGGTCGTTGGCTAGCGCACCACCGAACCCGTTCGAGAGCTCGGCGCATCGAAACACGGATCGCACAAAGATGAATAGGCCGGCGAGGAAGATGGCGATCATGAAGAGGGGCTGGAAGGACCGACGCGACCGTAGTAATTCGAACGTCTGGTTCATTGGTTCACTCCCAGGGGGGCTATGGATAACTCGCCACCAAAAGTCGAGGCTCAATAGACCAAACAGTGCTAGAGAAAAGACCTGCCAGGCCAAGCCTCCGACCATGATATGGACGCCAGTGTTCTGTAGTGACGAGTAGGCCGACGCAACCGAGGCGACAGCGCCGCCGGCTGCTTGCAGGACCAGTGCAATCACGTCGAAAGTGATGAAGACGTAAGTGTAGACCTGCGGGCGGAAGCGCGCTTTCTGCTGTCCATAAATGACGATCAGGCGCGACAGTGTAAGGTAGATGGCCGCAGAGAAGAAGGCCGGGCCGATGGTCAGACAGACCAAGTACCTGGTGGACAAGGCGTCAGGTTTCAATTGCATATCGCGGCCGTCATCACAGTGTGTCTACTTACATCAGGAACCACGAGAAAGAAAACATATCAGACCGCAGAAGAATGCGACCGATATACCCGATTATTTCGAGCAGCAACCCTATGGTCATGGCGACCAAGAAGCCCCATGTTTTGTGCTGGATGCCGAAAAAAAACTGCAGGGCAAGGTAAAGACCAAAGATGGCTGTGAACAGCACATTACCAGCCAGGGATGGATAATATCTGACCCAAGATAGCTGAACGCCATCGAGGACGAGCGGGCAAGTGCAGGAAGTACACAAAGAGGTATCGTTCAAGAGTGTCTGGTTGAATGTCGCGAGGGTGACATTGCTCCAGTCTGTGGTGCAGCCCGACATGGTGACTGAACGGGACAGGATTTGTGGTGGTGTTTCTGGTTTGAGTAAGATGGCTGATGTTAATTGTTCGTTGATAAATAAAAAATAAAACGAGAATGATGGCGACGCGTTGCTTATGATAATTGCTTACTATGCGGGGGGGTGAAACGCATAGTAAGCAATACCCCGGCATGAATGACGGTTAAGCCCCAGCTTTCTAACATTTAGTAAACCGCCTCGCCCGATCGCGACTAAATATAGTACACCACACTGCTGAGTCGCAACCAGATAGTAAACGGTTGGTTCTTTACTATGGCTCTTTATGAGATTATAAGATCAAAAATAGACGATCTCCCTGTAGACCACGTGGCTAAAGTCTTGGAAAGACATATGTAGTACCTACCTACCCTCCTCATTTGCGGTATTCTAGTCAGTCTACATAGCATAGCATCCATTATTAAGGAAGTGCCTCAGCATACCGTAGTGCCTAAGTCTATTTTGGGAAAATTGATGTAGGGCCTGCAGGTGCATTGGATACTCTACTTACCTCGCCATGGATTCGCAGACCACACATCCCGCGCTCATTGAGCATATCCACTCGTTTTGTCGCAAGAGGCCCGAAGTCGGGCTCTCAGCCCTGGTCAATGCCGTTTGGGCCATTGTTATTTGGCAGTACACGGGACTGGAAGACGTCCACTTTGTCACTGCCGCTATGTGGGATCGTAAACGCCATATTTGTGCGGCACATGTCGACGGCAAAGTGGGGCTATCCGATCTGATACAACGAATACAACAGGGCACCAAGGAACTGGCGTCAGACCAGCTCCCTCTAGTCCCCGCAAGGACGGAGGACGTCAATGCGCAACTCCTCCAGTCCTTAACGACACTCACTACGAACAAGAATGGCCTCAAGACGGATCCGACCCGTCCTTCCGTCGCTAGCGCACCCGTCGAGCTTGTTGCAGTCCCCTCCACTTCCGGAGGCCTAGAAGTTGTAGTACGCTTCTCGCCGTTAGCGATCGACCGAGAGCTAGCTGACCATCTGGTGGCGGCTTTCGCCCACATAACTACCGCAATCACACATGCCGACCGTGGCTGGGAAGACACGCTAGAATCTTTAGATCTAGTGAGCGACTACGATAAGGCAAAGCTCTGGGCCTGGAATAGCGCCCTGCTTCCTGAGACAGTCGAGTTATGCGTGCACACCCTCTTCCGACAGCAGGCCCAGGAGGAGCCGGAGCTGGTCGCCGTGGACGCATGGGATGGACGCTTTACATATGCAGAACTAGACGACATCTCGGATCGCATCGCAGCTTGGCTCACGCACGATGAGGGTACCCGACCAGAGTCCATCGTACCGCTGTGCTTCGAAAAGAGCTGCTGGGCGATTGCGGCTCTGATGGGGGTGATCAAGGCAGGCGGTGCCATTGTATTTATTGATCCGGCACAACCGGCCAGTCGCAGAAGAGAGATCTTGACCCAGATTCAAGGCCAATTTGTCCTGACCTCGAGGACTCAATCCGTGGCGTGGGAAAAGGAGATGGGCGTGCGGACGGCCGTCATCGACGAGCAATTCGTCGCTTCCTTGGCAGCGAACGATGCGTATGGGAATCCTCCCGAGTCAGGGGTTACCCCAGCAAACCTTCTTTACCTCATCTTCACCTCTGGGAGCACGGGCAAACCCAAAGGCTGTCTCATTCCGCACCAGGCCTTCGTATCAGGAGCACTCCAGCACGCGGAAAAATCTAACCTAACTCGTGAAAGTCGCATTCTACAGCTAGCTTCATACAGTTTCGACGTCAGCATGTTGGAGATCCTGACCGCGCTCATGTCTGGTGCGTCGGTGTGCACGCCAGACATGTCCACCATGGCAACGCAGGGTCTCTATCCGATCTTCGAACGCTTCGCCATTACCTGGGCATTCCTGACACCATCTCTGGTCAAATTGCTCCGCCCTGAGATGGTTGTGCCCACTCTCAAAMCCCKGGCCCTKGGRGGSGAGCCACTCCACAAAGTTGACATTGAGACTTGGGCACCGCATCTCCAGCTCATCAATGGTTACGGGCCCTCTGAGTGTTCCGTAGCTGCAGCCGGAGATCCACACTTGGAACCGACAAGCGACCCATCCAATATCGGCCGCTCGGTTGGCGGTCTATGTTGGATTGTCGATGCTGAAAATCACGACCGTCTCGTTCCTCTCGGCGCTGTGGGTGAGCTACTGATCTCAGGCCCCATTTTAGCCAGGGGTTACTTGAACGACGCGGAGAAAACGGCTGCATCTTTTATTGAGAATCCCTCGTGGACTAGTGAAGGCTGGACCCTCACCCCTGCCTCTTTCACAAAGAGGGGCTCAGTTGCGAAAGGGCATCACCAAACGACCATGCGTTTCTACAAAACGGGTGACTTGGCCAGATTCAATATCGACGGCACCATACAGATCCTAGGCCGCAAAGATACCCAGGTCAAACTGCGTGGATTGCGCGTCGAGCTGGGAGAAATCGAACACAACATCGCACTGCACCCTGATGTTAAACATGCCGCCGCCTTCCTACCGAAGAGCGGGTTGTGCAAGGAGAAAATCGTCACCGTTTTATGTCTCCGTGACTTCTCCAGCGAGTGGAAGCCTGAGGACGCTGATGCACCTATCGAAGTGTGGTTGGAGGATGAATGGCCTGCAATCAAACAGCAAGCCGACGCCGTTCGTAACCATCTGCGAGAATGTGTTCCAGAGTATATGGTCCCAACCGTGTGGATCGTGATCAAGTCCTGGCCGTTACTGATCTCGGCAAAGCTCGATCGGAAAAGGGTTCTGAACTGGCTCTTGGATATTGATGAGGGGCTACATAATAGTATAATGGGCTTTATCGGTAACCGGGAGGGTGGAAAAGCAACCGAATTAAACTCTGTATCCGAGACTGAGCGTAATCTTCGTGACATATTCTCCCGCGCGCTCAAGACTTCCGCCCACAATCTACCTCTAGACAAGTCCTTTATTGCGCTCGGCGGTGACAGTCTTGCTGCCATGCGCGTTGTGTCCGAGTGCAAAAGCGCCGGCTATGCCATCGACATCAAAGACCTGCTTACGAATAAAGGTATTACGGAGCTAGCTGGTCGTGTGGAACAATCCAAGCCGTCTAAAGCCTCTTTCTCAATTTCTATAGCCCAGCAATTATGCCTTGGCTGCTTTGATAGCGGGGATGAGGATGATGAGAGTAAGAGGGAAACGAATCATTGTACCCAGAGCCTTTTCCTTAGACTCAACAACACCGTTTCTGCCGTTAGGGTCAAAGCTGCTTTGGACACTGTCGTCAATCGTCACGCCATGCTTCGGGCATGCTTCTTTGAGGATGAGGACGGTACTGTCATGAAGTATAAGCAAATGATCACCTCTCACACCCGAGGCTCGTACTGTTATAAAGATCATTTCATAGATCATCCGGAAGAAATTGAGGGCATTGCGGCGACTGCTCAGCGTGCTGTGCAACTCTCAGGGCCTGTTTTCTCGGCAGACCTGATAAGGGAGAGCGGAAAACAGCTGTTACTTCTGATAGCACACAATGCCGTCGTCGACTCTACGTCCTGGTCCATCATTGTCCAAGATCTTCGGATGTGTCTGAGTCTCGCCGATGGCCCTCTTCCCAACGATGAAACGCAGAAACCGGTGTCTTTCCAGACCTGGGTCGAGATGGAGAGAGAGAGACACGTGACAGGAACTTCGGAAGATCAATTAGGCATCACCGCATCATTAAGACGTCAACTCGACTACTTGCCTATGCAGGGGAGTGCACGCGATATGGTCGAACAGACGTTGGAAGTCGACAAGACCACAGCCGCTTTGCTGTTGGACGCCAAGATACATAAGACATTGCGTACTGATGTTGCGGATTTCTTGGTGGCGAGTCTATTCCTCACATTTCGCTACAGCTTCACCAATCGAGAGACCTTGCCTATCTTGTCTCTATGGGAGGATGAGCGTGGGCCCGCATCTCGAGACCTGGGTGTTGACTTCTCCGCAACGATCGGTCAATTTGAGACAGTGCGCCCGTTGGTACTCAGCACAGGTGACATGAGCACCAAGGACGAACTCGTAAGTATGCTAAAGAGGATCAAGGATGCCCGCCGACTGGTAGTAGCGGGAAGACGCGAGACTGGTCTTTGCAGCTCTAACATCTCACTGCGCTACCGAGACCTGTCAAAAGTTCTCGATAGCTCCGATGATCTTCTCAAGAGTGAGCCGCGTCCCAACTTTCTTCCTTTGGCGGTTGAGAACATTCGACAGACAAGCTTAATCTCCATTATGGCCGAGGCGGTTGATGGGCAGATCCTGCTCTCCTTCTCACACGACAAGGATTTCAAAGAGTCAGATCAGATTGGGCCCTGGATCGCGGCTGTGCAGAAAACGCTTGCCTCACTCGTCGCCAGGATAGTTGACGCCCCTAAGGAATATACTCTTTCAGACTTCACATTATTGCCAGAGCTAACCTACAGTGGACTCGAGAAACTAATTAATGAACAGCTACCCCAGCAGGGACTCGACCCTCTCTTGATTGAGGACATGTATCCATGCTCTCCTATGCAGCAGGATCTCTTACTCAGCCAGACCCGGTCCAGTGATGGCATGTATGAGTGCTACCACCTTGCAGAATTGACGCCACGTGATTCAAAGGTCTCAGTAGACATTGATAGACTTGTTCAAGCTTGGGCGCAGGTCGTGCGACGACATTCCTCACTACGGTCGATCTTTATTGAGGGTACTGACGGCCAAGAGGCTCTGTTCAACCAAGTCGTACTTGCTCATGTCCAGCCGAGCGTATCGATTGTATATTGCGACAATGACTCGACTGATGAGATTGGGATGGTGCTTGTCAACGAAGCCCCTATGGCCATCTCCTTCCGGGGACCTCAACCACCTCATCGAATGACCATCTGCCGCATCTCGGGGGCTAGCCGTGTTGTCATCAAACTGGACATTAATCACGCCATCGTGGACGGTGTTTCTGCAGCTGTGATTCTCCGTGATATGTTGCTTTGGTACGATGGTCTGGAATTCACCGAGTCAGCGTTACCATTCCGCAATTACATCTCTCACATCCGTCAAACATCCCTGGCTTCGTCTCTTGACTTCTGGGCAGAAAATCTCAATGACGCAAAACCAACTATATTACCCAAGATGGCCGCACCAGAGAAGGCGCACGACGCAGACAGACAATTAAATGTTGTGTCCGTTCCACTGGAATGTGAGGGTGTCTCGAATGAACAGATTTTCCAATTCTGTCGAGAAGCTTCAGTCACGCCAGCAAACGTCTTCCAGACTGCGTGGGCCTTGGTTCTCCGGGAATACGCCGAGTCCCCCGACGAGGTTTGCTTTGGTTATCTCTCAGCCGGTCGCGACGCCCCATTGCCAGGTATCCAAGGTGCGGTGGGCGCTTACTTGACTATGCTTGTCAGTCATCTTCGTTTCGCTACAGATGGAAACAAGACTGGCGATGGCGTTGCTACACTCATGGACGCCGTGCGCGTCACGGCGGATGACTACGTCAAAGCCCTGCCCCACCAGCACGTTGGTCTGTCGAACATACAGCATGCACTGAAGACAGGCGGCGATACCCTGTTCAATACGATTGTTACTGTTAATCGTGAAGCTGAAAGTCCAGCTGATTCAACGCTTTTATTCAAGAAAATTGGGGATCATGAACCCGATGAATACGCGGTCGTCGTGGACATCCAGTTCACGGGGTCGAGAGCTGTGCGCGCTTTCTTACGTCACTGGACAGACCACCTGACATCTGTGCAGGTACAAAGTATCGCCAGCGCATTTGGTAGAGCCGTCCAAGCCATCATCTCTCATCCCAACACTCTCGTCAGCGAGGTAGATCTAGTGGGCGTGTCCCATATGAACCAACTGCTTTCTTTCAATGCCCACCCCTTACCAAGGGCAAACCGACTGATATTCACGCGATTCGAAGAACTCGTCCTCACGCAACCTCTGGCCCAGGCAGTCTGCGCGTGGGACGGTGAGTGGACATATGTACAGCTCGATAAGTTGTCAACACGACTCGCCCACTATCTGCGTTCGCTCGGCGTAGGATCTGAGGTCGTGGTGCCACACTGTTTTCAAAAATCAGGTTGGGCTATCGTTACGTGCCTGGCTATTCTTAAAGCTGGTGGTGCCTTTGTAGGACTGGACCCGACACATCCAAGGCAACGATTGCTGGGACTTGTCCGTGAGGTCGGAGCTAAGGTCGTGTGCCTGGCCCCGCAGAACTCCCACCTATTTGAAGAAAGGGAAAGCGGGGATCCGAAATTGAACATCGTTCAAGTGACACCAGAGTTTATCGCTGGGCTTCCATTCAAATCAGGCCGGCCATGCACCTCCATCAAGCCAAACAATGCAGCTTGCGTGGTCTTCACGTCTGGCACAACAGGGAGACCCAAGGCTGTGGTGGTGGAGCATGACTCTATGGCGACCTTGTCAGACCTCATGGGTCCGGCTGTACGCATTGGCCCTGAGGCACGTGTGTTCCAGTTTGCCAGTTATACCTTTGATACGTCAAATCAAGACATCTTCACAACGCTACAACGCGGTGGATGCGTGTGCGTGCCATCTGAAGAGGATCGTGTCAATGATCCGGCTGGGGCAATCAGGCGACTAGGCGCTAATCACGCCCACTTAACAAGCACTGTTATCAGTTTATTGCGCCCCGAGCAGGTTCCACATCTCAAATGGCTTTTCAGTGCCGGTGAACCTCTCACACGCGAAAACGTCGAGGCATGGGCTCCGGCCGTCCAACTCTTCAATAGTTACGGTCCCGCCGAAGCTTCTGTCGCCGTCACTTGCACCCCTACCCGGCTCGACGCTCATGCAAGCCCAGCCAATATCGGAAAGCCATTTGGCTGCTGGGCTTGGATTGTAGACGTGACTAACCACCACAAGCTTGTGCCTTTGGGTGCTGTAGGCGAGCTCCTGATCGAAGGACCACTACTTGCGCGACACTACTTTAACAATGAAGCCCAGACGGCCGCGGCTTTTATTGAGAACCCCACATGGGCAAAGAGCATGACACATGAGCCTCACATAAATAGGCGATTCTACCGAACTGGCGATCTGTGCCGTTTCAATACTGATGGCAGTATCACCATTATCGGCCGCCGAGACACTCAGATCAAGATTCACGGGCAACGTGTTGAACTTGACCACATCAAGTACGAGGTTCAGGGGCAGCTCGCCCAACTGGGCGAGCACAGCCTCGTCTCAGTCGATGCTTTGATGCTTCCGCAAAGCACAAGGAAAGAAAAAATACTCGTTGCTTTTGTTCAGTTCCTCAATCGTTCCTCTAATCTGCCTATGCTCTCTACTGATGGACTAGCCATTCCGATGAGTGACAACCTCTCGGGCCAGTTTGTGGATCTGCAACGTGCTCTGAAGACATCCCTCCCCAAATATATGGTTCCAGCCATGTTTGTTCCTATTACTGAGACTCCACTAACTGCTAATGGCAAGTTGGCACGGAATATCCTGCGTGAAACAGTGAATGGCTTCTCCGACGCAGATATAGCTCGCTACATGCTCCAAAAAGACAGCCCTAAAACAGCCGCTACGACACCCCACGAGCAGCTGCTGCAGGCCATCTGGAGCAAAGTCTTGTCCATCCCTATCGAAAAGGTGGGCGCTGATGATGACTTCTTTCAAATTGGAGGCGACTCTGTCGTTGCCATGCGACTTGCAGCTGCCGCAAGGACAGAAGGCCTTTCCTTGGCCGTAGCTGATATCTTTGCTTCTCCCATCCTGTCAGACATGGCCAGAGTGGCACGAATTGCCGACGAGAGCGATTTCATTGATAACGAAGAAGAGGAGGCATTCAATCTTCTCCCAATAACATCGCTGTCGCCCTTGACTCCTGAGTATATAGATACAATCCGCACTGAAGCAGCAGCACAATGTGGTGTTAACCCCGAGACTGTTGTGGACTTGTACCCATGCACCCCCTTGCAAGAAGGTCTTATAGCACTATCGATGCGGCAGACAGGAGCATACAAAGACCAACGCATTTTGCGCCTTACTGATCCGAACTATTCAGTCGCCCGATTTCGCCATGCAGTTGATGCCGTGGTGAGCGCTGAACCTATCCTGCGCACCCGGTTTGTAAGCACAGCTGCGGCGGGAATGCTCCAAGCTGTACTGAACGTCCAAGTTGAATGGGTTGAGCGCGACAATTTGACCACTTACCTCAAAGAGGATTTGGATACGCCTGTGACATATGGAAGCCCTCTAGTACAGCTGGCACTTATCGACGAGCACAGGCAGAGTAGAGAGCGCTACATAGTGTGGTCGGGCCACCATGCTTTGTGCGATGGTTTCAGTATGGACATCACATTTGAACAGATTGCCCATGCCATGGCGCATGAAGGGGCTGTGATGCCGAAACCGGTGCCTTTCAAGAACTTCATCCGCTTCCTGCAAGATCAGATACGTGACGATTCTGCAAGTAAATTCTGGCAAGAACAGTTCCCTGCTAACAAGGAGATACCACCAAAGTTCCCACCCGTGCCACTCGGGCATCAAGTTGTCCCTCATCGTGCCTGCTACTCGCAGATGCAGGTTGCTCGTCCGCGTGGGAGCAAAATATCTGTGACGAGCTATCTCCGTGCCGCATGGGGGCTTGTCATCGCGCGGCACCTTGACAGCTCAGACATCATCTTCGGAGCGACGCTGTCGGGTAGAAATGCGCCAGTTCGGAATATCTCTACGATAAACGGTCCCACAATGACCACTGTTCCGGTTCGCATGCCGGTGCCTTTTGATGATGGTGAGACAACAGTGGCACAATATCTAGAGGCCGTGGAAGAACAAGCCGTGACCATGACATCCTTTGAACACATCGGTCTGCAAAATATTCGATGCATCAACGAGTATGCCCGAGCGGCGATTGACAACATGGTGCATCGGTTTGCCGTTGAGTTGAAGCCGAGTGAGGCCATTGAGGCTTTTGATGGTATAGAAATCGTTTCCGCCGACTTGCCGAATGGGTTTTATACAGACCCCTTGGTCATTCGCAACTACGCCCATGATGACGGTTCGACCATCGACGTCGAAGCCAGGTACGACTATACCCTAATTTCGAGTGAGGAGATGCGCAGGCTACTGGATCAATACACCCATGTTGTGCAGCAGCTGATCAGTAGCCCTGAAAAGGGTCTTCGCGACATCCAGGTTATAAGTCCCAAGGATATAGACGAGATCATTAAATGGAACGGCGAATTACCTGGGACGGTTGAACAATGTGTACACAATTTGATAGCCGAGCAAACAAGAAAGCGACCCGAAGCTGAGGCTATATGCGCTTGGGACGGCAGCTATACCTTCGGAGAACTGAACTCGCTGACTGAGCGACTCGCAGCTCATCTCCAGAGCCTTGGTGTGGGTCCAGAAGTGACTGTTGCCCTCTGCTTCGACAAGTCTAAATGGAACGTGGTATCTATGCTGTCCATTTTGAAAACAGGTGCCTGCTACACGTCACTGAATCCTGCATACCCGGCCGTTCGCATGCAAAGTATTATGCAGGACGTCCAAACGCCTATAGTCCTCTGTTCTCCGCAACATGTCAACAAGTTCGATGGCATGGAGCCTTGGGTCGAGCCTATTGATGAAGACTTCTTGGAATCTCTACCTGAACCCGATGTTGCCGTCACATCTACAGTTCAGCCATCCAATGCAGCATTTATTGTTTTTACATCAGGCAGTACTGGTAAGCCTAAGGGCGCTATCATCGAGCATCGTGGCATCACGTCCATGCAGCACTACGAGGGACCCCATGTGGGCATGGGCCCTGATACTCGAACTCTACAATTCGCTTCACATGTCTTCGACGTGTCCAACTCTGAGGTTTTCACGACCCTGATGCGCGGTGGATGTGTATGTATACCTTCCGAAACAGAGCGGATGAACGATCTTGCTGGTGCGATCAACAAATATAACGTAAATTGGTCCTTCCAAGTCCCAACCACCGCGGATACACTCGACCCAAGCCAAGTCCCCGGCTTGAAGTATCTGGCCTTAGGAGGAGAAGCAATTAGTCAAGGCCTATGTAACCGATGGGCTCCTGAAGTCACACTGCTGAACTCATATGGTCCCTCCGAATGCAGTATCTGGACAAGTGTCTCTCATCTTGCTCCCGGGACTTCGTCACCCAACAACATCGGGCGCGGCCTTGGTTGCCGAACGTGGATCACGGATAAAAACAACCACAACTTCCTTGTACCTATCGGTTGCGTTGGGGAATTGTGTGTCGAGGGTCCAATTGTCACACGAGGATACAAGGCTAGTCTCAAACAAACAGCCGCTGCCTACATTCGAAACCCAGCCTTTGCATTAGAATTGGGTATCCGAGGCATGCGCATGTACAAGACGGGTGACCTAGTCAAGTATGACTCGGACGGTACTCTGCTGTATGTTGGGCGCATAGATAGCCAAGTTAAGGTTCGCGGGCAGCGTATCGAGCTGAGCGAAATCGAACAGAATATCGTGGCCAACGGTTTTGAGGCCGAAGCGGTTGTCGTTGAAAAAATATTACAGGGTGGCGAAGACGATCGCGTTGCTCTAGCAGCATTCTTTAAACTCAGCAGCATAGACGGACCTAGCTCTGTTAGCTCTGTTAGCTCTGACTCAGGTTATACATCAGCGGAAACCGGTGAGGACGAAGAGAAGACACCACAAGATGAACTGGACTCTATGCGAGATCAACTAGTCGCTCTCCGGCGAAACCTACTCGACACTATACCTGCTCACATGGTGCCATCTTTCTTCATTCCACTTCGTTCCATGCCCATTACGCAGACGGGAAAAAAGGACCGCAAAGCGCTTAGGCAACTCGGTGCTTCCTTGTCCCAGGAACAGTTACGGCGGTATGCTCTGGAAGATGATAACGATAATAACGCCGACACGTTGGGTAGAGCTTGCACCACTGATGCGGAGAGGCGGCTCCGGTCTTTATGGGCCGAAGTTCTTGGCATCGCCAAAGAGGAGTCTATCTCAGCCCAAGACAATTTCTTCCTCAAAGGAGGTGATTCAATTCAGGCAATGCGACTGGTAGCTGCAGCGCGCCGACAAGGCAAAATGCTAGCAGTTGCCGATATGTTCCGTATGCCACGACTATTCCAGATGGCCGAGCTGTGGGAGAATAGTACTGCTCTTGAAGGAGCAGCCATCCCTCCATTCTCGCTTCTGAAGCCGGATGCCATCAGTGATTTGATCTATGAAGCAGTACATCAATGCAAGGTCGAGAGAGACCAGGTCCAGGATGTTTACCTCTGTTCGCCACTACAAGAAGGCCTTATGGCAGTTTCTACTCGAAAGCCAGGTTCCTACATTTCGACAAGAATTTTCGATCTGCCGCCCACCATCGACATAGATCGTTTCCAAGCAGCATGGCAGACGGCAGCCGACAGATTCCCCATCTTAAGAACGCGCATCATCCTCGGGCGTGCCTCCGAGTCCCTTCAGGTCGTGATCAAGGAGAAATTGGTCTGGGAGACTATTGATGGACAGATCGAGACTTTCATTGCGCAACGAGGTCTCACGACCATCGAATATGGCGGTCGTCTTTGTGCCTTTGCCATTGATGTGCAGGCTCGCAAGTTCGTTTTGGTACTTCACCATGCCCTGTATGACGGCTGGAGCGCCACCGTACTCCTTAAAGCTGTGGAGAAAATATACCAAGGAGAAACATGCCCAACAGGACCATCTTTCAACGCCTTCATTCAACATCTCTCCCGAGTTGATAAGGTCGACTCGGAAGACTTTTGGCGCACCCAACTCAGCGGTGCTCCTGCGCATTTTCCCAGGTTACCGAACAAGACTTACGAGCCGAAGAATAGCGCCAATGTCTCTCATACCATCGCTATAGCGCAGCAACCAAGTGGTATCCTCAAGTCCACAATTCTCAGAGCCGCTTGGGCCATAGTGAGTGCTCGATATGCCGAATCAAATGATATCAGCTTTGGTGCAGCCCAATCAGGGCGTGACTGTGCAGTCCCGGGTATCGAGCAAATCATTGGGCCTATTGTCACTACAGTCCCTGTGCGTGTGCGTATCGATGACAAAGAGCCCGTCATTGGCTTCCTTGAACGTATTCAGGACCAATCCGTCGCCATGATTGACTACCAACACGCCGGTGTGCAAACCCTTCGACAACAGTTGGGCAAAGAAGTTCAACCAGCACTAGAGTTTACGAGTCTGTTCGAGTTTGGTGAGGATTCAAATGATCAAGGTGACTTCATCGCCGAGGTGCAAAGGCCTGAACTTCTGGACGGATTCTGGTCGTATTCTATTGTTCTAGAGTGTCATCTTGCTGCGGACGGTGTGACTGTCAACATTTTGGCGAGACATGACCCTGTTGTTATTCCCACCTACCAGATGGATTGGGTCTGTAAACAATTTGGTCACATTGTTGATCAGCTCTGCAGCCTGACTTCCTCATCGACTCAGATGGTGAGCGATCTTGAGCTTTTCGGTCCTCATGATGGCGCCGCAATTGACGCCTGGAACGCAAGATGGCCTCACGGTGATACGGATGAAAAGACGGTCCATGAGGCGATCGCTGAGCAAGGCCGTCTCAATCCCGACAACTTGGCCCTTTCAGGCTGGGATGGAGACATGACATACGCTGAGCTAGAGCACTACGCCACAAAACTTGCCAGGAGACTGGTTCGAAGCGGCGTCAGACCGGAAGTCATGGTGCCACTATGCTTCGACAAGTCCAAGTGGGCCATTGTAGCCTCTTTGGCCGTGATTAAAGCTGGAGGAGTCATAGTACATCTCGGTCCAACACACCCGGCTAATCGCAGGCAGGAAATACTGCAGGCTGCTGAGGCTGAATTAGTATTAGTCTCACCTCAGCACGTTTCCCTCTTTCAAGGTGCCGCAGTCTGGGTCATGCCGATAGACCAGGAGAGCCTGGATCGAATGGCCGAATTCAACTACGAGCTACCCAATGTCGAACCCTCAAACGCCGTCTATGTCTGCTTTACATCGGGTAGTACAGGCAAACCCAAGGGAATTGTAGTTGAGCACCGGAATATGCGCATGAGTGCTCAGGCACATGGAGCGCAATTCAAGATCAATCCTGGAACCAGGCTTTTCAATTTCTCTGCTTACACGTTTGATATCAGTCTTGGAGATATTTTTATTTCTCTACAGCGCGGGGCTACAATCTGCACACCATCCGAGTGGGAGCGCTTGAACGAATTGGCTGGCGCTATCACCAAGTACAATGCGAACCTCATGTCAGTAACTCCATCAGTAGCTAAGCTGCTCAGTCCCGAAATGGTTCCAACACTGCGCACGCTTGTTCTTGGCGGCGAAGCACCCACCCAAGACAACATCAAAGTATGGTCTGATAAGTTGGATTTAATCCTGATTTGGGGACCAGCCGAGACAACCATCTACGCCTCTGCTACGCCGCCGACAACACAAAAGACAAGTGCACAGGAACTCGGCAACCCTATGGGATCCGTAATGTGGCTATGTGATCCAAACGACCACAATAAGCTGGTGCCTTTAGGCTGCGTGGGTGAAATTGTTGTTGAAGGTCCACTTGTCTCGCGCGGCTATCTCAAGAACGAGGAAAAAACGGCCGCTGCATATATTCAAGACCCGGCATGGGTTGGAGAAAAAGATGACAACAGTAATAGGAAGCCCCGGAATATGTATAAAACCGGTGATCTGGGGCGCTACAATGCCGACGGGTACATGTTATTCTCAGGTCGGAAAGATAACCAAGTTAAGCTTCATGGACAACGAATGGAACTTGATGAGGTGGAACACACTATGTTAACCCACGAGACAGTAAAGCAGGCCGTGGCACGCATCCCTCGAAATGGTCCACTCAAGGATAAGTTGATTGCCATGCTAAGCCTCAATTTTGCCGATATCTCGCACAACAATTCACCCGTTGCCAACCAAATTGTTGTACTGGATAATTCCAATGCTGGTGGTACCAAGATTAGCAAGGAAATTGTTGCAGTACGACGGATGCTTGAGGAGAATTTGCCTGGCTACATGGTGCCCAGTATCTGGATCTGTGTTGAAGCCGTCCCACTAAACAACAATTCCAAGATTGACCGAAAACTCATCGATTCATGGCTTCAAGAAGTGGACCAAGATACTTACGACAAATTACTTCGCAACGAAGCTGAGGGCAAAGGAGATGCAGAAGAAATTCATCATCCAGCGACCGCTGTGGAGCAAATATTAAGCGACCTCGTTAGTCAAATTCTCGGATTAGACTCGGCTTCGCTCAATCTCAACCGTTCATTCCTTAGCCTTGGTGGTGATTCCGTCTCTGCTATGCAGTTGCGCAGCAAAGCCCGCGCGAAGGGGGTAGATGCTTCATTGTCGAACATAATCACAAACAAGAGTCTAGTTGAGCTCGCTTCCAAGTCGGCATATACTAAACCAAAACCCAAGGAAGTTTTAGGCGGACCTTTCGCTCTGTCCCCAATCCAAAAAATGTATGTCGATTTGGTTTCCTCTTCTGCGGACGCAGATATTGGTCACTTCGACCAAAGCATACTCCTACAGATAAACAGTCCAGTTTCAGCTGGGGCATTGCAAAAAGCCCTCACGCAAATTGTGCAACGGCACTCGATGCTCCGTGCTAGATATTCTCGAGACGAGAATGGAGAATGGTCTCAGTACATCGCTGAGGATAAAGATACGACTAAGTCATTTCAATTCAGTATCGAAGAGGTGGAGGACGGATATCAAGTATCGAGGATACTGAGTAGCTTCGGTGGTGTTTTTGACATCCACGAAGGACCTGTCTTCTCTGCTCATGTTTTCAATCTCCTTTCAGAACGAACACAATTACTTTTTGTCCGAGCCCATCACCTAGTGGTCGATGTGGTCTCGTGGCATATCCTCCTCGGTGACCTGGAGCTCTTGATTGCTACTGGTAGCTTTGCGACGGCCCCTCCACTGCCTTTCCAGAGTTGGCTGAGCATGCAAAAGGAGATGGCCGAGTCTACTAAGCCAGCTGACTTACTACCATTCGACGCCATCAACATGCCTGCAGCTAACTTTGAATACTGGGGAATGGCGGGAGACAACAAATCCAACACATACAGTGATGCCATTCTGACAGAATTTTACCTCGACGAGCCCATGACGGCCCAATTAATGGGCACTGGTAAGGTTTCACTAAGTGCGGCGCCCGTCGATGTTATTTTGGCTGCTCTCATTCACTCATTTTCACTCGTCTTCTCTGACCGTGCAGCTCCTGCCATCTTTTCCGAAGGACATGGTCGTGAGTCTTGGAACGGCAAAGTAGACCCGTCAAGTACAGTAGGATGGTTTACGACAATGAGCCCTCTGCATGTACCCGATACCCGATCATCTGATATTCTCATGACAGTGCAGTCTGTTCAAGATCTGCGACGCCTCCTACCATCTAACGGCATGGAATATTTCAGCTCCCGGTACCTCTCTGCCAAGGGACGCGAAGCCTTTGGTTCACATTCCAAGATGGAGATAATGTTCAATTACCTTGGCAGATCCTCTGAAGTTGGAAGGGAAAATGCCCTGCTTTCACCCGCAACTTTGCCAGATGGCGCGACATTCGATAAGTTGGTACAGGACGAAAAGCTGCCACGTTGGTCTCTATTTGATATCGTGGCCCTCATTGCTGGTGGTAAGGCTCATATCACCATAGCCTATAACAAACATATGCAGCACCAAGATAGGATTATCCAGTGGGTCAAAATGGCGAAGTCCACATTGATCCATGCCATTGAAGTTTTAAGAGATATAGAAAGTCATCCGACCAGCCCTAGGCTGTCATCCCCAACGGTTGAGAAGCAAGTCCTGTTTGAAGACGAGGTTGAAGGAATTTATCCTTGCGCACCGGTGCAACAACACATGCTTTCCGCGCGTGAAAAGCACCCCGACCGCCAATTGTACGAAATGGAATTTACTTACAAAGCCATCACCCTTAACGGCGCTACAATTGATATAAACAAATTACGCGAAGCATGGCAGCAGGTTGTGCGTCATCATGCCGCTCTCCGGACAATCTTTAGGTCTACTACTTCTGGCTCATACGAACAAATTGTGCTTCGAGACTGGTATGTCAATGTACCGGTAATTGAATGCATCAACGAAGAAGAAATGATAGCTCGCATGAATAGCCATATATCAGTCAACTACAGCCTCTCGAGCAAGAAACCACACGTTCAACTCACTTTGTTTGTTACTTCAAAAAACAACAAACAAATTGTTTCCTTCAAGACCGAAACAGACCACACTCTTACTGACGGTGTCTCCGTCGCTCTAATCCTCCGCGATCTTGCGCTTGCGTATGAAGGAAAACTTCCAACAGACCCAGCGCCCTCGTTCAGTAGCTACGCATTATGGCTACGTGATATGAGCCAAGAAGAGACGTTCGCAAAGGACGTTGCCTACTGGAAAGACTTTGACAAAAGTGCGGGAGCATCGTGTATTCCACATACTTCGCCATCCTTTGCATTATCGCAACCTCGCATCCACAAAGTGAAGATCATCGATCTTGAGCAGGCCACCATAAGCCGACTGCCAGAGTTCTGCACCACGCATGGCGTCACTATGGCTGCCTTCTTCCAGACCGCATGGGGTTTAGTACTTCAAGACCTCACGGGTTCAGACAAAACGCTATTTGCGTTTATGACAGCCAACCGTGATGCAACAGTGGCAGGCGCCGAAGAGATCGTAGGKCCGCTCATCAACATGCTTCTTTGCCGAATCGATCTCTCCAGACTGCGCAAAAATGGCATTGGAGAGGTACTGAGACGAGCACGAGATGATTTCCTAGACTCACTCGATCACCAATACGGTCTTGCTAAGATGGAAGATATGTGGCAGAACCCATCATGGAATTCTCTCATGAGTTTGCAGTACATGGACTCTAGAGTTAGTCAGATAGAGTCAGATGCAGCCAGTATCTCATTTGACTTGTTGTCTGCGAGAGATCCTACTGCATGGGACGTTTCGATAGGGGTACAGATAAGCCATAATCGGGAAGAAGGCATTACTACTGTCCATGCCGGGCTTGGCTATTGGAGTGACGTTCTCACTGATTCACGAGCAGGAGATGTGAACGCACTATTCAAAGCTTCCGTTCAGAAGTTACTGGATGGAAATTTATAGTCATTCATCACTTTTCTTTTTGTTCATTGACCTTGTACGTGTATTAACGCATATTTGCTTCTGGCTTATACGCCATCTTTCATATGTCAAACGGTTTCTGGAGTTTATATAGAAAGGAGGGTATTTTGTCTTATATATTCATGTTTACATTGTTGTAATTCCTGTTGAATACCTCACTCGTTTGATTTGCAAATATTTTCATAGCCTCAAGAATCCAGTTCATCTAAGATCTTTTCAAAGACGTTTGTCATCCATTTAATCCAGTACATTTCTTGGTAATTTCATCATTTGAAGGATGTGGTCAGCCTGAAAAGTTTCTTTGCCTTCTTCTACAATACGAAATAACGCACTTTATTGCTTATATCGTTAAATATGTCCGAATTGATGACCACTTTGAAGTCAAAACGTATATTATTACTAATTGGAAAGCCCTATCCGTCCGAGAGTGGTAGACCAGGACAAAGTGAAAAAAGCTCGAGGCAAGCGAGATAGCCTGAAAGCTCAACTTGTCTGCCAAACTAGGTCATTATACTCACTTTCTAGAGATAATGTAAGGATTCTGGTAGCCAAATCGTCCAACATAGGATTATTTGATAGCTTTGCACCCAACACCCAGGATTCTTATGTTTGGTCTTTTGATAGAAACAGTTCCTGTTCTTACTCTACGCGTATCTCTACACCACTTAATTTCTTTCCGGCATTTGCTTTTCCTCCTAGCCTATGCATGATTCAAATCAAGGGTTCAAGTGAGCAAGTGAAATTGCCTCGAGGTCAAATATATCCACAGAACAGAACGGAATTTATTACACACCATTCATTTATAAGCAGATGTCATGGTGTTCATCTCAAAGTGACATAGTACATTTTAGGTTCACAAGATCATGACAAGATTCGTTTAGGTCCGCAATTTCTTCCCCAGTGCTCAGGTAGCCCCCGATATCCCACCATGTCAGACAGCGTTTGGCCCCGTATATACTCTTCTCAGAGAATTGCTTACTATTTTATTACTAGTTGAAGATTCTATAGTAATCGCAAGCTTAGACGGCTGGGCTCGCAACACCTTTAAATCGCTGAATCCGACGATCATTATGCACGTTTCATGCAACCAGAGCTCTCCCACAGTATGAGCATGTCTAGAACTTCAAAAAGGTCTAACGACAAAGTTCTAAGTTCGAAACACAGAGCATCACATTAACTTTATATTTCCAATTTGCTGCTTGGTTACTGAGAACGATGGCAGCCCATATCACGGTGCTGGTTGCCGGGAGTTGCTTGCTACTCTTAGTATGGATCATCATTCTCCATCTTCCCCGACTCGGTCTACTAACACATTCAACCTACTAATCAGATCCTGTGGAGATCGGCATACCTTTGTTTCTTCCACCCTTTGGCCAAATATCCTGGTCCTTTCCTTGCCAAATTCACCAATCTATATGGAGCGTACCACGCCTGGAAGGGGGATGCCCATCTTGACATGTGGAGGGCCCACGAGAAATATGGTGAGTAAACGCCTCATATAGTGATAGAATCATCTAGTAACAAGAGTGACCAGGTGACTTTGTTCGGCATATGCCGGACACCCTGTTCATTAGGAACTCGGAGGCTTTGCATGCTATATACTCCACCAAACCATCCGTTATGAAAAGTGCACACTACCGTGTCTTAGAGGCCAATGTAGCAAGCACATTTAGCTTACGCGGAGGCCATGAACACGCATGGCGGAGGCGGCTTGTGTCAACAGCTCTCTCTGAAAAAGCCCGACGAGGAATGGACAGCCGTATCGCTGTACATGTTCGTAAGTTCTGTGACATCGTATTTCCCAAGGAAGCGAAGACACTGGGAAAACCTATGGACATGTCCGAGTGGTGCAGCTACCTGACCTTTGATCTGATGGCCGATCTTGTCTTCAGCGCCAGCTATAACCTCTTGGGTAATGAAAGATTCCGCCACATGCCACATGTCATCGACAAGTCCAATGTGCGGATGTCAGTGCTCGTTTATCTCCCTTTTATCGCTTGGTATAAGTATATTGATGCCTTCATTTTCAAAGAGGCCGCTATAGCGCGATACCGCTTCATGAGATTTGTCATACGCGCGGTGAAGGAGCGTGCAGATCGTGCCATTGGCAAGTGGTCACAGCAGTCATTAGATCCGTGTCCGCCACGCAACGATATCTACAGCGCGCTTGCCATAGCCAAGGATCCAGATACTGGAAAAGGCTTCTCTACACAGGAAATGATTAGCGAGAGCATCACACTGGTAGTTGCCGGTTCAGACACAACTTCGACAGCCATATCATCAACGTTTTTCTACTTGGCCGACAACAAGCACGCGTACGATAAGGTGACTCAAGAAGTACGGGAAGCATTTAAGATCAAGCCTTTCGGAGAGGAAGGAGTGGCCTCAGGCCCAGAATTATCAGAATGTGCCTACCTGCGAGCTTGTGTCGATGAGGCGCTGCGTATGAGCCCGCCCAACGGAGCTGCCTTGACGAGAGAGGTTACGGCCGGTGGCCTTAACATCGGGGATCATCACATACCAGCGGGGACTGTTGTCTCTGTACCAGTATATGCCATCCATCACGATCCACGGTACTTCGCAGAGCCATTCTCTTATCGTCCTGAGCGCTGGGTTGAGGATGATGGTACCGGCAGCATCAAGCGCGCAAGATCGGTCTTCAACCCCTTCTCGATGGGCATCCGGGGCTGCCTCGGCCGAAGTCTAGCATATCACGAAATCCTGACCACCGTTGCCACCGTGCTATACTTTGGCGACTTTCAATTTGCCGAGGGAGACTTAGGCAAAGTTGGTCGAGGTTCACCACAGGCAGAGTATGGACGACACAGAGAGAATGAGTACCAGCTACGCGACCATCTATCCGGACAGAAGAATGGACCATGGCTACGATTCACCAGACGTGATATTGTAGACTAAGCTATTTATATGGTGATTTATGTTGTAAATATTGTTGCCTATGGAAATATGTCTGCCTTTCAAATTCCGTTGCCTGTGGAGTTTTATTGTCTATGGATTTTTGTCCTTTTTAGTGATTAAAATAGCAGCAATACAACGTAGGGTTAATGCAAACTACTACTATATGATTTCCACCTGATCAATCATTATCCAAAAGCGTACAATGGCATGCAACCTAACTCATCTTGGCTTGCGTATTCACTTCTGACCATATAGAAACAGTAATCAAAATAGACGACCTCGTATGACCTGTAGGGCATATATATCGTTTAGTAAGAAATAGTAAAGTAAACAATGGCACTGTTTCATATGTCAAGGACGTGATCCTTCGGGCTAGCAATTGTCATTATTCACGGCCACGTGCGAACMCCCGCCGATGTAGGTAGTTTCTACATGACCATTTGCCTAGAAAGGTTGTCTATGAATATAATTACTTGTATTATCATGGCCATTGAATTTAGGGAGGAATTGGACAGTCAAACCTGTTCTGCAAGCGATCAGGTTATCAGTTTCGATCTCTCCATAAGTATCAAAATAAAAGCGTTGGGCATGTTAGATCTCTGGTACACCAAATCATCTGTTTTACCTGTAGAGACGAAGTTATGAACTTCTTCTTTTCCACTAATCCAATAATTTGTATAATGCAAAGCTGTTGCCCTAAATCTAAAAAGCGCCCTATATACAAAATATGCTATATACCTAGAAATGATCAGTGCGATACTCATCCTCTATCAAAGTCCCAGAATTACTGTCGCCCGATATACGGTGCAACTGGTCTTCCTCCGTCTCTGTATTCTCGTCTTCCTCGTAATCCATCCCATTCATATCTCTGTATAGCTTCCTGAATAAGGTATTTCCATCCAATAATGCTCCCGGTTCACCCAGCTCAGCCAACCGTCCAGCATCAACAACGGCTATGCGGTCATAATCCATAATCGTATCTAATCTGTGCGCAATGGTGATGATAGTATGCGTTTTGAATCTTTCTCGGATAATTTTTTGCATCATGGCGTCCGTTTTGACATCAACTGCTGCAGTCGGCTCGTCTAGCACCAAGATCGTTGAATAACGCATTGTGGCCCTTGCAAGACATAGGAGCTGCTTCTGGCCGTGTGAAATAGTATTAACTTCCATAGGCGCATCGAGTCCACCCTGTGCTGCAAATATTTCCCACAAACCAACCATGCGGAGCGCGTCCGTGATATCTACGTCTGATCTCTCACCACGCGGGTCGATATTGAAACGAACAGTGCCTGGAAGAAGATACGCGTCCTGTGGAAGGGCAATTATGCGTGAGCGAACCTCTTCACGCGGAATAGTCGCGATATCAATACCATCGACGCGAATGCTGCCATTTGAGAGCTCCAGCATTCGAAAGAGCACTGATACCAGAGTACTCTTGCCGCTTCCTGAACGTCCACAGATGCCAATCCTCTGACCAGCCTGAATTCTAAGTGAGATTCCCTTTAAGACATTGTTTTCTCCGTCATACGAGGCCATGACATTATCAAATTCAATCCCACCTTCTTCTGGCCATTTAGGCGGTACTGGCCCCCTCTCCCAAAATCGATGCTCTGGCTGCACGTTGAGAGTGAAACTCCGAACGCGACTGACAGCACCAATGGAAGTCTCAAGCTGCGTCCAGAATACTATAAGCTTCTTTATAGCGCCACCAAAGCCAACAACATTGACAAGGGCAAGGCCGATTAGGCCAGAGTCGGTCTTGCCCTTACTCTTGACTGCAATAGTTGCCAATACGACGGCGATACCAGCGGCTACAAGATCCAGAACAAGGCCAAGCCATTGCTGGACAGAGAGGAGCGCATAGAATGGCTTTTGAGATTCGTTAATGTGGGCAATGTTGCGCATGGTGTATGCCTTCTGCCAGCCGTAGGCCCGAATCGTCACAACTCCGCTCAGAGTTTCGAGAAAATGAGAGAAGAGAGGAGTTTTGGCCTCGACATCGAGAAGACGTAGTATGCGTGATGTCCGAAGATAGAATATCTGGAGCACGGCTACAGCACCAAGGATGAAGGGAAGGGCTGCCCCCAGGTACTTGGACGTCACCGCCATGAGCAGTGTTTGCGCGGTGATGATAAACAAAATCATGATCGTTTGGACGAGAGAAACAGGTAGCTCTATATCAATAAGCTCCAGATCCTGACTGAATCTGTTCGTGATGGAACCCTTGTCTGCCGTATAGAATAATGATAGAGGGGCACTCAGGACTGTACTCAGGAGTCGGGAATGAAATCTTCTCGCCACACGGGGAGCAAGGCTCATGACGAAAAAGGTGCAGCCAGTAACCAAGGAAATGATTGCCAGAACACCGATAGCAAAGAATACACCCCAGTAGTATCCGGCGCGATCATTGGGATGCGCAGTGTTGTACTGCCCCCACCGCTCTGCCCAGACCTGGGAGAAAATGATGGCAAAGCCGAAGACGGCGCTAATCATAACAAAGATGCCCAATCGAGGCCAACCGAAACACTGGACGTAGTAGGAATAAACAGAAAAATTGCCGGATTGGGAGTCGCCAGCCTCATCAAGCCGGGGGAGCACAGGTTTAGAGTCATCTCCGTTGGTGGCTTCGCCAGGCTTGCTATTTTTACCTACATCACCTCGTTCTTGTTCTTGAACCTGGAGCCCATAAATATAGCCACCATGAGCCCTGGACAGATTATCCCAGGTGCCCTGTTCGATGATGTGACCGCCCTGTCCAAGAGCAATGATATGGTCCGCTTCGGGAAGACAATGGATAGCGTGGCTAGCAAGAATAACTGTCACTCCGTGCTGGGCTAGTAGTCCGTATCGACTGAAGAGAGTCGCGAAGATGAACTTTTCGGTCGTTGCATCCAGGCCGCTGAGAATATCGTCTAAGATAATGGTCTTCCTACGAGAATAGATGGCTCGGGCGAGTGATAGGCGTACTTGCTGTCCTCCACTTAGGCCCATTCCTTGAYTAGCCACAATTGTTTGGTCCCCCTGTGGCAGCTGAGCGATATCGTAACTCAGCTGGCAGGCTTGAACCACAGTTTTATACCATGCCTTGTCCAGATCAAATCCACCAGTGATGTTATGTTGTAAAGTAGTGTTCAAGATCCATGGCGACTGCGCACAGAACGCTACTTCATCAAGAGAGCCGGATATTAAACCATCACTAATTATAGTTTCTCTCAGCATCGTGTAAAGCAGAGTGGACTTTCCACAACCTACAGGGCCTACAATCATGGTAAATTTGCCACGAGGCACCTGGAAGGTCAAGTCTCTCAACACAGGAGAGCCTGTTTGCCATCCAGCGGAAACCCGATGGAAATTGATAGCAGTCTCTTGAAATATGCTGCTCAATGGTTGATACGTCAATCTGTTGGCCATAAATCTCGAGTGTGTTGCCTTGGGCAAGTAATCTTTTGTTGAAAAGAGTGTTTCGGATGACGGCAGTTTGTTTGAAAATATCTTTTGCTTGATATTCGGCAGAGCCGGTATCAGCTTCCCACTGTCCCACTCCGGACTTCTTCTGGTTTCCTTGCCCAGATACTCTTGAATTCGACCGAAACACCCAATAGCACCAACGAAGCCGGCGATACTATCGATTAGCATAGCCATAGGAACCAGTAAAAGCTGTAAGAGAACCAACGAAAGCAGAACCTTGGATGTGTTCATGATTTCGTAGCCGCTAGAGCGCTGAAGGATGATGTACAAGCCAAAGGCGGCCACTGGATTCATAGCCTCCGAGATGTTGGATAGAGTTACTAGCTTGACAAGGATAAAACGGAAGGTGAAAGATGACTTTATTTCCTTTTCGCGAAGGTCGCTTATCCTCTCGCCAAGTGGTATAGTAAGGCCGGTCATCTTGACAGCTTTCATAACCCCAAGCATGCTGGCCGTCGCTGTCACCCGTGATTGAATCCGGTCTAACCAAGATTTCTGGGCATCACCAGCTCCTGAAGCCACCCATACTGCAAAACTGGTACAGACAATTGTCACAAGCGTTGGTCCAAGAACAGCTAGATAGAGCGTCCGCTGAAGTAGCCAAATAGCTATACCAATTTGAATGATGTTGGCCCACAACTCGGGAAACGTGCGAAGACCACTAGTGACTCTCTCCACATCCGTACTCATAAGTGTGACGGCATCGGCTCCTTCCAGGGCTGTGGGCAACATCTCGAGTGTGTGGCGATAAATCAAGTCAACGAGGCCAGCTCGCATCTGTGTGATCATTCGAAACGTCCAATGTTGCGCCAAAGCTGTCGTGATAGCAATACCTACGTAAACGATGATATATACCACAATGAGACTGGTACCGACGGACGGTCGATCCTCGTAGCCTGTGCCCTGGATATAGTCGAGGGTACGCTCAAGGATGAATGGCTGAGCAACCGTGAATCCAATCTGGCAGAGACGCGGCAAAATGGACATGAGCAGAGCCACTCTACTATGTAACATACAAACAGTCATAAGAGCTAGCCCAGAATGTTTCCATTTCCCTAAAAGAGCACAATCGAGACTAGGTCAGTTGAAATAAGATTTGTAGCAGTGCTAGGGAGGTATCACGTACAGTCCTTCCACGCTCTAGCTAAACTACCCTCATCCTCCCAAGCTTTAAGCACCGGATCGACATCAAACAATGTCTTCATCGACAGTTGCCTCTTAAAACCGCGTATTAATATTGGATTAAGCCACCATGAAAACCATAAGTTCAGCTCTCCGGATGTGGCCTCTACGGGCAACGATTGATATTGAGGAAGCAAGATGCTTCGCTTCTCGGTTGCCTCTAAAATCAATAAGGTTGTCTTGAGGCCGACGGCGACGCTGAGCACCGCGGCAACCCTTTCCGCCGACTGGATTCCCCATAGTGTCCTACACCGGGCTATGTCAAACACGAGGGTCAGAGCAAGGTATAGCACCAAAAGCCCAGATGGTCGAACACTGCGTAGGTGATGCCAAAAAGATAGAAAAGCAAGGCCCGAGATCAAAATGAGAACAAGGATATTGGCAGCGATTGAGGTTCGAGTCTTTGGTGTGTGGTGATCGATAGTCAGGGCGACTTGCACGACAGTGGCCACGAAAAGTGCAGCCCATCCAGCCTGTTTGACATAATGTGATATCGAGATCAAGTTGTTTCCTATTCTGTCCACTTTCCGCTCACTTTTTCGTAGCCGGAGAATGAAACAAGGCAGAAGAAGCAGTGTCAAAATAGTGGGAACTATGGTCAAGATAGACTCTTCGAACAGAAGAGTAAAGTCGAAATTGTCGTAGCAATCGGCAGAAGGTCCAAACCCTGTCTCGACCTCGATCGGGCATTTTGAGGATTGGGAGCCCATTGAGACAAACTACAACGGCGACGAATACACCCTGTAGAGAAAGAGAGAAACAATAGAAGCATTAATCGAAGCGATCTTTCCCTACGTTATCCAGCTCCGCATGTTGTCGATAATGGCTTGCCTTAAACTGCGTTACCAGATTGTCAATCTGACGAAAAGATGGAGCTAGAAACACACGGTACCATTAGCGGCATATTGTGTAAGGAAAATATTATTAGCTATTCGTTAATTCTACTCTACGCTTTTGACCACATGTTGGATCTTACTATTGCTTATGGTGTGTAGTAAGCAAATCATATTTTACCCAAATCCTAATTAGGCCCCGCAATTATACGTAGCAAAATTGTTTGCGCTTATCCTTGTCATCACCGCGTCATGTGAACCGTTTCTACGACATTTGCCTTGAAACTTTATGAAACGTTGATGTATTTAGATATGTTCTACTCTTCGTACTAATGATCTCGTCTTGGCTTCTAGGGCGAATTGTAGCAGTTACTAATAGCTTTGAAACCAAGCCGTATCTGTCCTCACTTTTCCTTACTGCGCGTGGGCCATTACAATAATATCACCGTTTCATGTCATAAAATCGAAGTGTCATTAATTTCACGATTGGCGACCTCGCTGGTTCTAAATTAAGAAAATCCAAAGCTGAGTTGAGCCACCTATTTTGCATCACTTACAAAAATCAGATGAGCGTGCTAGTTACTAGCACCACATTTCCACGTAAAATAAATAGCTTCGTGGGTTTACATGGCACCCGCTCTCAAGGTTTGGACAAATCCTTATCCTCATTGACATAGTGATGGATAAAAGAACATGAGCTAAAACCGGACTACAAATACTTGATATACGACTACTACTACTACTACTACTACTACTACTACTACTACTACTACTACTACTACTACTACTGCTACTACTACTACTACTACCAACCCCACCACTATCCGTAGACCTTATATCTAGCAAAATGAGAACTAACTTATATCATAACTGCTCTCAAACTTTTCATTCCACTGCGCGGAACTACATATATCTCATCTATCCGTAGACCTTATATCTAGCAAAATGAGAACTAACTTATATCATAACTGCTCTCGAACTTTTCATTCCACTGCGCGGAACTATATATATCTCATATGAATGCGCCTGAAATCTCGGGGTATATCTATGTACATGTGGCATGGTTGCGCCCATTGTTTTAACGACCATTTTCCCAGAGATCTCCCTGCAAATGTAGGTCGAAAATCCACTCTCCAAGAGCACTCTCCAAGAGCACTCTCCAAGTAAATTCCTTAGTCAGCGGTTCCGGCGACTTTCATTGGACTAGGCTTGTTTTCTGTCCCCCTTTCAGTGCTGTTTCCATTTGCCTTGCTCGTCCTCCGATGCAATAACGCCGGTCACCACGCCAGAAAAACAAAAAGAAAACAATATGTACAACTGAGCCGAACGAGTGGAACTAACGAAAACCAAATAGCAAAAGCAAAAGCCAAGCATCGGTAGATGCGCATATGACCGATAAGATTTCATCATGGGCCTGGGTCCGCACCGTGTTCAATCAGCAATGCCACCATGTCGGTCTTCCCACTGATGACGGCTCGTTGCAGCGGCGTATAGCCAGCCTTGTCTCTCTTGTTGACCGAGATTGGATATGTCTTGAGAAGCAGCTTGAGCGTGTTGATCGTGCCTCGCGCGATGGCAATGTGAATCAAGGGCTCGTCAGCGTCTCGGTCGCGGTCTAGCTTGGCACCACTTGGTAAAGACTTTGATTGCCGTATTGGGCTCGACGTCGGACTTAGTACCGGACTGTCGATAGCCGTCATTGATGCCGACGACGGTGGGTGCGAGAAGTTGATGGCGTCATTTAACTCATGACCTTGGAATGTTTCGTAGATTCCCGATTCTAGCCAGCCCATGGTGTTGGCAGATGTGGAGTACGTGGACATGGCGGCTGAAAGATCGGAACTGGACGAATCCCCTGACCCCTTGGAGGCGTGAACGGATATAGGATTGCTGGTTACTGCGGATTCCTCCGGTCTTTGAAAACAGTCGTCGAAGCCTTGGTCCAGGTCTGACGGCCAGATCAGGCAGTCGTCCAGCATATCTTGGTTTTGCGAAATTGTGTCGGACCACTTGTCTATGCGGGTGCTATTCTTCAAATCCCACTCCGCTGTAAAGTCCCTAGAGCCGGGTGATAAGCTGCCTTGCGATGGCGCTAAGGCTCTTTTTTCGCTTGACTCGCTAGCATTACTGCTCGTAGTGGTAACGCTAATTGCTTGATGGAGTGTCTTGACTTCATTCTTCAGTAGCTCGACCTCTTTTGTTCGATCTCGCAAGTTTCGTCCTAAAAAGGATGTCAGTAAACACATTCCTATGCAATAACTGCGCAAATGGGAATTGGAAGCTCCTACTGTACGCCCGTTGTGCCAAGCGATTCTGGATTTTCCTGCGCTCCGTTGCATCTGCTAATTCTCCCCAGCTCTCGCCTGGCTTCATCAGATCGTTGTACGAATTAGCTTTGGGACGCCCAGCGCGGCGTCGACCTGTATAAGCCGGACTAGGAGTCGAGCTTTCGACCGGCAAAGGAGTTGTCACAGGAGATTCCATGATTAACTATCTGAAAGCTCGGCTACCTGATCAGGAGAGTCTGGATACTGCGGGGCACATATAGACGATTGATAAGATTGGCGTGAGCTATCTTATATTTTCCGGCTCGGTGCGAGCTGCCGGACTAAGGGTCATTCGAAATCTGTGAGGTGATTGGCCAATATCTAAGGTTCAAGCACTAAAATTATCCGCGTCCATGGCTATACTAGAATGTCATCCTTAGGCGAATGAGACCCTTACGCGTTACTCTATATGTTAGATTTAAACTAGCTTATAGTATCTTGATGTGATTGGGGGCTGTTTTCGGCTCGTATGACCAAGACGAGACAAAACAGCCCCGAGGGGCCAGAAGGTTACTAAATATATGACCCTTAGGCTGATTGAGCTGGTCTTCTCCTGCCTAAACCGGATCTAGCAAATGCTTGGTCATAATGAGCAAGGCTGGGAGGAACCTCAGATTATCGCGTGGCCGCACGGTTCTGGTAGTGTACAAAGTTATCTGCAACCTCATTACTGTATGAACCCAGTTGGTCATCATTCTCGTATACGTTTGGTAAAAAGCGTATACATCTCTTTTTCAGCCCCGCATGAGAAGACCAATCAGAAGGTATGCGGAGAGTTCGTTCTTACGCCACGACCTAGCCTACTCCGGTATAGCAGGAAAGTGACGTTCGTAACACGAATCGTGAGGAACTAAGTACTAGGATTATACCATGCGATATAGCGCGTTGGCTGAATCATGATTCCATACATTATAACGCAGTATGTGGACTGAATTATTGGACACTAGATAAAGTACTCGGATTGCATTATGCGGCGTAGTACATGAGCTGAATTATTAGGTGTTAGATACGAGGATTATGGGTATTGATCGGCGTAGACTGGAGGAATCAGTGTGGACCAGATCGATACCAATTCAACCATATTATGATAGATAGACTACCACATCATTAACAGAAACCCTCACTGATCCTAAGATATAGTACGCTATCTAACTCAACCTAGGTCATCTATATGGTCAGCACAGACTCTAAGCATACCAGGTTATTGAAGCCCAGCTCAATATATCTTCCCTTATAGTGAGATCTACATACAAGATTGATAGTATTATCAGATACGCGCCGGATCTAATGTCGTATATTTTGCATCCGTGGAGTATATTACCCAAATGGCTGCGCTTGCGTACCCTTCAAGTTCTACATGAACTAATTTTTAGGACTCCTGTGAAGGTGCTCAGGCCAAAATACTAATATTGCATTGGGCGTAGCGGTCAACGAGAAAACTAAGCATAGAGGGGAAAATAGAAGACTAGGTGTGCAGTGGGGAGTAGTGTTGCCACCCCCTCTTACCGCCCCCATTTATTGCCGGCAAAATTAACGCATTGAAATCGCGCCCCATCTACGGCATAAGCTGCGTAAGCGACAAAAGTCGTAATGCGCTTGTAAGCCTAAATACCACATCTAAAAATCTTATATATAAACCTCTAATTATTAAAAACTCCATATTAATCTTTTTTATTTTGACTAGAACTAAGTCTTAATTTATATATGAGAATGTACATCAACTAGGCCTCGATTTATATGCGAGCACGTACATCAACTAGGCCGTGATTTGTATGAGCACGTACGTCAACTAGGCGTGATTTGTATACGAGAACGTACGTCAACTAGGCCGTGATTTGTATGAGCACGTACGTCAACCAGGCGTGATTTGTATACGAGAACGTACGTCAACTAGGCCTCGGTTTGTATGAGCACGTACGTCAACCAGGCGTGATTTGTATACGAGAACGTACGTCAACTAGGCCTCGGTTTGTATACGAGCATGCCTACTAACTAGATCCAGAGTGTATATATATATATATATATATATATATTAAGATTTTAAATCTAGATTTAGTTAATACGGTAGCAGTGTTACGAAACCAACCTGCATGAAGCTAGTACTATTGGAGGGAAGCGTTTGGTTCCACAACCAGGTACGCGGGCGGTAGCTAAGGGTTAGGGTACAGCTTACGTAGAAAACACGTGGCCATATACACTCTGGTATACACAAGAAAGTGTAGGAAGACTGTAGACGGAAGAAAACACAACTATTGGATATACCGTTAGTATACATAAGAAAGTGTAGGAAAGGTGTAGGAGACATAGTCTATATAAATACACTTGTTTATCATGTATCTAGTTGTTCTTTATAGCTCTTTAATCTAAATCACTCAACTATACTAGTGAGAGTCAGCAAGGCAACCCAACTCGTACGGGCACCAGGCTGTACGAGGGGTCTCTTCCATCTTAGTTACGTATACGATTCACCCTTTGGCTCATTAACCAGTCACCTTTTCGACCAACGAACCTGTGTGTGGTTCAACCTGTTTAACTAAGGTGGATCCAGGTCTGTGACAGGAACGCTAGACCAGATCGGAGTTTACGTTGCGGATTGTCACGAACCTGGATCCACCTTAGTTAAACAGTGTTGTGTCGAGGTACGCTAGGTTTACCAAACCACATAAAGGTTCAATGGTTAGTCGTGTTACGAAACCAACTTGCATGATACTAGGCAGAATCTAGTACTATTAAGGGAAGGCACTTATTAAAGCAGCTAACACCACGTCTAGTTATTTTTATAACTAGGTACGCGGGTGGTTAGCTAAGGATATGGGCTTATAGGTAATATAAGCAGAAAACACATGATTACATATATTTAAAAGGATAAAGAAATATAGGATGATTATATATAAGTAGAAGAAATAATTATTAGATATATACTAGTATCTACATCTAAGTATAGAGAAAAGTGTAGGAATATAATCTATATAAATATATTTATTTACTATGTATTTAGTTATTTTTTATAGCTTTTTAATATAAGTTACTCGAATATAATAGTGAGTTAGTAAGGTATTTATACTCGGACAGGTACTAGGCTGTATGGGGGATCTCTTCTACTTTGGTTACATTAAGACTTCTAGTACTGATCGACTATTATTATTCTATTTACTTAGCCTATCTTATCGATGATGACCCTTGAACCTTTGTGTGGTTCAACAAAGCCTAGCGTACCTCGACACAACGCTGTTTAACTAAGGTGGATCCAGGTACGTGACACACAGTGCCCTAAGAACGAGGAATCATACCCCAGGAATAACCTAATTATATCTAAGGACCAACATATCGTACCCCAGGTACAATATATAATGCCCTCTATTAGGAATCTCTTTTATATATAAAGACTCTTATTTATTCACCTAGTTAGTTTTACTTACTGTCTTAAATTAACTATTTAATCTTAAGTATACCATTACTCATAGATCTAGTTAACTAAAGCTATCTTATTATTACTTAGGCCTACTGCCCTTTCTTAAACAGAATACCACCTAACCGCCGTTAAGTGACGAGTTTACTCTGATCTAGACGATTACGAATCATCGGTTTACGACAAACCCCTAATGATTTTTAATGATTTTTAATTACCTATTATAGACGAATTAGTCACTTAAATCGATCTAGAGTTAGATAATGGATTATCTAGGGTGAGTATTATATCTAGTCTAAATTTAAGCAGTAATCCTATAGTTTAGTATAGCAGGAGGATAACCATCAATAAATAAATAGTGGTTATCTAGATTGCCTAGCACGACGCTAACATTTGTTAGTAAAAATAAATGGCGGTTATATAACCGCTATTTAGAATAGGTGTTAGGTGTTAGGCACATAAATTGGCTTTACCCGTTGGTATGAAAGCCTGGTAGAAACCACATTCGCCGAACAGCCCTGCGCAATTCGGAAATATTGTTTCAGCTCACCCTGTAAAAATGGCTTTCCTAGCGTTAATTCTAAGCAGTGCCTATGAAATGCATCACATAATTATTCATTGCATATAATTGCTTACAAGTGATGGGGAATCTTTACATAATCACACCGCGTTGTAAAGAACATATAAATTTATGACGTAGTAAGACCCTATATATCATGTAACATTCGAAATATTAACAATTGGATACAATAGATATCGTCCTCGAAATACACCAAATCTGTAGAATGGCAAAACAAGGGAAGAGAAGATTGTTCTCAGAGAGAAAAAGGAAATTGAATAGGTGATGCAGAATAGGCGGATGAATAATGATTTGCTCGTCGCAGACTGTCCAGAGAACTAAGGAAGATTGGAAGGAGTGTAGCTCTGATCGGGAGAGACCGGCTGTCCGCTCGCAAGCTGGTTGTCGGTGTAGGCAGGCCAAATAATCTGTCGAGTATTCTGGTCGACAACAGAGAGAGTGGTGAAGCCGTTGCCGGCACCAAACTGGCCGCTCCAGCCCGATGTCACAGTGTAGTTTCCGCATGTGACAGGGCCGCCGTTGCCTTGCGAGGCGGGGTTACCATTGACTACAAGAGTGCAACCAGTGTTGGAGCCATTGGCATCGATGCCGAAGTTCCAGGTGCACTGGGTATCCTCACTGTTGCAGTTGCGGACCATCTGGGTGATAGTCCATTGAGTGTCTTCGGCCATCATCGATTTGCTGGCAGCTGCAGGCGCAGCAGAAGCTGCCGAGGAAAGAAAAGCGGCTAAGAGAACTTGAGAGATCTTCATGTTTGCGATTATGAGAGAGAGATTATAGGAAAGAGTAATGGTGGGTTGGCGGACGATGGTTTCTGAAATATGGGAGTAAGAACTTATGATATTTTAACGTTTTTGATGAATTAAAAATATGTTGGATGCCAGGAAGACAGTCACTTTATATATCCGATGCGGACCACCATGACATCAATAATATACCATTTTATAACAAAGAAGACTTATCCCCTTTATCTCCAATATTGCTCATATTGTGTAGGCAGTCTTGGCACAGCCTTGTGATCCAGAAAGTGAGAAAAAAACAGCGCAGCCAAGTGGCTGCTCTGCATAGTAATAATGTTTCAGTTACATAGTCGCGCAATTTCAAGTGAGACAACACGACTGCGGCTGCAATCATATCTCTTCGTGGGTCACGTTTTCCACTGCGGGGAGTTGACGGGTATACGCTGTGGTGGACATATGAGACATCTCCACGGGAGATGCGCAGTGATCAACAAGCGGCAAAGGGGCACTAAAAATCTTTCTTATTTTGTTATTGTGGGGAGGGAGTTTTAGGTAGAATAAAATTCTGTGTTTCTAGCACGCCAGTTGTTATTTCATTATGAAGCTATGTTGTGATTTATAGTAATTTTAAAGACACTTAATAGAGTATATTGCCCGGTATATAGATCAACTTCAAGTCTCAGTTGTAGCCCGTTATCAAGTTTTGGTAGGTACCAACCGATTTCGTAAGCCAAGAAATTAGAATAAGACATTCTTCCATGTGGAGGAGCGTCTGTCTCAGCTGCAAGGACTCTCTTATTAATATTTAAGACTGATCATTTCAGTCTCTTTACCTTTTCAATGGTTGAGCCCCACTCTGTCCTCAAGTTTCCAGTAATTGAACGATATGCACAGCTACCTTTTGTGTGAATCCCTCTTGAATAACGAACATAAGTACAGATTGCTTCGGCGGAATATCTTAAATCACCTACCCTGTAATTAGTAGGCGATCTGAAAAGCTAATCAGAAGCCTCCAAACTAGTGGTAAGCATCAAACATAGATAGAATGGACGCATTTGCTGAGGAAATTGAAAAGCGCGTACCATCGCCGAAAACAAGAAGCTTCTCGCGCTTTCCTGTAGTAATCTGTGCCAAAAGAAGGAGCAAGTTGTAAGAAACACCCTAAGAATTATTACCCATAATACCACTAGAATGAGCACTAACTAGGTTGAAATAACATAATAAAGCAGTATTCCACTTCTCAGCCTTATCGGTCTTACCAGCTTTGGTGAGATTATTTTACTAAGCATTGATAAAGTCTGTGATAGCAGTCTTGACGGCAAACTTGGTATTTCTATAAAGTTAGTAGGATCTAAGAGGCACTCTTTGAGAATTAGGATTATGTTAGAGAAATAGATAGTATCGCTATAGATAGTGATAGAGCTGCAGAAGATAATATTATAAATATTATATTTTTGCATAGAGTGGAGTAGGTTGATTGTGCTATAGAGATTAACAAGGTAGTAGTTAAGTAGTTTTTCACTAGACTCACTGATAGTCTTTATCTACATAGTCTATTAGTTAAGAAAATAATAAAATAGTTAGAAGTATATATACGTAGCTTGAGAGCAGTAAAGTGAATAATGATGTTAATATTAGGATAGATTGAAAACATCTTGTTAAAAGTGGTTAGGTTAATGATATTACTCTAGACGAACTCGGGCCTCTTGCCGCAAATCAATTCAATGCGGTTGATGACCTCAGCAGACGAGTTGTACATGTAATTAGTAATGACGACCTTGTAGCTAGCCTCGAGAAGGATGAGGGCCATGAAGGACCTGATATAGCTCGTTCCTCTGTTTAGAGTCAGGAACTTGTTCTTTTTATTTGTTGTCAGAGCGCTTACCCGAACGAGAACAGAACCAAGAGACATTGTGCTGAATACGGGGTATAATGTCAAGATAACAGGCGTAATTGGCCTGCGTGTCCACAGCAAGAAATGGATATGACATGATTATCTTAACCCCTTGATCGAAGCTTTGGACATATCATTTAGGCTGGAGAAGATTGGTAACTTAGGGTATTTGGACAATGGCAGTGAAAGACCCGCTAAAACCAGGCAGCCATCTAACAAGAAACTCTAAGTTAATAGTAATAGTTCTGGGTGGGGTAGCCGCCGATGACTCATAGCGGGTCAAGCTTCTCACCTTTTCGTCTGGAAGATGTCCCTATTCACGATATTATTCACCCTTTCATGTATAGCTCACGTCTTTTTTTATCACATTATGGAGTACAGTGACCCGAAAGAATGCGCTCCGGAATTCAAAATTATCTTATCAGACGTCGAACAACCTCAGGCGCACGATTTTATTTCCCGACAACTCGATGAGTTTAATAATTCGATTACCTGTCAGCCTGACAACAAGACCCTTGATGTTCTAATTACGGACCCGACTACGAAAGAAGTCAAGGGCGGTCTAATTGGACGGACATCACTGGGATTATTCTTTATCAACCTCCTTTTCATTCCCCAATCTCTTCGAAAGACTGGCGTCGGTAGCAAGTTGCTAGAAGAAGCAGAGAAGGAAGCTAGACGTCGAGGATGTGTTCGCGCAGTATTATATACAATTTCATTTCAGGCGCCTGGATTTTACATTAAACATGGATACAAAGCCTTTGGTGAGATTCCTTGTTTACCCAAAGGCACATCACGAATATTTATGGACAAGGAGCTATAAAGGTGTATTGGCGATTAAGATGACGTTATGTGACATATACTTTGTTCTAGCAGTATGGATGCGTAGAATGGATGAAGATCGTTTATTTTCGTGACACTCCAGTACCAAGATCGGTGCTAGATCCTTTCGTCGCTCAGAGAGGATCAAACAGTTATGTTCTAATGTAGAGAAGACCATTTCCGACACGTAGGTATTACATTACAGTATAATAGAGGTATGTAAGATCTAGGATCATCCACGATGCAAGTCATGACTGACGTGACAATCAGATAATTGGCAATTACGCAATGATTTGGTGAGCTAGGCATGGTTTTACAACCATATTCAACCACTGATCCCCTGCTATGTACACCTGTCACCGAGGCAGCCGTTGTTTGTAATCATTTTTATGCAATATGACCTGAAAGAGCTTTAATTCGACGCGCACTTCCTTATTGAGTGTCAGAAAACTCACCATTACTGTACTGTACTGTACTGTACCTAGTTCTTTCTTGCGCCCAGATGATTACACTGATTACACTACTTTGAATACTCTTTGTATGATAGAATATAATATAGTAATATGCACATTTTTGACACTGTAGTACATGGACTGTACACCACTCTTGGGACTCAATTGCCTTTTGTCAACCTCAATGATATAAATATGGCGGCGCCAAAATAATGCACAGCTTCAGAGTCTTGGATTTCGGTCTCCGGAGAGGTTGTTCTAGCAGCTACAATGAGAGGGTGATTTCCAAGAAAAGGTTTAATAACTGATCGTCTTCGGGCATAAAGTGGATTGATTTACGCCCCATGGGTCGACTGAGCAGTTAGTACAGCTGCTAGAGACCCTGCTAAAACTTCTCATAGAGACTATAGACAACTTTTCTGATATATCGTCGCAGTTATTATCTTATCTTTAGTTATATTAGCTTAGTCATTATCTACTGACTTATCGATTGAACTACTAGTCCTGATTGAGTATAGTATTACACTGTATTCTTTTAGCTAGTTTTAATAGCTACCATTTATAGACCAGTATAATATTATAATTTTATAAATTTAGTGCTTATTTATTATTAATTAGTGTCGGTTCGTCCGGTCCAAGATCAGCTCAATTGGATTGGGAATAGGCTAGTCCAACAAGCCTATAAAGTGAGGCATAAAAGGGTCAATATTTAATTTCTAATTTATGTTTAATTGCTACAAAAGGGGGTGCGGGGGGTTCGGCGATATATAAACAACGCGTACGTGCTTCGGTAAGGAATAACCATTCACCAGAGCACGTACGGTAGGTGCGTAGTTGCTAGATGCCGGGGTCAGATATCCGGGGTTGATATCGACGTTCCGACACTAATAGTTATTTTTCCTGTTATATATAATCCTTCCATATTCTATAGTGTATATGGTTATGTATTCTGTGCTTATATCAATCATAAACCCATATCCCTAGCTTACCACCCTCGTGCCTAGCCGTGGAAATGACTAGCCATGGTGTTTGCTGCTCTAACCAAACGCTTTCCCCCAATATTATTAGATTCTGCCTAGCATCGTGCATGTTGGTTCAGTAACATAATCAAACGTCTTTCCCAAATAGTGCTAGATTCTGCTAGTGTCATGTAAGTTGGTTTCGTGACAATAGATCGAGTAAAACCATTTTAGATTTAGTGGCTGCAGCAGAATAATCTCAATCAATTGTCTAAGATCCGAGGCAAGCCTAGTAATACGCTAACATTTATTAGCAAAAATAAATGGCGGTTCTATCACTGAAAATTTTAGATACGTGTTAGCGGGAAGCTGAGAGAGGTCTCCCTACAGACAGCTTGTGTACAATGATAGGAAGGGAAGGTATTACGATAGAAAAGACAAATTGCAGTGATCCCACCACACATTTGACATTTCGAGGAAAAATCAAGCATATCGCGTAAGGATTTGAAGTCCATGACAAATAGTAGACAGTCTAAGCTGGAATATTGGCACCGACTTCTTCGGGCTTTGATAGAAAAGCTGCTTCAACCATTCCGTGCATACACCCTCTATTCCCGCACCAACACCGGAATAGTGTCTAGGTTGCAACTAACCTCTACATTTCTTCCACCTTCAAACGTCTCACCGTTCTCAAATAAGGTCCAGGTCCCCGGAGGCAAATAAATCGTCCGGGTTTCTTGACCTGGGTTCAAGACTGGAGCCACAAGATATTTTGGCCCATACATATACTGATCTTCAAGTTCCCACGAAGTAGCATCCTGTGGGAAATCATAGAAACATGGGCGTATGATTGGTGTTCCTTCCTCATGCGCCGCTTTCATGAGCGAGCGCGTGTAGTCGCGGAGCTTTTCGCGAATGCGCATATACTTCACACAGATCTTATACACGGTATCGCCGTATGACCAGACCTCATTTGCCGCACCGGAACATAAAGTTGCACCACCAGTGTTGCCAACTTGAGGCTGCCGGGGCTCACGGTCACCATGGAGACGCATGACGGGGCAGAACGTGCCCCATTGAAACCAGCGGACAAAAAGCTCCCGGAACCTCTCATCATTAGGATCACCTCCATGAAAACCGCCGATGTCTGTTGTCCACCAGGGGATCCCTGCCAGCCCCATATTTAATCCTGCCACGAGTTGGTTTCGATATGAAATCCAGGACGACGCAATATCACCACTCCATACTAGTGCACCATAGCGTTGGGAACCAGCCCATGCACAGCGAAGTAAGTTGACCACGTTATTCTGCCCAGCGGCGGTCATACCATCATAAAACGTCTGCGCATAGCATAGCGGATATATATTGCCGATTGCAACATTAGGACCGAGATGATAGCGATAATTGTCAAAATCATACACGTTATACTCGGGCTCGGCCTCGTCCAACCAGAAGACACGGATTCCCTTATCATAATAATTTCTTTTGGACTTGTTCCAGACATAATCCCGCGCTCGCGGATTTGTTGCATCGTAATGAACAGTCTCTCCTTCCAAGTTCATGGTCGTACGAATGCCCCGATCTGTGCGAACTAACAGACCTTTGGCTACCATATCTTCATAGTTCTCGCTACGCTTGTCAACTGTCGGCCAGATGGACACCATCAGTTCAATCTTAAGATCCTTAAGCTCGCGTATCATTGCATCTTTCATAAACGTCAGGACCTGAGATATAAAAAGAACTCTCTCAAGAGCAGGGCACTCACCTGGGTCAGGCCAGTACGTGGGGTCAAACTTCCATTCCCCTTGCAATGGCCAGTGGAAGAAGTCTATGACAATTAGATCAATTGGTAAATCCCGACGGCGGTATTCCCTTGCAACTTCTAGGAGTTCTTCTTGCGTTTGATACCGCAGTTTGCATTGCCAAAATCCTAAACCGTGTTCAGGCATCATCGGCACTTTTCCGGTCACAGATGCATAAGCCTCAACGATAGCAGCAGGCCCGGAGTCTGATGCGACCACCCAGTAGTCTAGCGCTTTTGTATAATAGGCTTCGAAGCTCATGACATGCTTCCCAAAAGTCGCCCGGCCAACAGCCGGGTTGTTCCATAAAAACCCGTATCCGCGCGAGGAGATTGCAAAAGGCACACTGGATTGCGAGTTGCGATGTGCAAGCTCAAGATCCAGGCCTTTCAAATCCAGGTTTGGCTGTTGATACTGACCCATGCCGAAGATCTTCTCGTTGCGATCCAAAGACTCAAATCGCTGGGTGAGTTTGTAGTCTCCACCAAGGATGGGTGCAAATTCTCGAGCCTCAATGGCCAAAGAGCTGCATTTGGGGTCCAGGAGGTCATTGCGATTGCGAGCATATTCCTCTAGAAGCAACTTGTTTGTGATATTGTTGTATATTGTAAGCTTGCCGGCAGCACTGATCATTGCTCTGATCACACCATTGACGATCGTCGCTTGCTTTTCATCGATCGTAATCGTCGCTGCGGATTGCGGCTCGACTTCTATTTGCAAAGCCCAATTGTCTACCGGCATCTCTGCTTGCTTCGTCGCTCGAACACGCAGCGCGTCCGGACCCCATGGCTCAACCCATAATTGCTCCGCATCATAGGTGTAGACTAGTCGCTGGTCTTGCTTGCTGAACATGGTCGATGACACTAGCTACCTAGAAGATCAGAAAAATGAGTTAAACGCGAGAAGTATGATTTATGTGGCTAGGAGAAAAATTGCGCTCCTTTTTTATACCCCTTCATATGTGTGCCTAGCTATATGCCATGCCAGCACTTTTACTTTCGCTTGTTCAGATGGGCGGTCATGCAACAGACGGTGTGATTGCTATGACTAATTGTTCATCGTTTGTACTACTAATTCTTGCGCAATTAGGTTTCTTCTTAGTATTCAACACGCCTCCTAAGTTTCTAGCTAAGCAAGACTTGGTCAACGCCACGGACGCTAGGATAATAGGATATTAATCAAAGCACTTAAATCTCCGTACGGAAATCTCCGCCAGTGATGCAGCTGCAGCCGACGAACTACCGATACTGGAATTTCCCTCGGAGATTATTGACAATTGGGGAATACGCGTCAGTCCTGCCGGCGTCTTGCCGCGAACGCTCGATGGTTCAGCCGCTGCCTTTAGCCTGAATGAAGCTCTTGACGATCCTGCCAACATTGAAAATCGACTTTTTCAGCTCATCGGCTCACCCCGCATGCTATTCGAACGATCTCTCCACGAAAGCCACGAAAGTCCGGGGGGCGTCGATGGAGCTACGACGAATGCTATGCACCATTGTCCAACTCTAGATATAATCAAAGTTCGTAAGGAATATAGCAGCGGAAAGGATTGAGAGCTACATACCCGACTAGGTACCTGCGTAACCTAAAGTTCGCCGAAGAAACAGCGGAGATTTTATAGGCACAGTCGCGTCAGCGTGGGGTTGCTGTCACCATAACTTCTAGGCGTTGGCAATTCTTCATGTTCCCGGTTACCACCCAGTCGTTATAAAGTGGGCAGCTATCTGCTACCAAGTCACTTCCAAGGCTCTTTCTTGAGACGTCTAGACCGTTCAGGAATTGTCTTCAGAGTTTATTCTTGGCCGCTACTATGGTACGCTTTAAGCTAGTGGTGGCTTTGGCTTGCGCGACGTTCAGCATCGGCAGCCATGCCTTGGATTTCTATGTCGCTTCGTCGTCTAATCCATCAGGTGATGGGAGGTCGCCACACAGGCCCTTCTCCAATCTAGTTGATGCCCAAGCTGCAGTTCGGAAAGTCGCTGGTCAGATGAGTGAGAATATCACAGTACATATCGCTGACGGCTTGTATATCTTGGATGATCGTATGAATTTTACAAGCGCGGATTCTGGCCAGAACGGTCACACTGTGATCTGGCAGGCAACTGGAAAAAATGCTACCGTCTCTGGAGGTGTCCAAGTTACCGACTGGAAATTAGTGAATGGTAGCAGTAACCTCTACTCTGCCAATGTTCCCAAGGGTTTGCTTTCTCGAAATCTATTTGTCAACGGCTGGGCTGCAAATTATGCCCGCCGAAAGGTTTCCCGTGCAGATTTCCAATTTACTAACACCTCGATCACCTGGAATTCGTCCCAGTACGACTGGCTCATGACCACGCCTGGTATTGAAAATTCCGAGATACGCGCCATCAACTCATTCACCGACCGATACGCGCCCATCGAGAGAGTAGGAAATCGTTCGCTTATCATGAAGCAAAACTCATGGGCGAATAATATCATTGGCTATGATACTATCCCTCAACCAAATGCCGACTTTGGAGTGTATGTGCAAAACGCGCTATCTTTGTTGAGTCAAGGTGGTGAGCACTATCTAGACAGTGACGCCGGCATCGTATACTATGTTCCCCTGGCCAATGAGCCCATGGATACCGCGGAAACCTTTCTCGGCCGGCTGGAGGCCCTCTTTGTTGTTGGGGGAACTTATGATTCACCTGCTCATGACATATCATTTGTGGGCCTCAATTTTGTAAGCTGAAACCTACATTCCCAAGTCCAATGGCAGAAAACCAAGAAGAAGGAGAACTAATAGCTCACGGCTGTAGAAGCATACAACGTGGCTCAGGCCAGGCCAATACGGCTATGTCGACCAGCAGACGGGGGGGTATATCGGAGAGAATGTTACCTACCCTCAATTTGAGGCATCAAGACCAAGATGGTGGCAGATTCCCAGTGCCATTCAGGTCAGTGCTGCCGAGCGTATATCCTTTACCGGTGGTAGCTATACCGAGCTTGGCGCTGGTGGCATCGGAATTGGTAACGATGAGAATGCGCATCTGACGGGGGTTGGTCTCGGGGTCAAAGACGTTACTGTAGCAGATGGTTATTTCACACAGGTTATGGCAAACTCTATCACTGCTGGTGGTATCAAAGCCGATGCTCATCACCCCAGCGATCCTCGCATGATCAATGCTAACATCTATCTGACCGGCAATATATTTTACAATGTCTCGTCATTATTCAGCTCCACAGTCTCGATACTCGCAACCTACGTTCAGTATTCCGAAATAAGCCACAACGACGTCTCCAGCGTGCCGTACTCAGGCATCTGCCATGGTTATGGCTGGGGCGCTAACGACGCCGGTGGCAGTCAGACGTATATCACGCGAGGACTCTATAACTACCAACCTTTGTACAACACGCCAACTACGTCTATGAACAATGTAATCGAGGGTAACTTGATACACTTGTATGGTCTGTCTCACACAGATCTAGGCGCTATCTATACCTTGTCCAAGAGTCCCGATACACATATTTCCGAGAATTATGCCTATGATTCTAACTGGTACGGCTTGTATACCGATGAAGGATCTAATTCCCTTATAGCTACCCAGAACAATTACCTCTCGAATGGTTCGTGGTTTGCACCCAACGAGGGCTGTGCTACCTGTGGCGTCCACACTGCAAACAATACGCTTATCAGCAACTTCGGCCACAACCATGGAGACATGGTCAACTTCCCTAACGGTACCGGCGGTTTCAATGACACATTTATTAACAATCTGAATGTCCCGAGCCTGGATCTGACAAGTGAAGCTGCCCACAGAGCGGCCTATCGTGCTGGCGTCCCACCTGGCGGTCGTGGCTCTCGCCCGGTGTCCAATCCAAGTATTTCAGATTCGTATCTCGCCCTAAACTTCCTGAATGGTTCACAGCCGGGCGAGTTTATTGTCGTGGCAGATATCTCCAATTTTGACGATTTCGACTTCACCAACGTAGTCTTCCAGTCAAGCCTGAGCGACGATGTCAATTACAAACTTACTCCTCCCGGTCCCATTCTACTTAGTGTTCCTGCCAATGGTATTTCTTCCGCAAACTGGACTCTCTCAACCAAACATGATTCACTGTGTGTCACGCCGCCAATGGTACATATCAATGTGACATACCAGAATCCTCGCATTGGGGTATCTAACACTATTACTCACAGTGGAACAATATCTGGTATGCAACGAATACTATCTGATCTAACTGCGAGTTCCACTTGGCCTTTTGTCACGTCCGGACAAGTGTGCAGTTCTGGCAATAAGACGGTGCTCGGGATTCGGACGGGTGGCCGCGACGTCTTTGCACCCTATGACGATTGGGCTGCTATTTACAAACCCAGCTCTCTCGGAACGAACGGTAGCGTGACTGCACAGGTGCTTGCTTTAGACGCGGTGGATCCTTGGACAAAAGCCGGCGTAGTGGTCCGAAATAACCTAGCAGCAAGGCCCGGACGATATGATAGCGATAATACCACGGGCTATGCCGGAGTGTTCTTGACTAGTGACTATGGGGTTAGTTTTCAATGGGACGAGAATAACGATGGCCAACTTGAAAGTTTATCGACAATTGATAACCTCAAAGCTCCGATCTGGGTTCGACTCGCCGTCGCGGATAAGCAATTTACCGGCTCCTACTCCTCCGACGGGCAGAACTGGACGGAAATTCACTCAGTGACTCTGCCATCGAGATCGGACCCTTCTGACGCTGGAGTTTTGGTTTCATCGCATGGCGGATTCACAAATGCCACCGGTGTGTTTGATGAACTGAGCTTTGCTTGAATGTGTCTTGCAACCGTGCGAAAACACACTCTTAAGGCAGTGATTCTTGTGAATAGGGGTTGGTTGGTCCAAAGTTATTTATAAATGGCTTCTTTTGTCCATTTCTTTCATTTAAAAGTAATATCAACCTTGTTTCGTTCTTGTGCATATTATAAATCTCGATCAAATAGGAAGTTTCATATATCTTTGACAATTGTCGCGCTTGGCTAGGTACTCCGGGGGTTCAGCAGACCGAGCCAATACCTACAATCCATAGTAGCGTAGTAAAATCAGTCAATACGCAAGGTAGACTGGATGGATTTAGAGGTGTCCACTATATGGAAAATTATATTGATATTGCTATCAGCGGAAACTGGAGGTTGCTACCAAAAACAAACCCTGAATGATCCTGACGGTCGAGGAAGCCGACCGAGAATCCTATGGCAGTATATAGCAACAGCCTTGCCAAAATTCGGCCATTTTTTAAAAAGAAAAATTAGATTGGCTGGTTTCAAGTCGAAAGGTGCTTGCTGGAACCACTAAATTGCTAACTAAGCTTCCATCTCAAGCGCCAGCAGCCTACTAACTGGCACTGGCAAGGTTGTAGCTACAGATTGCTGTAGCATCCTCCAGCACCAAGCAGACCAACTTTCTAGTTTCAACCAAGTGCATCATGAACTGAATTAACATGAGACTATCGAAACCAGAAAAATCAAATTGAACTGTATGCACCAAATTAAGAGCCATACGAACTCAATTTGCGATTCCGGAACTTGGCTCAGATAACGATCTCCGATCTATCGGCCACAGTCCCTTGTTCTGTTTTACTTTCGGAGCCCTCAATGTGGTGAGCGACTGGTTCCGTCTTGAGCGCCTCGTTCATATGCACAGAGACAAACTGATCACCAAACACCTCACTAATCTCCTCAAGACTGACTCCGTGGGTTTCCGGAAGAAAGAAGTAGACAAGAACGGCCGATACCAAATTGCACGCAATGAAAAAAAAGTAGTATCTCCATCCCACGTTCTGCAAAGCAGTTGGTGAGGCCTGGGCGAGAACGACTTGGATAACAAACGACCAGAACGTCGAGATGGCACCGCCGACGGCGCGAATTTGCGTTGGGAAGATCTCAGTAGTGTAGACGGGCGCACCGGAGTTCCAGCTGAGCGAAAATATCACGCCAAAGAGGATGAGAAAGAAGATTCCAAAGCCGTTGGCAACCTTGTTATCGGAGCCGCTGTAAACGGCAACTATTGCTTGGACAATAACGATATCAATGGTCAAGGCAATTGAACCCCAGAAAAATAACGTGCGTCGTTTGACTCGGTCAATAACCCAGAGCAAGCAAACTATATTGGCCAATGGACCAGTCAAGCCCCAGACACCGGCAAGCGCGAGCACAGTAACGCCCTTGATGCCCAGCGTCCTATACATGACGGTTTGGTAGTAATTGATAGCGGAAATACCACAGATTTGCTGTCCGATCTGGATCAGACACCCGAGTATCAGGCGCTTGCGATAAGACGGTTTGCGCAATATTCCCACCAAGCTGGTTTCTTGATTCTCGGTTTCATACTCAATCTGATCACGCATCTGATTGAATTCCTTTTCCAGATACTCGGGGTCCGCATTAGCTGCTCTGAGACGAGACATAACCTTGCGTGCTTCGTCATAGCGTCCTTTCTCGATCAGCCAACGTGGCGAGCGTGGTAGGAAAACTGATCCGACAAGAAGCAGCACGGCCCAAAAAATCTGAAGGCCGACGGGGAATCGAAACTGAGGATCATGCATGGTCAATTTACAACTGGAGACAATCTTTTAGGGAACACAGCCCATGTGCATACCGTGAATTGACCCCTGCCGAAGTAAACTCCAAATCCGATCCAGTTGGAAAGAGCATACCCAAAGCCAATGAACTGAGCATGCAAGCCGACAAAGAAACCACGATGAGAGGCAGGAGCAATTTCAGACTGAAACTGTGGAATGGCAAAGTAGATGATACCAATAGCAAGGCCTGCAATCAAGCGTCCGATGACAAGCATGGGCGTATTTACTGAAGCAGTCTGGATAGCAGTACCAACAGCAGCGATGGCAGCACCGACCTGGATCGTGCCCCGGCGGCCCAATCGATTGCCAATAGGGCCAGAACAAAGACAACCAACGGCGCCACCAGCAGTATAGACCGAAATAATGCCGCCGAGCATGGCAGAGGATGGATGGAATTTCTCCTCAAAATACGTCTGCGCCTGGGCGGTGCCAAAGATACCACTGTCGTAACCCCAAAGGAGCGAACCGATGCCAACAAAGAAAGCTATCAGGCATGTCATGTCAGCTGTAGGCTCTACTCAGAAAGTCCATGACAGTTTAGCATTGAATGATGCAAGGTCCTCACTTACCACAGAAGTAACTGTAGCTAGAGGCTTCCGCCGAAATGAACTGAGGCCGACGCATGATTGAGAGACAGTATAGTTCAACTGTTCGATGCTTGAACGATGCAACAATCGAGGATTAAGGGAATATTAATCCGTGTTTCCTTTATATGTCTTCATGGCTGGTGATAGTTAGTGCTCATGTGGAAACTAGCACGCTACAACTGCGATAGATTTCCCCCAGTATGGATATTCTGAGCTCCCCATGGGGCATTGGTGCTCAGTTCCCCACTGGCTTTACACGCGTCCGTGTGAACTTATCCGATCAGTACCCTCCCAAAAATTATCCGCGGATATTTATTTCGGTACCGTAATTGGCAAGCTCGTCAACATATCACTTTCCCCTCACCAACAGACTCCAGTGCGAGATTTCAATGTTAGTTACAGCGAAAAGTCCTACCGGTATCCAATCGGAAAAACAGCTCACGCTGGCTGAGATTTAATCCCTATACTCCGGAGCATTTTGTAGGTTAGAAAGCATAGGCTGAACTCAGGTTAGGTCCGGTTAAATGTACTGAAGCTTCAGATGTTTTACGTTGTGGGAAAAGTAAATCCAAACTTACATCAATATACACTTTTTAGTCGTATTCGTTTCACTTCTTTAAGAGCTTGATAAAGAAAAAGTTAGATAAAAATAAAAACACTTGCTAAGTCTTTTCGCTGCATCGTCTACCGGGACAATGGGTCCGGCGAAGGATATCGTCTGGTTGACCGGGCGTTTGAGAATAGTGATTGACATCGACCGAGGTGGCAATGCGGTACTACGTTCGATTTCCCCAGTCGACGCTGCTGAAGAGAAGACAATGAATCCATCAATCCGTGACTCGGCTCTACCCCTGGTAGAAATGAAGCTTGGGGGCGAGAGTAACAGGTTCGAGACGGGCAAACGCCATGTTCGCACTTATTGCAGCCAACGGTTGCTATACAGGCAGCATAGCGAGTACTCAGAGAGGTCCCCTGATAATAGGCTCATCAATCGCCTTGATGTCGTATTGCACGATCCAGAATCCAAAATCTTGGTAACCGTACATTTTTCGGCTTATCCCGATGTAGCTGTTCTGCGATCTGCAGTGACTGTGCAGAATGAATCAGCATCGGAGGTCGTCCTGAGCATGGTTTCGTCCCTCGTCTTCAGCGGCTTTGCATTACCGCAGTGGTGGAAGAAATACAGCGTCTCCTACGCTCACAACACCTGGTTCAGAGAAGCACAGTGGCAGACAGTACCTTTGCCTGCTGTCGGTGTCGATGACATTGGTATCGTTGAGTTAGGCTACGAGTCCTCGCAGTATTGCTACGCCATTTCTAACCAAGGATCATTTTCTACGGGGGACCATCTCGCTATGGGTGCTCTTTCAAGCAACGATGGATCCCAAACATGGCTCTGGCAGATTGAAACAAACGGCCAGTGGCGGTGGGAAATCGGCGACTACCGAGATAGCTTGTACATATTTGCATCAGGACCGGCAGATCAAGACCACCAATGGAGTACTGTCATTGAAACAGGGCAATCTTTCACAAGTGTGCCTGTCGCGTTATGTGTAAACCTGCGGGGCATTGACGACGCATTCTCGGAAATGTGTCGTTACAGACGAAGAATCATTCGACAACATGAAGACAATAACAGAATGTCCGTGATATTCAATGACTATATGAACTGCTTAATGGGCGATCCGACGGAAGAGAAGGTACTCGCTCTGATACCCAAGGCTGCAGACTGCGGAGCTGAATATTTCTGCATCGACGCCGGGTGGTATTCTGAAGGAGAAGACTGGTGGGCCTCGGTTGGACAATGGGAACCCTCTCGAATACGGTTTCCCTCTGGCCTGCAATCCGTCACAGCGAAAATTCAGAAGGCAGGGATGTTGCCAGGTCTCTGGTTGGAGCCAGAGGTAATGGGAGTCAATAGCCCTGCACTCGGAGMCCTGCCACTAGAAGCCTTTTTTCAACACAACGGGGTTAGAGTCCTCGAGAAAGACCGCTATCATCTGGATTTCCACCATCCCGCTGTCATTTCAAGAATGACAAGAATCATCGACAATTTGATCCACACTTTCGGCATCCGATACTTCAAATTTGATTACAACATCAATGTACCCTACGGGACAGACACTTACGGTCGCAGCCCAGGCGATGGTCAGCTGGCTCATAACCGAGCCTACCTAGCCTGGATACGGGAATTGATCGATAGACACCCTCGTCTTGTTATTGAAAATTGCAGTAGTGGTGGCCAACGGCTGGACTACGCGATGCTCTCTGTCTGCGCACTACAGTCAACAAGTGATCAGCAAGACCCTGTCCGATACGCGGCAGTAGCGGCAAGTATTATGACAGCTGTGATCCCTGAGCAAGGTGCCACATGGTGTTATCCACAACCTCACTGGAATGACGAGCTAAATGCCTTTTCGGTTGTTAACAGCCTGTTAGGTCGAGTGCATTTGAGTGGTCGTATTGACCAACTCAACGACCACCAGTTGAAGATTATTTCGAAAGGAATTGACATCTATAAAGATATTCGTCAGAATTTGCGTTTCGGAACACCTTTCTGGCCGTTGGGATTACCGAAGTGGTCTGATGAATGGATTGCCGTGGGCATCAGATGTTCTGAAAGACTGAGTTATGTTTCTGTATGGCGAAGAGAAATCACGGCCCCTGACTCTATCGAGCTGTCTGTGCCAAAAGATATTAATACTTCTAAGACTACTCTGACTGTTTTGTATCCTGCATGGCTTCCAGTGGAAGCTCTTTGGAACGACGAAAGAGGGAGCATGACAGTCAAGCTTCCCTGTGCACCCTCTGCGCGGCTTGTCAGGGTCGACTTCACAATATGATATAGCTGTACCTATTCTTCTGTGTGTAAGTTGGTGAGCAAGCGGATTACAGTATAGTAAATGGCACAGTATTAGGTTGGAGCAGTCGAGCGCTATCATTCAATATAGGACGCGACCGTTGAAACTTCCTACCTTGCAGTGACTATTCTGATCATGTGTGGTAATTCTACATTCTACAGGGTGAAGCGAAAGCGGGGATAATCATACTACGGTTGAACCAGGTGATTTCCATAGTACGTTTTTTTGTGCAGGGATTAATTACCAATAGATTCTGCTGTAACGTATTCGGTAAGCGAGTTGGCCATGTAAGCGGGTTGGCCACCTTCAATACACATACAAAATGGCCTATGTTCGTACCATCATGGCTCAACATCCAATAGAAATCTCGATTCGTGATTCATATATTGGTATTAGGTCACTTAATATAATAAAAATATTCAATTAAGAATAGTATGATGTAGTAATCATACTATTTTATGTATAATACAACTGAAATCTAGTGTAATTATGCGAAACATGAATCACTCAAAGATATAGTTATTCTAAAAATACCCTAAGGGATGTCAGAGATCGTTAGATGCTTTGTATGGCAGGAGTGTTCATTTATTGTTAATCATGACAATTTAAGTATTTGTGTATTGCCATGGAACGGTTGATGATAACACCTCGGTATTACTCATATTTGCGGTGACACATATATGGATTGATCCCGCAATCAAGAAGTCACTCATGATATTCCTAAGTACTATCAATTTAATACCTTTCTGATCGACTTCCATTCCATTCCCACAGAAGCAAAAAATGCAGCAGCAGCTAATGCAACGCCACAGTAGAATGTCCTTGTGAGAGCAAAATTATATACCTTAAGAACGACATCCAGGTATTGCGGTCCAATCACATCCCGTAAACCAGTAACGCCCACATTCAGTATTATCTCTGGATTCAAACCTGGCCCAGCGTCCCTCAAATTCCTCAGCAACTGGCTAGTCAGTACATTCTGTGCGACTGATAACCAAACAGAGCCGCCGAGGATCTGCGCAAAGATGAGAACTACCGCGCCAGTAGGGACATCGGCGCTTGCAAGGACGGTTTGTGCGGCCGTGCTGAATACCTAACCCAGCGCCCGCACCGATGATAAATTGATAACCGATCCATTGGGAAGGAAGGGATTCGACTTTCCAAGTAGTAGTGAAGGAAGCGCCCATCAGTATGAGAGCAGCACCAAGGATCATAAAAGGGGTATAGTAACCTGTCTTTGAGACACCGAACCCAGAAATAAAGGAAAAGTGTGCTGTACCTAGGATGGTAGGTAAAATACGCTCACCTGAATCAAAGGCTGACACGCCTTGAATAGCTTGAAACCAGATAGGTAGCTATATCATACGTTCATCTTTCAGCCGACTATCATGAAGAAGATAGGAGAGAGGCACTAACGTAGTACTCGAAGACATTGACAGCTCCTCCAGCATGAAAGAGGTAGCACACACTATATGCCACACTACACTGCTTAATGATTCGAGGAGGGACTGTGGCTTCGTCCTGCTTCCATATTTGGACAATAATAAATCCTGCTATCATCAATGTTGTGACTACCAGGAAGATGATGATGCGAAAATCACTCCACTGATACTCGGATCCACCCCATTGCAGTGCAATAAGAAGACAGATGACACCTGGGATCAAACTTGCAGTCCCAAGAAGATCCATCTGACTTACTTTTTCACGCCAAGTGCTTAAGGACGCTTTCACATTACGCTGAGGATGGAAGAACAATGCTATGGCTACTGATGCAGTCCCACCGAGTGGGAGATTGATGTAAAAGCACCAACGCCATGTTACCTTCGTTGTGAAAGCTCCTCCAAGAAGAGGTGCTGTGACAGAGGCAATGGCGTACATGCTGCTATATGAGCTGACAAATATTGGCCGCCTCTCTAGTGGCAAAGAGGCTGCTAATATACTGGGACTTAAATAAGTATGAGTAATATAATCGGGTAGTATGAACTTACATTATAAATCCAGCATTAATTCCTGCACTGCCTAAAGCACGGCCAACGATAAATACTGTCGACGTTGGAGCCGTTGCGCAAACTAAAGAACCGGACTCAAAAATTGGCAATTGACGCAAGAAAAACACTCTTTATTGAATAGAAAGAAAACAATTCTCCGTAAATAAGTTGGAAAGAGGCGAAGGTCATGAAGCTATAATCGATAATTAGATTTTAGAGGAGCGAAGGTCCAGTTGGCAAGAAACAGCTCACTATGCAGACCCGTACCAGCCAACATCATCAATTGAATGGAACTTATCAGTGATATGGGGAATGGCAGTGGTAATAATGGTCTCGTCCAAGGCACATAGAAAGACTGGCACATAAAAAGACTGAGATGGCTAGAGAAGCAATAATGACAGCCAAGTTGAGCCCTCTAAGATAGTTCTGAGCGAGATCTGACTCAATAACAGGGGTGGCTGTCTCAAGCAAGTCCTCATTTTTCTCTTGCTGGTTGTTTTATTCTTTTTCAGAAGACAACTTTTCTCTAACCATCGTTAAAATTTTCAAGCGCAGAATGGTCTCGATAGGTAGATGGAGGACAGGTTAAATTGAATCTGTAGAACGGTCAAGATTAATAGCGTACACGTGGCCTGACTGATGTAAGAGGCAGCTACAAAATTATTTTTCCGGGGATGGTTAGATGTAACTCCGGTCTTCATGGTCTCTAAGGTAGTAAAGGGACCAAAAAGCCTTTTAACAAGGGATACGAATGCACTACCCAACCGCGCAATACCACGTAGGGGTCGGCTATGGACTTTAATCATAACAATGTAACCCAAGCTGCTGGAGGGCGTTGATTAAATGCAGGTGAATTTGTTAGGATATTGAAGGACAGTCTAAATGTAAAGTGTATGTATTGAACGTGTCAGGAAGAGGCTGCATGATGAACAGCGTTGTCTGGTGGGATGTCGATAAGACTACCCTAAATTTTATTGGTGAAAGGGTTATGATACCAGAGTATGCAGACCATCTTATAAGCAGCTTATTTGCGACTAGGTTATATACTGATATTGTTAAATGCGTACAAGTGTCTTTTATGCTACTTTGTATGGTACTTTACTAAGTGACCGCCTACTTTAATTAATAAAGGCTCTATATTATAAAGAATATCACTAGCTGGTTATTGGCTTTAAAAAGTACGTAGTACGGCACTATATCTTGAATCATGATCCCTGTATGACAGTAAAGTAAAAAACGTAGTGTGGAAATCATTGGGGTCAACCGGAGCATAGTTAAGCTTTGTGGGAAGTTGAATTTAAGAGCTACTAAAAAGCTTAGCATGCTCCGGAGGGTCTTACCCTATAATAAAATCGTTTAGATAATATAATTAGATCAATAATTCCACAAAGAAACGAGAATATCTTTTTTCAACAAAGAAAAGTCGTCCGACTCGTCCCGTCGCAGCCCCCACCGCGGAAGCTTCCAGCCACGTCCGCAGTGGGGCTGCAACGGAAACACTACTACGTGGAAAAGGACCCAGTGGTGACCACGACGAATTCAACCCGGCATAGACTAGGAACATTTTCACCGCCATTAACTATTAATTCTTAATTATCAATTATTATCACAGGTCCAAGTGAAAAGACTTCTCAAGATAGATGAATTTGAATGGTGTATTCACAATTTTAACTGCCACACAATGGAAACAAATTCTAGCCCCTCGAACACCAGTATCGCACCCATTTGCGAGAACTTGGATGAAAGGAACACCGAAATGTTTTTGAAAGATATTGAAAAGAAAGGGGATGCGGATACAAGAGCAATCCATCCACCAATTGGGTCTCCTCAAAATCTTATAGCGGCGGAAAATTATTCTGTTTTTACAGTAAAGCAGAAACGGATAATGATTGCAACTGTCTCGTTTGCCAGTTGGATAAGGTAAATTCACAACAAACGTGGCGAGAAAAACAGACTGATGTGAACTACACAAAGTCCACTGACGGGGGCCATTTATTATCCCGCCGTCAACCAGATAGCAGCGGACCTGCATGTTTCAGTGTCCAAGGTTGCACTGACAGTCACCACGTATCTGGTGAGCGGACTCGAGCACAACCAAGATTTGCACTTCTCTTAACTGGATCCAAACAGCTCTTTCAAGGCCTCGGACCGATGATGGTCGCTGGTTTCTCCGATAAAGCTGGCCGCAAGCCGGCGTATATGGTATGCTTTTCGATATATATGGCTGCTAATCTGGCTCTAGCGCTGCAGGATAATTACGTCGCCCTATTGCTCCTCCGCATGGTACAGGCAGCAGGTAGTAGCGGCACGATAGTGCTTTCAAATGGACTCGTGGGTGATATCATTCCATCGTCTGAGCGTGGCAAGTACATTGCTTTCGCATCAATTGGCTTGATTCTTGGACCCAGCCTATCGCCCGTCCTTGGCGGCCTCCTTAGTCAATATTTGGGATGGCATTGGTAAGTAGTACAATAACTGCACCAGCCATCACTTAGAAGAAGAAAGAGTGTATAGACGGAAGATATGACTAATACCAAACAGGATCTTCTGGTTCCTCCTGATATTCTCTGGAGCCTACTTCATTCCATTATTACTCTTCCTACCAGAAACGTGTCGCAACATCGTCGGCGATGGCTCTGTCCCACCACCAAAATCGAGTTGGAACCTCAGTGACCACATCCGCTTCCACAACCGTGCGAAGGAGGGTATCCCTATCGATGAAGCAAAAATGAAGGAGCTGCGAAATAATCACAAAATCACGTTTCCTAATCCTATCTCGACTCTACGCATCTTAGGCGAACCAGAAATGATATTCTTACTCTTTGGTAATAGTGTGGCCATGTCTTGTTTTTATGCTGTCTCAACTGGCACAGCCCAGGCGTTTAATCGCAACTATGGCTTCGATGAATTACAGATTTCTCTCATGTTTGTATGTTTGCACGTCAATAATTATACTGATCTAATAATAGCATGAACTGATGCGACTATAGCTCCCTATCGGCGCTGGCGGTCTCGCCTCTGCCTTCACAGCCGGTTACCTCGTCGATTGGAACTACCGCCGACATGCAAAACGTCTAGGCTATCCAGTGCACAAGAACCGCCAAACTGATCTCTCCAAATTTCCAATTGAAGTGGCGCGTATGCAGATTGCCGTGCCGCACTTCTTCCTCGGGGCGATTGCTATGGTCGGATACGGATGGGTTCTGGAATCTAAGGTCACCTTCGGCGGTCTGATTATCTTCTTATTTCTAATAGGATACACCACCGACGTGGTAGGTCAAACGCTAATGGTATTGTGTGTGGACATCAATCCTGGAAGGCCAGCGAATGTGTCGGCCGCGAATAATGTGATGAAGTGCTTGGTGGGCGCTGGGGTGAGCGCGGCGATCGTACCTATGAGTGACGCGATTGGATATGGGTGAGTATTTTTTACACATCTTTGAAGAAACAAGAACAACTTTTCATGCGGATGGGTCACTCATACAGGGCTCCTAGATGGGCGTACACAGTCCTTGGGGCGCTGTTCTTAATTGGTAGCTTGGGGCCGATTGTGAGCATGCGATACGGAATTGCCTGGCGCCAAGCTCAGAAAGAGAAAGCTGATTGCAAGAAGCAAGAAAAGCAGGCTAGAATGGAGGCTAGAGCGGTACATTAAAGTGGGACGACACCTGCCCTCTCCATCAGCTCTGATATCGCAAACATCGACCTTGCTTGATCAGATCTGAGTCTGTCACCGCCACGAGGTGTTCACTACGTTTGTCAAAGAGGTTAAAAGCATGCATATGAAATATATTAACAATAGCTTATTTGAAGTTTGAAGTCTAGACATGGGATACATCAGAATTAGCATATCTTTATATAGATATTGAAGGGTTATGCGCTGGAATATTGTAATTAATTTATATTCAGTCAGAGTATACATTATTTATTCGAGTAAACGGCTTTTTCCACACGGAATCCTTGGGTATGGGCAAGATTTTGGTGAGGTAGCGGAAATTGTCCGTTGTTACGAAAATGTCTCCGGATCTGTTCTTGGGATCACGGAACACCATCTACGATTTGCATCATTTCGCTTGGATTTACATCAATCCTGGTAGCCTACGCGTTCGAGATCCGATTCTTTGGTAAATTCATATCCCCTGAGTTCCCATCTAAAGGAGTCCGACGCTTTCCCTTTGTCATTTTTATTAAGAAAAACCAATCACTGAATCGCTAGGTTCTCTGCAGTTCTCATATTCGAAGTGGAATTAAAGAAAGATGGCATCCAACCCTGACGAAAGTCCATAGTATCTAATGACTATGACACTTAATCAATCGCTACATGCGAACATAATATGACATAGCCAAAATATTCTGTTTTGAAATATTGGATTTGCTCTCGAATCTGATAATCCTGAGGAGTCTCAAGGTGTTGAGAAGTGGAAGAACGGCTGACCATCTTAGTTTAGATCTGCGTAAATTGCTACTGTGTTAGGAATGATAACTATGAATATGAGGGAAAGAATAGAAGTCTGGCTATGGTTAGGTACTAATATGAGTGAGTATATACGTTGTTTCGAATATTCTCATTTTTAAACTATAGCATTTCTTTTCCTTTATTTGATCTAAGCCATGGTGACTTATTAGGATACGTTGGTGGTTAGACTTTGCATGACTTTCCCACATGATTGGGAGATATCATCAGCTCCTTATGTCTGAAATGTTTGTATTAAGTTTATTAGTATGATCATCACCCTGTATTATTCTGGCGGAGATTAACATATTTTATTTGAATGAATCTTAATGTTATCTAACGATCCGTCCCGATGCTTGTCCTTCGTTTGTATTCAGAGCTACAAAATTCGCATGAGCTGTAAAATTATGGATGATGACCACCTGTTCTTTTTGATAAGATATGAAATAAATAATCGATCAAGTAGTCGGAATGTATGGTAAGCTTTTGCTTTATTCTGGCCTATTGACAGATGATAAGCCTTGTCCCCAGCTTTAATTATGGCTTACGGCAAGTGCTTCTAGGCTGTATACCAGTTAGTATTTCTTCTATTAGAAAACATTACATTCTGTGCCGAGGAAGACAGGTAGAGGACTTAGAATAATTAGTATTGAAGTCTTACTCTGCCTTCAACATGATTGCTGTCAGGAACTATTGCCAAGTAATTATATCATGGTGTGGGGTTTGGAATGATTGAAAGCTGGGTGGTATGGGTCGACATGGAACGTTGTCGTAACCAAATTTAAACATAGTCTCTGAATGCCTTGCAGTGACTATTCTGATCATGTGTGGTGATTCTACACTCTACAGGGTGAAGCGAAAGTGGGGATAATCATCACCCTTGTTACTAAGGATACTATCCTTAAGCTATAGTATTCATTATATTTATTCTTTACACACCTCTTATTCTTCAAGGTAAGACTAATAGCTAACATTATATATATAATACTATTAAATAGTACATCACCAATCATCTGAAAAGATTACACTTCCCGAGGAATTCATGCTCTTCGAGCCTGGATCTCCTCTGTTTAGCTTACAATGGGTACTTATGCAACTGTACGTCCAGCTGTCTGCCCTAGGGATTCAAAAGCCGGGGATCCTGTTAACAAAGTCCTTGGCAGCGTCAAGAATAAACTCTGCAGTTTCCTTCGGTTTGCTCAACATGGGACTATGGCTGCTTGCTACTTCTCTCACGGTCACATCCGCGCCTGCATCCTGTGCTGCCTTGATGAAAAATCGTTGTGCTTGCGCTGCGTATGCGCGGTCGTCCAGTGTCACCAAAAACCAGTTGGGCACTTCCTTCCAACCTGCATAGGCAGATTCGCCTCCCTCTGTCATTGCCTTGACAGACTGGATTGTCAGTCGAGCGACCCAGAGCTTCCCTTCATTTTCAGATAGATCCTGATACATCAACTCCTGGGGATCTACTGCTAACGAAATAAGCCCCTTGTCTGTATCAACTTTCCACTCGGGTGGAATTTCTCCGCCAAGCCCATCCACGAAACTGACTCCGGTGGCTGGGAAGCCGCTGGCTATCAAAGCGAGTCCGATAACGTGACCGGACGATGAGGATACGGACGCGGGCTTTCGAGAAAGCCCTTTGACGGCACTGTTACCGACTTGGCCGCCGTAGGAATGAACAACAATAACCACATCACGACCTTTTTGAGTTTCTTCGCGAACAGTATTCTGTACGACGCTCACATCGTCTGCGAAGGCCGCGCTGGGGGTGATCGTCGACGGAAGGGTGACAGCTATACACGTGTAGCCCTGTCCGGATAGCTCTGACATCACTTTCTGCCAGACCTCGGCCCGGTGCCAGGCTCCTGGCACGAAGATGAAAGAAGGGTTCTCAGTCATGGCTAATGGAGCTAAGCCTATAACTTAATATTATATGGATTGTTGTCTGTAATTCGACAGTGACGAGTGTATATGAGTATACATATAATTAGTTTTTGATACAACCTTCACTTGAAAATCGCTAGTATCAGAAGACCAAAAGTCAAGGAGACTTTCAATCTTTAACTGTGGGGGATAGTTACTATATAACAAAGGGGTCTACTCTTTGAGAAGTCCCCTTTTCCCCTCTCTAGTTTTGGTTCTAGAAAGGAGATGCTACTGGAACACTACTATATATTGTGGCCAATCTTCGAACGAATATCGGGAGTAGCTTCGAGAACTCAGACTATCTCCATCCAATCGAATTTCCCATTAATCCTAATCGGTCCCGAATTAATCTCTTCTCGACGCGCGTAATTTGCTGACTAAGGAAACTTTGCGTATATTCCACCGAAAACGGTTAAGCACCTGTGCTAAGTGGTAAACCTGGCTACTTGTAAAAATGAACTTGATCCGCACTCAAATCAGCTCACACTGCATTGGAAATGGTACAAGAGAGAAATGTGATGCAGAAACCCGTTGAGAGGACTCGCCGGCATCACCGGAGAAGTAGGCTGGGGTGCTTCAACTGCAAATTGCGTCACCGCCGATGCGACGAGAGTCGCCCGTCATGGTGAGTTTGCAGGCATGGTACGCAAGGCACATTGCCAATAACCCGGTTGCACGGTTCGTCACACAATCTAATCAAAGATTTCTCATAGTGCGAATTGTCTCGTTGCAAGACAACAGTGTAGATACTCATCTCCATCCTTGTCTGTCCAGGATCAGCAAGATGAGAGAACACTAGGCGTTTTGATGTGGCAGCTTCCGCAAGCCGCGGTCACCATGGATCCTTTCAACTCTTTTCCCATATCGATGGAGCTGAAGTCGTTTGAGCTTCTCCATTACTGTAAGGAAGGACAGGATTCATCGCGCGTCCCGCTTCTGTGACTGGATCTACGAATTTGCTGACTTCAAGGGGTTATAGTTAGCGACGAGTGCGTCAGGGACGTGCTATGCATAGATCCTTCTCCCGACAATTTCTCACCCGCTGTTACTCGACAGCGTGGTGCTCGTATAATGCGTGAATGGTAAGGCTGAATTACGCCCTTTGATGATGTTAGATACAAATTTTCATGAGTGGCCTGTGACTTTAATGGTGATCCTTGTGCTAAGCCACATACGTAGTATTGGACGGAGCGCACAAGACGCCGTAGCCTTTCGAAGCTTACTGATTATAGCTGCCATGCATTATACATGGGGTAATGGAAGTTTTGCGGGTTTTACCAGCACGTTTCTATTTCATCGAGGAGAATCAATCCGCTTGGTCAACAGGTGGCTCGAGGATCATTTCTTCATGTCGAGTTTATCATGCATGAAACTCGTCGCAACGCTGTGTATAGCTGAAGTAGGTCTCTGATCTCGTACTACGGCCCCTTCTGATTTACTGCAGGTCTGACACTCTCTTGCTAGAGCTGTATTGGCGAGGTCGTGTCCGCGGAATATCACATTCAGGCACTCCTAAGCATTCTGGACTTGAGAGAGTCGGGCGAGTTGGCGGGCGAGAAGAGCGTTAAGGGCGAAGACGAAGTGGCCGAACGTCTTCTCGTGGCGTATGTCATGTCCTTGTCCCATAATTGCGCATATTATAACCACTATGAATGCCTTATTGACATCATTGTGTATTTTAGAGCACATCAGTTGACTGCTGCAGTGAAGAGTCGCCTGAACGATCACAGTGACCGGCGTTCCGAGCTTACTCAGCCTTGGCATGTTTCTTTCTCGTCCATACCCAACAGCCAAGCCGGAGTGCGCCTCATACCATTCCACAACATCAGCGCGACATCCCGTCACGTAACTGATGTGGACGCTTTTCCATTTATCGTCGCACTGCGCGGATTGACGAGAGCAGTGACTCAACAGCATGTTGTCAAAAAATCTCCACATCATCTCGTGCAGCCGTCCCATGGAGCCTTTCCAAGGAATATATGTGATGGCGATGATCCGCAAAATTGCCTCGGCTGCACAAGCATGACGGCTCTCATGTATGCCATAGCACGGGCCAATGCGGCGTCGTTTTTCCCAGCGACGGACCGGAGCAATATGAGTATGCCAACATCTTATCTTGGACTTTCGATAGCCGGCAGCTTCTATCTTCACAGTGTTCTGTGCCTTTGGAACGGTGGCCATCCCATGGAACCGAGGCTTCTGCGGCGTTTAGCCGAAATTCTTGAAAGAGACCTACGAAGATCCGAGAATGATGCTATGAAAGACGTAAGCTCTTACAACATATGGTTATGGAAAGCATTCACCGGTGCCTGTACATTACGGATATTGACTTTGTGTCTGGTTCGTAGGAAAGACTTACAGCAGAAATCCATAGAGACCCGTTATGGAGAGATTAGGTCCCTTAGAAGTATATTCGACCTATATGTCCGAAGATGGAGCGACTTCACCAGCGTTAAGGATTGGAACGGTGTCCGAGCTAGTCTTGCCCAAGTTGTTTGGCCAAGATTAGATATCTTGGAGCCGAATTCGGAGAGTACGTGGATCGAACTGACCATGGGTGCAGAATGGACTATACCATGCCAGTGAAAGTGATTGATCTTACTACTGACGTGGCGTTGGTTACGATTTCCTGGATAAGACCTCTCGGGATGCAGGGCTAGCTACAAAATTCTGCGGACGAGAGTGGCATGGCATAATCGAGCCACAAGCTTTGAACAAGCCCAGGCCTGCAATTCGAGTAAGGCATGCGCGCTGTGCTCGAATCAAATAGAAATAGCGGTATTTTAGTAATTCAAGGTGTTTTCAAATCGAATACGAACAATATATCTCATATACATATTTATCACAGAATTTGTTGTGTAAATTTAATGCATAGTATAGTAGTTACTAGTAAGTATTTCTTCTATTATACACCATTACTTTCTTTGCTAAAGAAGACAGGCAGAGGACTTAGAACAATTAGATGTTATGTTGCATATAAAATGATCAGTATATCTGTGTTACTGCATCTTGGTAACTTCCAGGAGCAATAGATATTGTCGAAATGAAGGTTCCAACTGAATAGTAGAGAGTGAGACAAATACCACCGCAGGGGCTATAAGAATGGCAATTTCATCCATTGTAGTCCCTTTGATTTACAGGAATACCAGTATTGAAGTCTTACTCTGCCTTCAACATGACTGCTGTCAGAAACTATTGCCAAGTAACTTTATTATGGTGTGGGGTTTGGAATAATTTAAAGCTGGGTGGGTGGGATGTGCCGATGTGGAACGTCGTCGTAACTAAATTTGAACAAAGTCTCTGAATGCTAGTTTAAAGGTATTAACCACATTAGGCTCTTTTCGCCGAGAACTTACAAGATTATTTTTAAAGTTCTTTTACTCTTGGGACCCGTTTTCAGGACTCAGGTTACCCGCCAGATTTGCTTAGCAACTTCAAATTTGCCTTGAGACATTCAGTGTATTCCCCAGTTTTGGACCCCGCAGAAAATCCCTGGAGGCTTGATCGTACCTCCGTAACTAAGTTAGTGGGTTTCAAAAAGCCTCTGACTAAACAGGGTCTGTGCATTCTTGCTGGTCTGGAACCTCTAATTGGTTTTCTTTTTTTCCATGCGAGCTTTTGGGGGGAGCCTTTCAGTTGAACTGAGTGTACTAAAGAGAACGGGGTCTATGCAGGGGTTGCTAGCCATCGTGTTCAGCATAGACGTGGCGTTAATTAGGTTTTTGTATTGCTATTGACTGACTTAACTGACTGACATCGAGATCTTAGGTATGGACTGGTATTTTGAAATTTCGATATTTCGATTTCGAAATTTGCCTTTCAAAACGAGAGTGAGAAATTAGAATGAGAACGATTGCATTACTATATATATGATTATTCTATAAGTAGTTATCATTGAATCTCTCAAAGAAAAGCCTAGGACATGTTGAGACGTTTGCAATGACAAAAAGCACCATCTCAAGGTTTGCAAAGAGTGGCATAATACTTGCTTAGCTCAAGTCAAAGCGCACTGCTTCGAACGGCCGTAGACGTCAATACACGCCTCAGAGGTTCAGTAATTATAGTTCCCATCTCTCGCCAACCTGATTCTGTTGTAAAATGAGGAGAAGAAACCAATCAGATGTCAACAACGTGTTAGAGGTGAAACGATCAGTGCGGCCATGTGCCCTATTATACAATTATCGATCGGGTCAGGGCGTTTTACGAGACGTGGACATATATAACTAATATCTGAGGAGGCTTTTTGATTGCCACGGATACAAATATCACCTTTTTCCCAGTAGAAACAACTGGTTCAAAGAGCAATTGCGTCTAACAACTTTCATACTATCATAACATTCAATTCGAATCATAACCTAAGCATGGCATCAACCCTGGAAGACTTCAAGATCGCTGGAGTCGCCGCGGGCTTTACCCTTGGTTATGGGTTTTGGACAGTTTGGAAAGCCTTCAAACAGACGACTGTTATAAGAGCTCCGCATCGAAGCACATACGTCTATCTTGTATGGGGAGAGATCATAGCAAATATCATTATCGGGATTATAGGATGGCTGTTTCTTGAGGGAGTGATTCCATTGGGGTGTGTATATCAGTGATTGAAATTTGAAATCATATGTAACCAGAGGTACTGACAAGACTTTTTCATTGGTAATACAGTGTGCCCGTTCTCTTCTCCCTTTTGTTTTGCTGGGTCTTCGAGATTCAGCTCCTGATGCAGATTATTATCAACCGCGTTTACGTCGTCGCMGAGAACAAACGGACCGTCATCAAAGTGAGATGGATCACGGCGGGAATCATCACTGCTATTAATATAGCTGTCTTTTGTATTTGGATCCCTGCGCACCTAAACCCACCGGCAAATGAATTGTATGGATTACCCGCTGCTTTCTCTGCTATTCTAACATCAGCACAGATACCCAGTAATCAATAGGTACTGGGATCGAACATCAAAAGTTCTTATCTGTATTGTCGACGCTGCCCTGAACTACTGGTTCCTTCGAATTGTTCAACATCGCCTTGTTCGCTATCATGGGTTGAAGAAATATGCTCCTCTTGTGAACTTCAATGCCTGGCTTATGGCGTTATCAGTGGGCATGGATGTAAGGCTTCTCCGTTTCCACCATTCACTGTGTGCCTCATACTAAGTGTAAATAGGTGATGTTGATAGGGCTTATGTCACTCAAAAATCAGCTCGTATACATTCAATTTCATCCCGTTACTTACATGGTCAAGCTCAACATTGAAATGAGCATGGCTGCAATGATTACCAAGCTCGCTCGAGAACCTGGAACTGGCGATACAAGGGTTGTTCTAAGTTCGAGCCAGGACCAATACAGGCATGATCGGAGAACAGATCTCCAACTAAGTGACATCGGCCTTGATCGAAGTGCCTTCCCGGAAGACGCCCGTCAAAATCACTCTCACGTATACGGACCTGGGCATGAACATAAAGCGGCAGTTGGGCTAGCTGGGATAAACAAGGAGACGACGATTCACGTCATGACTCAGAATGCTTTTCCGAACAGGGAGTATAGTAAGTAATGTCTTCCAGTGCATGTAATGCATACGAGGGTGCACTGTTTTGGGATAGAATGTCCTCGAGAGCCTTCTAATAATCTTCATTAATGAAAAAATTTCTTTGCATATTAAGCAGCCAGATTGGGGGCTCTGTTTCATAAAATGGCTGGAGGACTGCTACGCTGGATTAGACACCTCATCCACGCATCCTCCGACACTCCAAACGGTCATCTTCTTCGTAGGCGCCGAAAATGCAGTTCTTACATGATCGCTCTATAATCACCATTGATGTTTGCCTGGGGCATGGATTCATTATGCCGCTTAACTCCCAGGGGCTCCTTTCTCACCCTTCAAGTAATCGTTAGCTCCTATCATATCTCCTAAACACTAACCAGAACCCCAAAGCCCAAATTCCCATGACCGACGCCAATCCAGTATACATGTACATGACCTTTGGATCATCCGACAGCGGAGAAACAGCTATTCCCAACGCAGATCCAACGCCTGAAGCCACTTGCCCAAGAGCTTGCACCAAAGTGCGCATGTTCTTTGGTGCTTCCGAATAGCTGTACTCTGATAAAGTTGTGAAGCCTAGAACCTCTGCGAATGCTAGCAGGAAGTATATGGGTGTTTGTACCCATACACTTATATCGTTGGGTGTAGTTGTGCTGCCATTTGCATCCGCTCCATGAGTATTGCAAGCCAGTGGATGCTCGTAACACGGCCCTCGGGAATATATCAGCTTCTGTATGCCAGCTGCAAAGGCCATTGATGCGCTCATCGTGATGAACGCCCAAGTCATGCGAGCGATAGGTCCGAACGGGATACCGACTCTGCGGAGTGACGGGTAGAGAAACCTTTGGATTATTGGTCCGAGCAAGACACAGACAATAGGATTGAGAGCTTTGATGGTGTCATTTGGTACCCCATCTAGCCGCATTTGTCCGGCTTGAGTGATGAGATTGTTGACACTTTGATTATTGCATAGGTGGTATAGTATAAAGCATGCCCTGAAATAAAATCAATCATGTTAGCGAGGTAAGTATGATTGGATTCTCTATTAGGAATACGAACATCACTTTACACGCATTAAGGCCTCTTCTGATCTCTGATACGAACATATCGTCCCATTCAATTTGCCTTCCGTACTTTTCTGCTTGGTATGCGGGTTTTGCTGCGTCTAAGTAGAATCCATCTTGGATCGAGTACATGATGACCTTGAATGCGTGTGGTAGAACGTTGTCTTGTGGCGGAAGCTTCACTTTTTAAGTAATCAGCATCTCGATGAATAAAGGAGACACTTTTATCACTACCTAAAGGCTTGTACCAAACGAACAATAAAGGAACCACGATCCAGACTGAGCACAGCGGCAGGAGATAAGCTGCCCAGAACCCAACTTCTTTCTCTAAATAGGTCGAGGCAATCAGAGACAAGGTTGCGATGCTGGTAAACCTGGAACGAAAGTCAGCTCGAAGCACTTTGTAGATTTAGGTCAGCTTTCGATGACTCTCACCAATAAAAAATGTTGTATATGTATTGGAGGGTCAACATTCGGTCTGTGACGACACGTTCACCGGATTTTGTGGTTACTAGCTGTGGAGTCATAGTAGAATATTGATCCCCTTTTGAGATAAAGGTAAGTAAAATCTCTTATATGGAATATTACTGCTGATGAGAAGAAACAGACCTATGAAGGGACTTATAGTCGCCTTGATACCACCTGTCCCAAGTCCCAGAAGAAGCATGGAAATTGCCAACCCAGCAACCTTGACAGAGTGCACTTCTACAGCTGGCAGAGAGGTAACGAATAGGACTAAACACCCGCAGAAATTGAGACTAATTATGATTATGTTAGTCTAGTCCTAACGAATATCAGGAGGTAAGGAGCGAGAAACCTACAAAAAGCTAATGCATATTGTCTTGTAACGTCCTAGCCAGGCGTCTGAGACAATAGCGAACGGCAAAGAAGTCAAGAATGTAAAAGCATAAAAGGCACTCGAGAGTGTTGAAGCAGTGGCTTGACCGAGACCTAAAGCACCAGGAATTGTGATGCTATCCCGAGGGTACTGCGTGTAATTTTCTACATGTAAGAAATTCAATACATACGTCTTCATCCTTTCTCTCTCTCTCTTTTGCAGTGGCTAAACTCACGCCAAGGAGTTGTGACAGCATAGAATGTAAAACGTTCTGCTCCACTAGCTATCAGAGCAACCCAAACTATGAGTGGCAAGGAGTCAACGACATGCCGTAGGTTTTCAATTTCGTCTTCAGTTGCATCTCGCCTTTCGCGTTCTTTCTTTGGCATCTCGAGGCGATGTCGAAAACGTAAATATTTGTATCAATAACCGGAAAATTGAAAGGCCTGATGTGTTGCTATCTGTACGAGGCTACAAGAATGAGAAAAGAATATTAGAAAGAAAGTTTGCAGATAAATTTGCAAATCTACAGTCACTGAATTGTATGGCTTGGTACTAGCATCCGGAAATGAAAGATGATAAATTCACCATGTGGCTTTGTATTCTGCATGCTGGAGAGCATCAGCGCTTATTCGAGGAAATTTTCTAGTTATATCTGCGGTAAGGTGGATTGACACAATGGAGATAGAACAGAGAAGAAAGAGCTCGACCAGTCCACTGAAATAACGATCTTAAACGGGTAGTTGACGCAAGCTTGCGGGCATGAGATTGGTGACTAGAGCATGCCTGCGCATGCATGTTTTTATAGTAGGTTCCTGAAGCAGGTTCTTGAGTAAATACATGGCCCTAGCTACACCTTTGTTTTACTTTCTTTTTCTTGCTCCTTTTTCGTCCCCTACCGAATGGAGTCACTTGATCTCCTGCCTCTTTGGGAAGTACCCGTCATGAGCAATTTTTGGCAAAAGCACAACATTCGGATACATTCTCAGCGGGGCCGATATCGACATAGTAGTCCATTATTCAAAGCATCAGACTACTTTTAGTTAGCTGCTACGTGCGTAGATATGCATAATGGACTAACTAACCATGCATTTGGCCGTGTCATCGAGTAAATTTTATACCGCTGGTCAACCCATGGCTTCATCGGTGTCTCTGATCCATGGCACATTGATGAGCGGATAATTGAACACAAGATACAGACAACTTCAAAAACTGCTTTATGATTCTCGCTCTCTCGTGTCTTTATTAGGACCCATTTTCTAAGCCACATTCCAAGGCTAGCTCTAGATTAGTTAGATCAATTACTTCTTTTTCAAGTTGATACTTAGAACACAATACTGGAGTCTAAAACAACCAATGATAGTATCAAATTGTCAGCTTGGTATAAGGACTATATACAGTGCTGGTATATTATATTACAAGACTAGCCAGTTTTGAAATAGTTCAGGCACTAGCCTTGGCTGTGGGCAACAGAGAGGGAGAGAGAGAGAGACAAATAAGGTGAAGGAGGTTTTGAATCTGTCTGTAACTCGGTATACGGACGAAGTACATCAAGAAGCGATATTGATTGATATTCGAGATGGATCAACAATCTAGACCGGAACGCCTCGTTCATCAACTATGTGTCACCATAAATAACCTTCTGCTCCTGTCAGGCCGCGTATATCTTGCGTCATATAGACCCAACCTCTGTACTCTAGCATAGCACTAGAAGAAATTCGTACAACAACAAAAACACCACATAGCTAGTTAATATATCAACCGACGTGCTCATTAGCAGACTAACTAGCCCACAGAGGGGGTTAAATTGACAGGTAATATGACTCCAATCCGAGCTATACCCTTCCAAGCCTACCTAGGTAAAATATGTCATGCCAACGACGTGATCCTTAAACTCGATTTGTGATATATAATGACAGTCTCTATTCGAGGTTCTCTATAATGAGTAAATTTGAATTCAAGGACTTCCAACAACGATATCGATATTCGCATACATACTTCTCATTCCATACTCAACTAATCCTTGCTGATAAGTGACTGGGGAAATAGCCAACGCACTAATTATCCTTAATCTCTTCCACCCTCTTAAAACTATGTACACACCTGGATAGCGGCCCTTTAGACAGCAGCTAGCTACAGCGGGTATATCAAATTTAAGTACAGTAAATGATTAATTGCGTAGAGACGCGCTGATGGGCATGAAAGTACGATTCATCAAGCCATAAAGGAACTATTTCGATTCCTTTTTTTTATGAATCCCATTGTCAAGGGGTCTGAAAAGAATTTGGCGGGGGCTAGGATATCGTTCATATTGGCAAAAAATATAAGTCACATAAAATAATGCGCAAACATAAAGAGTTCCGCAGTGAATTGTGCCATTTTAGTCGCTGATGATACGATTGTAAGGCCGTCGCAGGATGATCCTTCTTATCAGAGCCATCATACATTACTGTGGGGGCCACAAGGCGGGGAATCAGAGATCGCGAATGTAACTATAGAAGAAAAAAAAGTGTACAAAGGACTTGATTTCGTGATTCTTCCTTTAGATGATTAACCTTAATGAGCCCTAGTCAACGTGTCTCATCGTCTCATCGACTATGGCAGCGCCCTCGAAACCTTTGGACTCCCTAGTTTTGTATGATATTCATACGCGCATTGCATGTGCTCCAAATCCCTGGAAGTCGCGATTGGCGCTCAATTCCAAAGGCATTGCCTATTCCACAACATGGATTCCTCTTCCCGATATTCCCAATGTCCGTCGCGCTCTTGATGTGCCCCCATGCCACCACAATGTTGATGGCACCGGTTACTATACGCTCCCTATTTTGATTGACCCCAACACCAACACCAAGATCGGAGACTCCTTCGATATTGCTGTCTATTTGCAAAAGACGTATCCAGCCTCAGGTGTGGGAGATTTATTTCCTCCTCAAAAGCTCGACTTCGTCTTCGATCGGTGGTCTGCTATTCTAGGGTCATTTTCCAAGAGTAAGGATATTGAATATGGCAACTACTCCGACTTCAACGCTCAAGTTGAGGCAGCATTCACGGCTTATTTCGCCTTGACAATGGAGAACTTGCCTCTTCACCCAGACACCGCCGAAGTGACAAAGGCGGAATACGTTAGTCGCGCTGGGTTAACGTCGTGGGACGATTTCACAATGAAACGAGAACAACGAGAGAAGATGAATAAGTCTCTCCATGGCATGCTGGGTGAGCTGGGAAAGCTATTTTCAAGGGACATGAGTGGGCCTTTCCTACTTGGCAAGCAGGTCAGCTATGCGGATTTCATCGTTGGTGGCTGGTTACGCTTGTTGTCTGTATCTCTTCCCGATAAGGAATGGGAGGAGGTCAGAGCTTGCCATGGAGGTATTTACGGCCGGCTGCACGATGGTCTGGAGAAATATGCGGAAGTGAAGTAGGAACCCAACTCAAATTCTGCCTCCATTCAGAAGGATCGGTTAATTTGCGAATAATGGTTGGAGGGGACAAACAAAAGCAAATAGTAAGCGATGATTATACAATAGAGACCGGGTTCAAATTTGGCTTTGGTCACATTACCGTCAAAGAATCTATAGCTAGCTCTCAACAATGACCTAGCATTCGTCTCCCATGTATGCTTTGATATACCGCTCTGCTCTTTTGCATTTGGATTAATTGGTAAATACACCAATCATGCCACGAGTATCTCATAAACATTTGCATTTTCATATCCAATCGCCCTGGCTAAGCCGGCGCCTGTGAAATCCTGGGTATTTGTGAAAATATTGATGTCGAATATCTTGTAGGTATGCCAAATCCATATATCCCTCTTCGGAAAAAGATGAGGCATTGATAGAAAGAGGATCTACATTCGTTGACATAGCAAACACCAGGAAAAGCCCTTCAAAGAATAGTGATAGAGCTATCTGTCGACACTGAATTTTCCCAGCTGCTTACAAAGCGAGCACAGATGTACCTAGGTAGATATGTAATCCACATGAGCGCGACTCGTATTCTATTTACTCCATTTTATATTGGAATGAGCGAAGGACAGGACAGATGCTCCTTGCATGAGAGAGGTTGATCCCCCCTTTGTTTTGTTTGATGGAGCGAAGATCAAACAGGGTGTACTTTTGATCAAACCATCATCCGATGTTTCGCTGAAGAGAAGCTCAAATATTACTTAGTACTGTACGGGAGCCTGTTCACAACAGCTGCCTGATAATCAAGGGCTTTGATGGCGAAAAGAGTGATCCTAGATACCAGCATCATCACAGAACACCAAGACCTAGGTCGTCCATAACATCCAGCCACAAGCTCATACCTCGGCCCGACCTATCCGTTGAGACATCAGGATCTGAAAATTCACCAATTGCGGTGGATGCCCTGCCGTAGTTATCGGAGGGAAATAACCTGGAGCCAACGCCGGTCTTAAATAGCCCGGCTGTGGACTCAAATTCGTTTACTGCATAAGCGTATATAGTGGTCTCTCCTAGGGTATCCTTCATCAGTTCATGGATTTGTTCTCGAATTGTCTGAAGCGAATTCAACTGCTCCTCATTCATAGGCACATCCAAAACCGAGGCGGTCATGACAGCATCAAGAACAGGATCATAGTGTCGACTCAAAGATTCAATACCCTGATCATTGCGAGCAGTGGGTTGCACAAATGGCGTGGATTGTTGCGTAGCTACATAATCAGCAAATTGTCGGAAAATGGCTGCGGCCCGCTGCGCAGCTGCCCAGTCTCGAGAGAAGGACTCCATAATCCTTACACATAGAGCCATATCATTCGCGATTTCGTACATGCGTGATTGAACTCCTGTTGTAGACCTAGGCGATGCTGCTGACAAGAGAGACGCTTGGTTTTCATGTGTACTACGAACATGTACGCTGCCCATTGATTTGAAATGATTGAGCCTCCATACGTAGCAGTAGAAGAAAACGGCGCCCATCATCAGAAATCGACATAACGTGATCCAGTTCAACGGAAGGTGATTCTGCTGCTGCAGGATAAGACTGGAATGCACATACTTTCGTGCAGCCGTTTGCAATTCTTCGATCTCTTCCACTGAACGGTCCGCGTTGAGCCTTGAAGGGCTGTACAACAACACATAGAGATTTTGATAGCGAACGTTGTGCCATGTGATAGTGTTATGAAAAGGTAGATGGTCATTGTCATTCATGGCAGAACTTGACATCAGACAGCCTTGGGTATACCAATCATCTATTTCCCTGCGAGTGTTTTCATAATAGGACGTTGACAGGGATGGGCTGATCGCAGCAAGGCGCTGCGAGGATGAAAGATGAATGTTCTGCATGATTTTCCCTTCAAGACGTCGCAAAGCCACAACGTGGCGGTTAACCTGTAGCGTCATGGAATAATAATAGCGATCGGGTGACGCATATTCGTCGACAGTGATGCTTGGCAGCGGAACAGCGATGTCTTCATCGTTGATACTGGGTGGAAGACCATACGAGACACTGATCATGCGGTCTAGAACATAAACAGACCAAAAAAGTCGGCGACGACGCTCCAGCTCAACTTGTGAAAGCTCATAGGAAGAGCCACTGTCTCGCATAAGCCCCAAGGATATGACCTTGCGAGACAGAATTCCTACAATGGACCCCGGTGGTATGCTATGGGCTTCAAACAGAGAATACAGTGCGAGTAAGGTCAGAATCTCTACCGATATAAGATCGTTCTTGCACAAACACTCATGGATGATTTCTTTATCGGGTATGTCGAAAATGGGGACGGATGAACTACCGAGTTCGTTCACTCGCTGTAGTGTCGTCCGGCCAATGGCCATCACGACGGCTAGGCGGGTAGGGATACGTGTCATCTCCATGAAGACAGTGTCATCGGACGCCGTTGCGAAGCAAGAGTCGAGAGACTGTATCACCTGGTCACGATCTAGAAATGGGTAGGCGCGATGAACGTGTCGGAAGTAGGCATCTGCAAGACGCGAGGCTGTGGCTTTGTCAAGAAGAGTCGGGGCTGTAGATGTGTCTGGATTGCTCTTCTCCGCTCTTCTGCAGCCAGCCAAAGGTATTTGTTCCCGGACAGGCCCATACCAAGGATGGCCTCCGTCAATCGATGCCTGCTCTGGGGTGATAGACGGATGAGTGACGGCAGTTGTCGTGAGATCATGACCAGTCTCAATCAATTCAACGGGCACCGCGTCGGGTAGTCGAGCCTCATTAACAAAGCGGGATAGCCATGAAATACGTTGCTGAAGCGCCTTCTCGCGCTCCTGAGACTTTTGGACAGACTTGGGAAATGAGCAGGGCACCCAAGCCGCAACGCATAGACTACATGCGCCGTCAGCCTCCGTACGCCTGCATTTCTTCTTGAGTCGTCGGCATCGCTCACACGCCGACTGGGTAGGGTTCCGTGAGGGCGTCGCGGAATCGTCTGGTGTCGTCGGATTGAAAGCTGGTACAGCGGCTTTGGATTGCGATAGCGGTGATTGCTGTGCGCGGCGGCCTTTTCGTGGAGGAGGCTTGGATACGCGGAATTGCTGGAATGCGCTCTTCATCGCATCTCCATGGCGAGCCTTCTTGGCTGCGGGTGAGAGAAGGAGCCTGCCAGCCGGGGGTTGTCATTTGAGGAAGGCGCCCACTGCCACTGCCACTGTCGTCGCGGTTGGCAGTGTTTGCACTGTTTGGCAGTCTGCTATGTAATGTTGAATCGCGCCATCGCGCGACTTAAAATGGCGTCGCCGCCTTACCGCTTTCGGTAGGCTCTGTCGGAGCCCTCCCTTATTTCACCAGAGCACATCATTAGACCTGAAGATTACAAGGTCGCTAACGGACACTCAAGAGCTGACACCATTCTCCTGAAGGAGAGAGCTCGCACCGAATTTTCTGCGCGATGAGATATTCATCTGTACACATTTTGGCCTTACCACTGTCATGCTATTGTAAAATACTGCATGTATAATCAAGGCACACTATTCATGAGTGAAAGGATGCAAGCTTGTATAGTCAAAAGGGGAATATATGTACAAGCCTTTGAGAGAATAGCTTTCAGACAGGCTTAATTTCCCTTGCTGGACTGGATTGCGAGATGACATCAACGGTGTTTGAATTTGTGTATATCGTCACTCGTAGCGTTAGCATAATGTGAGATTCTAGCTAAAAGGGTTCGCGTTGGAAGGCCGGCTTGCCCTAGGCTGCTTTTTATGCACGTAACATAAAGAGGATCTTTGAACATTATTACGTATGTCCAAGTGCGGGAAGCATAGCTTTCATTTCTTGCTTAGATACCATGCCTGAAGTAAAATCACCCAATAACAAGTGCAAACTGTCCCTTCCCCTTGCTGACACGAAAATCCCAGTTGAAGTCCTTGTACTCATCGCGAACATTCATATTGACTAGAAAGGGCTCACCAGGTGGCGTTGAAGTTGCAACCACCGAGCTCAGATTCAATCTAGGCTCGATCCACGATGAAGGGACTTTCACTGGAGATAGGTCAAAACGCAAAATCATTGCGGCCGCAAAGGATATAATCTCCGCACTTGCAAAATGTCGGCCTGGGCAGATACTTGGCGATACGCCAAAACCCAGAAATCCGCCTAGCTTCCGGGGGTTTGATTTCAAAAAGCGATCAGCAATGAAGTCGCTTGAGCTCTGGCTCCAAACATCCGCATGGGAGTACACTGGTCGAACCGGTATGTATGCTATAGATCCAGCCCTGAGCAGGTACTTATCGTCAAACATCATGTCCTCGTATACGAATCTGGTGGAAGCTCCCGACGCTCTGAAACGCAAAGATTCTTGAAACGTCGAAACGAGCAATGGGCACTTGTCGCGAAGGTCTGCAACGTCGATGGTTGCAGCGTTCCCATTCATGTACAGTGCATTGTTTCTGATTTCCTCTCGGAGTTGTTCCAGTAGCTTTGGGCGAGAATAAAGATCAAACATCAACCAAAACGTTGTAGGGACGGTATTGGACAGCAAGCCAAGCCCTAGACCGGCCTCAATGCGCGCGAATTCTTCCAATGAGATGCCATTTGTAATATGCACATCGTATCTCGCGTGGGCGAGCATTGATGCATTCTTTAGCCCGTGCGCTTTGTAGTAATCTACGAAAGCGCCAACCAGCGCCTCGCGACCTTTCCATGCTTTGCGGGCTACTATATGCGGTGCAACCTTTGGAATCAACTTGCCAACGCCGCCTTCAAAGTCCCTATTGCCATAGGTCAGTAACTTAATTGTCCCCGGGCTCCACCATGATACAAACGTGGCGCATACTTACCAGAAACAGTCCCGAATGAATTTGTCCTTGTACGGATTGAGCGGACCCCATACCGAATCCGTGCTTGCAACGGTCATGGCTTCTTTGCACCACTCATAGAGATCAAAGGATGTCTGACCACGATGCGAAAGCTCGTCAATCCATGACTTTAATCCCTTGACCATAGTTTCGTTCATACCATCCAGACCTTCTCCTAGAAGGGCCGGATGCATAGCTTCGACCATTAGCTGGTTAACGCCCAGACCACCACGGCGCTTCTCTAGAAGGGCGTGACAAGTGGCTGGTGAGCATCCAGCGATGCGATCTGCAGCCACATCTAGGAAAGGGTCGAATGCGATGTTCCGAGAGTTGCGCTGGACGGCTGACATTAGCGATGGAGATGTAATCACATAGCTCTTGGCTCCTGGTATGTTGATTGTGAATATGGGCAGATCCGGATTTTGGAAGCTGATCATCGTCATTTAATATGTCAATCATGCGAGGTATAAACAAGAACACGGGAGTCGTCAAGTAAATAGTACCCACCTGAGCTTGGTGTAATATGAAAAGCCATTACGCACTAGATTTATGATATGTCCTACAACGGGGATGGCGGGCTTGATTTCCGGTGGCTCGCGAGGATCGACTCTGTTACGCGACAGGATCCAGAAGAAAATGACAGTCAGTGCACTGGGCAGAAGTACTTGAGGTAGCAACAGGTTGCTGAACCAGCTCTGTAATGTATTGGCTAACATGATTGGCAAGACTTCACGACAGACAGCCAAATGTGACAACAGCTGAGTAGCTCAAAATGGAGTGTCAAATGCACGGCGCTTGAATATTGTGCGGAACAAGAGTAGGTATTCAATCGATGCCGCTCGAGAAGCTCGAGAGAGGAATCAGGAGGGAGCGAAGAAGCCATCAAAACATTGAGTTTGTTGAATTCCGCGACGCTGATTGGGCAGAATCTTGTGCCGCTTGTGGACCCCCAAGGGTAATTAGTCATTAGTTCACACCGACCACTGAAGCTGCGGATGCGCCTCAGGGACTATCCGCTAGCTTTCGTAAAGTTAGCTGCCCAAGATTTAGTCAGACAGTGACACTGAGACTTGATAGTTTCCTCTCCATGGTTTTCCTAGGAAGGACGATTGGAGTCTTCTTTCGGAAAGACCTTTCTCCGGCTACGACGCGCCTAACCACAAAGGGCTAGATGACGCATGACTCAGAGGTAAATCTCTCATTGGCTAGTCATATCTAGATGACTGTGTTAAGTGGGGACGTCACAGCTTGGCAGTCTTGCCTTCCCAATTAGGCAAAGTCTGTTCGCTGGGTTAAGACTCCGAAGTAAAGAACAATCAAAGTATTTATATTGGAGCTATGCTACTACTAGATCTGAGTTTTCGTAACGTCTATATCAACTTGCTCTCGTCGTTTCTTACTCAAAATAAACTGGCGACAAAACGCGATTTAGAAGAGGCCCAGTCGCTGGCGTCTGATGGCTCGACGAGCGAAACGAGCCTGTCCCAACCCTCCAAGGCGCAGTGGTCCCATCCCCCCAACTCCTGGGGACGTGGTGGTCGTCGTGGTGGTTATGCTCCCATAACCTCCGTCGTATACAGTGCCTGGACCACTCTGGTTGTTGTGGCTGTGTTGAAATCAGTCCAGGGGTTTCATTTTGGTAGACGTCAAACAACAATAACTTACAGCATATTAGTTGCCATATTCATTCCAGTGGCACCTACAATAGCACCCCCCGTAGTTCCCATCGGTCCTGCCCCCATTTGGTTGGCCACATAGCCCCCAGCGAGGCCTCCGATGACCGTTGACCCAAATCCTCTCTCGTCATTTGGCTCCCCAGTTGTGGCGTTGTTCTGGGAATATTGTGACTGGGTGTCATTGTAATAAGATGCATTCTCGCCAACCGCTTGATACTGATATTGTGGGTGGTGAGGCATAGGTGCACCATTCTGAAAACGTTGCTCAGACTCGGGCACAGCAGGGTACCGCCCTCTGGAAACCTCGTCGTATGGAGGAGGATTTCTTCGCTGAGTATGGCAAGGATGATCGTATGGAGACTCTTTACGGTTGTTGTATAGCTCTTTTGTGTCAGACATGATGGATCAATCCGGTGAAGTGTCCGATTCAACTGAGAAAGTATAAGGATTTTTTGAAGTGCTAAAGTGACAGTTATGATGCATTGAGACTTTTCCGTTTGGGATGGGAGTAATGACCTAGCTTTATATATGTTGACAATCAAGCTAAGTCGTCTGTAGTCAGCCATGTCATGGATCCTAAGGCTGTGCGAGTACTGGTCGACATTGCTTTTGCTGTCAGGATATAACTGCCACTCATCATCAACGCAATGGGTAATTCCTTTCATTTTCGATACAGAGGCCAATAAAGAACCCACATTAGCTGCGTCCGCAAATGATACATGTGGTCTGACATCAGACTCTCCATTGGCATCCACCTTTCTGGCCAATCAGCTGACAGCCCGGTTTGGGTGTTGGTGTGGGCGAGGATCAACAGTGTGTAGAGATCTGCAAGCAGAGCACATGGATCATTGCTTTAAAAGGCCTTGAATACGGCCAAGACTTTGTCATGCGTCTGATTGAAGCTTATCTCTTTTTTTTGCGCCACGACGCAACCACCATGCTTCCACAATTAGAAACCGGAAGATCCTAACATCTGATAATTGGCATTCCGTTCAATCCCAGCGAGTGTCTTCCAGCAAACTGCCAATTGCGCCCGTAAAATCTGCACGGKCCTAACTTGACGACACCTCACTACGTTTTTATTGTCTTTTTGCAGACCTCATTTGCCTATACTTAGATGTATGGCATCTGTCGTGCCAGAGCCTGTGTAGGGTGGTTACAATCTGCCTCTTCGATAGACAACAAAGAATTATGTGAGCTATCTAGTATAAAGTTTAATTGCATTACTGCCGTATATATATACAAGGTTTGCTTGGAAACAGGACCCATCCAATGAGGCACACCGTAGTAAACCATCACAAAACACAGCACCAGAGTGAAGGTCAGTACAACCCGGGATTATGGAACGCTGACCAACAGGTAAGCCTTGCCACCTGCCCACTTTGACCCTAACTAACCCAGTAACCAATTAACTATGCTAGTATATTAGCAAACTTCATGTTGCCTAGAAGCATATACTGGACACCTTGGCCCTACATCAAACCTATTCATGTTGTACTGAGATCACTTGGGCAGCTTTCAGTAACAGGCTTCAATATATCTACAAAGATAGGCACGTAGACAAACATGGTAGTAATCGATAAGCCACATGAGGTGAAATCAGCCCTATTCGAAGATTATCCTTTGAGCTCCATGTCTGTAGCCGGATTCTGTACTTCTTTCCTAACGCCGGCACAATAACCGAATCGTATGCACTGCCCCCTTGACGGCCAACCCCAAGAGACCAAGTCAGCTCAATCCCGCTTTACGCTGCTACTCGCTTTTAGTGTCCGAATAGTGCCATAAGATTTTGAAATTATTTCATCTTAAACGTTCCGATTTCACATCACCAAGGTACAGACTACGACTTTGTGCCAGCACAAATGGAGAGTCCGATTCGAGAAACGGATGCCCTTTCTCCAACCGCATTAACGGAAGAAAACAACGAATATCTTGAAAAGACAAGCATTATACCAGAACAGCATCGGTCTGTCGAGTATTTAAAAGAAGTCAGCCCAACCCGGACCGCCACACCAAGAGAGTGTATTGATCACCTCAGATTCCTCACAACTCCGGACAACTTACGGCGCTATATAAGGACCAAAGATGGCTTGTTTGAAATTCATCACCCGGGTCGGCATTTTACAGCCGATACGGCTCTGCATGATGGTGTAGAGGAAAAGAGATTGACATTGATTTACAATGAAATCATCGGCTTTGGTTGATAATCTGAGTATTGGGCGAAGTAAAAGTGAACTTCCTCGTCTGAGTAAGTCGATTATCATATCGAATATATGTACTTACGTATGCTGTATATCTAGGTAGATGACTGATTTTTCTCTATAGACGTCCTCATGGTCTGGCATTCATTCATGCTCAATCCTTGTGCATGTCTAGAAGATTTCTTTAGACAGGCGAAGATTAATTGTGGTCGACGTCATTTCTGTGGGATTTGATTTCATACTGTATATTAGTGGATAATCAGAATCGGTATTACCATGATACAGGGAAGGCGGCTCACCTATTATGGCAAAGCCGTACTGGTAGAAACTGGGATAACCTTGATGATTTGCTCCAACATGTCCTGTTGTGCCCTTTATGTCATAGCAAAACATATGTCCAATGGACGACAGCCTACATTAGCATGTTAGTTCGAGACACAGCTACTGGCTTTGAAAAGACCAAAGGGTATGCAGACAAATTAGTTTTGTTGAAACTTCGTGGAATGAAGAGCCGGCGATCCATGATCGGGTATTTCATTCTGCTCAATAGACGAATGTAGTCTCTTGAGAGCACTTCGTTACTTCGTATAGTGCCGATGTCAGGACTCTATCTATGATCTTGTCCCTCTCTCCGTACTTGTGAACACATACAGGTGCTGGCTCGCTCTGGCTGGAGCCAAATTGATGATAGCGCAGCTCCCCATGTGTCTAAGTGAATCACTCCGATGCTTCATACAGGTACAGTGGCATTATCCAGGAAATCTAACAATCAGCACGGACGAAATGGGTGCCCCAGGCCAAGTTCAAAAATCCCCCTGAATTGCGTATCCCAAGATTAACATTGCCATAGAATTCCCGCAAATTTTCATGTTCTCAATTCGCTAAATGATTTGAAGAGCACCTGGAAAAATTGCACCTTTTTTCAATCGGAAATATTCAATAGTAAAGTACCCAAAGGGCCTGTCAACAGAGCTATGACTGAATTGCAATTATACCAATGCCTATGGCCGCTCGAGCGACCTAGCCGCTCTCGACCCAAGGAGAAGCCGATGGCTGTTCTATGCTTAGGCATGCCACGTACGGGCACAGAATCAATCAAGGCTGCACTGGAGGAACTGGGTTATGGACATACCACGGCTTTGAGCCCGCCCGAAACCCAGGGATTTGGTGTGGTCTGGTGCGACCTAATAAAATCCGGTCGCGATCTGCCACTTTTAGCGGAGGATTTTGACCGAGTACTAGGCCATGTTCAAGCTGTCTCAGACACACCGAGTATCTGTTTCGCCGATGAATTGGTTTAAGCCTATTCCGACGCGAAGATCATCATCAAACACAGACCGGATATCAATGCATGGCAGGACAGCATTGCATCAGTAGTGCAGAGAAACGAATTGTTTATTGGTATTTTCAAGAGGATATTGGTTCTTTTTTCACTGCAATTGTTTTGGTTGGATCAACACGTAAATCGCATGGACTTTGATGGTTTGTGGAACGGAAGCATTGTCAAAAATTCGTTAGCGATATACGAGGACCACTATGCACATTTGGCCAAGGTTGCGCCAACAGAAAGAACGCTGATATGGTCGGTGCATGATGGCTGGGAACCGCTATGTGAGTTCCTTGAGAAGCCCAGTCCAAACAGATCTTTTCCGCATAGAAATACGCGAGACGAGCAACAGAAAGTTCTAAGGGAGACATTGATACCGTACGCGACAAAGGCCATACTGAGATTAGTTCTAATGAGTGCCGCGTTGGTAGCTTCTGGGTCCTGGCTATGGATGAGGTCAAACCGATAAGCTTCTGTTTCGGATTGAAATGCGAAACTGCGATGACGCGAATAATTTGCCTCGGTCCACAGACTTCAAGATGAGTATTCGTTAGAATTATGCATATGCTTGCGTTTTCTAGATCCAAGATTCGTTCCGATGTACATTAGCTAGAATTCTGGAAAATGGAAACAGCGCTTTGACAGAATTGTCTACGGTTGTTTTTAAAATGCTCCGGCCAAGTGTAAATCGATCGAAACCAAGGATATGCTGTATGCAAGCGCGGAATGCCAGTCCTGTTACGTTTTCATCTTTCTTGTACTACCTCATGTCCATTGTTGAAAATGCCAATGTTGATATTATGTAATGTGGACCGACAATTTTAGGCTCTTTTATTATTAATCAGAGTGTGATTGTCATATCATCCATCATTGGGCATCGCATCCTTATCGGAAAAACCGCGTGAAACCAACAACATCATCGGTATTATACACGATTTATTCAACCAAGTAAATTCCAGAGAGCTCACCTGCCTATATCTATCCAATCAAGAATTTGTCATGTCTGATCACCCACGTCTTCCGACGTATAGAAGTCCCACTGGTACGCTCTACGCGATTGCCGACATTCACGTAGCCTTCGCTGTCAACAAAGCCGCCTGGGCTGAATTGGCCCCGCATCCCCGAGATGGCCTCATATTATGCGGAGATGTCGGGGAGACCGTCGAGCATCTCCAACTAGCATTTTCGACAGCTGCTAAATGCTTTGCCGCAGTATGGTGGTGTCCTGGAAACCATGAGCTATACACGTTCACGACCGGATCAAGCGCCGGTGTACGGGGGGAGAACAAGTATCAGCAATGTGTCGAGATAGCGCGATCGTATGGTGTTCTCACACCAGAAGATGATTTTGTCCTATGGGAGGGACAGGGAGGCCCGGCGGTGATTGCGCCAATTTTCACCCTGTACGACTACTCTTTCAGACCGGACGATGTGACTTTAGAAGGTGTGTTAATATTCCTATGGATTCCTTCGGTCGCGCAATAAAGCAGGTCGCTTTCAGGCAGTATTCAACAGCCTCTTTAACTCAAAATTTTATTTTGGTGCTAATATGGGCACCATGTTCTTTTGACAGCCTGTAGACTGACATCTATGTAGGCGCAGTGCCATGGGCTAGGGAAATGAACATTGAGGCAACGGATGAGTTTCTACTTCACCCAGACCCATATCTTAGTCGCCAAGATTGGTGCAAGAGCCTTGTTCAGAGATTTGAAGCCAAGCTAGGAGCTGCAAAAGCGCGGTATCCAGAAACCCCGATGATCATTGCCAATCATTGGCCTCTCCGGGAAGATCTCGTAACCTTGAAGTTCATACCAAGGTTCTCCATTTGGTGTGGTACAAAATTGACAGCCGACTGGCATCAAAAATTCAATGCGAAGGTGGTAATTAGTGGCCATCTTCATATTCGAAGAACAGATTGGAAAAATGGCTGTCGGTTTGAGGAGGTCAGTCTCGGTTACCCACAACACTGGAAAGATTGTGCTGAAATGGGTATGGGGGTTAATGAACTCCTCAGAGAGATTTTGCCCGGACCAGAGCCACCCCAAAAAACTGAAGGAGTGCCAACCCAATGGAGAAGATACGGTTGAAGCATGACTCCGAAGACTCTCGAAGCTCCCAAAAGGCACCAACCTTTTATGAATGGGAGCACTATACCTATTGATGAATGCGTACAAGTCAGAAACCACTGACTTTAGAATTCATAATATATTTATCCTGAGAGGTATGCATTTAGATTTCTTGGCCTGTTGTGATAACCAGTTAAAAATGTATTTCTTCGGCGATACTGGACAGGAGATCAGAGATAGATATCCAAGACTACACTGAGCAATTACAGGCATTATAGAGAAGTAAAAGTGGTATTAAAATAATGCGCATACTTTGAGTTTCGAAATTTACTCTTTTCTTGCTGTAATCTAGAAGCTATTAGACATTGAAACGTAAACCTATACCAAGAGTAGAACAAGTAGACATAGCGATTCTAGCACGGGTTTTCACGAGGTATCATCTCTTAAGCAGGTGCAGATTTTATTGCTCTCCAAGGGAGCCAACTGGTGGAAAATGTTGAAGAATAGAATGTGACCATTAATTGATCACAGTACGATTTACTCCGCAACGCTAGGTTTGTTAGTTTGAATGACCTGAATGCTTAAAAACAGGTGGCCGCTTAAAACTTGGAAGGCAGAATCCCATGGCCGTTTCAATTAGATGACGACTAGGGCAATATAGGCTATATGTTTTACTCTTTCCTGTGTAATATGCTAGATCAAGCTGGATAAATTGTGAAAAGCATTCTAATCCTTGGTTTCCCATCGTTTATCATAACAACAAGACTCTTGCCCGTTTATTCCATGGACTTAAACGCTCCAGACCCATGAAATTGGACTGAAAGGTGTGCATATGTTCTACAAACTGCGGAATATCGTTTTTACGCGTATCTCAGGTTTTTAATTGAAAACAAGCTACGCAGAGTCGATAAGACAAAATCTTTTTCTCGGCGAAGAGCCGTACATAATTTGTTTCATCCTTCTGATACAACCCGAGTGGTGGAAAATCGAACGGAGATGAAGGACCGCCATGTTCGCAGACTAGCGTCTTACTTTTGGCCTGCGCAAGGACTACCGGCACTTGTGGACTAGTTCGAAGCCTAATTCTTTGTATTCGTGTGTATTTGCTATCGGGACTTTACATCTTACCGAATTTCTTTCCCCCCCGGATCTACCGGTGGCGTTAAAAGCTTGACCCATAAAACGTATTATACTTATTTGAATAAGTCCTTTTGCAGCTTCGTCAATGATTCTAATAAATTTAGACTCATACTTGCGGGGTATATTTGCCACCAATAGATTCTCATTCAAGGCAGCATTACCAAATCATTGGAGGATATTGTGAAGCTTTATTTGCCATATCAGAGGCGATGAGAGATGATTCAATTGACGACATGTATAATGATGAATATAAAAATCTTCGTTTCGCCCAGCCTTTCAATGACGATATTGAGAAGCAGATATCATCTACACGAGGTATATGAGTACCAATCTGATACGTAATCGCAATGACGAGACTTATTTTTGGTTCTATGGTGCTCGCAGCACTTACGGCTTKCGCCGTTGCAAAGCCGGTCGCTGAGCCTGCCATCACACCTGCTCCAAATTTGTTAGACAGAAGAGCAACTAGCTGTACCTTCTCTGGCTCAAGTGGCGCATCTTCAGCTAGTGCCTCACAGAAATCTTGTTCGACTATCATCTTATCGAATGTTGCGGTTCCCTCTGGAAAGACCCTGGACCTCAGTGATTTGCCGGACGATACAACCGTAAGAACTCGGATCTTGACAAATTCAGAGGTTCAAGCTAAATTTTTGACTTTTAGGTCATCTTTGAGGGTGAAACAACCTGGGGCTATGAGGAATGGGATGGGCCCCTGTTGCAGATTTCAGGTACCGGGATCACCGTGGAGGGTGCTTCAGGTGCTTACTTGAACCCCGACGGAGCACGATGGTGGGATGGAGAGGGCAGCAACGGAGGCAAAACGAAGCCCAAGTTCTTTTACGCCCATGATCTTACCGATTCGACAATTACCAATCTCTATATTGAGAATACACCAGTCCAGGCAGTTAGCATCAATGGCTGCGATGGCTTGACCATCACGGATATGACCATCAATAACAGCGCTGGTGATACTGAGGGTGGTCATAATACTGATGGGTTTGATATTGGCTCTAGTACTAGCGTGGTTATCACTGGTGCCAACGTATACAACCAAGATGATTGTGTCGCAGTCAATTCTGGAACAGATATTACATTCAGTGGGGGTGTTTGCTCTGGTGGCCATGGGCTGTCTATTGGCAGTGTAGGTGGCCGAAGCGATAATACTGTCGACACTGTCAAATTCGAAAATAGTGAAGTAAAGAGCTCTGTCAATGGTAAGAGAAAAACATTGCCTGATTCTAATCAATTTCTGTCTAACTGGTTTGTCAAGGTATCCGTATCAAAGCAACCGAAGGTGATACTGGCACCATTACTGGTGTCACCTATAGCCAGATCATTCTTTCGGAGATCTCAGGGTATGTTTAGCATCATTTCCAAACCTCGAAATAGGAACATAGAAGCACTAACTCGTGTCTTGCAGTTATGGAATTATTATTGAGCAGAACTACGACGGCGGTGACTTGGACGGGGGCACCGCTAGCTCTGGAATTCCTATCACAGACTTGACCATTGAGAATGTCTCTGGAAGCGGCGCGGTCGAATCCGATGGATACAATTTTGTCATTACGTGTGGTAGTGGCGCCTGCTCCAGCTGGACATGGGAGGACGTAGTTGTTACTGGGGGCAAGGATTACGGATCCTGCACCAACGTCCCCAGTGTTGCAACCTGCTCTACCTAATTTCACGCCCGGAGAAAGACGTTCGGTCTCTTAACAAATGGAAACATAAGGTGTACTTACTTCAACCGAGCCCTGCCTGATAAGCAATGAAACATTTGAATCACCCCATTTCAGTAGGAGAATAAATTGCGATTCAAGATGCCTTATTCCACACAAAGCTCTAAATCCTCAATATTGAATGTTTTTGTTGAGAAATTATCCATTCTTTTATCTGACAAGTCTATATATTCTTCGTGTATAGCTGCTTTGGACATATGAAATACCTACTTCCGGATATGTGTCCTCGGCCCGCACACCCGCCGATATGACTTGCCCATGCCAAACAATGCAGCTTCAGTTGCAATACTTCTAGATCTAAGTGTGCTGTAAATTTCGAGTAAGCTATGACTCTTTCCAGCCGGCGAGAACCGTATATGACGCTGTGATGCAATCATTGATCATTTTTGTGCCCAATTATTAGTCGTCGGCAATGTTTCATTTACCTATTTAGTTGAGTCCAGGGCACAAATTAAACCTGGCATATCTTGTTGACCAACATCCGCGTGATTCTGGCCGCCTAATACAGTCTCATTTACCCATCGTGCGGGATGAAAAACATAAAGTATCCACATTCGTGCACGAATTTACTATTTGGTAGAAACCACCAGGCCTCGGATTAATCTGAGCTTCCCTTCATCATGCGATCCCTGCAGCTCGGCATTGCCATCATGATACTGGCTTCCTCGAATTCAGCTTCGGCAACAAGAAGAATCTTTATGGCCGTATGGGGACCTGTTGCTGAGCACATTCGACAATGCCAGCATCTTCGAAAAAGATCCTTCTGCATCCGACCCTCAAGCAAAGATAATTGATCAATTGCCTGGCGCTACTGCCCTGTGCGGAATTGGCAGTGTTGGATATGACAAGTTCGCAATTATTAGAGGAATTCGGGACATTTACAGCTATACTAACGAAACTGTATACATCGTGGATTACAGCACGGATGCGATGTGGCCCATCATATCAGTTGCTGCAACCCATCCCAATGCCATCATGTTAGATGGCACAGATTCACATCCAAAATATCCAAAGGCTGTTCGTCTTTCACGTAAACACAACCACTGGAGGATTTGAAATTGCGATCTAGGATGAAGCGCTAGCACCACCATCTAGCCACAGTTCCTATCGGTGCTAACGGGTTAAAGGTCGGTCTTTTTTGGAAATGTATACTTTACCAATACCGCACGCAACACACTTGACCGAATCCCAATTACAATGGAAGGTTTGCAGAACGGCGACATCGAAGTCATCACTCAGCATGACCCAGACGCATATGCCTACGATTGGGACGGCTTTATCCTCGACGCCGCTAGCTTTGCGTATGTAGCAACGCCCCCAAGCGCTATTGGTCGCATTATTCCAGACGGCGAGCATTCACGTTCCATTTACTTAGGCTTACCAGCACTTCGTTTGAGTCTCTGGTTTTCTTTGCTACTATTCAGTTTTAAATTCCAATGGAAAAATGCGTCAAAAGTCAGATTTGGCAGAGATCTATATTCGACCATGTTAATGTCAATCCTCCAAAGATGGAAATCGTTCGCCGAAACACTAAAAGTGGGCGTCTTTGATTTGCGGAAAATCACTCTCCAAACATCCAGCTTACGAGGCTTTGATCTTATCCCTTTCTCGACTCTTGAAATACTTTCGAGTCACATGCCGTCTCTAAGTATGCGAGATGCCGATTTCACGTCGACTGTTCAATTCTCAACTTTCCTCATATTAGGAGCCTGTCGAGACACTAATATAATGGGATATTCGATAGCACTGGTTACATGGGTATGGAAACGCTGAGCGACATAATCGTGTTGGCAAGATTCGAATTTGACACAATCTAAGCGATTAACAACCAGGACCACCCACACAGATTTCTCTGTGCACGGATATAGCCCCTCTAAGCATGTAACATTGGAATGCAGGACGATCGGGTCATAAACAATGAGCATGCAGAGGGTTCCTCGACGCAGACCGCGAAGTTCAAAGCCTAAGGTTCACGATGACTAAAGTGGTGCGTTGTGACTACTGCAATTTAAGTCTTCATTAGTATCAAAGCAGTATTTGTCCCGTTACTTACTGTTCCTACTAGTTGAGACTAGAGTAGCCCCCACAAATATTTCTTCAATGCATAATCACAGCATAGTATGTAGTATGTCCGACTGTGCTGTCAAACAGCTAAAATGTACGATTCATCCCTTCGCTAGGTAGTCATTATCATTACGTTGATCGCTCCGATCTAAAGGTGGTAGAGTATGTAGGTTCACTGACGAAGGACTACGAAACAAACATGTGTAATACAGAGGAAAATCTGCCACTTCTGGATAAGTAGATGTGATAACGCCATAGCTGGCGATAACAATGCAAAACTCGGATTGCCAAATCGTGCGATACCTTAACTTGTTGCATGCCGTTTGCATATCCTGCAGGATACACATCGCTCCGGATGGGGGAACGCCATCATAGTCACCTAGACAATAATCCCCGGTTTTCGTCCCAAATCAGAAGTCTCCGACGGAGTCCACGTATCATCTCTGTGCTGTAACCTTGATACTCCATGGACATATCTAGTATATTGACTAGATAGCCGATAATTTACCGTTCCTATACCAGAAATCAAGGACTTGGAGGCTTCCGCCTGCGCCGATCAACTAGCGCTGGAAAGAGGGGAAAAAGCAAAGTAGAGCAAATCAAGTTAAGTAAGGTGCGTAAGAAACTTGTGATTGAACCTGCGTATCTAGGGCCAATTCACGTGGAGTCTTTAGTCTCCACCATCGTTGCATTCATGCAGTACCTATTTCTAAGTCGAATACAGTACAGATGAAGGCCTTGACCAATACCAAGCAAATAGTTTTACGGGGTTTCTTATTCAAATGCCGAATTGTTGTGTTGATTTTAGAACTGCTAATAATATGTAGTTTTCTTGATAAGTTGCCCTAGGTGCATGTGCCAGAACGTGAATGAACACGAGAAGCTGACCATGGGTTATTAAGGTGTTGTGTGTCAGTCTCATAAATTGCGTGCCGCCCTGCATGTTTGGCAGGCAGTATAAATTTCTGAAAACATTCAGGATCTTTTCCCGGCTACAGAGAGTGTATTATTTCCAGAATTAAATGCACCATGAAGCTACAGGCTGGACTTTTTGCATGGGCCATTCTGGCGTGGCCTGTGGCAGCAGCACCTAAACTCATCCATCGTCGAAGTAAGTCTCTGATGTACATGTTTCTATTTTGTATTGTTTGTAGCTATCGGCCGATGGGAAATAAGTCGTAGCTAACACACTATTACCCACTAGCAATCACTACCTCCCTTTTGGACAGTCTAGATCTTTTCGCACAATACAGTGCTGCAGCTTACTGCTCAGCTAATCTCAACACCACCGGAACTGCTTTGGCCTGTGATGTGGGCAATTGTCCGACAGTAGAAGCTTCTGATACTACAATTCTATATAGCTTTGACAGGTTAGCTATGGACCTTGTAGATATTCAGATAAGCAACGCTAACAGGGAGCCGAGGAATCTAGCTCAAGCAGCTTCGGTGATGCGACGGGTTATATCGCCGTTGATGAATCGAACAAATACATAATACTGTCTTTCAGGGGAAGCAGTGACTTTGAGAATTGGATTGCTAACCTAGACATTCCTCTTATTGATGCTAGTAGCATCTGCTCAGGTTGCAAGGTCCACGAGGGCTTCTGGAATACATGGGAAACCGTAGCTATCGATGTGACATCGCAAATCGAATCTGCTCTTAGCGCTTTTCCAGATTATACTCTGGTTGCTACCGGTCACAGTCTTGGAGGTGCTCTTGCCGCAGTTGCAGCGACCGTGTTCCGTGCCTCAGGATATACTGTTCAGCTGGTTGGTTTCTCCTCCCGTGCTGTTCTATCCGTCTAATCCTAATTTTGACTATTCTTAGTATAATTACGGCCAACCTCGTATTGGAAATTTAGCCCTAGCCGACTTTATTACAAGTGAAACGTTGGGAACCAACTACCGTGTCACGCACTCTGATGATATCGTTCCCAAGCTACCCCCGGAGCTACTAGGTTACGACCACTTCAGTCCTGAATACTGGATTACTAGTGATGACAACGTGACTGTGACGGACTCAGACGTAGTCGAAATACAGGGCGTAGATTCAACCAGTGGGAACGATGGAACGAGCGGCGACAGTGTTGATGCCCATCGGTGGTACTTCATCTACATATCGGAATGCTCTTAAAGCTATTTTTCAAGAATTTACTGGCAATAACAGGCTTGAAGGGGGTGTTTAATCCCAAATATAATCCAATTTCCGAAGGTCTAGTTTTTTTGGAACCTCCTTGTTTAAAAGTGATTCGATCTTCAATTCCTCCACATTGAAAATGGCCTACTGCACCTGCGGTAACTTTCAGATAGTCGCTAATCGTTCCTTAAAGCGTAAATCGAGCTCAACATGCGGTCTATCCGTAAATCACCATCATGTAACTTATAGTAAAGCTATTGATGTGTCTTGGCTCATCGTTTGCGCTTGTCAAATATAGTACTTGACACTATCACTGTCCCAGGGCCAGTTCTCCAGCTTCTCAGCCAAATTGAGACCCAGGAGTTTAGGACCTAAAAGAAATCCTCGTCCGTCATCTTGGCCAGATTACCTAGATGAGTTTTGCTGGTGGGGCCTACCTTCAACAGGCTTTGGCATTCCATAATGGCTGAATTGAGTACTGGCATGGTTGCTATCTATCGTTTTCTTGCATACCATTTCAACGCCCCTGTCCACATCTGCTTGTATTATTCAGAGTTCAGAATATGGCTTTTGTTCCAGCTTGTTCCGAAATTCGATAAACTGATTGATAAAGCAAGCAGAAGACTCCATTACCTGGGTGGCTCCCATAGCATAATGCGGCAGCATGTAGCAGTCAATAATAGAATGTACAGTTAACCATCTTGCAGTCTTTTGAAAATTCTTATGAGCAGCATCACCTAGCAAAAGAAATCTGCCCAGCATACCAAATATTTGCTACTGTTTCTTCCAATGCGTCCATTACTGCTACTTTTTTGTTGCTTAAGATTTCCGCAAAGTCTACTTCAGATGTGATAGTAATAATTGATACTTCCAGATCCTTCTTAGTGTAGCGTGTTTTCCTTGTGCTAAAGTGATAGGATATTCCAGGTCAATGAAGAACCAAACAAGCTTTCCTTCAGAAATACTGAACACAAGTATTGATAAATTCTCCCTGTAGATTGTGATAGCACAACCGGGGGCTATTTCCGGAAGTGCGCACGATATTCCGAAGACGCTGGGGTAGTGTGACTCTCGATCTATGAGTTACCCTTGTCGGCCTTTGCCTTCCCATTACCTGAAGTAGTGAAGTCGACAACACATATATGTTGAAGGTGTCTGATAATCGAGTGTTTCTCAAGCAATTGCATTTCCGTACGACACTTCGCCCCCATCAGCCCCTGCGACATAATCACACTTGGCTCTACTTCCGTCTGTGGCAGTGATTGTGTCAAATGTATCGAACGTTGATACATCAGAGACCGTTATGGAAAACTCTATTCTGGTATTGTCTTATCCTTTGGTAGATTATATCAAGTAGCTCCAGAAAGGTTATTTCATAGCCCAATCTGTTGTGTTGCACTGTCAGTTCAGGACAGCTGACGCCCAAATCCGTAGAACTCTGTCTACAATCTTACTCTTTTTTCAATGCTTTCGTAGCTGTGAATGTTTAATAGACAGTCCTATCTGCATCTCGATATTTCCACGAATGATGAGGTGCATTGTAGTAATGGAACCCTCCAAACAGCCCGAGCTGATATAGTATCCCTAGGCCATTTGGCATCAAGCCCCATTTTCTTCATCAATACCGCTTCGTGCTTCTCATGATACATAAAATATTTCAAGGAATTCCAGCAATATCAAGCTGCCTACTCCGGCTCCGAAAATTCCAACTGTTACTTGTTTAAGAAACTGCGCCATCTATGCAGCAATCAAAATCGAAGACGAATTTTAAGTATCGAAGTTGTCGTGGAAAGTCTGAATTGAGTATAATGTGCACCAGAAACGTAATCTATGATAATCATTGGTCAGACAAGCCTCTGACACAATTGAAAATATTTACCATAATGAAACAAATTACAGACCATAATTTGGGTTGTTGGGTCACGCTTTTATAACTTGATACGTATTACAGTTTCACCATTTGTCAAGTTCGTTCGAGTTCTTTCACGAGTAGGTTGATCGCATACCGAACAAAACAAAAACGAATTAAGGAAGGATTGGATAGATATAGAAGAATGAGAGAAAACAAATATCAATCTTCTTCCTTAAAATTGACTAATAATAGTGCAGAGAAACAGAAGTGATTAAATCCGGTTCTTTGAGCTTGGCTCAAGAGCCCAGAGCCCATTTTCATGGGCTTGATCCGATCTGCTTGCCGGGATGAAGCATTTGGCTTAAAGACCTCCGTCGCCACACCGATTAGCGATGATAGCTAGCCATTTCAATACTCGTCGTAACTAATTATAATGATACGGATACTACATCCAAGCAACTACAATATGTAGTAGCACACCAACTGCCATGAATCGTCTCTGGAGTAAGGCAGCCACTCTGGCAGTCTTGTTCTCTTGATTCAATGAAGACGTAAATTCAGCAAAATCGAAAGACCACCAATAGACATGTATGTACATACAAATGTGTCTTTAATGCTTACTCTCAGGTCTTACGGCCATTGCTCACTATTAATCAAGACATCTTGAAGTGTGGGTTGCACTTTGGTGCTCATTGAAGTATATGTATTGGTGGTGATGGTCTCAAGACCCTTCTCGATTTTTCTATCAACTGAAAGCGAAATATCCATTAAGTAGAGACAAGCAGCTAGGAGAATTCCATAATCAAATGTGAGCTATGTCGTATGTAGGATAAGTCAGAATCCATGAACCTATAGTACAAGTGTTCTTTTCATTAGCTATTAGAGCGGCCGAATTTGTCAATAAAAACAACCATGTTGGCCGCAGTTCTACAATGTGTTATCTCCGACGTATAACTTCGATGCCTATTATTAATACAGCCAATTCGTTGAATCATCAACGTGTAACATGCTTCGACCAAGGTTTGACAAAAAGCCCTTTGACTCGACACCATTCTCAAACGTCAATTGAAGTGGATCGGTAAGTCATATCCTCTTGTAATAGTTGGAATAAAGAATCGTAAGACGTCGTGTTACAGTCGATGTCCCCAGAAGTTGTCGGAGAATAGATACCCCCGTCAAAAATTGGATTTGCTAGTGCTGATACAGCTGTGTAATTTGTGCCAATCGGCTCTGAAGATTGTTAGTGTGGTTTCAGATATGCTTGTGGTGATTGAACAGGCATTCAAACCAGTCTCGCAAAAGGAAAAGGGAAGTAGGATTTTCAAATACCTTGATAGCTTGGGTCAATATCAAAATAGTCTAGATTGATCACCTGAGGAATTTCTTCCTGCGTTCTCCTAGGCTGGATGTTGCTTTCTATACTCTCTCGAGTAGAGTCACTATCACAGGACTCGGCGTGCTGTGACGAACCACTTTTATCCACTTGATGAATACCCCCGAAAAGGGGAGGATCTGGTTCCTTATCCATCAACGCCTTCATGTTCCGATTTGCACCGGCAACTGGCTCCAAGCCAAATATCAAGGTCGAGTCATTGATACTATAGTCTGTTCCTAGGTAAGGGTTCGAAGAATCAGAGAGCCTAAGAGGCACATCAATTGTAGGAGATAATTTCGAGCCAAAAACTAGTGACGGAACATGACGAACTTGTTCCGGGAACACAGACTCGGCAGGTATTCTTCCGAGTGAGAGGCTGTACTCCACAGAAGCAGAGATGTACAAATAAGCACGAGGGTAGCGGAGGTAGGCCTCGTCCCAGCTTGTGGGTCGTTGAAGCTCTACAGCTTTTGAATTCAACGTTTGCTTCGATGCTGGCATACTGCGAAAAGTATTAGTTTAAGTTCGGGAATCAGTGATACGGACGGTCAATCATTAGACGCAATGGCATATCAGACAGACAAGATTCAGGGTTGACAAACATGTAACAGAAAAAGCACCGTCAGACTATGAACAATCCGAGCACTTACATCCTCCGGGAAAGAAATAATTTCTTAGTTATTGCGTACGCCAAATGTAAGATTTGATTGGTCCCTGCAGCTACAACATCGGTCACTTCGTAGAGATCTCGAGACCGCTGGATGATATGGGCAAAGGCGTCTAAGCGATTGCGTCGAGTAAGCATCTCAGAGTAAGATGGAGATAGCTTGAGATCTATCGCCGAAAGAATCAGGGGTATTCCAGCATAAGCCAGGCTGTTCCGGGCGGTTAGACGTTGTTCTTAGAACCGGCAGCTTGAATTACTCACACACTGAGCGGAAGTATTACCGAGCTTTGTTTGGTGTAGAAATATTCGATAACCTTCATTAGGCCTTCAATAGAGGTGCGAAGATTACTTCCTATACTTATGACCCGGTTGTTATATTCCCCTTGAGAAAGTTGTGGCTGAGGCTGGTTCTCAAGAACCATCGCCTCATGGTGGGCAATAGATATCTGTGCGGTGCTATCCACGTTAGTTTGTTGTTAGCCACTTGCACCTTAGCCCATGCCAAATGCATAGTCAACTCAACGACGATGAGATCAATGCTCACTAATAATACATGTAGGTTATGTGCGCGAACAGGTCGACAATTTCGTGCTCTTTTGCGCCACATTTGGAACTGAAATTCGGCGTAAGAACCGTTCGATTCTTCCACACTAGTAGGTTTTCCTTCACCAATTCTAAGATCGGGATTGTTTTATAAGTAGGTTCAACCGCATAGGATTGTGCGGTAGGGCCAGGCGATGTAAATAGAATCGATAACGCATCTGTTAATAATACTGCCAACCGACACTGTTCCTGGAGCGCAGCAAATAGCTGACGCTTGACAATTTCTGGATACACTAGGGAGTTCCTGAATTCATCTTGAAAATCCACTTCATTTAATAGCCAGTCTTCATTATTCATGAACTCGATTGACGTGACTTGTGGGTGTCGTCGCAGGCCTAAACTCAAACTTCGATCTCGAAGAAGAATTGACCACCACAGCCTTTTGATTGTCGGCTGATCCGCACCTTCGATATCTGGAACGAGTGGATATGAGTTTAGAGTCATTGCAATACGAACCGCGCATGCTATCCAGAGACTTCCCGTGTGAGGATCGTCTGCTGACGTGTGTTGAGAAAGTAGGACACAGCCTTGCGCTCGGTACAGATACCGATCCTCCCCTTTGAGATCGAAAATAATCTGAAGAGAGTGTAAGATTTCCCGCTATAATCTAATAATGAACTGCGGCGCAAGTAAAGGGCAGCATTTGTAATTGAACGTGCTTCACGTACCTTTGCCCGCCTATGTAGTTCCGAGCGAGCTGTACGTTTGTCATTGAACCCACACCTTTGCAGTGTCTTCAATGGGACGAACTAGCCACCAGATTGTTGTTAGTATGCTCTCATTGTAGCAAGGAATCTTTTTTCAAATTCGGAACATACAGAGCATGCTGAAAATAATATCGCCTGAAAGACAAACAGCGACACCTTTTTCGTTCCGGCCCCGTTGTAAATCCGCCAGAATTCTGCTTCATCAAGCAACGGCACAAAAGGATGCACCATGGCAAAATATTGTCTGACAAATTCATCTAGAACGTCTTTTCGGGGGAGATATAGACATCGCTTCGAGATCAAGTACTCAACGTCTTCTGTGGGCAAGGAAGACAGACGACTGCCATCTAAAAACCGGTAAGATGAAAATATGACATTTCCGTCCGAGGCTTTGCCGTACGCATTGTCTTTTGGCACAACGACCTTATGAGTACTTGTGGATGCATCTCCATGGAGTTCGGGCTCCCGGTGAGAAGAGTGGCTATGCTCGAGGTGATTGCTTGCGGCTGTGGTATTGGCATTGAGCCTATTAGGCTTGTCCCTGATTTGGAAAAAAAAAATGAGTTGGCCATTACATTATCCTTCGACGGCAGCGCTTCACTGTTGAACGCACCTTTCGGATACCTTAACCCTTAGGTTGCAGTCATCGCGACCATCTATACGACAATTGGTGCATGGTTGACCATGTATAAGTGCATCGCACCGAACTTTTCTCTTGTGGCATGTGTAGCAAGCCGCCGCGGCTCGTCGCGCCTGCTTCATGATGGTACGGCCCCGCGGGCGATATTGGATCATCCTGTCGCTCTTCTAATTCAGATGGATGGTGAATGAAAACGTCCGAAAGATTTGGCGCGTAATTTATCGTGTCTTCTATTTTCCTGATGAGTTAGCGCTTGGTTTTCCAGCTTTTGCTCCAGCTTTCACGACGTGTTTTGTTTGGGGAGGAAATTCTGGGGCGATGGTCAGTAAATTTGGGCAGTTCGTGGTTAGACTCACTAGTGCCGGTACTAATACTGACTAGCGATCTCCATCTTCGCTCATATTTCAACGGTCATCATCTAGGCTATCGAATTGGGGCTTCAAGTTGGCTATATTCAAATTCATTGGCTGCGCATAGATCTAGAGACTGACAGCTGGGCTTAAAACCAGCAGACTGGAATTCTGCAACGCGACTACGTCGTCGATCAGATGCTATGATCCACCCGTTTAGTCTTAAGATCCATAGGAAGAGACAATGTAAATACAAATTCCCTCTCTTGATGGACACTGCCACGGTCTCGCTCTCTCCTTTAATGTCACATTTTGCTCCTTTCTTTCTTTTCTACTGTGCAGGCTTCACAGGACCGTACCTTAGATGTATAAATCTTGGGAAGAATTTGTTGTGTACTGAGTCATGTTTGATATGTGTACGGAGACTATAGAAAGATATTGTGCTGGTACGAAGGAGTGGAAATCAACAATTTCCTGACTCGCGGACTCGGAAATAGATTGTGTTCGGATAGAGCCCCTAACCCTAGGTCTTTCAAACCGAGCAGTCTAAGACATTAAATCAAATTCATGACCTTGTAGGGCATCTGACCTACTACATGTAGTCGGTTCAAAAAGACGCCCATTGATATATTAATATGCTCATGTCCCAAAGCGAGTGGAGGAGGCGTATGACGGCCTATACAGTATCTAGACCCGTCTACCTTAGTCTGACTACCCCGCTATTGATATGTTCAAGACTACATAGCGCATACCATGCAGCCGACTCCAGAAATCTTACAATCCGTCGAGATGTGGACTAGCTCTAACTCAGTGTGCGGGGGTGGAGCTTTCTATTGACAGGGCTCCTCGGCATCTCGGTACGGCTTGGAATCTCCGCATTTAAACCCGTTTCGAACAAGATGCTGACCCTAATCTGCCCATTGAACTAAAAGTCCAATACGCTGTATTGAAGAGCCTGAATCATGCTGATTCCTACATATTTGTTTAATTAGCGGATTATAGGGCGAGCATACTTCAAACCTTAACACTGTACACGCTCTGAGAAGACTAGGATACGGTGGAACAGGGTTTTACTATGTCTGTGGCACACTATTCTTTCGAGAAAAGCTCAGACATTAGGTTGTGGTGGAGCTCTGGCAAGATTGAAGCTAGTACCAACAACTTCTGTTTTCATATACGTAAACATCAATGACAGTACATATCTCTCATTGAAAACAGAGGCGTAAGATACAACAAGTAGTAGAGGCTAATCAAAATAATTAATGTGTTAGTCATCCAATCAAAACCATGCCGTACGACAGTGACTAGCCATGTTGGTTGATATGTCGTCTCATATCTTTCATGTAATATCGCTTAGGATACGTGCGAATCGCTTTAGGAAGGGCTGGATATGTAACTTTAGTTAATCCCAAAGTTACCCTGTACACTGCTCGCTTGAGCTTAGTAGACTTGAATCCGAATTCTTCGCGGATACGGAGCGGAAGCATCTCAGCTGTCATGACACGAGCAAGTGGAAGGATAGCTCGAAGCCCAAATGGTATATTCTTGTTATAGAGGATACCCTGTGAAATGTCTCTTGCATGATCGGTGACCTCAAGAGTTTCGCATTCGTTGTTCCAGTATGCCCAGAAATCCTTTCTTGTCTTGGGCCACATTTCAGGGGGAACTCGCAGAGACACGGCAAGGACCGCGTATTCACGGTAGATTCTTTCAGCAATCGTTTCGTCAAAGTAGCCAAAGACACGCTGGTATAGGTCTGTTCCAACAGCATATAGAGTGGCGGCAACCCATGTCTGCAGGTGTGGATCATCTGCCGAATAATCTGGACCCTTGACTCGCGCATGAACCTTGTTCACCATGGTGATGACCGCTTCCCTCTCTTGCCTGGTTCCATATACTATGCAGTAGACATAAATCATCGTTGTGCGGAGGCGGTCTAACGGATGTTTTTCATAGTAACTATGCTCGTTCACCCCTTTTGCAACGCCCGGATTTGCCACTTGAAGTAAGATTGCGGCTGCCCCTCCAGCAAGCAAGAGTCCCTCCTGGATGACTTTGTATATCTCTTGAGGTTTCTCCATTGCGTCTAGCAGTTCTTGGTCGACATCAATGCTGGGGGCTTGGACAGATTTCTCGTTCATGCATTCTTTCGACGGTTGTGCCGTCTGTGACAACCTTTCACTGAGAATGTCAGACATCTCCCAGCTACTGCGAGTAATTATTGCTTTTGGATCTGATAATGAGATTTTGATTATATTGGAAAAGACCAACGTTGAGAAGCGTTAGGTAGCATCTGGGTCTTTACTTCATCAAAATAATCTGCACTTAAATATAGCAGGACATGAATATGTCCTTAGGCGATGGTTCGAAATTAAGACTTCGACAAATCGGACATACAACAGTAAAAAAGATGGCAAGATGTCCCGAGGTTTTACCAGACACATATTTGAAAAGATGTTTGCCTAGATTGCAAATAGGACTACCTAAGCAAATCCGTCAGTTGCATGCTTGCAAATCTACCGAGGACCAACCCCATACTTACGTTCAAACTCGGATTCATATGTCTAAGGAATACAGTACCGAAATGCCGCGGCCCTAGATTGGTTAATCAATGTGACACGAAGATCAAGGCTAGACTGTCTATCATTACAAAGAAATGATTTCTCCTAAATCGTATGGATCTGATGGTTTGTTAAAATCAGATTGAATCACAGATTTGAAGGCAAAAAATGATTTCTCCGCATTTTCTGTCTGATTTGAGGGGATCAAAGGAGACTAATAATAGGTTATTTTTGTTGCTACTGAGATGCATTTAACTCCTCACTTTAGTAGTACGTATAATGTCTCTACGAGTGCACTAGTTAAATTGGGCTGCGTCATGCTACAAATCATGGTTATCAAACTTGCCCCTTTGATATAAGAATGCCCTAAATGCTATTTTTTCATGGAAGAAGCAATTGATAATTAAGCAAGGTGGTTTGTGCCACGTTTCGGATCATCATGTCATCAAGCAAAGACCTCGGTCATAAGCAATGGCTGAACGACAACAAGCATGTTGTTGGTTTCCAGGAAATGCCGGAGTACAAGTCGGCAATCATTGCGTCGAAAAGTGGAAAGGAGAAGCAAGTTTTATCTGAGTCTAAAGCAGGCCAGGCGGAGCATATCGAAGTCATTGATAGCACTTCTCTTTCATGTAGTCAAAAACGCCCTCGATGGATAAAGAGACATCTACGACGATTTTGGTGCTGCTATGTGGTTGCGGGCATCATCGGCCTCGCAATATTTCTCCCACTTTTGTAAGCCACACATGCAACATTCGCCCCTTCCAAATCGTTCTGCATCATGTTTGGACTTTTTTGGTCCTCTATAATTGGGATTGCAATGAAGCTATACGATGACATGATGAGATTTGTGTACGAGAATGCTTATTCAACAAAACAGTTTTCTATACGCTTTTCCAGCCATCGCGCAACTAATGGTGGAAAAGGCAAACCTTGACATCTACTCTGCGATGTTGATGAATCCTGGCCCAGACAGCCTCACAATTTCGCTAAGTGCCGGTTTTAAAATCCCGAAGGGATTCAGGGTTCGCCTCGATCCTATTACTCTCAGTTTGTTCAACCGAAATGTCACTCCAATCGTGCCGTATATCAATGTTATCTTGCCAGAAGAGACTTTCGAGGGCAAAGCCACTATCAATATCACGAATCAAACAGTTACCCTTCTAGATCGGGATCAATTCATAGACTTCCTGACTGTGGCTGTATATGGAAAGACATTCACAATGTCAGCGAAAGGCACAACAACAGCCCATCTCGGCGCACTTAAGGCTAAACTGACTCTTGACAAAGATGTTGAATTGAAAGGTGAGTCACTCTACTTATGGTAGACTTAAAGATAATGAGATACTCATAATTCGAGTCTGTACAGGTCTATGGGCCTTGAATGGCTTCTCGATCCCATCCGCGGGACTAGTCGAACGACAGAGCGATGGAACTAACTTGCAAGGAGTTGCTGTGTTGCCAAATTACTCTCTAGTTACATTTGCTCTTGTAAGGTCATACTTAAATACTCTGTTCTTGAAGCTGCTTGCTAACATTTGCTGTGCTTTGGCCTTAGGGAAATGTCACTCTCAATCTTCAGACAGGCGGCTTTAACTTGGGTCAAGCTGCGATTTATAACGTGGTCTTAACACCAGGTAATAACACAGTCTCTCTGCGTGGCTCGGTCTCAATTGAGACAATTATTCAGAACCTGGGAACGATTATCGAAGCAGAGAAGAATGCGATTCTGAGCGGAAATATAGCTCTATCTGCGTCCGGAAACTCGACCGTCTATAACGGCGTACACATCACTTATTATGAACAGGTTTTGAATAATCTAGTCATCACAGCACAAGTATCGATCGTAAAGTTGATTACCGATACGATTGGAGGACTTGTACAAGGAAATAGCAGCTCCATTGCTTCAGCTATTTCAAATCTGCTATCCAATACCACCACCAACGAAGTAACTGACCTGGACAGCAAAGTCACACAGCTCGCGAATTATATTGTTGAATCAAGAGAGAAACAGAATTGAATTGATCATTTATCTTTCATGCTTCGAATCGTCGAAATGTTTTTTGAATAAGGCTTCAATGCTTTTCTATCTAGCTTACTTTCATTTTGGAAAGTCTCTCCTTGCTTAGGTACCACCTCTTCGTGGGAGAACTCTTTTTCTAATTATATCTGAAACAAAAGGATCGAGATAAACATCAAACACGACTCTTTCACTCCTAAATAACGATGGCGTACGTTTTATTATTAAGATAGATCAATGATGCCAGTTGTAGAGGTTTTTATACAGATTTAAAGTCTGAGTGAACTTGTCTGGATTGTTTTCAAGATGCCTGCTGCCCCAAGACAGGGCAATTGTAAAAGACCATGGTTGATAACAAAGTGAGGTTACAAATGACCTAATAGGTGATATTATCAACCATCTGTAATTATACAGGCGTCTTGAAAGTTGTGCGAAAAAAACAGAAATCGACATGCATTGCAGACATGATGAATATCTCAAAGTTTTGGTTTGTTCAAGGCAGCTTCGAGTTCCTTTTTGCTGGCTTCTCTCAAAAGCCTCTTCAGAATCTTGCCACTGGCGTTCTTTGCAATAGCATCAACAAATTTGACGCCACCAACCAAAGCTTTGTACTTCGATAGCCTGCCACTTAAATAAGTTTTGATGACTTCTTCCGTCAACCTTTCGCCCTCAGGCCCAGGTCGCCGAACGATGTAAGCGCGTGGGGCCTCCCCATCACCACTTGGATGCGGTACTCCGATGACTGCTGCATCGATAATCTGAGGATGAGAAAGTAGGACGGCTTCGAGCTCAGGGGGGGCAACCTGAAACCCGCGGACCTTGATAAGCTCTTTCTTCCTGTCAATGATATACCATTTGCGAGTCGCCTCGTCACAGTATCCTATGTCGCCAGTTTTGAAATAGCCGTCCTTGTCAAAACTTTCAGCATTGGCTTTCGGGTTCTCGAAATAACCAGGAATAATAGTCGGTCCTCGAACGCAAATCTCGCCGCGGACGCCGTAGGCTGAAATATCATTTCCGTCATCATCAATGAGTCTGTATTGAGGGGGTCAGCTGAATGAAGGTATTTGATGACGTATAATTTGTAGACGGCTTACTTAGCTTCAAGATTTGGTATTAACCGCCCGACAGAGCCTGTATCGTCCTTTTCAGGGTATCCAAACATAGTTGCAACACATGAAGTCTCTGTCATTCCCCACACTTGATTAAATGGCACACCTGGCTCTAGCAACTCCAATAGCCTAGCCTGAAGACCCTTGTCCAATGGTGCAGCACCGCAACTAACAGCTCGGATACTTTTCATAAATGGACGTGTGCGAGAAAATGGTGACATAACAATGGCCAGCACGATTGGTGGCACGGCTGCCATCTCAGTTGCTCCATGCTTTTCAGTTGCTCTCAAGAAAGTCTGCAGCTCAAATCGGCGCATCATATAGATGATTTCACCGCCCGCTAATGCACTGACGTTTGTTGATGGAGCGGCAGCAGCGTGAAACATGGGTAACGCAACGACCCGAGAAATCTATCGCATGAAATAGTTTAGACCATGTTCTTATGACATGCAAAGCAATTTAAGTGCAATTTCTCTAATTCAAACTTACAGCATGTGGTCTTGGGTGTGCCTTAGTCGTAAGCTCATGCTGTGAAATCAGATTGTAGTGCGTAAGGTTTGTCCCCTTAGGTAGGCCAGTTGTTCCACTGCTAAACAGTCTTGCAGCAGGTCTGCTTTTAGAGTTCTGAGCATCATCAAAACGCACCCAATCCTGCTCCCCAAAATTCAGTAGCTCTCTCCATGATATGTGACCAGAAGGAATCGGTTGTCCAAGAGGATCAAATACCCAGATATTGTGTAACGGAACATTGTTTTCTTTTGCAGCCCCTAGTAGCGATTCCAATATCTCAGGTTCGGAAATCAGAAATTTGCTCTTTGATGTCTTGATATGATGGGACAATTCCGCTGTTGTATATGTCGGATTGGTGCCGGTATAGACACCACCAACACCGATGATTGCAAGTACAAGCATGCAATATAGAATCTTTCGCATTCTTTAGTATGAGTCTTTTGTTCTTGCTGGTCTCGTTTCTCATTTTTCCTTACATCATTGAAAGAATGTATAGCAACACAGTCTCCTTCCTTTACACCAGCTTCTCTGAATCCCGCGATGAGTTTTCGAATGATGCTGCGAGCCTGGTTGCATGAAATGGATCGCGATGGGTTATGAACGTCGATGTATATCTGTATTAAAAGTTAGTCACAGTAATTTAAAGTTGTATGTAAAGGTTGAATTGACAAGAAAGTCGTAGCCATGTTGGGTTATATGCAGCACTCACCGGCTTGTTCTGGTCATATTCAGGTTTATCGAAGATATAAGATAGAATATCTTTTGTTGGGATGTCGACGTATCTTTCTGCCTTAAACACCATCGTTGCGATTGCTAATCAATCAATTGAGAATGCTGTGAAGGCTTATTGAATTGCCATATGACTTGGAGACCAAAATCAAGTACATCCGAACTTCGTACTCAGCACGGCCCCGGGTTCATGGAGTGTAGTAGCAGGAAAAGAGAAAGCCATAGAACAACGATGATACATTTTCATTGAAGAGGTCATAGAGCTGACCATGTATGCTGGCTGGTAATCCGATGCGGGGAAGCTTCATTTCCATTGCTCGGTTCGGTACTTCGGCCCAGGTTACACTCGCAAGAGATGGGTATACTACGTATAGAGCTAGCCACGGCAAACGTGGGGAAAGAAGTGGGTCAATGATGACGAGGCGCGAATATACATAGACCGGGAGATCTATCTTTTGTGTTTGTCTGCGGTTCTATGTGTGCCCGTTACAATCGTAGTCATGTACGTTCAGGCTGTGGGACATGCTCTTCATTACAATGTATTGCAGATACTAACACGCGCCATTAAGCGAAACACTTTCGCAACGTCACAGACTGATTCATTGATCGGTCCCAGTTGCAAGGTTCCTGTCATTTCTGCCCATTGCGATTTATGTTTAATTCGGCCGATCGAAGACCCGAAGACTGTGTGTAAAACGACTCCATACAACTCGAACGGTTTATCATTTTGGCCCGTCTCATCCGTGAATGTGTTTAAGTTCACGTCTGTTGATATCTACTTTTCCACTACACCTAGGTACCGCGTAGAAACTATGAACAGGTGCCGATTTCACTTGAGCTTTGTTTATCCATTTATTTCCTTTCAAGTTCGAGGTACATAAAGCTCATGTAGATGAACAGTTCAAATAATGTGCACGCGGACGAACCGAATGAGAGGGCTGTATAAGTCGGCCAGGTCATATGATATGCAGTTCATTTGCCTAGGTCAAACCCACAACAATTGACGTAAAAGAAGATCAAACTGATACTCGGGTCGGCAGTCTCATTACTTCCAGGCCCTTTTCGAAAACCCGTAAACAGATAGTAAGACCGCCGACTCTTAACCATCCACGGCCCATCGGACCGAGGCTCTTTGTCCTCAAGTTAGTGTATGTTAAATTGTACGAACGCTCATTGATCATTTCATAGGGAACGGAATGGTATATCTTTTTTATTCTCACATAGCTTGAATATAGTTATCTTGGCCTATATGAGTGAATGGTAAGCGTTGTCGATCGCAAATTCCGTACCATCGCCATGTGAAATACTGCTCATTCTAAGGCAGCTTGTGAATCACCATATTGAACAAAAAGTTTTGGGAGGTGATAACTGACCTCGTGATGAATGCTTTTGATATACAATCTTCGGCATCTATGATATAAACTGCCTGCGGTAGGCCTCGGTCCGGAACGCGAAGTTCCTTTGCAGTAACTATATCTCGATGCGCTTAGGGGCAGGTCATATTCTTTTTCCAATCGTGTTTTCCGTGATCGAAATATCAGATAAGAGTTTGACTTTTAGTTATTTAAGACATGTATATGTGCACCCGGATTTCGTTCCTCCTTCCCAATCAGATATACTCAATATACCATTGACGTCGAAATAAGCCAGGTGACATAATAATTTACAACAGCAACACTATATTCTTTGCTACAGAAAAATATTCTGTCTATGTTAATGATGGCAGGCGAGAACAATAGTGCCGATATGAGAAGATGCTGGAACTATGATTTCCGTTGGACACCGGAACATCTCACCCAGGAACAAATGCAACCGCTTCGTCATACGATGGACGACTTAGCTAGTGACTGTATAGATTTACTGACCAAGCTAGCATCCAAAGACAAACCTCAAGAGGACTTCAAGCCGGACCTTATGAAGTTGGATATGTACGCCCTGTTACGTGACAACCATGGGAAACATGAGGCTCTCACTCGACTTTGGGAGCAGATAAACACTGTCCCTGAATGGGTCGATTGGGCCCAAATTGAAAGAGGTCAAAACGTTTATTATCGGTACGGCCATTCGATGGGTATAGCGGTTGGTGATGCCTCATCCGTTACATGTCTGCATGACTTTTTGGTCGGTAAACTAATCTGATTCGTTGTTAAATTAGCTCGCTTTCCAGAGTTTGCTCGGAGGAATGTATGTCTAGTCCAGTCTGAGAGGACTTTTACATATCGAGCCTTTGAATGAGATCTCTATTGACAACATTACTTGTACTAGGGGCTCTGGTAATATCGTCGAGACGTTAGGTCGTACTGGCGGCTTCTCAGCAAAGGTTGTGCGACACCGGCTTCTCGAAACTCTCCAGCACACTCTTCAGGTCACAAAATCAATTGAATCCATTCGTCCAGGGGGTGACGGTCATGCTTCAACTGTCCGCGTGAGATTGTTACATGCGTCAGTTCGTAATCGAATCCTACAGCTCGTTGAAAGACGTCCAGCATACTATGATGTCGCAAAGCATGGGATACCAATCAATGATCTAGACTCCATCGGCACAATCTGCTCATTTGCACCAACAGTCATATACATTGGTTTGCCACGACAAGGGATTTTCATGAGCGACCAAGAAGCAACGGACTATATAGCTCTATGGCGTTTGATTGCGCACTATATTGGAACTCCGACCGAGTGGTTTGGAACTCCCAGTAGAGCACGCGCCATTATGGAGTCAATAATGGTCGCCGAAATCAATCCAACTCGTATGAGCGGTGTTTTAGCGAGGAACATCATTCAAGGCTTGAAGGATACACCTCCTTTATACGCTTCCGCGGGTGTACTCGAAGGCATGACTCGCTCGCTAATTGGCAACGAACTATCAAATGAACTTGGAATTGGGAATCCGGATATATTTGCCTGGATGTTTGTCGGCTGGGTTTTCTTATATGCTGCTACATTAGCGTATGTCTGTCGGTCTGTACAAGCCCTTGATGAGAAACAAATACAGGTAAGATAATCACTCTACTTCTCGATGATCGCACGTTGTACTTTCTCTAACATGATTATATTTGTAGCATAATAGAAAGAAGTTTTGGGGCCTCTTGATGGATGCCAAATCGGGTTTGGGAAAGGAAACCAGCTTTGACTTTAAATATGTTCCACATGATGACAAAGCAAAATAGGCCTCGATAGTGTGCTTAGTTTTAAAATGATATGTGCATTTTTTCAATACCTCGATGATACTCATGAGCTATTTTGGATCCCTAGATCCAGATTCTACCTAAGACATCAAATTTAATCCGAGCCTTTCGATCCGAATCGAGCAGTACCATGAGAAATATACATTTATAATAAATTCCCACACTATATACTTTGTCCACACCCTACGATATCAGAGTGTTCCATCAAGAAGAAGAATGAGTCGTGATTTGATTCAATGAAAGGGACATTGTCCCTTCCTCTCTTCAAGTAATTTTTTCCTATACTCTTCCATTTGAGCTCTTCCTTTGCCGCGGAAATGACGCGGTCCAACATCCAATGTGTCATAGCCTTGTGGAAAGTATTTGTCGCCGTCGTCCCCTGGCAGTGGTAATCCTTGAAGACGTTTGAACCAGGCTGCAGGGCCCCACCGATTCCAAATTGTTGGCTTGACATAGTAGGGTACTGCGTCCCAGATTTTGACGTAGTTACGCCCATTCTCATCTGGTTGATGAGTAAACACATCGTTCCGGAAAAAGTAAGGTCGAGGCAGAGCAATATAACGCAGGAAATATTTGCGTGTGGCCAGTAGGGTGCCAAACAGGGTCGCAAACACGGGATCTGGAGTTTTGTACCTTTGGTAGTCGTTAGTCTACTTCACGTGGAATCAAGCCATTTTCAGGAGCGAAAAACAACACAATGAGCTTTCAAGAAGAAGGGATACTGACATCATGGAGGCTCTCAACCTATCATCCATTAGAAACGAAACAAATTGTATTCCCACCGGTTTCATGAAACCAGGTAAGGTATAAGTGAGCACATCGGTAGTCTTATCAGCTACCTCTTTGTTTTTGAGATGAGGTTTCATCTTCTCTACTTCATATGCGTGGCTCCAAGTGCGAATCTCCTCCAGCCAATGAAGACCATCCTGGAAACCTGATTTCTTCTCCCCTGTCTCTGCTTCAGCAATCTCTGAGCCAGACAGTAGACAGGCGTAACTGATGCCCAACGCATCGCCTAGACTCTTCCAGTAGGTGCCGATAGCACATTTCTCTAGATCAGATAGTTCGCGCCACTCATAATTTTCCACGAAACGGATTGGTTCAAGGGCAAACAAGCTCAGTGTATACAACATGTCTTCTTCAAGGATATGGCCAGTCTTCCGGTAGTTGGCATGCAGAAATTTGGTTCGCGCAATAGCTTCGTGGGCCCTGTCAGAAGAAGGATCAAAGGCCATAAATTGACCGATCAGAACACCTGTATCGGCATATCGCTTGAATGCAGTTGCTGTATCAGAAAACTCGGTTGTTCTTGCCAGAAGAGACGATATGGTGGGAATTCCGTATGTCTAGTTGTTACCTTAGCTCGGAGAACAAATACAGGCAATGGGCACAGTCACATAGTCAACAAGAAAGCTTACTCTAAAAAGCGCAAATTGCAAAGATTTTAATGCCATGAAGGGAAACTCAAGCTGCAAAATGGTCTTTTGAATTTCAAAGGCCTGCTGATCGGTCATGAAGCGGTAGGATTCTCGATTTCTGAAAGGGTATTTTCTTATCAGGTAGCGCATCCTAGCATATCGGAGACGCTGTTGGATAATGACATGAATCACCATCAATAGACAAGCAGCAACCAACCCACGTTTCAGAGTGATATTCTTGATCCATGGCACCTTGTTGAACCAAAGGTTCACTCCGGTGGTGAAGCCGGCGGCCAATTCAGTGGTGGGTTTTGAAAGGTCAACCATCTTATCCATGTACACACAACAACTTCTGAAAATTCTTGATTGTTTATCTCTGTTCGTAACTTTTACATGTTGCCATCAGGCCCCAGTGAAGGAATTGTATCGATATATAGTGAAATCGCCTCGAGTAGGTGGCTCCAAATACCGAGGTCTAATGTTTCCTGGATTTCAAATACTTAGTATTCCACATCAGTTGATCTTTCGATAACCAGAAATATCAATTACGGGGTATAACCCCCGATATTCCAGTGAAGATGGCCTTATGGACCGATTAGCCCTAAAGATGATGGTTTTATGGTGCGGAGATGCTGCTTCATCGTACCGAACCGAGGAACGCCAACGCAATGCGCGCTATGCCCGACCGTCACGATATTCCGGCCTATGATTGCATGGGAAATGAACTCACCATCAATTATCAGGTAGAGCTAAGAAAAAAATACCAATCAACTTTCCACCCGTGGTTCATGATCTTCAAAGCGTTTGCTATTTGCGACCATAGAAAGGAAGGAAATGCCGAGGCTTTAACCCCGATCTAGTAGGCGTCGTGGTAATCGTTCACTATTATGCGAGGAGTATATAAATCTTATTCGGGTACAGATTCGCCGAGTCATACGATTGTTTATATGCAGACTGGAGTTATGAATATGAGGTAATTGTGCTGTCCGGGCGATGGTCGCGTGTTAGGGTTAGGACCACACTGAAGCAGTCACTCAATAAACATTTTGACAGCAGTTTTTCGCTCGAGACGTGATCCGGATACAAGAGCCACTTGAAGACAGAAGAGTAATAATAAACAACAACGTCCTTGAGAGATTTGTTACTCAGACCGTAATACGAGCTCGGTATGTTCATGTTTACAGAAACGTATCGGAAGTTAGAAACAGAGGTCGTACCTGGGGTAGATAACATATTCTTCACCTATATGTTGGTTGCATGTCCTTATACAGCCTGGTATATCCGGCACAATCATTTCCACTCCTTGTTGGCTGTTGAATTCAACACTGGAGTCAATAATGCCACTTTTATTTCCAATATTTACGCTATTGGCCCAACCTTCTAGTCGCTTGTCATGGCAGCGTCATTTGTTACAATGGGTAGCTAAAGTGGCAAGCACTTTACTTTGGGATGCCCATCACCATCTTAGGCGTTGGTCTGATGATTAAATCCTGACAACCTGAGGTTAGTATCGGTAAAATTATCATGTGTCGAATTTTCATCGCTTTTGGCGGTGGAACATTGGTGATTTGCGAACAAATAACTATCATGGCAGTCAGTTCTCAAGAGCTAATTCCGGCATTGCTATCAGTACAATTGGCTCTCCTATTCTGGAGCGCTTTGGAGTGGTGTCTTCCCTCAGAAATTGGCGAGATATCTACCAGAAGCGCACAGATTAATCTGGCTGATATCTATTGTTCAATTACAGTACAGTCATCATATCCCATTAGCAGTCCGACACAGGATGCCATTAATCAAGCGTACGGTGATGCACAGCGTTTGATGCTGACTAAGGCAACTTGTCTGCACCTCCTTACCTGGGGTTCGATAGTGTTCTGGGAGGGTGTCAATGTCAAGAACATTGAGCAGATGAAGGGCTTGGTCTTTTGATTGTCGACAAAAGTAGGTGAATGGATGGTCTGAGCCGAGAATCTTTTGAGTTCTCTTTCATTATTTGCATGTCTATACCTCATGTGCCATGATTGAAATTGTGGATTGGTGTGGATATTTGAAGATCAATCAGAAGCCATAGGCTCCCCTCTCAAATTCCGCCACCACATACTTTGCTTCCATAAATCTCCATCTTTCCCACCAACTAGTAATCGCCATTTCTTTAAGAACCAAGGCGCTGCTTCCCAGCTTCGTAAATCCCAGGGCTGTCCTTTTCCGCCATGATTTGAACCATGCCTCGTACCCCAGCAGACAAGTCCGCCACACATAATATCTTGCTTGAGTTCTAATGAGTTGAGTAAAGACGGAGAAGTACTCGCAAGCATGATCGCTGTCTCCCTAAAAGCAGGGATAGGGATCAGGTCGAATATAGGATGGTGCGGGAAAAGAATCTGCGATAGTGTTGGTTGGAAAAATTTCGGGGTGTACGGCCGCGAGACGGCCGCCAATAGAGCTGTAGGGTCATCAGCAGCCGATGCTGGGCGATAGAACGGTGAACATAGCGAAAGGCAATTATCACTGATGAAATCCTCCGGTGCCATACCCAGACATTTTGCGTTTTGTGCACATATGTTAAGTATTGTAACCTGTGAAAAGGACATTGCATTTTGATATGGGTCTGCAAGATAGGTGCCGTTCTCAAGATAGTACGAACTATCCATGGTTTTAGTCCCAGCTTGTAGAAAGGAAACGACATCTTTGTTATCGTCGTCATGAGCTTGGGAAGCAGAGCGACCAGACATAGACGCATCCAGCAAAGTAGTATTCTCAGTCATGATTCGATTCGATAATGACGGTTGCAAGATGACCATCCCTGCGTGATCCGAAAAATACGGTGCTAACATACCATTCATATCCAGTGAACCCATAAGATCTGCGTCCGAGACAAGACTGCAATCCAGAAATTCACCAATATCAAGTGGAATGTTAATTTGGTCTAAAGAATCGTGATGACCGTCTGCATGTATTGCTGGAACATCATCAACAATGAATCGGTCTAAAGTGCATGCCGGTTGGTAATTAGGACTTGTGACTGTCGATCCGATATCAGATGCTGGTAGCGCAATTTTGGAGTGGTCATTTCGAACTTTTGAATCTGGCATATCGCTAATTGATGCTGGTTGGGCAGTGTCACTGGTACTCGGCCGACTTGAAGCTTCGGCTTCTTTACTAGAACGGGGCCTGATTGGTCTTGGTTTCGAACCTGTATATACGCCCTTTGTGCCAGACAGTTGACCTTCTTCTGTTTTATGCTGCTTATGGCGCTGACCTAGTCTGGAGGTCAGCTCCTTAATGACAATGTGGAATTCTCGACAATAGACTTTCAATCTGGCGATCCTTAACTTACGATACAATCTCTGCGCCACCCGATTCTGCTCTTTTCGTGCCGGGGTAATTACGCGCTTAAACTTCTTGTCCTTACTGTTTTCATTTTTGCAGTCACCGGAAACGTCAGCAACGGTGGGGGTCGAGAGCAACGGTCCACGGGGGTGTAGCTGCGCCATGTACCGGTCGTGCCTGATAGCAGAGATGAATCCTAGGTGGACAATCCTCGATAAGCCAAGTTGGCCGCTTGTGCTATAAGACTCGCGGCGCTGTACAGCGTAGATGATATATATGATTTTACAACGTGGCGATTGATAAGTGACAGCCGCTGTTGCTGTCCCCACTGTGCCCGCACCAAAAAGAGAATTCTCTAATTTGGAACAATACAGAAAACGCTTCAAATACCTTTGAAAACCTTCACTTTTCCGGACTGACGCCCAGTAAGCTAGTAATTTTGGTATGAGATAGAAATTTCGAAAAAGTTCGACAAATTGGACACGAAAAAGTGGACCCTCGCAGTATCTAGCATATAATTGGCCAGTAGAGAAAATTAGCCCTATTTTCGATCCGAGTACGGCAATGCGTCGAAACACTTCTCTTCGAATATCCAAGGTCTCTCCAAAATATGAGAAAGGTGGAGAAAAGTGTAAGATTCTATCAAAACCATGGGAATTCATTGTTGCTATGAACTACCGTGGTAATTACTGTAGGGGGAGCTGCGTTGAGAGCAAGAAATCACCAAGACGAGTTGGCTTACCCTCCATCAGCCAATCATAGTGCCACACATGCTAGTAAGCCATAACTCTAAGCAAGATAAATCGAAGAATGATAGTAAGCCATCATTTTTCGTGCTGCACAGCTCCCTATTGGAGTATATTTTGAAGAGCTCTTGGTCATTACCTCGCCTGCTATAGACAGAGAAGAGTTCTAATTGACATAAATACAGAGCCTTTCCTGCACTGAAACTCAAAACGAATCACTGCCAGCTAACGCAAAGTACGTTCTCATCTACATGAAATTGAAGCTCCTCTTTCATATTACTGCCCCATTAATCCACCCAGCAAGTCGCATCGCCGAACTTGAAAGCATCGAGTTTATGCAATGTCGACAGCCAAAAAGTTGATTGTTGTTGTCGGTGCCACTGGCAATCAGGGTTCGTCCGTCGTCAAGCACTTCCTTGCACTCCCAAATTGGCGTGTTCGTGCCATAACCCGCAACACGTCTTCACCGGCTGCCCAGAGCCTTGCGTCACAAGGTGCTGAAGTCGTAMAAGCCGATCTATTCGATATCAGCTCCTTGTCCACTGCCTTTGAGAGCGCCAACGCTCTGTTTGTGAACACGGATTTCTGGGGTTCATATCGAAACTCGACCGCCATAACGGACGAGGAACGAGAAAGATTAGGGGAAGCGTGTCTTCAGCAAGAGGTAGAACGTGGAAAGAATGCAGCCATCGCCGCTGCTGCCCTGCCATCTCTTGAGATATTTGTGTACTCCGCCCTTGGTCCGATGAAGAAAGCCTCCAAAGGAAAATACTACAGATCTCACCATTGGGATTCCAAAGCAACAATTGTCGAATACATTGAGAATGAACAGAAAGCGCTAGCCAAGAAGAGTTCTTTCATCTACCTTGGTGCTTATGCAACCAATCCTTTGATTCAGCCTAGATTCGATCCGTCCACCGGCACTTACAAAATGATCATTCCATTTGATAGAGAATTCAAAATGCCAATAATTCTTCAAAAAGAATCAACGGGTCACTTTGTCCATGCGCTTGTTGAGAATGAAGCGCCGGGAATCAAGTTGCTTGCTTATAATGAATATCCAACCTTGGCTGAAGTGGCTAATCTCTGGACTCAGGCAACTGGCAAGTCTGTTGAGATCGTGTCAATTACCCCTGCCATGATGCATGACCAATTTGGAGTCTCGTGGGAAGTCTTGGAAGCAGCCTTGTTTTTGCCGGAATATGGCTATATGGGAGGTATTGATGGATTTATAGAGCCATCCCAATTAACAAAGCCAGTAGAAACAAAATCTTACAGTGATTGGCTCAAAGGGCAGGACTGGGATGCAATTCTTGAAGAGTCCAAGAAGGAGTTAGACGGCGTCAAGTAATAGCTTGACAGGTCATACAACGAGACAGCTCTACAGAATGGAGTCAAGCAATGTGTGATGTGAAATTTTACGGTTTGGAGGATAGATGTTGAATCCAAGTAATTCACCATTTCATTGTCTCTTTATGCCATGAAATGGTCCACCACTAAGATCTTCAAAAGTGGGAGAAGATTTTTGATTCAGTATCAAGAATTAGAGGTTCATGTGCAGACACTAAATATGCAAGCTCTCGCCTTAAATATGACGTAAAATAAGTCCTAAACCTGATGTTCCACATAGTCGCTGAGTCTTTTTTTTGCGTACCCTTTCGACCTAGCTGACGACCAGGTACGTGTATGGTCCAGAGACCAGGATAACAATATTCAATGCTGCTCGCTCTTGCATTTATGTTCCTACGCTGTTAATTGTTGATGTGTGTATTAAAACTGGAAACTCACAGTTGATAGTGTGTGAATCAAAGAACCTCTATTCCAGAGAGGGTCTGTTAAGTTTACGAATTAGCAAATAATAGATTCAAGACAATGGTAAGATTTTGCTCTGACAATAAACATTCATTATTTATGACGTATGGACAGGACGGATGAGTAAGAACGATGAAAGTATTACTATTCCATTTCAACTTGCGAGACTTCATGCAATTTCTGTATCTTGAAATATATCTCTTTCTTCAAAGCGAGATCTAAGCTCTTGGATATATCGTACTTTAGAACGTAAGTTTCATTGTCTACAGTTGGGGGACTATAGACTTCGTTCATGTCTTATGCGTCCTCTTAATGCGCTCTCTAATAACTGGATTACTGTGGTGATCACCACAGATGCTACGTCTCTATTTCAAGTATCTCCGTTGGAGGTTACGCTTCGCTTTTGAAATGTGACAATATCGCAAAAGATACGTCAACGACGCAAGACCAACCCTAGAGCTGCAATTGCTGACCTGTTTGGTGTTTAATCTTACGAAGCCGGGCTCCGATAATACACGATGATTGATAATGATCTTGAAGGGAAATAGTGAAAAGTTCTTGAGTAAATTTTAGCCCAGTGTTCTCATTAGTTGTGGGTAGATAGATTGTCGGAAATGACTGTTCTATAACCAACCTTGGAAGGCGGATGAATGATCGTAGCAAAACCTATTCTTTGATACATGAATGAGCGAAACAACTTCCGAATCGAAAATTGACAGCATAACAACAATGTATGCATCGCAGAATAAAACCTCCCCCCAATCGCGAAATGAGAAAGGTCGACGTTAATCTTAAACATTTGCCCTGATAAAATATCACCCTATCAATCCAAAACACAGAACCCCACGCTCTTATCAAAAGTTTCGTGGTGACAGACGAATCCCGTTGGTGGAGTTATGAAGTCGTCGTAATCCACGGTCGTAATTAAGCCATCAGCAGGGGCCACATGTTTCGGAAGCGTGCTGGTTGAGCAAATCTTCATTCCTCTTGACAACGTCGTAGTAATTCAAGACCACATGCTTTATCGTGAATTTTAAACAGAGTTTCACGGCAATTCGATCTACCTTCTGACTCAAAAAGATTGAATCATGGGCGATTTGCTGGGGATTCTGTAACACAAAGCCAGTCTACAGGCTATGAATGGTGCAGAAATTGGCGTGCGTGTTTCATGTCGCTGACTTGTCGATCTGTCCATGGGTATTACCTGGATCAGCCCGCTCCATGCTAAGTCTGCCGAGATCGACAGTGACCGGCTCAGTAAAATCAATGATCCTAGCCAAAATCAATCCGTTCTGTCGCAGCAGATTAGACCCCAAGTCACTGTGCTTCTCCAAGAACGATCTACCGGCCCCAATCACAATCAAGTGTGCCGGGAAACGAAACGCCGGCGGTTTAATTCTGCTAATCCCAATTAAGAATCATCAACCTCTAATTACCAGCCCTTCAGGCTTCTACACTTCCTCCCAGCTAAGGGGACTTAAGAGAGTGCGGCAGAGACCAAGCAATGCTACCCCACCAAATTCTTAATTTTTTATAAGCGGACAGGCGATCAACGGAGATGACCCAGATGGATCCACCATGCAATCCTATAGCTAGGTCTAGAAGAGTGTCAGGGGCTGGATCATGAGTTTTGCACCGATGTATTAAACAAACTTCCTGTACCGTATACGAAGTCTGATTTGCTAGTTGGCTGGGGTTGACAGACTATGTGCCAGCATCACGTCAGATGGTCAGACCGCAAAGTGATTTGAAATTTCCAGACCACTGGTATATAAATGAGTGACAATTTCTATTCATGGACATAGGTAATTCTTTTTCGCAAGGGCTTCTGGCAAGCAACCTCGCACTTCGTTCTTATCTTCGTCTTTCCTTGACGTGTCTACTGACACAAACGCTCCTTACTTTCTAACTCGTTTACACCATTCCGAACAAGACACCAATTCCATAAACCATCGAGCGATCTAGTCTCATACACGCCGTCAAGATGCATTTCTTCAAGATCGCCTTTGTCCTTGCCCCGTTGATCGGGTTGTCCGCTGCAAGGCCGCCTCATCGTCCTTCACCCAGCGGCAGAATCACACCTCTGCCATCTTTCAGCCCCTTTCCATCTGTGAGCCCGCCACCAATACCGTCAGTAACCCTTCCGGTCCCTGCGGAATCTGGTTTCCCCGGTGGACCATTCGAGAAGCGAGAGGAGAACGTCCTATTGCACCATCACAGGCCTCATCCGTCCGGCAAACCCCATCCCTCGGGACGTCCTCATCCCTCTGGACGCCCTCAACCGAGCAGCTCAGGCTTTCCTCGGCCTCCAGTTCCATCTGGACCCCATCCTTCTGGTCGCCCTCAACCAAGCAGCTCTGGTTTACCTCCACCACCTGTCGGGTCCGTCTTTCCTAGTGGACCTTTTGAGAAGCGTGATGCGAAGTTTCACCATCACAGACCTCACCCATCTGGCAGACCTAGGCCATCTGGGGTGCCTTTTCCATCGGTAGTGCCCTCAGGTTTCCCTCATCCAAAGCCCAGTGGAAGTGTTACTGTCTAGTTCATATAACTGTATTTGGTGATTCTGCTGGTCTGATAAGAGTTACCAGTGATGCTTTTCTTAGGTGGGGGGATACTTTGAATATCTTTCTGTACAAAAACGTTCAATCCTAGAACTGAAATTTGAGTCAGACTTTAATATCCACCTAGGTACTTGATTATAAAGCCAAGCAACACAACAAGCTGTTCAATCAATACCACGGCCGTATAACCATAGACTTCTACAGGCGAAGCAGCTTTCCAAGGGCTACTGCTCAGTTGAATTTTATTCTTGTCGTGGAATCGGGGTGCCTCAAATAGAGTCTTATGGAATCCAACTTCAAGTAATCTACACAATTTTTGAATACTACACCGTCCAGATAAAACACCTGAGTCTTCATTTCTACATGTAGATATGTCACCTATGCCCTCCCGCGCAAATCCACCACCCCAATAGGTCTCTTCAATGTTGCAAAACATCTTCAACATCTTGTTGGGCGCTGAACACTCATTCGTGCATGTGGCCTATACCGCCATCGGTAAGTTCAAACATAGCCAGATGCTTAATCTAGGCACTATATCTAATACTGTTCAATTGGAGGAGGATAGAGACCCTTGGGTGCATATCTTCTCCCTCGTAGTTGTCATCACGTTGGTGGAAGTCAGACGCCTCGACCATGTTGTCAAGGAGCTTTTTATATCTCTCGTAATGCATATTCGGTCGACTAAAGTTGGGCTCCTCCATGGATAGAATAGGAGGCTTCTGGTCTACCTTCAATTACTCATCTCGTCGCAGATCTTGAAATGATCGACAGTGACAATTGGAATCTCCATGACATTGCCAATTTTTTCAATTCGTCACGCGACAGGTTGGTAATAGGCATTCTCACGCTGCGCAGAGAATCTTACAAGGGAGATTCTTCTCTCCCAATTGCAGCCTCATTCACATTTCCGACTGCGTATTTGAGTATTTCGGTAACCAGCAAAAGAGTACAGGTTCTGGAACGTTATGTGTGGATTAAAAGCATGAACATACGAGTGCGATCCATTTCTCCGATTGGTACAGTGGCGGCCATCGAGAAGAATGCTGCACGAACGACTGAAGTGTGTTTCATCTTCATGTAGTGGATAATTATGGTGTAAATCAACGTCGTGAGAGTGTCGGAGCATTTAGAAATCAAATAGTGACCAGTAACTAAGCTGAGATAAGTTTATGAAATCAAAGACTTTACACCACAGGGAGCCAGAGGGATCATATATATACTTAAGTGAATTCCTATAGCTCCAGGGCTAAAGACGCATCAACAACGAATTTTCACATAGTAAGTACACTAGATTTGAAGTTCAAGCGTCGAATAAATCTGACCTAACAATCCTTATACAAATGGCTAAGCTGTTAGGACCAGTTGAATAATTTCAGATATGGAACGTAACTTGCATATGGGGTTAGGGTTATGTGTGTTGTATGCAATCGATACAAACACGGCAAACATACAAAGAAACAAATCAGCATTTGCACAGCACTTTTCCCTTCGATCATCATCTTTACCACTTCCAACTAGCTTCGTTGCAGCGGAAAGTGACCCTATCTCTTCTGAAATCTAGTGTGTCGCAATCATTTCCCGCGTTTGATGAAATAGGACAAATAGGACTGTAACACGAGATGTCGCTTTGCGTGCTCGGGCTATGGCTCCTATATGCTCTACAATTGATTGAGGCCAGGAGATGTATGATGTATTTGACTGGGTTAGTATGATTATCCGCTTCACCTTTTTCCGCGGTGTTCACATAATTTTCAGGCAGCATGATGTTGTTCCGACCATAGATTTGGTACAAGACATTACACATGTCATCATGGCATTTATGCACTCGTCCGCTTTCAACGTGCCTGGTGCGACTGAATGGCCTCTATTCTCCACTGTTGAAGAGGTACGCTTCAAATTTGTCCCCAACACAGCTGTCATGATCGCCATTGGAGGATGGGGAGATACGGAAGGGTTCTCAAAGGCAGCTACAACAGATAGTAGCAGAAAGCTATTTGCGCAAAACATTAAGAAAATGGTTGATAAAACGGGTGCAGATGGTAATTAGATGTCAATTTGCAACGGAACGATGCTAGTTTTCTGGACTAATCGATCGCATAGGTGTGGATATTGACTGGGAATACCCTGGGTAAAAAAGTCCCCGGCTCTAAGCATTCTTTTTATTAAGCTAACGGTCTGCTTGTGCCTTAGTGGAAACGGTGACGATTACAAGCGCATTCCGAACTCGGAAAAGGCTTGGGAGATTGACGCGTATCCTAAATTACTAGCAGAAATTCGAAATGCGCTTGGTCCGAAGAAACTCATATCAGCCGCGGTACCTGGCCTTCAAAGGGATATGATTGCTTTCACGGAAGCAAACCTACACCAGCTTGCTGAGAATCTAGATTTTCTCAATATCATGACTTATGATTTGATGAATCGCAGAGATAATAGTACACGACATCATACTGGTGTGCAAGTTTCGCGGGAGGGATTGGAATCCTATCTAGATCATGGCATAGCTCCATTAAAGGCTAATCTAGGCTTTGCATTCTTTGTCAAATGGTTCAAGACCGATCCAAAAGATAACAGCAGATGTTTGAGTCAGAAAGGGGTTGGCTGCAAAACAATGTTGCTAGAAGATCCAGTAACTGGAGCAGATCTTGGTCGATCAGGAAGTTTTTCATGGCATGACCCAGTCCCGCCAGAATTGGCAGCCTCTTTCAGTAAGGCAATGAAGCTAGGAAGCTATGACAGCTACGGAGGAGGACATTTCTTCTGGGATCAAGAAGAAAATTTATTCTGGACATGGGATACTTCGAATGCTATTCACCGAAAATTTCCCTTATTAGTAGATGAGTTGGGTTTAGGAGGCGTCTTTGCGTGGGGTTTGGGAGAGGATGCGCCTGATTTCAAGCACCTCCGAGCACTTACGGAGGCTATTGACACCAGCTCAAAAGCTGTCCACTCTTCGGCTCCTCCTTATAAACAGTCAAAAGCTCCTGTTCGGTGGAGGGAGGAACTATGATATAGAGGCTCGGAAATTTGTGCAGTTCTACATTTTGCAATGAGTGTAAAGAAGATTCCCTTTTCTCAGCCTTGATCGTCGGATTCGATGCTTTTCCGGTCACGTGTGAAAGGGAAAGCGTTGGGTTGAGTGATACCATGAACTTGAATGAAATTGTTTGTGAAAAATACAGGATCAAGCTCCTCTGCCGATATTCAACGATGACAGCTTTTCTTCATCATTCCGGTCAACCCAGGAGTCAATGTCTTCCCGTGTTTCCAGGAAGTCTGCTAGAGCAAAGACTTGTTGAATACCAGTAGTATGTCCAATATTACGACAGCGATCGATAATCCAACACCGCTGACTGTCCAATGATGTAGACTGTGCCGCATTCAACAGCGGCCAAAATAGGTGGTAGACGCTTGCAGTTGTCGGTACTTCTGTTTTGGTAATGGGCACCTCGACATGAAGGTCCTGTAGATAATCACAGAACTGGGGAACAGTAGCGCAAATTTCAGAAGTCAAGAATTCCACGACTGTGTCCAGTTCTGCATAGTTGCAGTCATGCCTGGACGAGAGATCCAGCAAGATCACATCAGGGGAACTCCCAGCTCGAGAACGTATTTCTTTGAGAAGTACTAATCGACAAGCCCGAATAAAATTCCAGATGCACGCCATCCACAGATCGGGATAGACGTGATAATATGACCCAAATACTAGTTCTGGGTCTTGCTCTGCTAAAATCCGTTGAAAGTCCCATTCGACTGGCATATTTTCTGCAAGCGTTGATAAATCTTGATCCAAGCCTGCAGCAATATTCACAACCTCTATATTATCGCAGGGTACGCGCAGCTTCAGCTCAGCACGAAATTTGGCCAGCTTTTCCATGATCTCTGAAAGCTTCCAAGCGGGGTCATCTGTGGACAAGTACTTGGCGGCCTGTCTTCGGGTTTCAATCAATTCTTCGGGTATTGGTCGGGAGCGTAGTATGGAGGTCACCAGACGACACCACGATGTTTGCAAAAACAATTGTAACCCATGGTGAGACTTGAGTATCTGATTGGCCCGGAAGGAGATGCATCTCATTGCTCCACTCATATGTGCATCCGTACTTGATAGTGAGTTGATGTTCTCGCAGTTGAGTGTCTCAAATGTACCTAGTAACATCATCGCGACAATCGTAGTACTCTTCGTCGCTTCTGTAAGCGATTGCATGGCTGTTCGTAGGCCATTGAGAGCAAGACCGTAGTATATCCTAGACCTTTGTACAAGCGCTGGGTAGCAGAACTTGAGGCCGTATGCTGCAAGAGTAGCTGCTTTCAAGCTTGTAAATAGAGTTTCATTGGTATCCAGGCCTGTAGTGTATGCAGCAAGAAACTCAAAATGACCACGAGCAACACCAGATTCTCGAAATACGTGTTTTGCAAAAAAGAATGCCGATGCATAGTCATCGATCATTTGCGACACAGAGAAAGGCATCCTCTTTGGCTGCTCTATGAGCACCATGTCGGTCCTATGCGCTGTCGGCCAGGGTGAATCGATACGTGTATCTCTCATCATTGGAGTGCCTATTTTCTTCAATTGCTTGTCGTCGCTATTTTTGCAGTGATATTGAAACATGCGGTCCACCGCATCTGCATACTGAGGGCATGTCCATCCTGCTTTTTGACATTGACCACATCCCGGCAAAACCTGATCACACTAGACGATTGATCACAAATGAGTATGATGGAGCTTTCACGACGGTCAAATCAATGACTGGGGAAAAAAGACCTTAATTTTGCGCCTCCTACAGGTGGGGCAACCTTTGGACAATCTGCCATGTCGAGTCATTGCGATGCTCTGGCATTTGTGTACCGTGGTAAGTAAGCAGAAGTCATATCAATAGAATCAATTGAAGCAAGACAGCAAGAGGACAAAGTTGATGCCTGATGCTGCCTTAATTCTCGGCCTCGGATAAACCGCGGACTCTCGGGGCAATAATGACCCGTGCCCACCATTTCCCCCAAATGGCCTAGTGCAAGTAGCCAGACCAGCTCACGCTAGTCCTGTTCGGAAAGTATTGCGAAACAGCCAATCAGGGGGCTTCAAACTATGATATGCTTCATCTTGAAGGTGCTCTTTGCTCATAGAGTCACCATATCTTACGAGGTCTGTCCGTCAATTAGTCAGTTGGCACGTTCTAGAATCCTTGACAAACATATGTTGCAGCCAGATCTTCCATGCACCGCTGCAATGTGAAGAACGAAGCCCAGGATCTATAAGAAGAAGCCTGTACCTGTGGACGACCACTTATTAATTTCGGTATTTTGTCCCATCAAATTGAGTCAAATCTGTTTTCGACTGATTCATTTTGACAGCACCCATTACTTCTAAGTCTACTACTGATAATTCGTCTGCATTTCATACTACGCCTTGACTTTTCCTACAAAATGACTTCTACTCAGCCTAAAACTGTTGTGGTGTTTGGCGCCACTGGCATCCAAGGCGGCTCTGTCGCGAAAGCTCTGCTAAAAGATCCTCGGACATCTCGGCAGTTCAAAGTCAAAGCAGTAACCAGAGATCCCAGCAAGCCAGCTGCGAAAGCACTCCTTGAGCAAGGGGCAGAAGTCGTCAAGGTAAACCTTTCTACTCCCTGTTTCTCGATCTCAGGATTTAATCACCTTGCGGATACTGATGACTGCCTTCTATGATAGGCTGATCTCGAAGACAAATTATCACTCAAGTCAGTCTTGGCTGGCGCATATGCGGTGTTCCTAGTCACGAGCTTCTGGGATAAAATGGACGCGGCTTTGGAAGAACAGCAAGGGAAAAACGTTGCGGATGTAGCTAAGGTGCGTCCAAAGAGCATTCTTCACAGGATCACCAATCAAGGTAAGCTACTAATCCGAGACATAGGAATCAAATATACAGCATTTTGTTTGGAGCAGTCTTCCTTACGTCTCTCAAGGTAAGAATCAAAACTACCTGTCTTGCTATACTCCTCCTTATCCCTGCTCTCGCCCAGTGCGTCAGCTCTTGTATACGGATGTTGTTTTCTAACGCTCTTCATGCAAAGTCTCTGGCCAAAAATACACTGCAGCTGCTCATTTCGATCACAAGGCTGCAGTAGACGATTATCTCCGCGCTCTGTCTCTCCCATATACGGTTGTGAGGCTTGGCGTCTACAGCTCCGAGATCATCTCCAATTTCATTGCACCCATGCCAGTCGACCCTCATTCCTATGGGCTCTTCTTTAGCGGTGGTGCTACTGAAAGCACTTTGCTACCGATCATTGATCCAACTGCCGATCTTGGAAAGTTTGTTAACGGTATACTTCTTAATCCAGAAAAGACGATAGGTCACAGGTTCAACGTTGCTGAGAAGCTATATACTCTCGGACAAATCACTCAGATCCTACAACAGCAGGGATTGAGAGTCAACTTGCATCCGATAGATATGCAGACATTTAAAGCCGGTCTTGCTGCAAAGGGATTGCCCGAGAGTTTTCAGACAACTATGCAACATGTCGTGGAGTATATAGTAGAGTATGGCTACTTCCATGGCGAGGATATTGACCAAGCCCTCGAAGTAAGTGTTTCTGAGCCATTGCTTTCCCTATCACATATGCCTATAGCTGACTGATATATAACTAACAGCTCGTCACTGAACCCCTCACATCCTTTGGAGATTCTGCCAAGGCAGATTCCACATTCAATCATCTTCTGAAACAGCAGTAGCATCGCTTGTGTCAGGATATATTGAGATGAGTGTAAGGTATCAAGCTGTACCTATGGCTTTGGTACCAGACCAAGAAGGTCAACTTGAGACTATATTGACTAAAGTATGCAAAATTCAGTTTTAAAACTATTCACGTTCATTCATAAACGCTCTCAACCTTAATAACATCCCACTGATATAATATATGAAGATCCAAGTTTGTATTTAACCAATTTCTCAGTTTCTAAAGTGATACATATACTATCAAGAACAGAACATAGACTCTTTCGTGATCTTCAAAATCCTCAAGCCATTCATTAGTTGCGGTCAACTGCTTGATAAACCTTAAGTTCTCAAACAGCAATCACGAGAGCCTCATCGAGATGCTTAGCATTATTAGAATCCATAATAAAGCCCCATCTCGGTAACAACTCCTCCCTCAAAGTATCGAGAATGAGTTCTGTCTCCTACTTAAAACCTACAACAATCAGTTCGGTGGCCCCACTCGAGTCGACGATGCGCTGTGTATGCGGGTGACGACTTGATCGTAGACCTTCAAAGCGATCCTTGCCTCAGCAGTTATTTGTCTTGATTACCCCAATTAACGTGGAGAAAATAAGACTGTTTTCCAATGGATACTCCCCGTCCAGAAACTTGCCAAGTTGTGGTGGCATGTGTAGTGTCTATGATACACGCTGCCTCAGCTACGTAAGTGCTAGTTGGCGAATGTTCCTAAAGGTACATGGCTGTATATTGGGGATGAGTGCAGATAGCTGCATCGTAAAGACCAGTTATCCGTGATTACTGTGGCTTCATTGAAAGCGCTTCATTTCGTAAATCGTTCACAGCTCTGTACAATTGTGGTGGCCAATCTCGATAAACCTTTTTAGATAGTCTGCGCTCACTGTCCGCTGCCAATTTCTTGAAGCCTCTGCGTCCTTCTCATACGAAGCGAGAATAATTTGCACCATTTGACGTTCGCTTAGAATGTTGTAAATAAAGTATGCTCCATTTTCAACCCACGAATACTCGCGTGCATCCTCCTTGTTGATGTAATAGTTCCCGATACTAGACTGCGCTTCGTCATAAAGCCCCGTGGTCATGATGGCCCATGCACCTCTGTTTCTAGGAAAAGCCGATGGGTCGTCTCCCTAGGCAAAGAACGGTGCCGTGGATGCCATCGGCGCCAACCAGAATGTCGCACTCATGAGTCGTAACATCAATGAAATGGATAGTAAGAAAGCCGTCAACCTCTTTATTTCTGGTTTCGACATAATGATTCAGCTTCTTGGAAACATGCATGCGCTCCGGAGGCACATTAGCCAGCAATTCTCGTAGAAACATAGCACAATGAACGATGTGCACAATGCGTCGCCATCGTTGTCATCATTGTCATCGTTGTCATTTGCTGCACCTGCTTTCTGGAGACACTGCGAGGCTGACGGGTCCATGAGGTCCCTAGCGTCGAGCGCGTTTCGAGCAGCTCCAATGGCCACACCGGCTTCCTTAAAGGTCGGTGACGACTCGAAGATGTGTACATCTAGGTGCGAATAAGTAAGGAATGCATGAAGGAGGAACGCTCAACCCCCGCCAATTGTTGCAATTCGAATAGGTGCAGAAGTCATGGCCCTTGTGTGGATACTGCCTAGATAGAGGAGGGAGGTAAGATTCATGTTATGCAATTAGCGGATTGAACGGTACTGCGAAACCCTAAAGCACTATGCCTTGGACATGTGATAAACTGATATGGAGGCTTCCCGACTTTTCGCATGGTCGATAACACGAGCCTTGGAAGGAATGAAGCCAATGAAAGTAGAGCGGTCATTAGGTAGGTACACGCCTCCCCGTATAAAATGCGGGACGTCGCTACGTATCATTCATACCATAAATTACGAATAAGTCAGCCAAGAACATGTTGATATAAAGTTTTTTTACGGTAATACGCAGTAATCGCAGCATCGGAGCAACCACACCTAAGAAGGTTAGCTCCGGAGAGCATTCGATGGTTGTGATTGGTCCGCATTTAGCACCAACTCCGAGCTTTTATTCCGCCGATATTGATGGATGTTCATCTTCGCCTTCATCTACAAGAAAGGAGCCACATTCAGCCAATTCAATATGCATCCTTCTTTGAAGAACCAACTAATATAGGGCTAGTGCCGTTGTGAGGCCACTGTCGTTCAACGCTTACTATCAATTACTTCCAGATCTAGAACGAGAAGCGCTTCGACTTCCAAATCATGTATTTGCAGGAAACCACGACAATGCGTCGCAATGGCAAACCGCAGTCTTGTGAGCCATGTCGCAAGTCGAAACTTAAATGCGACCACACCCGGCCTGTGTGTGGCCGATGCGCGACAAGAAATATGAGTCAAAGTTGCTTCTATCACCCTTCGCCCATGACAAAAAACCCCATTCCTGATCCGACGCGTGGTAACTCTTTATATAATTATAGGGTTGGCAAACTGACCAGTCCAAAGTATGTGTCACCCTAACAATCACTCATGCTACTTTGATGTTCATCCGGAGACTAACATATGAGTAGACCTCCACATCTGGACAGGAGCCCGAGCATGTCAAGCCCGGCTCTGAGTGTACGTCTAGCACCTATTTCATCTCAAAGCTCGCCGAGGTTGGAAGTCTCAACCTCGCCAGGCTATCTTGGCTCAACAAGCTTCTCAGCAGTGCTATCTGAACATCAGAAGGAGATMCCTGCCGATGTCGATGTTCCGTCTGGAACAGCAATGGTTCTGACAGCAGCCGAGCCAGACCCAGATCGCGCGCAATCGGCTTTCCGGATATTGGCTTTATTATACAGCTTGAAATTTTTCGATTCTGTCACTAGTCGCCTCTACGCCAGCAAGTGGTACAAGACGCTGCCCCCTTATATCATCGATAAGACACTATACGAAACGCGACGAGTGTACGACAGCTTTGAGTCTGCTCACGTCGAAAGCCGGATCAGAGATTTTGCACTTAAAATATTTCAGAACTCATCCCGACCAATGCCACGAGCTAAATCTATGACAGTTGATGAGTACATTGCTACTTTCACCGGGCGTAACACTCGCTGGGAAACCATTGCCCTTATTCTAGCCACAGCGGGCTGTGGCTTATTTTCTGTTACGGAACAGGATCCAGTGTTTACGGAATTTAGGATGACCGGTGACACCCAAAGTAATGCCGAGTTGAAAGAAAAGCTAGTATTACAAGTCTCAGATGCAACCACCAATTGCTTGATGTTTTGCGACCATGCTGCATCCTCGAATGAAATCTTCGCTTATGCACTGCACGCGGACGTGATAATGAAGACGCAGCAGTACGGTGATTCCAGTGAGTTTGCTATTCCTTCATTTCCGACTTGTAGATAGAACGAGGGAAACATTATATACTGATCAGAACAGGCTATCAAGCATGGCGTCGATTGAGTGATCTCGCAGCTGCTGTGTACGCCTCTGGGTTACACCAGGTGGACGGTCCTGCAGACGGAAACTGTCCATTCTTTCTCAAACAGTTGAGGAGAAACTGCTTTGCTGCTGCATTTTACACCGACAAATGTGTTGCAACATTTGTGGGACGGCCTCCCTTGATCAATTACCGATATTGCTCTCTCATTCTTCCATACGATGTTGATGATGACGTGCTATTTTCTGGTGGAGATGTCGAACAAGAAGTCCTTTCAAGGGTTGATGTGAACGGTTGGGATAAGAATGGCGTCCCGCGTCGTCCAGGTGTCAATCGTATTCGGCTGCAGCTGTCCATCTGTCGTGAAGAGATTCTCGAGCTCGCACTTGGTGAGGGCTATCAGCGGGACATGCCTCGTAAAGCGGAGTACGTTTTTATTGATGTTTTTTTGTTTTTTTCACCTCTGCAGTCTCTTCCCTTGTCCTTCTTTCTCCATGTCAAATATTAGCTGCTTCTGTCGTCGACTTTGACTAACATTGGGAACAGGCAGATTTTGGAACGTGCGCAAAAGGCATGGGGTCAGTGCCCGGCTCATCTCCGATATGACTGTCTTTCGCCAGAGGATCTCGCTCGCCCTTTACCCGACGGGTGCCAGATGATGTTTTTAATATACATTGACTATCTCCATAGTCAGTTCCTGCTGCACCGGGCTGTGATTAAGCACACCAATGTAGGCCATGTACCTTTGTTTGACACCGCCAGACAGTTGTTGACAACCGTTCTTCGGATCTGTAACGATCGAGAAGCCAAACTAGACCGAAGCAAACAGGTCTCTTGGGTTATGCTTTATTATGGCCTTCCAAGTGCGTGCGTGCTTGCTTTTGAAATTCTGCGTCAAAATCAGAAGCCAGGACCCCACCCCGTCGTACTTCCACGATCTGAAATCATTCGCAATCTAAGTGTGTTTGTGTCGTGTCTTGCCTGGGTTGCGAGCCCAAGTCCTAGCCACGGAAACTATGCAGCCTGCAAGGAAGTTGAAAAAAAGCTATCACGGATATTGGATCAAATCTTGGAGCCCTTTCCAACAGTAACCCCCCATGAGGATCTCAGTTTTGTTGAAAATGTGGCTTCGGGTTTCGAACCGTATTTGGATTGGAATCAATTCAACTCCTATGATTTCAATTCCGATTATTTCTCAATATAAAACCTGCGACAGAGATGTTGAGAATAATTCATACGAATATGACAAAGTTCAGATTCGGTGTAGATATGTGCCGCTCTCGCTCTTCGAAAAAGACACGATGGCACATAGGACACGTGTAATGACTTCGAAGATACCATTTCTCCAGGCATTCCTTGTGGAATACATGCAAACATTTGAGCTCGTGAATCTCTTGCGTACGTTCGACTGGGTCGAAACAAACGACACTTCAACATTTGTCAGTCTTGGAACCTCAGGATGGAGCACCCTTACCAAACAAAATGATTATCCACACCCTGGGAGAGACCGAGTGACTGCTTCACCGTCGGCCACCATTCCTCCAAGTGGCGCGTCGGCGCGACTGCCTCCAACTTTTGCAAGCGATTTAGCGATATTTTGCCATTGGGATCTTCGGCAATCCTGCGACTTCGTCGATTGCAATAGAAAATGAGCCTTGTTGATCCCAGTCAATTCTGCGGCTGATGCTTGGATGAAGAAATAAAGTTACATACATCATAGTTAGAACGAAGAACACTGCAACGCCGAGAATAACGCCTAGCAAGATATTGACAGCTTCTTGCCCGTTGCCATGTGTATTAGTATCGCTTTCGCGCTTTTTTGGCGGCAGCGGCTCTTGGGCCCAGGCCTGTATCATCCGGCTGTAGCCGGTCGGCATTATTGCTGGCATCTTGATAAAGTACCAATTCCACAGTTTCGTGTTGTGTAAGATATGGCTAGAGATCACTCGATGGTCGTTTGTGAGTTTTCGGGTGTGCACTCTGACGCAAGAGGATCGACGCGTAGATGGGTTTAATAGACAAACCTATGAGCAGCAAAGAGACGGATTCAAATGCGGCCTTGAGACCTGTTTTCATATACTTCAAACTGTGAAGCTTGTACAACACTCATATATAAGGCAAGGGTTCTGTGGTACGGTATCGTATGTTCACCAATAGCGCTGAGAGACATAAGAGAGTGTCGTATGATTGACTTGAGCCTATGATTTTCTTCTCTTTTTATGCTTGTTGAAGAAGGCTCAACAAGGAAGTTGACAAGGGTACTGCTGGAATACACAAACTTGACATACATAGTACTTTGATGCGCGGACACATCATATAGACTCGTTTAAGGTTCTGAGCAAGAGCAAAGCGACAAAAAAATCTCGTGATTCCCAAACTGTTATCAAGCACGCATGATGAGATCGGAGTGCTAACCATGACAACTCCTTGGGAGAAAGTCATGTCATCGTATGATTGGGATATCCGTAAAGTTTCCAGTGCGCCACAACCACAGAAGCGATACACAAAATTTTGTTCACCAGTGGAATATCAACTTCGTTGATGCATCCATGTCACAGACATAGCTCGGCGGGGTATCAATCAATGCATTTGACTTCAATATTCGATCTAGACACTACCGTAGGCATGGTGTCACTTGTATGATTCCTTCTCTAAAAGTCATGCGATCGATTCGTCAGATTCAGCAACCTTGGCGCAAGAGACACGTACCAAAGCAATAGATCGGAGTTACTTTCAGATGCGTATACATACATAGATAGTGGTAGATAAGCTTTAGTTGGAAGGGTTTGACTCAACTTACTCCATCAAAGGGCTCTTCCCAATCAGAGACAATTTGGTACTTTGTCGGACGGATGTATACATCAAGCGGGGTTCTGTGGGCAGCGCTCGAATGTTGTACCTCATTACTCTGTGGCTCTCTGTCAACAATCACCTGAGCCACTTGTCATGAACGACTGTAACACCGGCTCGATATTCGTGATTATAGTCGGATAGATATTTTCATTCAGGAAAGATAATCAGTATTAAAGCCCCGCCGTCAGAACTTGTTCCTGGTGATCAACACCACCGGCTTGAATTACGCAGAGTTGTTTTGGAAGGTAATATTGCGACCAGCACAATCATGCCGAAACTTTTTGTGTTTCCAAAAGGAGAAAAGTAAGAGGTAAAAAGACAAAGAAGAAACGAAAATATATCGAATGTCCAGCATTGAGAGAAGAACCAATCATCGCTACATGTACATCAAATGCGGTTTCATCATAAGGCATTACGTTCTTGCAACGTTGGACCAAGCGGCGAGTAACCACTGAAAGAATGGTTTGGGTTGGATATTCACTAGCTGGTTCAGATTTGTGTGGTGAAAGTCGTACCGGCCCTGTAAAGTAGCCATGAGATACTGGAGGCGCCAATATTCCGCCGTATCATTTGTTGCCGAGGAATAGGAAATGCTGTCCAGCAAGGTGGCATGATCATAGTATTGACGTTGAAAAGGTTCGCCTAGTCGATTTCGTAATTTACATAATTAGCCAAGGTACACTTCGACTGACTAGAAACCTGTAGGAGACAAACCGGACACGAGTTCTGCTGCCGCAACAATATCATCAATCTTCATCCTTTCTGCTGCCAGAAGGAACTCATTTGGCCAGTGAGGGAGATCAAGAGCAGCCACTATGTAGCGACCGACGTCCTCCGCAGATGTCATGCATATGTGCACTGCGTCACCTGAAGGATAGCAAGGTATGCTGGCTGTTTGACGACGCATTTCCAGAATATATTGTCCTTCACCCGAGATATGTGTTCCTGCACCAAGTTGAAGCGCCGCCAAACCTCCAGGATAGAACCTCTCATAAAATACACCACACGTGAAGACAGTATATTCCATCCCGAGCTGCTGCTTCTCTTGAAGTTTGGAAAGAGCGATTTTCTGTCCGCGGTCGAGAGGGTCGATATCCGGACGCTGCAACGGAGGTCCTTCGAACTCCGAGGGCACAAATCGGCGGACATGGACTTCGGCTGCGGCGTCGATCAACGACAGTTGTGCCTGGCCCGAGATGGTTGAGATGACCGTATCCACGCCAACAAGCTTGTATCGAACGTCGCTCTGGTTGTTGTAGTCGACGGACAAGACTTGCCATCCTCGGGCGGACAGGGCGGGACTGGGCTGTGGAGGCATCGGTCAACATATGGGACAAATTTAAATAGGGGTAGAGTAGGTCAACTCACGTTCCTTGATAGAAAGAAAAACTGATGATATGTCTGTGTAGAGATGTAGTGAGCAATATATTGTGCGAGACCACTGGTCCCTGCTAGTGCTATCTTGATCATGGAACCGGTGAGAAGGAAATTTTCAAAAACGAATGTGAAGAAGCCCCGAGGGGTCTCGAGACTTGTATCAATGAACGAACGTGCGTTATCAAACGAGGGACCTGAATTACAACGGTATATGAAAGAGAATGAAAGGGGAGAGCGGCAAGCCAGAAGTGAATGAAGGTGACCTTTGAGAGGGACAGACATGCTATGAGAGAGTAGAAACGGCGGAAGGAAGGGACTGGAGATTTTCTTGTAACGACGAAAAAATAAAATTCGATTAGGATTTTGTACAAGGCTGTATAGCATTAGTCCAACAAAAGCATGCATAAAAGAGTGAAGCAGCCAGTGCTCGATATTGCGCCCTTTGGTTTATCATTTTCATTTGTATTGAACCATGACGAAGCTTTGGAGAACCCATGATTGAGTAGATACAAAATCTTGACCAGACAAGGATACAAGCCGGATCTAAATCACAGCTGCGGGTCACGGACAGAGATACTGGCCTTGCTTGTCTGATGGAAAAAGTCCGCTGCGGATATACTTCATCAATCGTTCATATCTCTTGGGGTTAGTCTCGGGCATTTTCCTTGAAGATTATGAAGTTACAGATTGTCATTGGCCAAGCCGTCATTTCCAGACATTCAACGGTCATATTCTTTGGAAAAGGGCTCTGTCGAATGAGCATGCAGAAGTAGCTCGACCGAAGCAATTTGTGGACAGGGGTTATGGGACGACTTCTACCTTGGGCCTGGGGCGGATTCGCGGCCTGCTTTTTTGGGGTGAGTAATCCTCAGCTCGACCATCGGGATGGCCGGATTTTTGCGTCAGAGCAAATGCCGAAGCCGCGAAAACAAGCAAAGAGCATCAGCACAGAGGTCCTGTAGCCGTCGAAGAACACAAAAAGGCAGACGTATCTCTCGGATCGACCGTGAATCTGGAAACCTCTTGGATAGACCCTGACCGCTTGCTGGACCGAGTGGTTGCAGTAAGGCTGTGAAGCTGTAGCCAATCTCAGCAGCTCAAATGGCGTGGATGTGGAGAGGTTCGACCGTTTGGGTGTTCAGCCCTGGGCGTAGGGCAGGGGAACTGGCGGTCTGTTGGTGGGCCGCTTATCAGCCGCATTGCCGTTGTAGGGCAGTACGTGCGGCAACTAGTCTGGAGACAGCATGGCCTCGATGAGAGAGAGTTGTGTGATATCACTCACCGTGAGTCATTGGTGCGTTGCAGCGGAGGGCTGTGTTGTTGAGGTTAGGACGTCAACTGGAAGAGAGAGGAGAAAGGGGAGTTCTCGTGGACGGAAGAAAAAGATGGGCGGCCTAAGGCTACCAGGCCGGACGATCTAAGGCATCGAGGCATCCCTGCTAAGCACAGGCCGCGTGTGCAGTCTTGGCATAGGTCACGGGACTTCGCGTCAAGCACGTGTTATGCTTTTTCATGTTTGCACTGTTTGTCTTTAGGGTTATCCGAGTCGTCCAGAGAGACAAGTTCAGACAACTAATAAGCCCTCTCCCAAGCGGACTTGACAGATGTCGGACATTGATCTACTAGTATAGATCTATGTCTCTATGGATTGTATTCTTTCGAATGTCTGGGAGTCGTTGATTGACACCTCGGCTGACTCACGGATGAACGATGAATCAGCAAACACGTAAAAGTCGGACTGAGCAATGTAAGCACACCTGAAGTGCAAGTATGTAATTTCAATTGCTTCACCAATGCCTAAAACGTAGTTATACGAATCGATTGAATTGAAGAGCAAGACGTAAAACACAGCGCGGTCGCGTCTAACGACGAGGCGAGGCGACGCTAGACGCGGGTCCCTCGCCGGGTGATCCTATGAGATGCGTGCAAAGAAGAGGCGCTCCGCTCCCGCACGCAGAAACCGCGTGTGATGACACCGCGAACGCGATCATGCTTGCTCCAACCTAACAGTCGACGGGACTTACGCCGTAAAATTGATTTGGCTTAGTACGACTACGACACTTCAACTTCTTTCGACTACTTACTCACACATACCTCCAATTCTGCTCTACGAATCTTCTCTTTTTTCGACTTCATACATCAAGTGATATCCTACCTCATGGGATCCGTAACCATCTACATCCCTCCCAACCTCTGCCCACTAATACGTGCCTGATCACTGATCATGGTTCCCGCCGACTCGACTCCTATCACGGCCACTTCATCTTCGCCATCTCAATCCTTTAATTCTTCGTCCCCGGCGGATCTTCACTACGCCTTTCTCGTTCATTCACAAAAGACACTGACTCAGAACCTTCCGCCTCGCGTCGACAATAAGATACTAGCGCGCCAGAAAAGGCGGCGTACAAGGTGAGCCACTGACCGCATTTACTGTCAATGAGCCATCTCATCAACTCGGAACAAGTGCTAACTTTGTTTATGGTTAGTCCTGAAGACCATGCCATTCTCGAGGCCGAATACAAAAAGAACCCGAAGCCAGATAAAGTCTCTCGAGCAAGTATAGTTAGCCAGGTTTCGCTAGGTGAAAAAGAGGTTCAGGTACGCGTTGGAAGCGCGTTCTCATCGTGCAATTTGTGCAGAAAGCACTTGCTAACATTTACCAAGATTTGGTTCCAGAACAGACGTCAGAATGACCGTCGAAAATCGAAGCCGCTCGAGCCACACGAATTAGTACGGCCTCCTGCTTTGGATGGTGTCTCGAATGGCTCCCCGACTAGTGATGGTACAAGTTCTCCTCGCAACGGCGAACAGGCCGAACAGCCAGAGGGGAACGTTAGGAGGGACGATGAGGACGCGCTCGCAGATCCGTCGAGCAACACTGATGATGATGAGTTGGAAACCTCAATGGCAGCCGGCTCTTTGAACCCGGAGACTTCTTTCTCGTCACTTGACTCGGCTGATATTGAGAACCTGGACACTTCGAGGGACATTACCGGCTTAGGCATACAAGTGAACGGAAAGAAACGACGACTTTCGGACATTGGAGCCTGCCATGGAGAACACAATGGACAACTCTGTCAAGAAGAAATCAGATCTCCGCCGTCGCTTCGGATATCAATGTCGTTCGACGGCGAAGCTCTTCTCAGGAAAGAGGGGGAGCCCACTCCATCGCCACCAAAGGCTCGCACAGCAGTGAGAATTTCCCTATCTTCGGATGGCGAGGCTCTCATCCGCACCCAAGATGAACCGTCCCCATCGAAAAACCGCTTGCGATTTGTTCCTGGCCGTGTGCCACGCCAAACTAGCTTACGCAGAAGTGTCAGCGCAATCAATTTTGGGACACCCGGAGGTAGCCCATTGGCTCGAGAAGGGAACGGTATGAAACCGTTCGGTCGATCTCGCGATGCACGCATGTGGGAGACTTATTGTGACAATGACGCACGAAGCGCTCTATCAACACCACTCAGCTCTCAGCCGTCTAACAGTACTAGGACACCGGGCCTCTATCGCTCTGGTAGCCATCGGTCTGCCGCTCGCCACTCACTCTCGAAGCCGAACTTTTCGTCTCCAGCGATCGGCACGAATAATCAACCAGACGTGGTCGAGGTGTCGAGAGAGAAGAGGCGGAAACTGTCCCGCACGTTGTCATCTCTCGGACGACTCGAGTCCGTTCAGAAAGCAAGCCACCTGGCGCACGACTCGAACGGTGGCTTGAAGTCATTTCACAAGGCTGGTAAAGAAGGCGTTGAGCGAGGGGATCTGGAGGCGGGGGATTCGGATAAAGAGAACTGGGTTCCAGGAACCTATCGTCGACCAGACCCACGTCGTCATCAAAGAGCAAAGTCTCATACGCAACGGTCCGTTCTCAAAGAAAATGGCATTCGCAAGAATACCGTTGTCGATGACCTCGCATTGACCAAGCATGGCCGATTATATCGTGGCCCGCGGGGCACTAAGGATGTGAGAAACCCGTCACAAACCGCAGCCAAACTGGATGCCGAAGTCGCGGCTTTCATGACCAAGACCGGTTCCTCGAGCCGCGAAGAAGATCTTGACTGTATACAAGGACTCTTGTCCTTGAGTCAGGGAGCATGGCAATAACATGCAATACAGCCTATTGAATGAGTCGGGCTAAGAGACAAACCCTTACCATAACGAAGCGATGCTATCCATTCATTTTCCTTTGTCGATCTGCTGTTTTTATTTTCCCTCGGCTTGTATTTTGGTGTTTTACAGTTGTCTTCTTCCTGAATATCAATTTTGCGCCCCCAATCGTTGACGCCGGGACAGTCTGGTTTTGGTTGCGCGATGGTTGTACAGTGTATGCAGCAAGCAAGCGAGTCACTTGAGTATCATTGTGGTGTTTGGATCTGTACAGTTGGGATGATGATCAGATGCCGATAGAGCAGACAGAGTAATGAGCAATACAAGACTTTCATCGAATAATCCAGACTGTCAATAGAGAAAGAGGGAGAGAGAGCGAGAGAGAAAAAGAGAAAGTTGCCCCTTCGCAGGGAATGCACATGAGAAGGTGCCCCCGGGTTGCCCGTTTGGGACTAGTCGGTATTGCAACTGCTGATTTCTGACCAGTCACACCACTATTCTATCTCCAGACTCTGTATGTGATATATGGTCAACTACAAGTCGATAGAAAGCAGGAGCTGAGTATGTTCGAATTGCCCTACGAAAGAATGCCCGAAATATGCAACCACTAGCCCTACCTAAGTATCAGACTCGTAATCATCGCAGGAATATATCAACATCGTGAATGCGCGCAGGTAGGCTTGGAGATGCTCTCATCCACTGTGAATCAAAGTGACAACCAGATCTTGATTCATGAGCCCACCCTTGTAGATAGAAACAATTATTATACATTAAGGAATAGTACACATCCAACACAGGATGCACCTGTCCAGCAAAGAGCATTGGAATCACGAAGGTACAAGCAAGTGCGGATTGAATAGCCAAGGAGAGTCGATTTCAAAGAAAGTACTGTAGAATGTCTACATGAGAAGGGGAATAATTGCCAACACACCAGCAACGACTGCGAGCGTTCCAGAGAAGAAGGACGGCTGGGAAACCGAGGCGCCAGTATAGACCGGGGAAGTTGCGCTCGTGGTTGACGATAGTCCAGTCTTGACAGGAGAAGATGAAGTAGCGATGCCGGTAGAAGAAGCCGGGCTGAGAGCTTTGCTGGATGATTTTGAGCCAGCGCCGGGGCCCGAGCCAGTGTTAGATCCAGAACCGGAGCCGAAGCCGGAACCAGAGCCAGTGCTGGAACCTGAGCCAGAGTTAGATCCTGATCCTGATCCTGAACCAGTGCCAGTGCCAGAGCCAGAGCCAGTACTGGTACTTGAGCCAGAGTTAGATCCTGATCCTGATCCTGATCCTGATCCTGAACCAGAGCCAGTGCTGGAACCTGAGCCAGAGTTAGATCCTGATCCTGAACCTGAACCAGAGCCGGTGTTGGAGCCAGAGCCAGCGTTAGATCCTGAGCCCGAACCTGGAGCTGAACCAGTGCTCGAACTTGAGCTGGACGTCGAAGTTGCCTGGGCTGCGGTAACAGGACACACTGTAGTGGACACAATTATAGTCTCGGTAGTAACATAGCTTGTGCGCTGATTAGCAGGGCAGTTAGTGATAGTGGTTGGGCAAGCAGTGATCGTAGCTGTGCGAGTTGAGAAGATAGTTGAAGTAGTGAAGTCACCTGATCCAGGCTCGCCGGGACCCTGAGTGCTAACAGCTATTGAGGTAGTGACTGATCCACCATTTTTGTTACCGGGTACAGATGTGGTGCTGGAAGAACCGGTGAAAATGGTAGAGATTAAGTTTGAAGGAGTGCCAGACACTCCCGAAGATTGAGCAGTGGTCAGCAATGATGTAGTTGGTAAAACAGGAGTTGAGGTTGAGCGATGAGGGCGGCGTGTGCAAGGACGAGTAGCACGCGACGAAGAACTGGAGATCTGAGCTGACGATGAAGGACGCACTGTGCCAGAGGGACTGAGAGTCTTGCGTGTGCAAGGACGAGTAGCACGCGACGTGGGAATGGAGACCTGAGCTGACGATGAAGGACGCACGGCACCAGAGGAACTGAGAGTCTTGCGTGTGCAAGGGCGTGTGGGACGATGGGAAGAAGGACGAACAGCAGCCGACGAGGAGGGAGATACGCTAGTAACAACCGATGAAGATGCCGAAATTATAGCCGAAGAAGAGGCTGACACAACAGCCGACGAAGCTGCCGAGATAACGGCCGAAGAAGATGGCAAAGAGACCACAGCATGCGATGAAGGGCGAGGTGTTTGTATTGGCGTCGGAGTAGGGGCAGTTGAGAATGAAGTTGTGCAGACGCTGGTAGGGCCTGAAACTTCAAAGTTATCCCAGCCAATGTACCACTCTGATCCACCATAGGAGGAGCCACAGTCAATAGCGTAAATAACATCATGGGTACTAGAAGTAGCTTTGAATGTGAAAGTATGCTTCTGCCAGTTATTATAAGCTCCTGATATAGAAAAATACTCGTAATAGATCTGGTTGGTAGCGGCGTTCGAGTCAAGATAGGCATAATTCCAGCAACCCCCCAGGGACCCGCCCAGCTGAACGTTGATGTAGTATGAACCAGTATAAGTACTACCAATTTCGAGTCCCGTGATCGTTTGAGAAAGGTCAAATGCATGGTTGTAGCCTTTAGTCTGGAGGTACCACTGTCCGTCCTCATCTGCTGCGATCTTCGCAGCGGAAGTGCCCGCCTCGACGACGCTGTATGACGGATAGGCGTTCGTAAAGGTCCAGTCTTCGGCCGTTCCGTCTTCAAAACTGGGGTTCTCAAAGAATTGCACTGAAGTATCTGAACACGATACTATCGGAGTCACAGTTGACATCACAGGAACGATCTGCGCAAGGAGCGCGAGTAAGGGGAGACTGCTCCCCAAAGTTGATACAATCGCCATGTTTAGTCTCCACGTCCGCAATTGCAAGGATTCGGGTGTCAAGCAAAAGTAAAAACTGACTGGCTCTAAAAGCGAATGATCCTTTGACTGGCTTGCAACAATTTCCTTGGGAAGGAGAAATGAAGTGGTGAAAACGAAGGACGAAAGGTGAGACAGCACTTGATTTCTTCAGTCCGCACAAGAAGAAGGGATCATTTCTGTAGTGGACATCTCCACTCCTATATAAATAGGAGCTGTCGGCATCGTGACCACTTTTCGCTCCAGTATTAGCGGCTATAACTGTGAGAAATTCCGGTATACAGTCTCTTTAGGTTTGTAGACACGACACTATCTCGGTAAATATTCTCAATACGAGAGTCCAGAGACCCATACCGAGGGGTCCACCAGCGCAGAATCGCCGAAAGAAGACGGAATGAGCAAAAAGAGTCGAAAACCGAGTCGTGAAATGGAGTCGATGGATCCAAACCACGTTGTGTGGCGGACTACTAGATTAGCGTGCGCGCGATGTGCCTATCCGGTGCCTTGCTTACTGCTAGCGCTGAGTATGTTCCACTTCTCACCGAATGCTTCCAGCTTGGCCGTTGAAGAACTTTTATTTGTACAAACATTGAAAGAGTGGCTCAATTTGCCGATTGCGAAAAGTCCGTCGGAATTGTCAGCCCTAATTAAGGACTCTTTCCGCGACTGTCGGATACCGAGAGGGTGGGAGAAATACTAGAATGAATAGAGTTGTAGTTGAGATTAATTGTCATCATACTATGGAGCCCTTACATGCTATTTACCGATATACTGCTACAGGCGAAACGCTGACTGAGATGTTGATCACCAAGGAGCAATGCAGTGATAACCGACGCCATAGAAAAAACGAGCTTGGCAGACGTGTAGACATGTCTATCGCCAATCTTTCCATCAATCCAAACAACTTCCATCATCACTGACCTTGTACTGTTGCCAAAACTACAGGAGCCCGGAGTGCCGTTGTGTTCCCCTTATGGAACATGGTATTACCAGTCATCACCCCCGGAGTTCCTGTAGGCAATGAATCGTCTTTTCTGACTCCGAGGCCCAATTGACCTAGACTGTAAAGGTCGCATATTTGCCCAGCGGCGCGTTCACCACTCCAATAAGCACCAGTCGTCGTGCCCAATCCGACAAATGGTGCAGTATGCTCTCCAGCAAACCACACCCCACGATCAGGACCCATGCCAAGTCGCATCGCTTCAATGTCTTTGTCGCCAGCTTCCAGCCCAACCTGGAAATTTGCATAGGAACCATTGCCGGCGTAGTCATCGGATATCCATTTAGACGCTTGAAAAGCAGTGGGCGTACATGACTCGGACGAGGCGGAATATCCGGGAAGAGAAGAATAAAATGGCCGGACAAAGTGATCGAGAAATTCGTAATACTCGAGTGATGATTCATCCATGTCTTTGATGCTATTGACAACCCAGGCGGATGTGGGCCCGTAGATATAGAATAGGAGTGTTGGATGCGCACAATTTGGCGGAAGTGCTGCCAATGAGACACACTGCATGTTCCAGCTTCCTTCCTCTGAAGGGGCTTTGACATACGTCGGTTCCAGCCACTGTGTGAAGGCTGGTGGATACTTGTCGCTATCACTATCGGGCACAAAGTCGGGGCCATTGGTAACTGTGATTCCGGTGCCGCTTGCCGACTTGCGCTCGGTAGGTATATGCCAAAAGGCACGTGGGAAAGTAACGTAAATCTTCTCGAGTCGACCGTATGATATGTTGTCGATTGCAGAAGTTAAGCGTAATGGTAACGACGGACTGAAAACAGACTTGTTCTTCTTCAGCCAGCCCAGGGGACAAGTGACGATAACATCGTCGAACTGATACTTTTTCCCAGCTTCCGTTACGACGGTGATGTGACGGTCACTGGTAACCTCTCTGTTGGCTGCTTCTATTTGAACAACAGGTGAATTCAAGTGAAGATCCGCATGTTTTAATGCTAATTTCGAGATATGGTCGAGGATGTTTTTGTACGTAGATGCCACGAACAAATTCGCTGGACAAATTAGTCTTCCGCCGATTGGATAGTGGATGTTGAAAAGACTTACTCCCTTCAATGCATTCTTCTAAGCAGAAGAATTTCATGCTCTGTCGTTCAACAGGTTCGCCGACATAGGCACCCCAAAATTTGGAGAATTCTTTGCAGGCGGCTTTTTCCGCCTCAGTAAAATCGGTCTTCTCGAGCTGCTTACAGCAGTAGTCGTACAAACTCATACTGGCAGGTATCGAGTCCTTATTCTTGGTGCTGAACACGAAACCTTCATCAACGGTAGTCCACATCCACTCAGCCAACTTCATGGTGGTAGCTTCATCGAGCAACTTTCCATTGGTATCATATATCGTCTCACGCCCGTCCCATTCACAGGTGGTCGTATCTGATATCCTACTGATCTGATCGATTGGATTGCCTTCTGTTCCGTGGATCCAGTTTGCGCCTCTTTATAAGTGGTTAGCTTACTACAAGGCGGACAATTTTCGTTTTCGACTCACAAATCCACCAGATTTCCACCAACTTCAACCTGCGTTATCTGTGGCAAACCGTCAGCCCGTTTTTCAGAAGGCAGAACCTACGATATCTATCATGGTCTAAGAACAGGATGGTCATGACTGTACCCTTCCGCCAATACGATTCCTCGCTTCTAAGATGGTAACTTTGGCGCCATTTTGGGCGAGAATATCAGCGCATCTTAGCCCAGATACACCGGCTCCGATAATTCCTACATGCGGAGTCTTCCCCATGAGAGCTAGTTGATATTTGCGTGCAGATAGTGGAAGTTTTCGACCGACAGCAGCTGGATGCAGAGTCGACTTGTGTCGCTGAACACTCGCGTACTGTAACCAGCTTGCTAGCTGAGCCAACTGATTAGCTTTGCACTCCATGATTGTATGCGTACGTTTTTGAAGACAGGGTTATGCAATGGTTTGGTGTAAAATGTTGGTTTGTGTGAAAATCTTGTGTAGAATCTTAATTTCCGGATAAGATCTTTTGAGGTCATAGAAGAAAATGAAAGTTCTAGGACGAATTCATTGCTGAGGACATGGCAGGCCAGCAGCAGCAGGAACGGCCGTGTGTAACGCTTGCCCATGGCCATCCTCATCCTGAATCCGAAACCCGTCATCTTCACGCTTGGCATGCGGGCTCGAGATGAAACAGGCAGGTACAGCCATAAAATGATGCATGATGCAGCATCATCAACCCGATTCGACCTGTTCAACTCCTCACAGGCGGCGACGATTGCGCTGGCGGCTACGGCGACAAAGGCAGCCTCTCTGTTCATGTACCTCATTCGATGCCTCGTCGAGAGACGACGCTGATCTGGACTCCAGCCGCGAGCACTCGCACATGCACAATTGATGAATTGGGTATAGGTAGGCAAGGAAAAAGCAAAAACACCGGATGTGCCACTCACATTCTGTGATACGGACTGATAAGAAGACGGGCCTTGTGACGTTCCCCGCTTGGCAGGATGAGCCGGGCAGTCGTGCGGTGGCTAGCAGTCTTGCGATGGAGTTTGACGATGAAACAACGATGAAAAATCCGGTGCTGTGTCCGGTATAGTATATCTAGGAAGTCCGGGACTGGGAGAGTAAAGATGATTCCTTTCGGGGACGAGGGGAAAAAAAGACCCTCATTCCTTATCAGCAAGCTCGGCCCGGCGATACCAATGATGCCCGACACTCCGCTGTGATTCGCTGCATTTTTCAATACTTACTGTACTAGCAATGTTGAATATTATCATACAAGTTATATGGACTCAGTCCTCTATGGTTATTGAAACGGTCTCTTGATTGGCAACTTGACTAGTACATCCACTAATTACGCTCCCAGAGATTCCGCAATCTTGATGCCAGCAGTCCGCCCGGAGAAAATACATCCACCAAGGAAGGTCCCTTCAAGTGAGCTGTATCCATGAACGCCTCCTCCGCCAAACCCAGCAACCTCTCCAGCGGCATATAGATTGGGAAATACCTCGCCGCCGGGACGAAGAACATTCGCGTCCAGGTTTGTTTCGAGTCCGCCGAGCGTCTTCCGGGTCAGAAGGTTCAGTCTGACGGCAATGAGAGGTCCGTGGCGAGGATCCAGGATCTCGTGAAGCTTGGAAACCCGCGAGAATCGTTCGGGCCAGTAGTTCTGTGCGTTACGTATCAACATGATTTGTGCATCTTTCGAGTACTTGTTTTTGACTTGGTCGTCCCTGATCTCGATTTCTCGTTTGATCTGCTCCACGTCTACTGACGGTCCGCCCTGTTCTTCGGCAAGTTTGTTCATCCTATGGACCAGAGCGGTCAAAGATTCGTCTACCACGAAATCTGCTCCATGATCTAAGAAGGCTTGGACAGGTTCTGTAGGGGAAGAACTGAAAAATCGCTGCTGTAGCGCCTTCCAGATACTCTTGCTGGTCAAATCTGGATTCTGTTCCGAGCCGGACAAAGCAAACTCCTTAGCGACGATGCTTCTGTTGAGAATGAACCAAGTATAGTCATACCCGGTAGCACAGATATGCTTGAGCGTGGCCAGAGTGTCGCATCCAGGATACAGAAACGGCGGTAGCCGTTTGCCAGTCGCATCCAACCACAATGACGATGGACCTGGTATGATTCGGATGCCATGTTGTGGCCAGATAGAGTTCCAATTTTGCAATCCTTCCGTGTAATGCCACATCCGGTCGCTGTTGACAATATTGGCTCCTGCTTGTTCTGCGATTTCGATCATTCGACCGTCGACATATGCAGGCACGCCGACGACGAACGAGCGCGGTACTTTAGGGCCCAGACGGTCGACCGGCCAGTTCTTCTTCACCAGTTCAACGTTACCACCAATTCCGCCGGATGTAATCAAAACTTTCGTCGCTTCAATTTCAAAGCTCTCAATGGCCTTTCGACTACTTTCAACCCCTCGCAAAGCATCCGACGTCTCCAATATCTGTCCCCGAACACCAACGACGGCCCCGGTTTGCTCATCAACTACAAGCTGGTCAACCTTGTGCCGAAACTTGAATTCTACCAGTCCTCTCTTGGCCGCCTCTCGTACTGGCTTCTCGAAAGCTTCGACAACTGCTGGCCCAGCACCCCAGGTAACATGAAACCTAGGGACAGAATTCCCATGGCCACTAGCGTTCCCACTACCCCGTTCTGCCCAACCAACACTTGAAAACGACATGCCAAAACTCTTCACATAAGCTTCTAGCTCATCGGTGGCAAAGTTAACAAATGCTTCGGCCCATTGCTTGGGCCAAAAGTCGGTGTCACGGTCAAATTGAGCGGAATTGAACCAGTCTTGCATGGCGAGCTCTCGACTGTCCTTGATGCCAAGGCGACGCTGGGAAGCGGAATTGACGCAGAACAAGCCACCCAGTGACCAGAACGCTTGTCCTCCCAGATTTGCTTCATTTTCCTGGTCGACGATGATTGTATGGACTCCGCGCCGTGAAAGCTCTGTTGCTGCAACGAGGCCGGCGAGACCTCCGCCAACAATGACAACTTGCGATTTACCGTTCGTCATTGTGAAATTGCAATAGATTTGCGGTTGGTGCGCTTGGGTGGCAATCTCGTTATACGGCACTTAATTCTAGCTTATTTACTTTTGTTGAAACGGACAGTGCCTAGATAAATACTTGTCCTGGCTGTATCACATGAATGTATATTTCCATAACCTTATGACCTTCTGTGGAGGGGTTGTCACGCAACGGCGGATATTAAATGCAAACGAGGGCCCGAAGGATCCATGTCCAGGTATAAATAGGATTAACCTAGACTCAAGCTAGGCTTTTTCAAGGCATTCATCTACTGGGAGATCGAATGGAGTGAGATATGGGGATGGCTGGAGACGATGCCCTCGGGTGTCGGCTGTGACCTGGAGGTAGATACTCCGCATGCTACCTAGGTATATATACATATATCCACTAGTAACATAAGTGTTTGTAGTATAGGCCGTAAGTTAGCGTGTATGGTCGGTGATTAAAAGAGCAGGAAAACCCATCCATCTCTCTCCGCACGATATGAATTTTTAATATTGCGCGGCCAAATCCGGTCGGAAACCGCTATAATATTTCGCAATTTATTCCTCGAAGTCAGAATTCTAGTTACGGGTGAAACGTTAAGAATGGCAGACGCTGTTGGTGGGATTGAGCAGGGTCGTACCATAAGTTTGCTGCGCTCGACCGCTTTTCTTACCTACAAGCTGCTGATTGGCCGACCCAGTCGCAATATAGCAACGGGCAGAACTGAATGTCACGTGCTTACAGCGAATACAGAGCGCTCGCACCTGTCTTACATACCGTTACCATATCGCCCTAATGAGGGGATCTCCTTTACGATAAAGCGGTATTTTGCTCTGACAAGAATACGCTTTGTTTGTCAGCTTCCTATTTCCCTCGTCTTTCTCCTGCCATTTCATGTTGAAACATACTCGTCTCCTCAGAAAGAGCGTTGGCATACAAAATCCGCTCAAGGACGTGGACGAATCAAGGACCAGCAGTGATGTTGACAACAGCGGCTACAGCTACAGTTTTTTGGATGCAAGCAAAGTGGAGGACGCGAATCAAGGGACCACAGTGGTGTACATAGTATGTACTACGGATCTGGGGTAGGATGCTATTCATTTTCATAGTCTCCATAGCTAAACTCAATATTGGGGTAGGCCATACCATTATATGCCATTGTCCTGCAGGGGTGGGATGAAAATTGTACGACGACGATTCTACATACCTGTGCACATATTACGCAGTCGTATTTCCTAAGTGTTGGTAACATAGTCACTAGGCATGTACATGACGGAAAGTGACCTGTCACTCCGTAAGTTGATGCAAACATACACGAGAATTCAAATAAAAAACAGATTGTTGAAGACAACCCCATGACGCCACACTAGACTCCATGTCAAATAGAAGCAACCCCAAATAGAAATACCGAAATAAAGAATAATATGCACGAATGGCCTCTGTCGTATCGGGTATCAAGACACGATGCATTCCGTAACGCCATTGCTAAGTAACATCTGCGCTTCGTATGAAAAAAAGTAATTCAAATACACGAAATTGAAGCCAAAGAGCCTCGCGATTATTGGCGGACGCATGCGCATATAGGTGGCTGATAAGAGATGCGCTCGAGAAGTGGTGGATGTTTGCGAGTAGAAATACCTGGTTCTCCTTCTAATCTTCCCAGATAGTCTCCAGGTCCAGGTCTTGCCGTCGCTCTGCTCCACAGACACTCCAACGCTTCCGTTTGTCATTTCTCGACGACCCGTAGCCTCTCGCGTTTCCAGACGGAGAGTTCTCTGCGGTAGGTCGGCGTCGTAGGCCATCTGCATCGGTCGCTTCGGCAGCTAGTTTCAATCGAGTCATTTCTTCCAACTCGAGCGCTTCGGCTTCGGCGTCTGCTTCCGCATCTGGGATATCGGGGATCGTCTCTAGAGAAGATATGCTCGGACTGCGTGAGCGAAGACTGGTCGGCGTGGACGGCATCGAGGAGGTAGAAGATATGGAAAGTCCGGGGTATGACTCGTTGAACTTCGTCGCCACCATGATTGGAGAGGAATGAACAGAGCCTGGGCTGCTGGTAGTGTTCGTCGTGATGCTTGAGAGGTTGCTGTGTAGTGATGACGTGGAAGGTCGTCGACCAGGCCGAGAAACTGGAGTATGCGTCGAAGGAGAAAATGGCGAGTAGGTCGGTTGCGATTCCGTCGATGGTGATGGTGTAGCCTCCGGTAGCTCGAGTTCTGCGTGTTCGGAAATGGTCTCTGAAATATTCAATGAGCTTAGGCTCAAAATTCGCATGTCATCCGCAGCACGCAACGGACTATGTCTTCGCATTGATTGCTCCAGAGGGCTCGGAGGTCTAGCAAAGCTTGGTGGATAAACATAGCGACCGCGAGAATCTAGTCCAGGCGACGAATGGGCTCTAGTCATCTGCATCGGAAAGGGGCTTGCGAGAGAACGAGATCGTGCATGAGTTCGTGACAGCGGCGAGCGGTTTCGGACCGGCGGCAAAGGGGTGGTAAACAGAGGAGGCACAGAAAGGAGATCCTCGTTTTGGGAATTTGCTTTGGACAAGGGTGTGCTTCCCACTGGCAGCGGAGAACGAGCCGGGCTGGGTGGGAGCTGTATTTGTTCCGGGGTTACGAATGATTCAGTCATCATGATGGCCTTAGTAAAGCTGTCCGCCGGAGAAAAAAGTCGAGCGCATGCTGCATCGAGGTTTCCGTAAGCCAGGCACACCTGTATTTGTCTGTTGCTTTGGCCGGTTGTTGTTGTTGTTATTATTGAATATGCCAACAGATCAACCTAACAGCACGCTGAAATCGAGACCCCGGCCGGAAAGTGACGACAGCACAACCAGCTGATCAGTAAATCATCACAGAGGATCGTTCGTATGAATGCGCTCCACAGCACTGAAGAGGCGACGGACCACGGTGTCTGAAATGGCGAAGCAAAAAGGAATCGGTGGTCTGGAGTGGTAGTGGAAGAAGAGGAAATACAATACGGGCAGTCGTGGTTGCAGCAAAAGATTGAAGACAGTTAGACTATATTGTAATATTTCCCTGTACTGGGCAGGACCGTCCGGCGGGGGGCGGTTTGTCTCAGGCGGAATCAGCGCGTAATATAAGAGAGCGCTGGTAAGGCCATGTAATTAATTACGGACAATACAATGAAGGCGCGGCCGTGTCACAAGCTACTTTTTTTTTTCTTTCTTTCTTTCTTTCTTTCTTTCTTTCTATTCTGTACTCTGAGTCTTCTATTATAATCACGAGTCTAGATCACGGAGCTGCGAATCTCCCCTCCCTCCTCTTTCCATACCCGTCTAGAATACTCCAAGTCCGTATCATCGACTACGTAGTATGTTCTGGACCGCTCGATACAACCGCCATTCCGCGTGCGGCGTCCTCGGAAGATCCGCTCCTATCAGCCACTCTCACATCTGTATTTGCTTCGTTTGCCAGATGATGTATTGACCTGGCAACAAACAAACAATGCCTACTAGGGCTAGGATGTGGTGTGTTCTTATCGACCTCGGATCCCTACAAGCATCGCAAATGAATGGCTTTCGGAAGTGTATGAATATGCATTGCTGAGAGTTTGATCACTATAGTTACAATGTGTGCTGTATATGCCAGGACCCGGCTTGGCAGAGAGAGAACGCGAGAGAGCTGCTACTGATTCTCGCTCTCTTCTGCTTTCTTGCCTGCCTTCTTCCGTGTATACGTCTCTCGAACAGGGTCGCCTTCGTCGTTGCAGACCACCCATTCACCAATACCATATTCTGCAGAAGCTTTCCTTTTGCCGCGTCCGCCGCCCCCGATGATCAGATTTCCAGGACGGTATTTGGGATCGGCTTTTAGACGACGAATGGCTGACACGTGGATCTCTGCATCGTCGGGAATATCACGAACTTCACCGCAAGGAAGCGGCCAGCGGATAGGTTTCCACGATCCATCGGGCTGCAGGTCCATACGTCGAAACGGCAAATACTCCATAATGCGCCAAGAAAGCACAGAACTCCACGGAAGTCCTGCGCCATATTCCAGGCAATCGTGCAGTACGCCTTTTGTGCTGGAGTGCTCAAGGGCAGTAAGGAAGCGATGAAGCGCACGACTTGTATTACGTTCGTTCTCATTCCGGGGAAGTTTGATTGTTGGTATCCCATTGCCATTTACATTGGCGCCATGACTCTCATCCTGACACCAATCCGGCTCTTGGTCATAGACATGGATGGGAGAGTAATTCTCAACATACTCTTCACAACATTCAAATTGTTTCATTTTCCTGTGGTCAAAATTCAAGCCAGCTTTCTGTGCCTCCTGAACCATCCAGACCAGTGGCGCATGGCTCAGAGCCCAGGATTCACCCTCCTCGAGACTCCAGCCACCTCCAATATCAGCGTGTCCACCTGGAAACCAAACTTCGCGAATATCTTGCTCTCTTACGTCGTCCTCACTGAGTTCATGTGCGATCTGCAGTGACGTAACATCGCTGTGTGTCGACGAACCGTCATCGATAGGGACATTGATCTCCGGGACGTCCAAGTTCGGATGACTCGTTTTTCGATTCTGTAATGGTGAAGGTGCGCGATATCGATCTATATGTTGCGTACTTCCGGCGCTGGAGCCACGTGGAGTCCGGTAGATGGATTCGCCCTCCTCTCGACCCCGGCGAGCGGCGGTCTTTTCATCTTCCTGTCCCGCTTTCTCCAGGTCGACATCGTAACCATCATTGTTTAAAGTGATTTTAGGGACCTCTTCTGGCTTTTCGCGATTGAGGTGAAGATGGTGCATGTGATCCCTTAGGTAATGGTCATGATGCTTGTGGTTCGCATGCCAGGGCTTCGACTCTGAAATCAGATCTTGGCGGAATTTGGCCCGTCTTTCATCAATACCGACCGCATGGCGAATCACGAGAGCAGAACTGCGAGCTGTATATGGAAATTTACTTCGTTGCATCCAGGCAGATTCGAATCGGGGTACACTGTTGACTGTATCGAAAAGTCCCATGAAGCGGATTCGACTGATTGGGCGACTGAACGTTTCGCGGAAAGCTTTCATATAATTGAAGAGTTTTTTCTTCTCTTCTTGGTCCTGGTCAGTTTGACCTCGTCGCTGTTGCCACTTGGCAAATGTTTTCCATGCGAAGCGGATCAACTCCTCGTTTCCAGCCTCCAATAGACCGATATAATCCAGCATTTCGGCCAAAAAGCGCGCAATGTATGAGCCACGGCTGAAGCCGAAAAAGTAGATATCGTCACCGGGAACGTAGTATCGCATGAGAAACTTGTACCCACCCATGACATGCTGATCGAACGACGACCCTACGGCAGAATCCTTGGCTTTCAGATAAGCCGAGCGAATGCGATGAATGGTGCCAGTGCTCGAGAGCGAAGTTGAGGTCACATAGGTGCCAATTCCTGGCTGATAGTAGTGGAATTGAGTACCGCGACTGCGATCGAGCATCTAAGACGGTGGTCAGAACACAGGTTGAGACACTCTGCTTCGTGGGAAAAGCTTACTCGAAATATCTTCAAGACATTGCTATCCGACTCGTCTCCCGAGAATTTGTTGCCTGTGCCGTCAAAGCAGAGCACGAAGGTCTTTGGAGCCTGTTGCGGCCCGATGGTCGGCTCCATTCTGATGTTTGTAGAATCACTGTGGTGCTTAATCCACGTTTTCGATCGTATCCGATGGATACGCTAATATTACCGAGAGTATATATACAAACCGGTGTCGACGCGCTGATAGTCAGTATGCGCCCAGTCGACGTCATGTACTCAAAAGTTTAGCCGGCAATAACAAGTTTATGATCATGCTGCACCATTGCAGTAGGGGGAAGAAGGCACGTTCGTATACCGACGGATGAATTTCGCTCACGAAGCTATTTCTCTTGTCGTCTCGGCAATGATGATTGAAATGGCAACCAATGCGGAGTACGCGACTCTCATTACGGATGGTGTGTACTTCAGTGGTAGTTACGTACTACCTATGATGAGACTTTGTCCGTGTAGTCGTAGCTTGCAACAAATTGCTGGCCCATAGATCACAACGTGTTCGGGATAAAGAGCAAGAATTTCCGTCTTATGCCTCGCTTCGTTGACAGACACGCTGATCATGACTGTGTGGCCCTGCACTGTCCCCTTCTGATTCAGATTTGGTTACTCTAGATGCACAGCTCGCATTAGCACGACTGGACTAGGGTGCTCGAGAGTCGAGAGCCTACGGAGTACAGTGGATACAGGCAAGCGCTGACAGCAATGGATTGCCCTGTTTTGGAATGAACCTCGGACATCCCTCTCCCTATCATCGACGGGTTTTTCAACTCGCTTTTCTTTCGTTTAAGCGTGTCGGACTGTCACAGTGGGGGGCAGGAAGCACTATCGAATAATCCACTGCTGCCTCGTGCTTGTCACTCAGAACTCAAAGACTAACTACGTAAAAGTTAGTGACTCGAATCAGAATGGAAATTGTGATGGATCTAGTTTTCGCGGCTTGAAGCTAGAAGAATAATTCAGGCGTGGTACTAGTAAACGATTGGTTATGGACAGGGGGCTTTGCGGCCCGCGTCGAGTGGAGCGATCCAAGTGTTCCTCAATTTTGGCTCTCCTGTGTGGTATCCCAGCCGTAAATACACGAGAAAAAGGAAAAAATCACATACTGTGGGTGGGTATTTTATCGTACTGTTACGTCCTAGGTGGTGGTTGCATACCTTATTCTCTTCTGTTTCCGGAGATCTCGCGAACTGGCAAACTCGAACTAAGACTTAGGCTTGTATATCACGACAGTCTTAAGACCCAGCCAAGCCAACTCAATCTGATTGACTTTGTTTGCTTTAAACATTCTACGTAATAGTACTTATGTATCGTATCGTGTCCACGAGATCGTTTGCCTGAACACTACGAGTATGGAGTACGATTACGACAGCTGGTATGGATCATCCATTGCTTGTTGCACAGACGCAAAAAAAATCACCACTGGGCAGCGTGTCGATTTCTCGAGCGGCGATCCATATCTTGTCGACCACAAGCACGGAGTACTGAATCAATACGATACCACCTTGGACAACATGGCGCATTCGATCTAGCAAAACAATGGCGATGGCAAGCTGAACTTGCGGGATACTCCGTAGTGACAGTAAGGAGGTCGACCGGGCAGATATGGTCGTGGAAGGTCCACCTGGGCTGGCCATGGCTTTGGAATTGAGAATCGGTTCGTCAATGCGCACGTAGTTGTACTTGGCTACGTACTAGTACTACGATGCTAGCCAGGTCACTAAGTTAGCTTGGAGCCAGAGGAAGTGTTGATGCTGAGACTGGACGAGAGTTGGTTGCCGGAGGAAAGAACAAAGTTCGGGAGCGGAAGGAAGGGACCACCCGAACCGTGACAGTCGGTCGCTCCTGCCTCAATGCCATGCTTTCCTTCCTTCCTTACTTCCTGCCTTCCTTCCGACGGGATGACATCTAATTCCCTTCATCCATCATCCTTCTCTATATGAATTTTCACTTCCTTCTGCCGTCGCTCAATTGTTTTCAGTACGTACTCTACTATCCTTGTGCACCCGACGGTGATACCCCACTGGTGTACCCTGAAGAACCCGGCTCGTAAGCGGAGGAATATTACGATGATCTCTACGGAGAACGGACTAGACTCGCTACCCTCCCCAGCGATCGGCTAGAATTTGGCCATCATGCATGATCCTGAACGCTAAGATGCTCTTTGGACGACTTTAGTTAGCCCTAGTGCTACGCTAGCATGCTTTACTTTTCGACTCTGGGTGAACCACCCACCAAATTCGACAAATTGAATCCACTGCAGACCGACAGCTTGCGCGTGGCGGGCTGAAAAGTGAAAACCCAAACCGGACACTTGTACCTCGAATGGAAAACGAAAGCAAAGTGGGTGGCAACCCCTGTCAACCCCCCTGCCCAATTACGACGCACATCCTAAGCGACAGCCTTTCTTCGACCACTTTCCTGTCATGATCGTGATGATTCTTGGCAATCTGGACAAGCTATTGGAGCTGAGCCATCGGACATATCTCCTATCGAGCTCAAGATGTGGATATACTGGACCCATCATCCCTCCGACTTTATCTCCCACCCGTGATGTGATTTTGTCTTCGACTACGAAGTACGGCTCGGCTATGCGGTGGACAGATTCATACGAAATAATTGCGCACGATGGCTTTAGAATCCAGCTTGCTCGCAACGAACATTGGTTGCATGCGACGGACAATTTGCGTGCTTTGTACAGGGTCTTAGATCTTGACACGTTGTTTTATGCAACGGGACCCTTGCGTCTTTGTCGTCGCGATTGGCGGTGAAGTCGGAACTCGGTGCCTTCAAACGACTGTCAATTGCCTACTCTGTAGCTTTTTTTTCTTTACCTAAGCTTACCGTATCCAACGCCGCCAAATTCAAACCGGACTCGACCTTTTTGCTCGGGGGTCCACCGCCATGATTGATCATCTTCGCAAAGAGACTTTCTTTCATCACCTGGCTGACGATTGTGGAGTCGACAATCTAAAAGAGTCTAAATGGTCTTCGTATCAACAAATAAAGCATCCGCAAATCAAAGGAGCAGCAAACTCAGTCACTAAATAAGGTAAGCCTTCGTGTTCACTCCACCGAACTTCAGAGAGAAGCTAGTCGCTTTTGAGTAACTTTCCCAGATAGGTAGGCGGGGKCGTTTTATGCACAAGTCATGCCATTCTCTGGTCCTTGCGGAGTCCCAAAACGCGGCTTTTCCATCGATCGACCCCGGGATCCACCGCTGATGAGATATTAGTCTGGCTCTATTGGCCACTAGTGAGCCCGAGATGGAGCGCCAAATGATGCTCGAATCGCTGGACTGTGAAATCTCATGCAGATTCAATGTTCCAAATCTGCGAGCAACATGGGCAAGACTTACCTGGTTCGACGAAGGAGAATCGAGAGCTTTCAGATCTAGGACCATCAGCAGGATCATGACATCATGTTACCGCCAATCACCTTGATAGTTGCCATGAGCAATGAAGCTCTGGCTCTGCTTTGTGCTCCGCACTTGATAAATCCACGTAGCAACAGGCTAACAGCTTACAAGCAATACAGCTGTACCTTGGACCTCGTAGCATTCATAGCTCCCTGTGGCTGCCTACTTACCTCTCGGGTCCACTACGTACGATCTGAGTTTCTCTTAAATACTTCTAGTCCTCCACTTTGCTCGGTTACTCATACAATTGTGCATTGTGATACCCTCTGATTTTATCTTTTCAATTTTTTTTTGCTTCTTCAAGTTGCGTGCCTGTCTTCAAGATGCGCAGGTTTTCTTCCGTATTCAAAAAGAAGGATGACTCTAAGGTCAAGGAGAATGGCCAGACCAGCGAAAAGGTGAATGGCAAGCGACAATCCAAGGCCGTCTCGAGCTCTGCTCCGCCTGCTGAGCCGGAAGACCACAGCAAGGCCCGGAATGAAGTCTCTGCTATCTTCGAGAGATACGCCCAAGTGATTCACGCGTCTCGAGAGCCATTGCCTACTCAAAGTGGCGATGGCACCTACCTGGAACATGGCCATGATCACTCCACCAGCCTGTTTTCTGATCTCCGATCATTGGGATTCAAAGACTATGGTACTCTCGTTGAAGTCATGAAAAACAAAGCGTCTGGCGGATATGTGGATGACAAGACTATGTTGATGGAGCGCATTATCCAGCTCGTCAGCGGACTTCCGTCTAACTCTGAGAGGAGGACTGAGCTTACAAATGCGTTCCTTGACGAACTTTGGGACTCTCTTCCACATCCACCTCTTTCGTAACACTCCCCAACCCAGACGATCGGTACGCCATACTAATAGTCATAGGTTTGTCGGACCCAAATTTGAATACCGATCTGCCGATGGCTCGTGGAACAATCCTACAATTCCATGGCTGGGCGCTGCCAACACTGAATACTCCCGCTCAATCGCGCCATTGACTATCCAACCGAGTGGTCTTCCAGATGCAGGTCTCATCTTTGACAGTATCATGGCCAGAGAGAAATTCACACCACACCCAAACAAAGTTTCCAGTGTCTTCTTCGCCTGGGCCTCGCTTATCATCCACGGCAAGTAGACCTCGGTAATGCGACAGCTGGGAAAGCATAATTCTAACGTCACATTATAGACATCTTCCAGACCGATTACAGAAACCCTCACATCTCTCAGACTTCCGCCTATCTGGATTTGTCCATCCTCTACGGTGATAACCAGGATGACCAGAATCAGATGCGTACTTTCAAAGATGGAAAGATCAAACCCGACTCCTTTTCGGAGCCCCGTCTCCAGGCTTTCCCTGCCATGTGCAACGTTCTCATGGTTATGTTAAATAGGTGAGAACTGTCRGGCCCGCCGTTGTAATGAGATTATTGACCAAGTTGCGCCTGTAGATTCCACAACAACGTCGTCGAACAGATTGCGCAGATCAATGAGAATGGCAGATTCAACAAACCTCGCCCAGGTCTTTCACCTGAGCAGACTGAAGCTGCCTGGAAGAAATATGACGAGGATCTTTTTCAAACCGGCCGATTGTAAGTCATAATCCAATAACATTAAGGTCAGCTCTAATTGTGTCCAGGATCACTTGCGGTCTGTACATTAACATCACTCTGTATGATTACTTGCGCACAATTGTCAACCTTAACAGGACCAATAGTACATGGTGTCTAGATCCCCGTGCCAGAATGCAGGGTACTCACACCACTCCCTCTGGTCTTGGAAACCAGTGTTCTGTGGAATTTAACCTCGCCTACCGCTGGCACTCGGCTACCAGTTATAATGATGAGAAGTGGACAGAAGAAGTCTACAGGGATTTGTTCGGTAAACCGGCCGAAGAGGTCTCCATGGTCGAGCTCCTTATGGGACTCAATAAATACGAACAGAGCATTGACAAGGATCCCTCTAAGCGTACTTTCGCCAACCTCCAACGTCAAGCAGACGGAACTTTCAAAGATGATGACCTTGTTAAGATCATGGCTAGCGCTGTTGAGGACGTCGCAGGTGAGTTGATCTACGTTTGCTCGTGCGCGCGATGTCTGACCTGAATTAGGATCTTTTGGCGCTCGCAACGTTCCCAAGGTTATGCGGTCCATTGAAATTCTTGGTATTGAGCAAGCCCGCAAATGGAACGTCGGTTCTCTGAACGAGTTCCGTAAGTTCTTCAACTTGAAACCGTACGAGACCTTTGAGGAAATCAACTCAGACCCATACGTTGCGGATCAACTTCGCCACCTTTATGAACATCCCGACTATGTCGAACTATACCCCGGTATCGTTGCTGAGGAAGCTAAGGAACCTATGGCTCCTGGTGTTGGTATCACGCCTACCTATACCATCTCGCGTGCCGTGTTGTCCGATGCTGTGGCTCTCGTACGCGGTGATCGTTTCTATACTACCGACCAAACACCACGAAACCTCACAAACTGGGGTTGGCAAGAAAGTGGTCATGACTTGAATATCAACCAGGGCTGTGTGTTCTACAAGCTTGCATTCCGTGCATTCCCCAACCATTTCAAATCCGATTCGATCTACGCACACTACCCCATGACCATCCCTGAAGAGAATAAGGTCATCATGAAGAACTTGGGACGTGAAGCTGACTACAGCTGGGATCCACCAACTTTCAACGCTCCCCGTGTGGAGCTGAAAACATACCAAGCTGCTGAGACTGTCCTCAAAGATACTCGCAACTTCCGTGTTACCTGGGGTGATGCCAGCGCATGGGTGTTTGGTGAGAAGACTGGATTTGATTACATGCTCTCTGGTGACACACCTTTCCACACTAAGCAACGTGAACTCCTTGAGAGGTCACTATACCAAGAAGGATGGGACTCTCGTCTAAAAGAATTTTATGAACAAATCACCCTGCAGTTGCTTCACGACAAGTCGTACACACTTGCCGGCACTAAGCAGGTGGATCTCACTCGAGAGTAAGTTGATCACATAGCAAAATTATTTATTGATATTTCTAATCGATTCTTACAGTGTTGGAAACCTTGCCACTGTGCACTTTGCTGCACATCTTTTCGGACTCCCATTGAAAACCAAGGGCAACCCACGAGGGATTTTCACTGAGCATGAGCTATACATGGCCAATGCCGTCATCTTCCAAGCTGTTTTCTTCGACTACGATTTGATGCGCTCCTATCCACTGCGTCAGGCTGCTCGTGCTGTTGCCAAGAAGATTGGAGAGATGGTTGAACTGAACGTCAAATCCATTGGTTCCAACGGCATTCTCTCCCACTTCATCGATGGCCTGCGCAAGCAAGATAACCCCTTGTCTGACTATGGCGTGAACGTGGTGAAGAATCTGCTTGACAGTGGTCTCAATGCGCATGAAGTCACCTGGACTCAGATCCTCCCAGCTGTTGTATCTATGGTGCCCAAATTGGGTCAGGTGGTAAGTTTCTTTGTTTAGACTGAAGCCTTTTCGCGGGAGACGTATTAATCAATATCTCATAGTTCACTCAAATCATCGACTTTTATCTGTCCGATGCTGGAAAGGCATACTTGCCCGAGATCAACCGCCTGGCCAAGTTGAACACACCGGAGTCCGACAAGGCTCTTACTCACTACGTACTTGAAGCCATTCGTCTCAACGGAACATACGGTGCCTACCGCGAAGCTCAACGAGACGTCACCGTTAACGATGGCGGTAATGAGATACAGATCAATAAGGGTGCCAAGGTTTTTGTCAGCTTCATCAGCGCCTCACGCGACCCAGTCGTCTTCCCCGAACCCGAAAAGGTTCTTCTTGACCGCCCCGTGGATTCATATGTCCACTACGGCATTGGAGCTCACTCTTGCCTCGGTCAGGATGCCAGCCTTATCGCCTTGACCTCCATGCTTCGCGTCGTTGGTCGTTTGGATAACCTCCGTCGTGCACGCGGTACCCAAGGCCTTCTGAAGAAAATCCCTCGTGAGGGTGGTTCTTACCACTACCTCCGCGAGGATGGCGGCAGCTTCACTCCGTTCCCAGCTAGTAAGTCGTCTCCCTTTATTTTTCTTAAATCAATTTCTTACAGATTTCACAGCTTTTAAAGTCGAATGGGATAGCGAACTCCCCGCCTTGAAGAACCGCGGAACATGGTAAGAAAATTAGCATCAAACGATGTGGTTAGGTATTCTGAATATGAGTCTCCTTGTGAGCGTACTGTGTAAATCTTGCGATATTTCTCTAATTCTAACATGAATCCCTTACATTTGTTTACGAGGGATTCCCTTAATTTGTCTTCGCGCTGCCCAGGTTTTACTGTGACATCATTTTTCCTAACGCATGAAGGGATGACAGATCTAATGACTATACTGCTAGATACTCGTACCCTTATTAGTAATGCGCTAGCAGCTTGACTACTCGCTAGATATAGGATCGCGATACCAAATAGTTACTTGTTTCTCAAGTCCAGACCTCTTGGGTTTTTGCTTTCTGGACCACTCAAAGGACAGCTAAGCATTGCCATATCGCAATGTAATTCTAAACGTACCTGCACTATTATGGAAGTTCTTTAAACAAATCACTCTCGACACAAATTTTTCAATTTGCGGGTACAAAGGTCTCGGGATACGGTACAATATATCGCACCAATCGTCATACTAGATTTCCCAGATAGATGCACAATCGTCCTCTTCTCTTTGCACTTTCTGTTAAAGTTTTCCTCATCCCCGCCGACACAGAGTTTAACAGATTGTCACCGGTTAATAGTCTTAGAGGGTGCACGCCGACAGAGAAGTGTGATTCGAAACAATACCTGAATAAAAAATTTACCCGACACCTAGGAAGTTATATTAACATTTCAGTAGACTGTAGAACAATCAAGCAAAAGCATTCGGTTCCCCCGCATCTCATTATTATCCGCTCAGGAATATCTGGGGTCATGTTGTTGAGTACGGCGCGTTCGGTGCTTGTATAAAGAGAGGTAGAGACTCGCGAGTAAGAGAAAATAATAATGCACCTAAGGCGAAACTATCACCGACTTGCCAATCATGAAAGTCCGTATTTTCTTCTCGTTGGCGGTTCTGCCACTCGCTGTAGCCGCGATTGTGCCTAGTTTGACGAAAACATTCTCGAACGTCACCATTTTTGATCCACCGTCTGACTACAACATTCCACGTACTCTGTATGCTCGTACTGTTCAGTTGCCCAACGGCGACTTGCTGGCCACATGGGAAAACTACTCTCCCGAACCACCAGCTGTCTATTTTCCTATATATCGCTCATCCGATCTTGGCAAAACCTGGAGCAAATTGTCAAAGGTACAAGACACTGCCAACGGGGTGGGACTACGTTATCAACCTTTCCTATATTACTTAGATGAAAGAATTGGGTCATTTGGTCCTGGTACCTTGCTCCTGGCTGGAAACAGTATTCCAACGGATCTGTCTACCACTCAGATTGATATTTATGCATCCCATGATTCCGGAAAGACGTGGCAATTTCTTAGTCACATTGCATCAGGAGGAGAAGCAATTCCCGATAATGGCCTGACGCCGGTCTGGGAGCCATTCTTGCTTGCTCAGTAAGTAGCCGTAAGCGAAATGTATTCCAAGGGAAGCATATACTAATTTTCCACCCTCAGCCATGGGAGGTTGATTTGTTATTATTCTGATCAGAGAGACAATGCAACATATGGACAGAAGCTCGTCCATCAGGTTTCGACGGATCTGAAATCTTGGGGGCCTGTGGTCAACGATGTGTATGCAGGTCTTCTACAAAGATCAATGATTGTCTCTTTGATCTAGGCTAATTAGAATACACTTTTAGCACGTATGATACATATACGGATCGCCCAGGCATGCCAGTCATTACCAAGGTATTTTTTCTCCTGTCCATCCGCCTGAGGGGTATCCTATTTCCCTCATATTCTGTTCTTGGTTTCTTTATTAAGCAGTCTTTCCATTCTCTAACTTCACACAGCTTCCCAATGGCCAATTCCTCATGACTTATGAACATGGCAGCTTCTTTGGCACTTCTAGCTATTCGTTCCCGGTCACATACAAGCTTTCAACAGACCCGGAAAACTTTGCAACTGCTTCCGGAACTCAAATGGTAGTTTCAAATGGAGCCACTCCTGATGGCTCGCCCTACGTTGTGTGGTCGTCTTATGGTTCTTCCAATGGCACCATCATTGTGAGCTCCGGAGGGTCAAGCTCTGTTTACGTCAACCAAGCTTTGGGTGCAGGCAATTGGACGGAGATCCCCACGCCCGAAAGTACGAGCTACACTCGGTCCTTGCGCATTTTGCAGGAGAAGGAGACTTACCTTCTGTTGAACGGTGGAGGCGTGCTCTCAGGAACATCTAACAGGGTGACTGTGTCCTTGATTGATCTTGAAAATGCATTGATATAAGTGATCTCTGATCTTCTAGATCAATGGGTATATACCCAAGAGTTCAATATTCTTTGGAAATATTGAATCTATTACCTAAGTAGGATCCAAAATATCAATAATCGCGCCCGTTCATGATTTTACAAAGTGTAGATATAGTCCTTTGCTATTAACAGTGGATAGGTGCTGCAAATGTTTTTATTGTCGATAGCTTTTACTAGTTCGATCCACGCCATAAATTAGCGGAACGTAATGTGGTCGACGTTGTAAGTTGTGTTCAATCCTCAGATCTCGCGTACTTTGAGTATGGGATAGCAGTGGTCGTTGTCCGTATATGATCAAGATTGTAATTCCCACGACGCCTATAAATGCTGGTATATGTACACCGATATGATGACTAAAGTCACCATTATGTCAATTCTCTCGAAGAATATGGAGTTCTCCATGAGCATTCTGTTCCGACTTGTACTCATAATCGTCTCGCCACGGAACTGACTCATCGTTCGGCCGTTTTCGCTGGAGCCTCAGTCTGCTCATTCGGGGCACTGCTCTGCGAAGCAGTCGGTATAGATGTTTCTTTGTTCAATTTATTGTCGGCGACTGCAGTAATCGATCTATTTGTTGCCACTTGTCAAAACCACCATTTCACCTCGTCTCATCGCTAAAAGTAGATGCGGGATCATATTTACGGATTCATTGTTCGTCGCTCGGCGTTAAATTGTTGGATCGCCGGGTGAAACGTGTAGTATCCTAGTGCAATAAAAAAAGGGGTTAGAAGACAGAACTTGAGCTATAATTGCTAACAGACAATGGATGGAGTGGTCATTCACACCTGTGAAAATACCGAGCCCGATGGCGACTGTTGCCGGGACAAGGCCGCGCAGTCCACTCATTTTGATTAATTAAATTCTTGAACAGTTTCAAAGTTCATATCGCGTGGGATCAAAGCATTTTATGAGGATAATGAAGGCTTATGCAAAGCTCAGTAGATGTCTTGTAGAGTGGATAAAAGGTAACTGCTCGGCAAGCTTGAAATTGTGAAATTGTTGGTTGCCTGAGAGCTGCGTGTTGATGCCTTAGCGCCTGAGGCAGGACACAGCTAATTAATCAATTTATCGAGCCGACGCGTCTTCCTTCCCCACAAACAGCCAGACGCGTCTCACCAAGTGGTGCGACAACTGCTCACTTCTGCTATACATATAAAACTCCACGCCGGCAACTTTATTCGTCTACTGTACGATGTTTTAGTCTTCTCTGAAGATATAAGACTACCGGGCTGAGAAATGGGAGACTTGTCTGGACGTACGAGTACAAATGAATACATGGCGGAACAAGGGTTACGTCCCGGACTCAGATGACGACGAGGATTTTGAAAGCCAGGAATCGAGGAAGGAATATAGCGAGGAACAAGCCCCTACGTTGGATGATGATGATAGAGATGGAGTACAACTGACTGGGCTTGGTGAAGATAAGAACAGCATTGAGAATGGCGAGGGCGTCAAGGAATATGAGCAATACTCGGAATCGGCGGAGCTAGGATCAGACCACAGCAGTTACAACGATGATGAGGATGAGGGTGCTCGTGAAAAAGACCAGGAATTACAGTCGGTAGAGCTGAATTTGAATGATGGAGGTCACAATAACAATGCCCATGATGGTGACCACGAGGGAAGCCATCATTTACTATCGGTAGACTTAGAGTTGAACAATGAGTCGGACACCTTGATCCCTCCTGAAACCGATCCTTTATTGGCAAAGTCTGGTTCAGCGATTGAGCCTCTGCTCACAGACGATGAGGCTGCTTCGTCAGATGATGAACTCCATTTCATTGGCGTTGTACCAAACAAATCAGAGACAATTTACACTACCAACTCCGCAGATATTCCAAATGATGTGTTGGGGTTCCAAAGTGATTCAGATTCTCCGCTTTCTTCTGCTCCATCGGTAATAGTTTCACCAGACTCAAGCCAACAAGCTCACCAAATCCATGGAGACCAACACTCCCAACCACAACGACTCGTTGCGCCTCAAATAGTGGACCTTGTGGATGAAGACGCTTTATCTCAAACTTTGACAAGTGATATTCTAGCATTGGACACGGAACTCCAACCCCAGCGACGATCATTACGCGAAAGAAAAGAGATACAAATGCATCCGTATCTCATAGAAGATGCCAAATATCAATCTCTTGTCAGAAAGGCAGGGCTTAAGCCAGTTCGTGTGGTTACTGCAGAATCTGCTGCCAGGCATACTCAAGGAGAAAGCCAAGAATCTATAATCGGTGCGCCTGAACCCCCGAGCAGTCCACCTAGCGAATTCATCTTCCCACCGTCCTCTCCTCCCGACCCATGCAAATCACCAGCTTCAATTAGCCGACAGCGGATACCCAAAGATAAGTCTCAATTGGTGCATGATCATGTCCAACCTCATTCGCAAAAGAGGAGAAAGTTGTTCCATGACAGCCAAGTCAAAAAGCATAAACAACAATTCCCATCTTGCAAGGTTGTGATTGATAAGGCAGATACTTTCGTCAGCCCCAATACTACACAATCAATTCAGGCTCCGCTATCACCACCTCGCTCAGGAAGCGTCCCATCCGCAGCTCATGTGGGAAAGGATGGATTCCGCTTCCCACGGGGCTTCACCCCTCCTGCAAAGACATTTGACACAACCGTACAGTCAGTCTCAATGGATGCAACCGATCTTACGATTGACGATGACTTCGACAGCGTTGCACCCCTGGACGCTGAAGACGACCATATAACTTCACAAACCTCAGTCGAAGATAATGAACCAGAGGAAAGTGCGTCAGAGATGGCGGTTAAACAATACCAGCGTAGAATCAAGGGCGTTCTTCCAGCGTCATGGTTAACGTTGGATCTTAAAAACAAAGGCGGAAAGACCGCCAATCCATCATCAGACAAACATCAACGAGAGTTGCTCTCTACACGTGCTGAACCACAGAAGGGGGTGGCGAGGCCAATCTCGCGACCACGGAGCATTGCCCTAGAGTCGCTCACACCGCGGGCGACTTTCGCGTTCCTGGAAGACTCATCTGACTCGGATGATGCCGACCTTGATGCGCCTGCTGCTGTTGACATCCAGGTTGCGAAAGAAAGCCGCAAGACCTCGGCCGATTTAAGGAAGTTTTACGATCCGACTAATGATATGGATGAAGATATTCCTGAAGACAACACACTTGAAGAGATTTTCTCGCCTGTACGCCGGTCACTATTCAGTCACAATAGATCACACTCGAGCATCCCGAAAACATACAAGAGAAAGCAAGTCTCTTACAGAAATAATCAACCGCAGAAGAGTCGTCCACTTCGGCAGGTGCGTCTCGACGACAGGACACCTCGCCCTTCAAAACGAAAAGTTCGAAGACCACAGATACCAAATTTAAGCATTTTGGATGCCCCAGATGTCGCTCGCCGATCTCGTAAAGAACAACCTCAGTTCTTACGGGTTGCCACTAGGCAAGCTCGATCGCGGAAAGACCAGGGAAGATCAAGTCCAAGTAGAAAAGTGTTCAACATGGCCACGCGAGAAGAGACGAAAGAGACAAATAAAGCTTTGTGGGATTGGAAGAAGGGATCTATGAAGCAAGCAAAGCTGTCGATGACCAGCACCCCGAGAAGTGCTCGTCAACCTCTCCAAAGCCTTTCAGCAAACAGACAAGAGCGTACGGATCGCAATCATACAAGTACTCTACCTCAGAATTCGGTCTCTGATGAGAGACCACGCTTTCTACGAGAGCTTGACCTGACATCAGAGAATCTTACATTTGCACAGCCACTGGCCGTTCCTCCCGTGAAAAGTCGAGTCATTTCGACGACCATGAAGCAATCAAGGCTCGTTAGAAAAAACGTCATCAGTAGGACACATGCCATAACCTCGCTACGAAGAAACGGCGCAAGACCTGTGGAATCCGAGATAGTCGGTGGTGAAGCAGGCCTTTCTCCTTATGCCTTCTCAGCTTCTCTGGCCGCACTAGACAAAGACCGCAAGCGAACGTTCACTCTAGACCGTTACATTTCTACGTTGGAGCCCCCTGATCAAGATCCATCACAATTCCCTCGACCTGCCATCCAGCCCATACCTGAAAGAATAGAGAATCAGCAGCCAGCACGACATAAGCCGCCAAGAAAACGAATTCCAGCTCGTGCAGAAGTGATTGATATTGATCCCATGCCGCAAATAACAGCTTCCTCAGAACCGGCGAAAAGGACACATACTACTCCAGTCGACAATACTAAGCGTTTAAGTAATACATTATATGGGTTCGGGAATTTTAGGGTCTTTTCTGTCGACTTTAACGTCTTGCCTATTCGCAAAGGGACATATTTTCACGATTCTACTTTTATCGGCGAATGTGGTCTTTCACGTTCACTTAATATCAACAAAAGAAACATGGATCAAGATGTAGGCTTTGCAGTCATTGACTTGGGCGATCAAGTTTTCCGCTGGGGTCCTTGGACTGAGCAAGTGTCTTCCGAATTGGGCGTGATCATGGACTTGATTAAGAATGAGATTGAGAAATATGGCTCATTGCCGGAGATTTCTTCCAATTCTGATACCTTTCGAGTTTTCGTTTTTGTGATTAGATGGATCACCGATACTATGCACTTCATTGACCCGATTGATCGAGTATCCTTCATCGAGCGTGTCGTACCTTTTATTTGCGATTTGCACAATCATGTCGCAACGGCGTGTCACGCGAATCATAGTGGATGGCAGGGTTACTTGAGGTTAGCAAGTCTCAACATGATTTTTGCCAATCAAATACGTCAAGTTGCATCTCACGAATTGGTGAATCCCTCTAAGAGAGAGGACACTCTGAATCTCGTCAAGACCGTTTCCCGCCAGATTTCTTCTCTAATGTACACCCATCATGGACTGCAAAATATTCGCCAATTCAATGAGAGAAATCAGGATGTCAATCTCGAATCTGGAATTCGCCATGGTTTCCCCGCGGTCGAAGCCCATATCATTCTTTTCCAGATCTTGCATTCATCCCAAGAATTCCAAGGATGGTTTAATGAGTTGGCGTTATTATCATTTGCTGATAAGGCATCTTCTTCAAACATTCAGCATCTTGAAGAGGTTTGGGAGGCAGTCTTCACCACGCTTCCACTCTATGAGATCGATGAATTCGGACTTGGTCGCCCTGGGCTTCGATTTCGTGATAAGTACGATCAATGGCCTATCGTTCAGACATTAGTTTCGAAGGTCTTGGATACGTATTATCTCGATTCGGATCAACCTACATTTTACATCAACTATTGCCGCGTCCTCTTCCAAAGATGTCTTCTTCTCATGGTGTCCTGGTCTTGGCGTCACTGCAAAGGAATTTTAGAAACACTGTTCGATTTCTATGCTAAAAACATGATGTACAATCTTAAAACTGAGCAAAGCTTTGGATCTCCATCATTCCTCGAAGCGCTGGATACGAACCCTACCATCGAGATTGAACCTTGTGACTCATCATTTCATCTGTTTCTCAAAATACTCGGCAGCGGCCTTCGCTACCTCTCCCAAGTCCACGACAAGAAGACGATGAGAAACATCACTTGGCGTCTTCTCCCTAACCATGGGCGAGTTTATCCAAAAGAAAAGCCTCTAGCTCATGAAGACCTCGATGCTTTGAGAAATCACCATGACCTTCTTTGTACCCTTTATTGGGCTGTTCCAGGTATTTGTCGACCGAGACTTCAGACGATTCGTAACGTGATTGATCCTGCAACATCCCATCTGGAAACGATGAGTTTGAGCATTCGCTCGTGGAGGAGACTTGTGCATTTCAAGCTATCAACGAATGAAGAAGATGCTGATTTGAAGCATTTTGCCGATTGGTACAAGTTCTTCGCTTCGGGGATAGTCCGGCAACACCAGCTTGCAAAAACTGAAGTCGAGGCGCAAGCAAAGAATCAAATGCATTTTTCAAAGCAGGACGTCGAGTCCACTGTATCACATAATCAACGTCAGATTGAGGCATTGATTTCTTCGACTATCACAGCTATGGATTCGGCTATTCAATCATCAAGATCCTTCGGTCAAGCTTGCCTTCTTGTGGAGGGGTTTCCTATTGTCAAGCTGTTTGAATTGTTTGATCCGGTTAATTCCAGAGCCAATCATATCATCTGTGATGGTCTGCAGCTCGTTATCAAATTTCTTGCAAAGGACTTACCTCTCGTCAATTCTACAAATTCTCCTACAAATGATGACAGCCAGGAATATGGAGACTGGTCCGCTCTTGAAGAAGTTTTTGATGGCGTGGCCGAACCCGCGGCAGCTGCTACGACTTTCCCGTATTTGCAAGAAGTTATTCGACCATGTGTCTCTCGCCTACTGTCCAATTGTTTCGGTGAAGACAGGCCTCCGGAGGACTCCTTGCTCCTCAAATTGACAGAGTGCTGGTCGGCTCTGGCACACGCTTCAGTAAGGAGTGGACTTGAACACTGGGATAGCTACCTTAATCCTTACAGCGGCAACTCCTGGACAGCCCTTCGAATGACTCCGCAGACCAAAAAGTTCGGGCCTCAGTTTCTCGCGAACTGTATAGAGAACGATAGTCAATTCTTCTCGGAATGTAGACTACAGATTCTGACAATGTGGGTGTCATGCCTTGTGGAGAGAACGTCGGCACTGAAATTTCAACACCGTCTCACGGAAGTACTTCTCAATGAAGATCAGACACTACTAATGAAGAATTTACCCTTCAATCGAGGGACAGATGGTCGATATCATGTCTCGCTGTCGGAGTTGACAGACAGACGGATATCATTGATTTCTAGCCTACTGTCGAATATGCGTGAGCATCTACAAACTCAAGATAACACTGGCTCCGTGAATACCAAAGCAATCGATGAGTACAGAGAACTGATCATGGCCATGATGGCAACGATGAAGACGAATTATCAAGAGCTCGGCCAGTCCGGAAAGACCGCGCGAGGACAGTACGTTGAATTTGTGCACGATATAATCAGCTTCATGCAGCAGCACACGCAATCGATCTGTCCCATCGATCGCTATTTCACAGACCCGTCTACATTTCCCCTTCCACTTGGCGATCCGGGGCTTGTTGTAGCAAAATTGAAAGGCTATGGCATTCGACTACCTGCAACAAAAGCTGCGAAGGAACTGGTAAATTTCTTGCAAGGCATATGCGAATCAGCGGCTTTGGATGATAGACAGGGTGAGCTCGTTGCTCAGCTCTGTGAGAGTATGGGTGAGACGTATGAGTCTGGCGACACTGCGAATCCAACACTGCGATCGTTTCTATTACATTGCTTGTTTCCAGCTTATATTGAGTGTGCACTAAGCAGCACTGCTGCTTGGATTTTTGTTCTGCCGGTCATGAAAGCAACGTCTCGAGCGGCGCGTGATTTGCTGTACGATGTTGACATCAATGATCCTGATTGCATCAAATCGGTGAACAGCATGTTTGGTGCCATTCTACGAGCTATCAGGCAGGTCATATACATCTTTATTCAAGATGCGGATTACACCGAAAAAACGCGCGCACTGCTGATCATCAAGTCTTGTATTGATATTATTTCCGCAATGGTCCCAATTCTCGATTATTTCGTCAGAAATGGACATTCCGACGATCACAACATGGCCATACTGGGACAATTACGCACATACACAGCCTTCATCGTGCAGAGACTTTTTGAACCATCTACCGTCATGGAAGACCAGTATGACATTTTCCCCGACGAGCTAACAGACAATACCCACGTGAACCCTCTCTTTCTAGAACATCGCACATATACAACTCGTCAGGTGCAAACGTACCTCCGCACCAATTGGTCAAAGCACAACGGTCGATATTTCGTCCGTCGCGGTCGGGAACCGAGAGTGGTAGAAACTGAGATCACCAAATCAAAGGAGATTGTCGACGTTCATTATGCAAAGTCCTCATTAGTTGAAGCGGCGAATATGTATCTACATCGTTGGGAGTCATTCAATCAGCCGGATGAGCAAAGTCGTTCTGATGCTTTTGGGGAATCCAAAGTCTACGACGCTTTAGGAGAAGGGTTCAATGACTTGCTACTGTAATCATTCTAATGTATTTTGATGTGCCAAAAGATTGCATGGATGGCGTTTTTTGTTTGTTTAATCGTTTCATGACCATATTAGACAACTGCATACTAATTTGAGTAGTGAATGACTTATATACAAGTATTTTAAAATACGCCATATTTAGGTTTCTTTGAACGACAGAAGCATCTATAGGTGCGTTCTTCATAGGCTGAAGGCTTCATGTAAACTTTTGTCGGTCTTGTATGGATACAAGGTTGTCACCAGATTAGGAAACTCCTGGCTCTTTCCCTAACTTGTTTCTTGCCTCGTGTCGTCCGAATATATCGAAAAGATATCAGCTCAAGGTCTTTGGGCGATTATGGTAGCAGAGTAAATGTAGCTGTAGGTAATGAAGGGTTACTCGAGCTTGATCAAAGCAAATATCTACACTATCCAGACACGCACCATATAAAGGGTGATCAGTAGCGTCATACGGATCAACCACAACCCTCAACTGATTCGGCATCGTACTACTAAACCTGACATAATTGGCCTCTCCTTCAACACATTTGAAATCGAAGACAAGTTTTGCCTCGCAATTTTGTATGTTGTTGTGTGTCAGATATATCAATGATCCCCTTGAGCCGGCAAAGGAGCTTGGGGTGCTGATGAACACTGTCCGTTCAGTACCGGCTCTGATGTAGTACGGTAAGACGCCGTCTATAGAGCCGGCTTTTATTCTGGGATCTGCTTCGTAGAGATCTGAGCCGAGCTGATTGTTGATCGTGAGGATGGTGCGGTACGCGATTGGCATCGTCAGGTTGGTAACTCCAGCGAAAGATTTGCTTCTCAAAATAGGACGATAGTTTACTTGATTATCTTAAAGGCCTGGTGTTTTGACATATGTCAATAGACTATACAATTGATCTTGTAAGTGATGTCTTGATTGCGTAACGTATAGGAAACTCTATCCGAGGGCAAAAACAACAATAAGAAACCTACAAAACGCATGAACATGTATTATCACGCTTGATATTATGACTTCAAGAGGTATCAAACAAATTAATGGAGTAAGAACAATCAACATAGAAGTGGAAAAGTAGCCAAGATTAAGCGTCTTGTTGAGTTATTTGCTTAAATTTCGGATCGGTTGGCAAATACGCTTGCGACATCCTTTTTCATATCGTACCTGCAAAGACAATATCAGTATTCGGGGCACGATGAAAGTATCGAAGTTTGGGTAAAATAAAAACATACGAGTTCATCTCTTCAATAGTTAATTTGTTAGACTCGTCTTGTACGGTATATTTCTCGTTGTTCGTGTTGCTCGAGAATCCTATAAGTACTTGTTAGAACGACTGTGAATGTTCAGTCTATACGAGAGTAGTGCATACCAATGCGCTCATAAATATTCTCCCTGGCTCTTTGTGAGGCTGCTTGGACTCTTGTTGCCCGAGGCTTGCGAATCTTCTCGTACACTTCTAGAGCTTCACGGATGTCGCCGCGGAAATGTTCCTTGCTGAAAACTAGACCAAGACAAGCTGCGTCTTCGATGGCCATGCAGGCTCCTTGACTTTGATCTGGCATCATCTTTGAGAAAAGTCAGTGTCAGATTTAGTTTTCATTGTGATCGAAATTACTCTTACCGGATGTGCGGCGTCTCCCATCACACAAACAACCCCTTTCTGCCACCATTCATAGGGTTTATGCACCCACAATCTCCAAGGACGGATATCTTTACCAATGCTTAGATGCTTGAACACATTGCGGTCTAGATCCGGATATGGAGCTAGCAATTCTTCAACGGTAGACTCTTCATCCCATTTGTGGCTTGCGAAGTCTCCCTTTTCTCTGGGAAAGAAGCAGTAGTAAGAAAGCAGCTTACCACCGTTGCAAGGAGAGAGGACAATTTTATTGGGTGTGCCGTGACCTCCCCAGTATTCGATAGCGCTGTTCTGGGAGTAGTCGACGAGGCCAAGGGCAACGGCTTCCTCTGTCGTGACGTTGGTGTGAAGACAGCTGGAGGTGGAAGGCTTCTTTTCTGGGTGAATGTCTATCAAGCTACGTACGACGGAGCCGATTCCATCAGCGCCAATAACAACGTCATGTTGAGCCGTATGGCCGTTCTCGAATGTTATGAGGCCGGATGCAGTATCGATATTGACGCACTTCAACTCGGTTGTCAGTCATGTATCTTCCAAATGTTTTTCTTTGCGCAGCTTTTGAACTCGGTAGCCAAGAACTTACCTTGTGGTTGACAGTCAACTTGACCGGTGTTCCTTCACCCGCTTCTCCAACAGCGCTTTCCATTAACATGGCATGCATATACTGTCGGTGAAACATATTATAAACCTATACATAAAAAAGCTGTTAGTTGCTTGTCGGTCTTTCTTGAGCACAGCCCAAGGTGATAAATACTCACGTGTCCCCATTTCTCCTCATAGTCTGCTAAATCAAAAACGTTCATCGCCTCACCTGTTTCCCAGTCTCGGTTGATAAGTTTGCGCAGAATAACTGGATCTCCCATCTCAACATTGACGCCCCATTCATGAAGCCATCGAGTACCATTGGCTGCGCATGAGATAGAAGCACCAACTTCACCAGCAAAATCAGCACGCTCGTAAATAGTGACTATATGACCGGCGCGTCGAAGCGAGATACCCGCTGCGAGACCACCAATACCACCGCCAACAATGGCGATTGATAGAGGCTGCCAGGTAGCCGGCTCTGTCTTAGAAATCATTTTTGGGAGGGCGGAGCTATATAGTAAGGGGTTTTTTTTTGGTTGACAAGCAGACAAGGATAATATAGATAGATGCTGCCGTTTTCGCTAATGATGTTTAGCTATAACAGATTTTTTGTCTTTTCAGGCAAACACATGGCTATAAATGACTGACAAGGTTTCTTATGTCGAGATAAGAAATCAGGCTCGTGAGACGAATATTGCCTTTTTAGGCAAGTCTCTCATCCGTGTCCCGGACCGCGCACTACGCCATCGGAATTTCGCAAGATAGGTCAACTCAAAAGATAAGTAGATTCAATTTGATTCGTATGTTTTTATCAATATGCCGTTGCCTCGACTTGTTTATGATGTGGGTTCTGCTGTGAGCGGATTCTTGCTGTATAAGTGGACAGTTCATTGATAGTATACTGAGTTCCGTACGAATATGAATAGATGATTATAAGGGCTTAAGTTGGTTCATTATCCGACTGTTAGATAGGAAGATGGAAAACTACATTCGATATACACGATAGGCCGTCAAATTCCATCAAGCAGCAACCCGAACGGCTCGTAGTCAATCGAAAAACCTCCACCATCATCAAAAGGCAATACACTAAAACCATCGAGATCAACACCAACTGCAATATCTGAATCTGACTCATCTACTCTTCCCATATTATTATCCCCTACACCCGATGCAGACGTTGATGGCCGAGATATTTGTGTGTTCGCCTGCGGTATTTGCTCCCATGTACCGGAATAATCTCCTCCATCAATGGATCGTCCCTGACGATTATGCTGCGGCTCCATGATAGTGGTCATCCCAATATCTAGAACACAATCGATGTACCTATCTGCAATTTTCTGCCTCGCAGATGAAGTTTGCTGCCGATGTTTGACGATAGCCTCGGCAAAAGATGTCAGTATTTCATCGTATTGCTTAGCTTGAGGGCTGAGATTCGCAAGATTCCGGAGGACGTGTCTCGCACTCTCGAATGCTGCTTCAGTTTCATTGCGGGAATCCACATCGTCGTATGCAAAGAGTGAGAATCCAAGAATTAAACCGGCCGCGAAAACCCAAGCTCTACAGACCCCATTTAGTCAGTTATACGACCAATAGATAGTGTTCAAGTCTGCTTACTTCATTATGCACATGTTTTTCAAGAGGAGTCCTGATAACATGGCTTTCTCGCACATGTTTGCCATATAAGTAGCCGCACTAATACATACGTGAGCGAATTGAGGACTCGCACGTTGTGTTCCAGTCGTAGTGGGAGATGTAGGTTCTGGGATGATGATAGACGACTCTTTTAATCGAGACATCAAATGCGATATCAGAAATGAACGGGTCGTCAAAATAACTGCAAAATAGTATATACAGCTGACATGGATATTCCCAACAGCTGTTTCACGAGTCACTTGTAGCTCATCATCGAAGGATATTTGCCGGAAGTCATGAGGTAAGCCTTGAATCCAATGTCGTAAACGCCGAAGGAATGCTTCAGCTGTCGTGATATTGAAACTGTTGTTGACTTTCTTTAAATCTTGGACGATGCCTTCAAGCAACACAGATCCGTTATATGCAGCCGAAACTGCGATGCCATGAGGATTTGACGGTTCTCTTCGTGTCATGTCATCATAATTTGAAGGTACTGAACTAGCAGGCCGCCCAAGTAGGAAGCTAACCACAAGATCAAAAACTCGTAGCGACTTGTATGTTCGGCAGCTATGCACATCTTTATCAGTTGTGGAGAACACGGAACAATGAAAATACACTTACCGGGTCTTTGATTCGTCGGTTGACAATCCTTGGGCCTGCGTTCCTATATGCAACCCTAGAGCTGCTGCCGCCTTCGAAGCGACACCCAGGTACATATATGCCGCATTTCGATGACATGCTCCAAGCATATAAAACGCCATGAGGAGAAATGCACGGAGCATATTAATGCTAGGATCTCTAAGCATGCCCTCGAAAGCATATTGCTGGCCCATGGAAAAATATTTTGTAGCATATTGAAAATCAGAGATATTTGATCCGCGGCACTGACCTCCTATAGCTATTACAAGATACAGCACTGCTATTTCTTCGCGGTTTATTCTTCTTCCCGACGAAGAGACTTCGATATGGAGAAGTTTCAATATGTCCTCTTTGTCGAAGAGGTCGAAGAAGCCGCTGCTCTATGAGACAAAACTCAGAATGAATCCGTCAAGTGTTCAGAATGATAGATCTTACCACTTCAAAGTATGTCTGAATTAACTCTTGTTTTGTGGCTAGACTTTCCTCGAAGGTGATATTACGATTTAAATTCGTTTCTGCCTCAAGCATAACATTCAGGGGCCCATTCTCTGTGAAAGAAGATGGACCCATATATTGTTTCATAATCCCGCGTAGAAACTGCAAGAATGAGAGCGATGATGTCTCTCCGATATAGACTACTCATGTGATTTAGCTCATCGAGCATTGTCATACAGGCAGACTTCAGGGTTATTCTACCTTTCTCCCCTTTTGAGCTCAGCAGCAATCTACTTTCAGTACACTCCGGCGACTGTACTGAAGGCGCCTCCAATATCGAGCTTGTGAGCTCGATATCTCCATTCCCTTCTGGGCTTCTGTTTGTAGATTCATTAGCAGGCAGTCCGGTTGCAGGGCTACTGAAAGATGCAAATCTCGCTTCACCAGTCCGGCGAGCCCTTGGCAGCCGTCGCCTGTGTGTCTCGACATAAGTGCATGTGGCAGACCGATCACGGCGCACGCAGGAGATACATGGAGTTTGCGAGTCGCACCGTATCTTGGACGCCTGACACGGCAAGCAGGCTTTGGAGGAACGCTGGCGATCCTCTGGCCGGACTTTAGGACGGGGCATCTTTGAGATCCACTTTGGTCATCTCATATACTTGTTAAGATCGAAGGACCAACGACGGATCGTGCATATATAGTTCGGGTATGTTCTGACGGAGAGAGGAGCGTGGTGGGAGCAGAGATAAGGTGGTCGAGAAGCGTCAAGATAAGAGCGGTCGCTAGCCGGAATCCGCACGTCCCGGTCCGGTCCTTATCTCTGTCTCTCTGCCCTGTCTCCCTCCCTCGCCGTTTTGAATTAAACACTTTTAGTCCAGAAGTCAACTATCACTGTACCTATCGGCGCAAATCTGGACATCGATAACCAATTCATTAACTTGAGGGTTATCGCGCGGTCTCCACATTCGTTTTTTATAAATGGCGTCACCACTGGAGGCTCTGCCCATCAAACCAATTGCGGAAATTGTCACACGGCTTGACCTTAGCGATTTCGCCCATCACTTACATATATCCGTCGATGCTAATTGTTGTAGTCTTGCATTTGATGGATTTCTGGCCGGGTTCACTAATGTTGAAGCTACAAGGGAGGTTTCCGGGTCTTTCAAAAGGTTGACCGCACGATTATCGGCGCTCCCCAGGTCCATGCAGAGACTGGATCCAAGGAGATAGCCTTGCTGAACCGTCTGTACTATCTCACAATCAACGTGCACACGATCTCAGGACTCCCGCATCTCCAAGATTGCCATCTACGAGGATTTATTACCTCCGGAAAAGATCTTCTTCGCTTTCTCTCGGCTCTACAGTCCAACCGCAGGATGCGATCAGGTATCATTTTGAGCATCATTTTGCGAGATCAAGACCACTAGGGTCACCCGAGAGAATGCTGTGGCTCAGGTTATGGGCGCAAGGGTTTGGACCAAATTCAGGACCTTATGATTTTATAATGCTTCAAAACGACTATGTCGTCCCCGCATTATCAGTCAGCGAGTAATAAAGACTGTTACATGTCGGAAATAAAACTATGAGATAGTTATCTTTGTTATACTGCTAGAAATGAAGGCCATTTAAGGTTGGTCTGCGAAATATCCGGATTCGGCACAGTCCCGGACCGTAACCTCTAGATACAGCTTTCTGGTGATGTTACCCCGGAACCTTGGAAGTCAATGATTCTCGATTGAGACACTCCACTCTATTCTCCCTCCTGCACGGGATACAGAAAGCTTGTCGCGATCCGGGGTAGCACAATTCGCTATAGGGTAATTCCAACATGCAGACTATATAAATCCCTTGAGGGGTACATCTTCTAAGATTTCTTCTCTCATCCAACCTCGATAATACTTGCAAAATTTTGGTTGCTATATTGCCTGGTCTAACAAAACAATTCATTAAGCACAATATGTTGGGAAAAATTGCACTAGAAGAAGCATTCGCTCTTCCTCGTTTCCAAGAACGAACAAGATGGTGGGCGTCACTGTTCGCGGTCGACGCCGAAAAACATGCTTTCGAAATCACCGACCTCACCGACCAGCGCATCAAATATATGGACGAGCACGGTGTAGGATATACTATCCTGTCATACACTGCTCCCGGTGTTCAGGATATCTGGGATGCGAAGGAGGCTCATGCATTGGCTGTTGAGATTAATGACTATATTGGTCCATTCCTCAAGCAGCACCCTGATCGATTCGGCGCATTTGCGTATGTCATGTCTATCTATTTAGTTGCCACATCTGAAGCTAACTTTTGAAGTACACTCTCTATGCACGATCCCCAGCAAGCTGCCGACGAGCTCCGACGAACAGTTACTCAGTATGGCTTCAAGGGTGCCCTGGTCAACGATACGCAACGCTCGGGTCCTGACGGCGACGATATGATCTTCTATGATGGGCCTGAATGGGATATATTCTGGTCAACCGTCACCGAGCTTGATGTGCCTTTTTACCTCCACCCTCGTAACCCCACAGGCACGATTCACGAGAAGCTCTGGGCCAAGAGGAGCTGGCTTATTGGCCCCCCTTTGAGTTTCGCTCAAGGTGTCAGCCTGCATCTCCTCGGTATGGTTACCAATGGCGTTTTTGATCGTCACCCCAACCTACAGATTATCATCGGTCATCTCGGTGAACATTTGCCCTTTGATCTATGGAGAATCAACCATTGGTTCGAAGATGTCAAGAAGCCTCTAGGTTTGAAAGAGACTTGCAAAAAGACCATCAGAGACTATTTTGCACAGAACATCTGGATCACTACAAGCGGTCATTTCTCAACTCCGACATTGCAGTATTGTATCAACGAAGTTGGTGCAGACCGTATCTTGTTCTCGATTGACTATCCGTTTGAAAGTTTCAAGGATGGCTGCGTTTGGTATGATAGAGACGTTGAACTGAACCCGATAGATTATAAGAAGATTGGAAAGGAGAATGCTCGGAAGTTATTCAAGATTGGTGATTACAAGGACGCAGACGCATAGATGTTGCTGAACTATTGAAAGAGATAATACGCATGCAAGGTTAGGGTTATGTCGGATAGCTTTCATAACCTTGGAAGTCCAAGTCAACTATCGGAAATCATCATCTCCATAATTTACCACTGTATGAACTTCGACTACTGCATTTTCATTCGAAGACTGTGGATGTGCTGTGCTGTTTTGCTCTTATTCCAGATATTTTTATCTATCCTCCTCAACCTGTCGTGGATGGTACCGCGTAATCCTCACCTACTAAACATTCTCAGTTACACACTTTGTGGTTCCTGTCATAGTCTATATTCAAGTTATGTATTTGCCAGTTAATAGACACGTAAGTTAAAACAAGCCTCGAGTATGGGCTTCCTCCTGTGGGCTAATTGGTTCCCCATCTACCAAATTTTCAGCTTGATAGTGGGCTAGTCCACGCTCAACGGTCTCAGCCGCAGCGAGGACATACGAAGCTCACTTGGTCGGTGTTGGTTTTTAACTCCGTGAAAGCTTAGGTATAATTAAACTTGCCTAGGATTTGTTGGATTACCACCATGCTAATCCAAATGTAGTAGCCCTGATGTATTTAAATGAAGCTCTTCCTTTGACTAAAATGAATCAAATTCATCACCAATTCTTCCTCCGAATTTGGCACGCACTTGCGCCAAAATGGCACCTACAGTTTTCTTCGTCCCCGGCCTCTGGGAAGGCCCCTCCGTATTCGACAGCGTGTCTTCTCTTCTATCCAAGGATGGCATCACATCCGAATTCGCTACCCTGCGAAGTACCGGAACAACCTCGCCCGGAAACCCCTCCATGCAGGATGATATCAACGGAATTCGTGCAGATCTCGAGCCGACAATTTACAGAGGAGATGATGTAGTTTTGGTACTGCACTCGGCTGCTGGGTTTCTGGGCAGCGCGGCAGTCGAGGGACTAGTTGTGAAACATCCTCGCGAAAGAGGAGAGAATGGTGGAGTGGTTGGAATTGTGTTTATTACCGCCGGAATTTTGGACGTGGGTCAGCCACATCCTCCAATGGCAGCGTTTACGATTATTGAGGTCAGTTGTACGCTCTCTACAAACCACATTTTATCGCAGAGAACTAACCACAGACTTTGACCTGGTCAGGGCGGGGCAATGTACTGCCGTGAACCCGAAACAGCACTCTTTGGCGATCTGCCCGAGAGTGAGAGACCAGCGTTATTGGCAAGTCTCCAGACCCAGCCTGCCGAGAATTGGGATAATATCACGGTCTCGTACTGCGCCTGGAAGGATGTGCCGAGTGTGTATCTCATTTGTGAAAACGATACTGTGATTCCCCCACCTGTACAGGAGCACTGTGCTGCTTTGGCTGGAAGCAGCATAGAGCGATGCAGCGCTGGCCATGTGCCTCAGCTCAGTCAGCCGGAGAGAGTTGTCGAAGTTATCAAGGGCGCCATCACACAATTCTCATCATGAGCATTCACAATTAGCATGAATTGACGGGATGGTGATGGTGAGATGTGAGCTGTTGTCAATATTGATCAATATACCCGTGTTCTGATATAACTACCTATGTACCTGATTTATCCTAACGCCCCGATATGCCCGGTCCAAGAATCCAGTAGTAGAACAGAAAAAAAAAACAGCATTTTTTATCCGGAATAGATTAAACCTCTTCAATAAGCTTGCTTCCTGGAGCTACAACCCCAGACAACCCTCCGAATGGACGAGAGGCTGGTTTCCCGAGCATTTCTGTCGGAACGGCTACTTTGCAGCCTTCACTGGTACTGATCCAGCGTATGTAGGTTGGGTCTGCTTTTTCAGGCTCAACAGCGACATCGGGAGTAGCCTCGCCACCTAGTTCGCCTACTGGCACGCGGCCACGGCGTTTCGGTGCTTGTTTTTTGAGCAAACGATTGATAGTATCCATCTGTAAATGAGCGTTAGAGTCGATATCTAGACAGTCGCATTCACAAAAATTAGGGCGGTCATACCTTTTCTTCTTCGTTTCGTTTCTCGCTCAAATTCTTTCTGCGTCGTGCCATTTCAGCCCGTCGCATAGCATGCTCCTCTGCAGTGAGATGTTTCTTAACTTGCGGTTCTACACAAATCATCAATTAGTACATGTGTCAACGTGATGAATTGGGGCTTCCTACCCATTGGTAATTGCAAGAAATCAGTACCCAATGATCCTCGTTGACGTTTAGTCAGTTTGGTCAAGTCGAGTGCACTGTCGTCATCTGAGCCTAGCCCGTCATCCTCTTCCTCCTCTTCGATACCCTCCTCTTCCTCTTCGTCGTCGACTTCGTCTTCTTCCTCACCGACTTCACCCATCTCTTCGTCTTGGAGCATGGTGTCTTCGGGTTCTCCCTCGGCATCGCTGTCTAGTTCAGACAACTCCTCATTTTCTTCGTCTTCATCTTCGAGCTCCATTTCTTTCTGTTCAACAGGCTTGAGCGGCTTGGATTTGGTGGTCGCTAATCCCTGCTGTTGACGATTACGCCTTGACACAGCCGGCTGAGGTGTTTCGTCATCATCCATGTCTAAGTCTCCGTCCGCATCGAGCTCTTCTTCCTCACCAGCGGCGTCTTCCGACAAATCAGCTTCTTCGACATCTTCATCATCCTCCTCATCCACATCGTCATCCTCTTCGTCGTCACTGACTTCTCTCAGATTCCTGTTGCTCCTACTGCTACGCTTACCGTGGACAACAGGGTCTTCAGTAAAGATATTGTGACGATTGGCAGCGGAGGCAGAAGCCCTACTGCTCCTGCTGTTGGTCACTTGGCGCAATTTGCTTGAAGACATCTTGACTGTGAGATGTATAGACTTGGCCCCGGGCGACGAGCCTGGCGATGAGCGTGACACAGTGACCGAAGGAGCGGGGTCAATGGTCGCGGCGGCGGCTCCTCGTGTGAGGCGACCAGACCTTGTCGACATGTTAGCATCTTGTCCATCCAGCGACGAGCGCGGAGTCGCATGAGAACGCAGCGAGCGCGTCGACGGCATATTCAACAGATGGGATGAATAAATCGACAGGAAAAACACGGTACAGAAAGTAACGCAGCGAGGGTTATGATTAAGATGTCGCAACGAATATCAAGAACGCCAACATAAAGCTAGCTAGATGAAGCGAAAGAACAAACAAGAAGCAGGAAGAACAAAGATATTTGTGCGGGGGTGGAGCGGCGATGCGATCTGTAACCGGGACGTCAAACAGACAGATTTAACGTCGAGTGAGGTGCAAAGATCGAGCAACGCAAGTGCGCGAGGAGAAGAGTTGGTTGGGAGGTTCCCAGTCGGAGGGGAAATCCCGTGCGCGTCTTTTGTGTGGTTGACTGATGACACCGTTGAGAAGTCGATGAGCTAGCGGCAAACCGCCCATTCGGATTCCAAATTGGCACGCCAGATAAGACCAGATAGAGAAAGAGAGAGAGCTAGAGCTAGTACTGCAGGGTACGTTCTTTCTCCCCCTGTAGTTTTTTCTTCCTTTTTTCTTCCCTGCGATCACTGTTCAGGGATGATGACCGGTCGGAGATGAGAACAATTTGGAGGCTCGCGCTCTCTCACTGGTATGCTTGCAAAGTTACAGATCTCAATGGCGCAATCATAGTTTGGATGTTTGCATATTTAAGACGTCTCCTCCATTTGTTCGCTTGCTTGCTTGTTTGCTTCAGTGTGCACAAAGGGGAATAATGAATAAGAGGAACAGGACGAGGAATCAGGCCGATGTCAATCAATGCGGATGTTGTACTCGCCAGAGCCAAAGCAAGGAAAGAGACGGTCGGGTAAGGAGAACTGAGTTTGGCGCATCAAAGCCAACAAACAGAATGGAAACATGGCAGAGCACAAGGAGACACAGAAGCATGCGATGAGACAATCAGGTGGCGCTGGGACGAGTTACTTACTTGCTCGGAAGGGGCGCGGCGGTACCAACGGGGTCTGAGCTGCCCACAGTCAATGTGTCGATGATACGGCAAAGGGTCGTCGTTCCGGGCTTGTAGGCTATGCAGGCGATGATGATGCTGGTAGCACAACTCTGCTTTTCTGCTCCAGTCAGTCTGTCTTCTGGCTGTCAGTCCACACAGAAGGCTGACTGGATGATCTTTCGCGGTGGAGGCCCTTCCGGAAGGCGGTGAAGTTGTGATACACAACTTTACAGGATGCTTTTCAGTCGCCGATACGAGACAATTGTTTACTGAACACTGAAAGTGCCATTTTCGCTACACTTACTTTAAACAATTTTAAGCAAGACAATCAGCCTGTTGTAGCAAAAGGATGCCTTGGTGCCCGAATTAACTGTAGGCACGTGATGTAGTGAATGTAATACTCTGTATCCGGTAATATATCATGAGGCCGATTGGCCAGCAGCTAAGCCGAGGCAAATGGAAGGCCGTAATCTGGTAACTATCGTGAAAGCATCTCCAGCTGCCATTTACAGTTGACAACTCAGCACCACATTCAATGAGCTTGATCAGACATCACTCAAGATAGCTGCAATATGTCTGATAACTCGACCAAACCCGCAATCCCAGAATGGCAGCGCAAGGCCTCGTCAACGTCGTCACCGGTCCATCAGGGCACCTCCGATAAGCCAACTGAAAAAGCCACCGCAACCGAAGACGAACAGACCACCGCATCCCCTAATAGATCAGCTCTGCTAGAACAAGCAAAGACCTTTCTTGCTGATCCAGAAATCCGTGATGCCACGACAGATCGCAAAATAACGTTCCTCGAATCAAAGGGTCTCACCAACGACGAAATCGACTCGTTGCTCGGAGTAAGCCGCAATGAGGATGCGCCAACATCTACAGAAACGAACGACACAGCCAGTAACCAGGCGACGATCAACAATAATACAGCTTCTGCGACAGCGATAGCATCTACGCCGCCATCCAATGCGACGCCTTCGCCACGAGACGTGCCGCCGATAATCACATATCCTGAATTCCTCGTTAATGCTTCAGCGCAGAGCAACCCCCCTCTCATGTCACTTCGCAGTGTGGTGTATACTCTGTACGGTGCCGCCGGATTAGGCGCAACATTTTATGGCGCCAGTGAATTCCTGGTGAAGCCCATGCTCAGATCACTCGGTGACGCCAGACACGAACTTGCCCAGACCGCGTTGAACCACTTATTGACTCTGAATGAAAAGCTGGAGAATAATGTATCAAAAATACCCGCACGACCACTGTCAGGCAAGCTTGGAGAGGATGACGAAGACGATGATACGGAGTCTATCACATCGGACCCAACAGAAGTTTTCCACCGCGACATCGCAACGCAAACAACCCCCGAGCTGATGGACGACAGCCCCAGTACATTCGGCGCATCCTCGACCAATACTGACGACAATCCACACAAAGTGGTAGACTCTCACAAACAAACACTCGCCAAAATAACCTCCCACCTCCAAGAATTTGTCTCTGACGACACCACATCCGGCGAGCTGGACGATACAATGCGAAAGCGGATATTAGATCTGCAGTCATACCTCGACGGACTTAAATACTCGTCGTTTAATTCATATCTCAGCAACAATAACTTATATAACAATAGCTATAACTACTCAGTCGCCGGTGGGGATACGAGTGGCGGTAATCGGTCCAAGGAGGAGGATGCGATTTCAGCTTTTAGGGCGGAGATCAGAGGTGTCAAGGGTGCCCTGTTGAGTGCGAGGAATTTTCCGTCTGGGAGGCCTGCGGGCGTTACGAGATGATGTATCGCTGGTTGAGTTATAGATGTGTGTGTATATGTATAGTAACTAGGTAGCCTTTGCCACGGAAACGAATTTTGAATCTTCAATGTTGATATGACAGTTGTGTCGTGGCGTAAATAGTAACAATGATTTAATAATTAAACGGTACAAAAGGAGAAAATTTTTTATCTGACAATGTATAAAACAGAAATCCATAGTTCTTAAACCACACCACACCCCAGCAACAAGGATAGGACATATCTCATCTACTACTCAAATCTTATTCATAAAAGCTCAAAAGTCAGAGACATCTAGGGAGTTGCTCGGCTCATGCTGATCAAGCGTTTTACGCCGACCTATTCACGATCATGTTAGTTCTACCCTCCATTGTAATAAAGTTTCATGAGGTCAACTTACCATCCAGTTACCACATTCATCAGTCCGGTTCGTCAAAATGTCAAGATGGATGTTTTTCGCAGTCTCATAGTCCCGACCTTGTATCGCCTTGGACAACTCGACCATATCCGCAATTGTGTTGGGCTTGAGGAGATCCTCGTTGTTGAGATGGTCGAAGAGAATGTTTAGTCTTCGTTCGGCGTCGTCAACCTGGGCTTTGAAGGATGCTGGAGCTCGTGATTTCACGCGCTGCATGTCGTTGGAGAGAATCTCGTAGATGGGAGCGGAATTAGAGGGGATGTGAGATCGATCACCGGGGGCTAACAATTTCCAATTAGTATCGCAGTTATTAGCTTTTAGGGAATTGAACTTACGGTATTTGGGTGGAGGTGGTGCTGCCTTCTTTTGAGTTTGTGACTGTGCAGTTCCTGGTCGCGATCCAGCGGCTGGTGGTCCAGCAGCGGGCCCTGTCGGTGGTGGTCCGGCTTGTGCAGGAGCCCCAGCGGCTGGCGCATATGGGCTTGGAGCAGCGGCTTGTTGTGGTGGTGCATATGGACCGCTGGGTGGAGGTCTCGTTTGCGGCGCAGCTTGGGCAGCAGGACTAGGAGCATAGCGGTTGGTTGGTGGGGGGCCAGAAGGAGGTGCATTGTAAGGTGATGGGCCTCGTGGAATAGGTGGAGGCATGGCTAATCCAGGAACTGTAGGCGGCGATTGTGTTGTCGCTGGAGGAGCATATGCATTGAATGGCGTTGGTGGGTTGGAAGACACTGAGGATGCTCTGGGAGGGCCAACTGGAGGTGACGTGATACGAGGAGGGGGCGCAACGCCCTTTGGTGGTGGTGGAGGTGGAGGTCCTCTTTGTCCGCCTACAGAAGGACCAACCGGTGGGGAACCTGGAGATACAATTGATGGCTGTTGACCAGGGAAAGGAGCGGCGACTGCAGCTGGTGTACCGCGTCGCGACGTTGGCTTCGGTGCCCCAAATCCTTCGGGCAGATCGTTCCAGGCGGGGAGGTCGGTTCTGGTCGTGTAAGTAGAGACTTGAGCTCCAGAAGGAGACTGGTTATATCCCCTGGGAGGTGGTGGCACTCTTCCTGGTCCAGGGGGCGGAACACCATATTGTTGTGGCGGAGGTGCAATGGGTGGTTTTGCAGCTTCAACGGATTGATAAACACCAGATGGCTGATAAGGATTAGCTCCAAATGAAGCATAAGGATTGGATTGGTTAGCGGGTGCAACAGGGGGTGGAGTGTTTGTAGGGGCATATGGGTTGCTGACAGCTGGCGCTGGGCTAAAGGTTGGTTGAGGTGGTTGGTAGATGTTGGGCTGCGGGAGAGAGCTTGTTCGTGCTTGCGGGATCTGAGCAGTAGCCTTGGTTGCCTTGGAAGCAACAGCTGGAGCTTTCCGTGTAGCCAGTCTGATACGGCTCCTGGCAGCCTCGGCTTCGTCGTATTTGTCCGGGACAAGTCCAAGATACCGCTCTGCGACGTCAAGACGACCATGGGAAGCAGCAACGTCGGCATACTCAATATACTTGTCGTAAAGAACACTCAACTTCCAGTCAGCATCCTTCTGGCGGTCAGCATCCTGGTAGTTTGTCACTTGGCGGAAAATAGTGACTTTCTCGATAAATGCTTGCAAGGCACGGACATGCACGGAGAAACTAGATCCTTCCTGAGCTTCATCAATACCTGCCTTTTCACCTTCCTTGAACTCCTCGAGCCAGATAGTCACCACTTTCTCCAACTTCGATCCTGCCAAATAGCAGAAGGAAGCATCTTTACGACTGCTCTTATCGGAGTCGGCCTGAGCCTGCTCCTCTAGTCGGTCACCGAGGGCTTCACAAAGGTCAGGGAATTCCTTCTCATCCGCAAAAGTGCACAATGTTGCCATGATCTCTTTCCAGTTGGAAAGATCCGCATTATGAACAACATCCCACAAGTTCTTGCCCACGATCGAGGCCAACAAACGGACGTAGTTGGGCCCTCCAGTCTGTTTCGAGAAGTAAACTTCCTGCACCTTTTCAACACATTTATCTCCACCGCAAACAGCAATCATAAAAGCATCTGACAAACGATCCTCCTGAAGAGCAATATCAAGAGCGCGCTCGAATTGTCCCAAGAAAAGTGCTTTTGTGATTGACTTGTCAGCTTCGGACTCGCTCCCGCTGTAGATACTGAATGGGTTGTTGGTCCGCGCGCCCTTGGAAGCAGCCAAATCAGTCAAGAAATTATCAGATTCTCCGGACGTATCAAAGATGGACTGAAGACGTTTATGTTTTTTCTTTGTTTCAGCTGACGCCGGTGAAAGTTCGCCATTTGTCTCATCCTTGATATCCAACTTGCCCACTTCTTCCGCGACATCATTAGCATCATCAGAAAACCCAAGGTAGGCTGCAATATTCTTGCGTGGGTTTTCCGAGAGCAGGTTCTCGATGACCTTCCAGTCGGCTTTCTCCTCTTCGGTCGCTGCACTTTCGATGTGCGATTGACAGATGTTCTTGAGGTTGCCTTCTTTCAAAGCTGCTTCAAAGCTTTCCGCAGCGGTACCAACGGTGGTGTCAACCTGGAAGGGTGTGATTCTGACTTTGGAGGTACGGCTAGTGCTATCAGTCAGACCCACAGAGACGACTCTTCCACCGAACCCGAAAGATGCTGAAATGGGCCTCTCCAGCCACTTGGGGGTTTTCGATAGGGAGAATGTGGTAGCCTGAGGTTGGTTCTGTGCGCGAGCAAAGAAATCTTCTCCGTCCAAGGATTGGTTCTGGGTAGCTGCGGCCTGAGCAGCCTCCTTACTCGTATTCTGAAGTGTCTGGACGGTGATCTTGCCATCAAAGGAGGCAGTAGCAAAGAAGTTGGGGTTATGTGGGTTCCATCGTGTTTGGAAAGTCCAGTTCGTGACGATTGGCAACTCTCCGTACTTCTCACCCGTCTGAGGGTTCCAGCAGATTGTTCGGTTGTCCTTGCCCGATGACAAAAGGAGTTCTGGATCTTGGGCACACCATGAGAGTGATAGAATTCCGTCTTCGTGGCCTTTGAGGATCTGTAATGAAAAATCAATAAGCTACAAGTCTTGATGCGAGGTTGACTATGAGGGGCTTACCCGTTCAGGCGCATGAGAGTTTCGCAAGTCCCAAACAAGGATAACTGGATCTGATTCCGAGGGGGTGGATGTAACCAATTTCGTTGGCTGTCCTTGTCAGTCAATGGATTCACGGCTACCGAGAGGGTATTTCAAACCTTTTCGGGGTCCCAAGATACAGCGCTGACGGGCTTTCGGTTGTAGTTGGTAAGGGTAAGACTCTCTTTCTTTGTCTTCACATCCCAGACGGTGACAAAACCACCGCTGGTACCTGTCACCAAAATATGCGCAACCTTTTTATTCCAGTCCAAGCATTCGATGTCGTCGGCACGAGCGGCGTTTCCCAGACGGAATGGGTTCTCGACGTTGTTCAAGTCCGTGACGAAGAGCTACCACACAGTTAGCAAGATATCCTAAATGTACATTGACGCTGTGAGAGTGACATACCTCTCCTTTCATGCCACCGGTAGCAAGGAGGTTCGAGTGTTTTGGGTTGAACTGTAATGCTTTGATGGCACCGTTGTGCTTCTGTGGTGACGCTACCAATGCATCGCTTCTAGCCGTTAGCACTAGTCGTAGCAACTTGAATGGCCGTTGCAAACCTTGTTCCATTCAAAAGTCTGTCGGCATCCCAGAGTTTGAGAGATCCGTTATCGAGCGCTCCGGCGACGATTCCCCGCTTGTTATCGTAATGATCGCTCCAGGCGAGATCATGGAAACTGTCATAAGAGAAGGCAATAATCAGCGAACTGTCGTCTTAACACTAATTGATGGCTATCATAGCGTACCCCGACTCCGTGCCGACCTTGACTAGAGGCTGCAATTCCCCGACATTCTCCCTATCGAGTCCGAGATCCCACAATTCCAAGCTGGTCTCATTGGAAAAATCAAAATCCACGGCACCAGCCCTTGTTCCAGTCGCTAACAGGGGCGCCTGGGCACCGGGAGACCAGGCGAACGTGGCCGTTCGGGGAATCTCCCTGAGGCGCACCATGACAATGGCGGAGAGATGTGTATACTAATCGCGAGGGGTCCAGAGTAAACAATGGCTGATTAGAGGAGCATAAAGGTAGGGGATGCACCAGTCAACAGAAACTATTGAATTTGCAAATATTCAGTCAGAGCCACTGAAGCTATAGGCAAATCCTCAGTGTACTCACAGATGGTAATGGGGGATTGTCGATGTGCACACAATTGCTTGTCAGTGCTGGATGTATCCAAGTGGCCTTCTGGCGGCTGCTCGGACCACCCGTCCTGGGGGGCCCGCCTAACCAAGTCTAAGCTTTCCTACGTAGAGCGGCAACTCTCCCTCGGCGCCTCAAGCATCAGGCATCCGCTGCACGTGATTTCTTTGCATGCGGGCATCAATTGATCGCATCCTATATAGAAGTCTTGATGCTTCGTTGAGTAGAGCAAGCCAACCGCAAGATTCGTGTACTACTATTTTCTTTTAGCTTTGGATTGATATCGCAAACGCAGCCCCGGGACGATACACAAAATGAGCGAAACCACTCGACTAAAAAACACCATCTACGTGGGCGGCCTGGATCAAGCCGTGACAACGCAAACCCTCACAGAAGCTTTCTTGCCTTTTGGCGCGATTGTCGATGTGTCATTACCAAAGCCGGACTTGCCATCGTCAACAGACAACCACCGAGGATTTGGATACGTTGAATTTGAAGTCTCGCAGGACGCAAAGGAAGCTATCGACAATATGGACCAGAGCGAATTGTACGGTCGTATAATAAAAGTTGCTGCGGCAAAACCTCAAAGGGATGCGAACGAAGGTCTGGGGAGCAAGACAGCTATTTGGGAGCAGGTATGTACCAGTCTCCTACAGTGGATACCCAATGGGTTCGCTCATACTAACCACGTTCTAGGAGGGCTACCTTGCAAAATACGCTGTAAGCGAAGAAGACCGTCAAGCTGCCGAAGCACGACTAGCAGCAAATGGCCGCCCTGAAGACCCAATGCAAGGCCTGGAAGGGCTTGACGTCGCAGGACCCAAACCGGAGTAAACACACAATCAAAGCAGAAAGACAGTCTCAATTATTCTAAAGAAAGCACGGCGATACTATCGATATTGCTACATAGGCTGTTTTCTTGACCGTTCTGCAAATTGCCACCAATGACTGAAGAACCTTGCTTATATACAAAAACCGACAGACAATTTGTGTGAAGCCATTGAATTCTGCATGGACCATCTCTACAGATGGGCAGATTCCAACCAACAAATCCTGCTCCTCCCGCCATATCTGGGGAAACGCTTAGTGGTGGCTGCCACGGTCTTCGGGTTTGTTACGGGACAAGCGAAGGGTCTTGTCAGTGAAGAGCTTGTGGGTGGAGGAGTAGATGGCGGCGCCGACGGCAACGCTGTATGATCTAGTCAGAGGATATACAGGTGTGATTTTGTATGATATCGGGACTTACCCCAAGACAATACCTAGAATGAAATGTAAACGTTAGCCAGAATCCAATTGACTTGTTGCGGCTATGTATAATGCAAGCGAGAGCATGTAGAGCTTACCGAGAGGAATCAATTCGGGAGGGATCTTCTTGACCTGACGAAGGCGCTGTGAGATGGTATGAGCTACAAGCAGTTAGCCATTATTCATCATTTGCTGTAATGCCTTGCTGTTGTCTATTGGACGGGCAACCGTACCGCTCATGTCCTCCTTCTAAAGAACGCAGTCAGTAAAAACATCGCATGAAAGCACCAGGGTCGCAAAGGAACACATACAGGAGCAGCCATGAATGGCCGTGTCGGACGCATTGCAAGGGGACGAGTAGGGAACATCTTGATGCAATTCCAATCTTCAGCAGTGACTGGCTGAAACGGGGAGTGGAGAGTTGTGAGAGAGGCAGAGAGCGGCAAGAGAGTGACGTGAAGCTGTTAGAAGTTGGGTGGCATGGTCGTCGGTTTTCGGGTCCACGGGTAAGTTGGCTGCCCGCGCCACAGGTGTGGCTGGTGGCTCGCTAGGTCATTCCCGGCAGCTCAACGCCAAGAAAGCTCACCCGAGAGACCTCCAACGCCCTCTCTTTCTTCTGTCACACCACTCCCTCTCCTGCCATTGCGACCGCAACAACCTCCAATTCCGCCATTCAATTGATTCTTTCGAGAGTCTACCTTCAAAATGAGCAGCACTATCCCCGAGGCCGATCCCGATGAGCCCGTCGAGACCAAGCCCTTCAAGTTCGTGACTGGTGAGTTGGTTCCGGCCGTTGCGTGATGTTGAACTGCGCGCTTGAACAGAGTGAAACGGACCACAATTGCTAACTTTTACCAGCTGGTATGTTTCTAGATACTCCTATTTGGTGTTTTGTTCGATCGGCGATTTTCAAACGACGATTTCCGCTTTTTCATGTTCCACTGCAACTCGTCGGCGTAAACTAACCACCGATCTCGACAGGCTATGACGCCCGCTTTCCTTACCAGAACCAGTACGCATCCTTCCAACCCACCAACTTCATGCAGTCGGTATTAAACTTCTTCTAGGACAAAGCACTGCTGGCAGAACTATGTCGACTACCACAAGTGCATTCTCGCCAAGGGCGAGGACTTCCGCCCGTGCAAACAGGTAGATACACACAGGCTTTCAGTCCCGGGGAATGCTAATGTTGACCTACAGTTCTTCCTCGCTTACCGATCTCTCTGCCCCAAGGCCTGGACTGACCGATGGGACGACCAGCGTGGTCAGTAATCCTCATACTCGTCCGCTTATGGGAATGCAGTGCTAACCGTTTAACAGAGGCCGGCAACTTCCCTGCTCGTCTTGAGTAAAAGATGACGATGTGTCTTGCATTCAAGATAGCCAATTATGATCCTTCTGTACTCTACTCAATTAGATAGGCCAAGGACGTTTGTGTCCGGTGTCGGGGTCAGTCAAAGAACCAGGAAAGTTGTATATAAAGCGGTGTTTCAAAGTCAGGCAGAGAAGTGTTATTTCGATCAATCTATCTCTCTCATTATAATTAAATTACTGCGTGGTTACATAAAGTAAGCTTAGATCACGATACAGCGAGTCGCGCTTACTTGGGGTTTCGATGGTCGTCATCAAATACAGCATTGTAGACCTTCCAGTCTCCAAATGTCACAAGCGCGTTTGTCCTACGTTTGTCCTACTGAAAACAAAAGGCAATCAAATGGGTTCAGTGCTAAGTCAATGTGACTTGACCTCTATTCAGGATATTCTCCTAGTGTACGAATATACCTCCGTAGGTATCAGACATGGTACGACAGTACAACCACCTGATAGAATAACCTTGGCGATACCTGCGTAGACAAGCATACTAATTATGCACCAGATTTTCATGTGATACAGTACATAAATCCGATTATTTAGGTAGTGATCCATGGATATATGGTTCTGGGATTAGGGTTGTTGCTGCCTTGTTGTAGCCTAGACATAACCACCAAACCGTTTTCAAGGGGTTGGACGAAATGACCGATGCCTCATTCATGTGACGTTTATATTATTGGCCCGAGAGATGGATCGATTCTTAAAAGCTGAGACGCTGTGTATTGAAGAACGTTGGTTGACTGTATTGAGTAACATGTCAACCGCTTACTTTTCTCCCAAGACTCGTTACAACAACCAATATCTCGACTGCTATCTGCTTCTGACTTGGTTTCACAGAATACTCATTTCTATGAAAATCATCATTGTTCGCAATAATCATCTTGTCTCACGGTTTTTGATCTACGACTGGATGTCAATATGACCTACGAGCTGGCATCCGCTTATGACTACACCAACTTCTTCGACCAATTCTCCTTTTTCACTGTAAGTCTGACCAGAGAAATTGGGAGCTTCCTTTCAAATAAATTTCCCAGCTTACCTCTCGTCACTTATAGGCTTCTGACCCAACACATGGCTTCGTACATTACGTCGACGCCAACACAGCCCGAGAGTCGGGTCTTGCACAAATTATCAATAACCAGATATATGTTGGAGTTGACAACTTGACGACTTTAAATTATCCAAGTGGTGACCCACTTACAGATAGCATTGCGAATGGTCGCAAGAGTGTTCGCTTAGAGAGTCGTCAGACCTTCGATCAGGGTGTTTTGATTGCTGATTTCGCGCATCTACCCAGTAGTGTTTGCGGGACCTGGCCGGCGTATTGGACATATGATTATTCTGAGGATCCGTATGGCGAGGTCGACATTATCGAAGGCGCCAATAATCAGATCGGGGACATTATCAGTCTGCATACGAGCGCTGCATGCAGCTTGGACGTCGATCCCCAGAGTCAGACTGGGACAGATGTGAGAACAGACTGCTCACTTGCGACAAATTATGTCGATGGGTGCGGTGTATCTGGACAATCAAATTTATATGGAGATCCGTTCAATGCACAAGGTGGAGGAGTATGGGCATTGTGGCTCGATAAAGATGACCTCGCAGTCTGGATGTTTCCTCGGTTGAGCATTCCTGATGATATCGCGCGAGGCAAAGAGTTGACTCTCAAAAACTGGGGCAAACCGCTCTTGCATTTTAGATCTCATACCGGATGTCGTGTTCTGGACCAGTGGAAAAACCAAACCATTGTAAGTCTTTCTCGTTGAATATACTCTGGAACAGAATCTGATCCTACGACTAGATCTTCAACATCGACTTCTGCGGCGAGAATGCTGGTGGATCAAACTGGAACTCGCCAGCGAGTCTCTCTTCATCACAAAGCTGTGCAGATATCACAGGGGTTTCTTCTTGTGAAGCCTATGCCGCCGCCAATCCTCAAGCGTTTTCCAACTCTTATTTTCTCATCAATGGGGTGAAAATTTATAGATCTCGCATTCAAGTGGCTATAAACGAGAGTTATTCCGGTGGTGTTGCAAGCACGCGACAATCGTTGGGTCATGTTGTGTTGGTGTTGGTGGTTGGATGGGCGCTCGTCGCGGAGTGGTTCTCCTATTTAGTCTAACTCTTTCTTCTGTCTCCATCCCTGTTTCAGCATGAACGACATTTCTCTGGTTCGCATTGTGGAATCCGAACTTGTCAAACGCGCAAGATAAGATGGCCTGGGCAAATGTACCTTCCTCGCGGCGCAGTGGGCAGACACCTACCTTGTGGACAGCCGGCTTTTTCGTCTCCCAACTTCTTCTTCGCAAGAATCCTTTCTTTCTTTCTCAGTCAATCTATCCGGCCGTCTTTTTCCATTCTGATCGTGTTTAGATTCATTATCGTTAACCTGGGAAGCCTAGCCGTCAGATMCCCCGCCGCCACCCTATCCACTAGCTGCAGCTGCAGCTGCAGCTACGGACACTTGTTGTTCAGCTTGGCTGCCTATGCAGCCTCGTTCTGGAGACGGCACTTGCAGATCCAGCTAGTCTTTGTATGATTCGTACAAGCACCGAGTCAAGTCAGCCTCATCGACAGCCTATTTTCGCCATTACCAAGGTCTTAAACCCTGCTATCAGCGTTGTGGTCCTTAACTTGTGCATTATTCTTTTGACTAATCTGCCACCCTATATTAGGGGGCGTAGTCACACCTCAATTTTGAAGCAATATTTTTCTCAAACTATTCGCCACTTGCCCAAGAGCAAACACATACCTAGATACAGGCGAGATCTGGCATACAACATATTAAGCCGAAGAGAGAAGTATAGTATAAGAGACAGTCGCGAAGCAAAATGTCGTCAACACCGACATCCAGTTCGCAAGTGTCTTTAGTAACCCCGGCCGAATCTAGCGATGCAAGTATACAGATCGACAGCTCTTTGAAGAGGGACATCCTCAAGAGCATGGTCCAGGTTGCTGTGCGACAGACACGATCATACCAAGAGAGCTTGGCAGGAACATATCAAGCCAGCGCCTTTCTTGTTAACAAGGAGTATGGTCTTTTTTTCACAGCTGCTCATGCTGTAAACGGTCCCTGTGAGGGATACATCATCTCCCATAACGATGAGCGGGTATGTTTCCCCCCTCGAGTTTTTCTATCTTGTTCTGTGCTAACTAGAAAAGTGTGACTTCAACGTCAAATACCGAGATCCAGAGCATGACTATGCAATCTTGCAGTGCCCTCCGGAGGCCCTCAAAGCACTTGATTTGGAGTGTCTTACACTTAGCCCAGAGAAAGCCCTTGTTGGCTCTCACGTCTATTTGATTGGCAATGATAGTGGTGAAAAATTGAATATATTAAGGGGCACCATATCGCGATTGGATACACCTTCGCCGAGACATTTTGATAGCAACGTTGAACTGATTCAAGCTTCTGCTGCGGGTAAAGGAGGATGTTCCGGGGGTCCGTTGCTGACACTCAGTGGTGAGGCCATCGGCATTTGTGTCAGCGGTCACAACAATTCTCATCTGGATTGGTTTTTCCCGCTAACACATCCCGTCCATGTCTTGAATGATATCGTTAGCCAACGACCAGTCTCAAGAGGAACGATTCATACAGTTTGGAAACGTTTACCTTACTACGAGTGTCGACAGCTAGGTCTATCCCGAGAGAAGCAGGCTGAGTTCGACACCGACAGGAATGGATTGCTGGTTGCTGCAATTACCATCCCAGAGACAGAAGCCTTTGATTTCTTACAGGTGAATGACATACTTGTCTCGATCAATGGAAAACCTATGGTGCTCTTCACAGAGCTAGAAGAGTTATTGGATGCCAATGTCGGACAAAAGATTCAAGTCAGCATCATCAGATTCGGACAGGAGCTCACTTTCGAACTTACCGTGCACGACCTTTTGGCTATTGTACCAACTCGGATTTTAAATGATTCAGGGGCAGCATTTCACGATGTCCCGTACAGGACGGCAGTCTGCTGGAAGGTGCCGCTTAGAGGCATGTTTTTGGCCTCTTTAAGTCCCAACTTTTCTCTTGGGGACGAATCGAATGGTTATATAATCTCTTCTATCAACAACCAACCAACTCCGAATATTATTGAGGGAGAGAAAGTGCTGGGTAAACTCAAAGGTACGATTAACTACCCTGAATACGCCAAGAGCTAGTAGCCTTCAGCAGACAATGCGAATTTTCCATGGAACAGAACCTACAGGCTAATGTTTCATAGATCGCGAAAGAGTGTTTGTAAGGTATACTCATGCCACTACCAACACTCGGCCACAAACAACACACATCACTATTGACCGCCACTGGAACCAACTGACTGTGACGAACTTTAACCTTGATACCGAGAAATGGGAGTATTCCAGCGTTGACACTTCAGAGTCAAGTATAGCTAGTGAACCTGTTCAGTCAAACACTACAGTGGTGGATGTCAATTCGGTCGAAACGTCGTGGCTGTTCCAGATAAAGAGTCGATTTGTACAGGTAACATGGATTGCGCCGTCTGTTAATCTCGACGAAATCTCGGAGACCAGATTGGAGAGCTTTGGCTTCATTCTGCACAGTGGGCTGGCGTTTGCTGCCAAAACTACATGTCCACATGACCTGTGTGATATCTATATTGATATTGATGGCCGTGAGGTTTTGGGTGAAATCGTGCATATGGACAACCGACAGAATTGGGTTCTTATACGATACGACCCTGCCAATACCAGCACTGATACACTGAATACGGTTCAGCTCGCAACCGAGATCCCTCAGGAACTCGATACATTGACATTTGTCGGAATGGACGGTGCAGATATATTCCATACAACCAAGGCTACTGTCACAGGCTCATTTATTGCTGATTTTCTGTCACCTATACAGCATGCGGAAGTAGTAGACGTCGTGCAGATTGACGGTGGGTTGGCGCATTACTGTCTCTTTGGTGTTGTCTTGAATGAATTGCATCAAATTGCTGGCTTTTGGCTCGTGATGAAGAATAGCGGTCGTTATGTGCTTCCAGCGATAGGCGTTGCGTCTGTTGTACCTGAAATTCTCGCCGGGCGTCTTCCAAAGAGCCGGAAGAGATTTAACTTCCGCTTGGATATCATCCTACCGAAGAATGCTCGTATTATCGGTGTATCTGACGAGTATATCAAGGACGGTATCCGTGCCAATGGAGCACAGCATCGATTTTTCAGCGTTCGAAGGGCGACTCGAGAAGTGACAGAGTATATAAGGCACGGTGATGTCTTGCTCAGCATCAACGGGAAGAGAATCCAAAAGTATACAGACTTTGACGCTTTGGAGGACACTGAAAAGGAGACGGCAGAACTCCTTATCGTGCGTGATGGCAAGGAAACGGTCGTCGACTTTCCATTGAAGTTGGCTACCGATGGGTCAACGGATCGAGTGACCTGCATACTCGGAATGGTATTCCAGAGGCCTTATACAGATATAAAATATATCACCCAACACTTTCCAAGCGAGCTTATCTTTACATGCGCGGTATGTCCACTTCTCCTTACTCGTTTTGACATCACTGATTCGTGTTATTAGGCTTATGGCTCTCCTGGTCAACAAGCGTCATTGCCATATAACAATTTCGTCGTCGCTGTCAATGGAAAACGTGTACAGGATCGTGATTCGTTCCTTGCAGCAGTCAAAAAAGTCCCTGATGAAACGGATTTTACGATTCAATCAGAAGACTGGAACGGGAAAGAGTATAGTGATATTGTACGAAAGACAAGCCGTGCTGTAAGTTCGATCTATCATCTTTCTCGAAGCCATTACTAACGGTGTCAGTTTGGTTCATCTGAGTTTGTGAAAGATAATGGGAAATGGAAGAAAGTTCCATTACGGTGGGAAGATTTTACAGACTGAGTCTGTGTACTATGCTATGGAGGCTATGCTAGACCTTCTGCTTTCGGATCATTCATAGCTTTACTCTCATCTGTTGGACTAGATATCGGGCTTTTCAACTGATTATTACTCTCCGCTGTATGTTTTCTTTGTTGATACCATTTTACGGCCTTTCCGCTCTCCATAGGTAGCATATACGAACGTGGCATCTGGAGTCTATTCAAAGCTTTCTTATTTGCAAGTGAGCATAAACTCTTCTACTGTAATTGCCAGGATATTTACATGAATGCGTCCAACACAATTGCAACAAACAAAGACGGTCTGAAACATGTGCGATAAATCTTGCGACTCTTCAAGACCGATTCTAACGCGTATATCCCGAGCGCCATTCAAGCATCAATCGATGTATGAAATATCTCAAAAGCCATCCAAATCTATATGTGTATCTTACCAAAATAAACAAATGTGATCAGGTAGACTTTCTATAGGTCTTTGATCTTTCGATATAACTTCTTATGTTCCTCCAAGAACAGGAATGTAGCAATGGTATGGGGCCCTAGACGCACAAAAGCCGGTACCCACCCTCTAAACATCCACGACACACCTTCCTTGCGATATATATCACGCAAAAGATGCATCAACCCACTCTTGCTTTCCGAGGGCGACGCACTCATGACCCTCGTCTTGATCACGTCGACGGGACTACATACCGTCGTAGCCACGAAACCCGCTGATATCGACGCCGTGAAATGCGTCGAGAGACTATCCGGCATGCCGAATTTGTCGGTGCATATACGTTTGAAGATGTCGTAGGAGACAAGTTGGGAGGCGGTCATGAGCACTGCACGGGTCGAGTTGGGCCAAACACCGCGAAATAGACTGGTGACGCCTTCTTCGCGGGTCATGCGAATCAATCCGTCAATGGCGTGTTTGTAGTTTCGTCGTTGGTGGGCTGGTAGTGCGGCGTCGTGCTGCATCCGAACGTTCAACACATCGGCTCCGTTGCCGACTACGCCGCCTATAAATCCGGATACGCAGCCCATCCAGAGTAGACTCAGCATCTTAGGCGGACTGTTGGGGTCGGTGAATCGAGATTTTAGTTCCTCGTATATGCCGAAGCGGGTTGTTGAGTATGTCATCTGTCGAAGGATGGCGGCGGAAAGCTAAACACCGCAATTTAGTACAATCTCTCTTGTCGATTGAGTAAGCCTAACGTACACCGCTGTATAACCCCAGCACACCATTGCTCTTAGCGACATGGACGAATGTACCCAGCATAGATTTTGGCGCATTGGGAGCGCGGGTTTGTAATCGGACCTTTTAATGACGTCGGCGTTAGAATGAGTACTTTCGCGAGTGATGCATTCGAGCTTTACCTTTACTACAATCCATGTTAGTCGCTGTCACTTTGAAGAAGGGCCAGAAGAAGAAAACATACCAAGATCCAAAGGATGTGTAACAGCAGCAGCAAAACATGACGCCGACCCGCCGAACCAGAATGGATAATGGATTTTTTTCACCACTTTCTTTTGCGGTTGTGACTGCTGCTGCTCAGTTGTGGCAGGCATGAGCTCTGTCCTGACGCTGGTACCCACTGCCATTGTGTGCAGTGTGGTAGACGGTATTATGCATTCCGGATTGCTGCGCGCAATCAACCTTGGTGGTTATATCAATGCAAAATACTTGCGAGATTTTGAAGCTGAGCGATAAACTTGATTTCTTTACTGCGAGCAATCATTGGCTCCGGGGGGAGGTCCACTGCGGAATCGGTTCGGCAACTTGTCCGTCCGCGCTGGTTACTTCCATACTCGGGCCTATTTAAACTGCCGATATACACTTGGACTTCATGAAAATTGCTATGATAGGAACAGTATATACACTAGTAAGACAGGAGAAGAATAGTTTTTACTAATACATTGGTATAACTACAGGCAAGGTTATCTGATCTCAACCCCGAACCTCTCCACCAAAGTTTGCCGGACCTGCTCATGGATCACATTCACCTCCTTGTTGGTCAAAGTATGCTCTAGGCTTCGATAGTTGATCCGGTAACATAGACTCTTGCGTCCGGTTTTCGGATGCACAAACTCATCTACCAGCTTGACATCCTCCACAATGTCCTTGGCGCACTCTCGGACAATCTCCATCATATCATTGTCGTGGAATGGGACAGCGCCGCCCGCAGCACTTGTCGTAGCCGAGCTTAGCCAGAAAGCAACATCCTTGTAGCACTCGGGAAATTTGGAGAATGGCTGGAAACGAACGATCTTGTCGTCTTTGAATTGCGATAGGAACCGAGCATCCTTGGACCAAAAGAGACGAATGTCCGGAATCTCAAACAGAAGCATGGCAATACGTTCCAAGCCGAGTCCAAAAGCCCAGCCGATTCGATCAGGGACACCAGAGTTGTTGAGTAGTTCTTGCTTGATGACTCCGCAGCCTAGGACCTCGAGCCAATCACCCTGCCAGAACACCTCCAGTTCCCAGGAAGGGCTAGTGAATGGAAAGTATGCCTCTACCCATCTGATCTTCAAAGGCTCTTGTTGGGCCCCAGCAGCTTGAGAGACCTTGGAAGCTTCAGAGAATATTCGAACAACCAACAGCTCCAAGTTCCTTTTGAGATGCGCTGCTATAGCTTCAACTTCCTCCTGAGAGTGATACTCTGACTGTAAAGGATTGCGTTCGGCGTGCGTGACTGGGTTCGGATCCTCAACCTCTACATCATGCGTGGGCAATTTCTTGAGATCTTCAAAGATCTTTGCAGCACTTTCTGACGGAGTCATGCCAGGCGTGCGCTTCCACAATCGAGCGCCCTCCATCTGGTGAAACACCGGGTAATGACTCCTATCAATCGCATCCCTTCGATAGACATCGGCAGCCACTGTATAACCATCTTCTGTACTGTTCTCGTCTGCCATGCGACGAAAGTAATCCGCCTGGTGTGCGCTGGTGTGCGTTCGGAGGACCGTCTTCTCGTTCACGTAGTAAGTATCGGTTCGACTGCGTCCGGGGTGGTCTGCTGGAAACCCCAGAACATCGAAATTCTGAGTTGTCGTGACGACAGGGTTCTTTTCAATGTAGTTTCCATACGTCGGACCGTGGAATTGACTCTCGATGAGTTTCCGGGTTATGTAGAGCGGGTGATTATCCTGCGAATATAGTTGTTTGGAGATGTGAGAGAGAATAGAAGAGGTTGCGTTCGTCCATTGATCTGTAGGATACGTTTTTCCTTCCACGGTAATTGTGCCTGTTGGCTTTGCACCAAGTGTGGATTGTGTAAGAACTGGATTTGGTGTCGCTGCCGCCGACGGTGTTGATTTTTGCTCTGGTGCTTGAGATGAGCTGGAATACCTAAGCCCCGGCCGGTTCGCGACAGGAGTAAACAATGCGCAAGCCCCCTGGCCATTGACTCGATTCATTGACCATCGTGAGTGGTGTAGCCTGATAGCTCTGCCAGTAGCAAGGAGCCTCATTTTGACGATGCTTAGGCGTGCAAGCTTGAATGATCTAGAGAGATGTCGGACCCGAAATTCCACCTGGAAATAAATGCGGCGGAGCCCGGCACAACTTTCTTACTTCACCCACAGCTCCGTACGACCAACCAGACAATTATTTTGCAACTTTACACCAGCTGGTTCATTTTAAAGAAATATCTCAATTATATCGTAAGAAGAACAGTCGTCATTATTTATTTGCTTTTCACATGCCAACACCCAACTGAGAAATCCGAATCCAGACAGTCATGCGCCGTGCTATATAATATGCTGCAGAGAGGAGAGAGGAGAAAACATAGGAAAATCGCCCGCATTGCAAGCCACCATTAAATAATTCGCAAGATTTCCCACGATGTATAGTACACATATAAGCTCGGTAATCAAACAATGAATCGACCGAGACAAGTATACCCGAAGATGTTGAAAGTCGTCTCCGTTGGAGAACAAGTCGAATGATATTGTACAGTTTTGAGTAGAAAGTCATATACACGCCGTGATCACACGCTCACGGTCGAAGGAGAAGGTCGAAAAAGCGCTTAATCGTTCTTGACGACACCGACCTTGGCGGCCTTGAATGATTCACGTCAGTTGTTGTATACTCATACCTAAAATAGATGACTTACCCGCAAAACACGACCGTTTAAGCTATAACCCTTGCTCTGAACAAACATAATGTCACCGTTCTCCTTGCCCTCTGCCTTGGCCATGAAGGTTGCTTCATGAAGCTTAGGGTCGAATTTCGCAGTCTTTCCGTCGGCACAGTCCGAGGGGTCGAAGCGCTCGAGTCCGTGCTTCTTGAGAGTGTTCAAGAGAATGTTTTCGGTCATCTTCAATCCTTGGTGAAGCTCAAGGAGATCCTTGTTGGCCTCAGCGCCATCGGTAAGCTTGTCGGCAGGAACGACGGAGAGTGCGCGGTCGAAGTTGTCAATGGATTCGAGAAGGTCGACTGCGAATTTTTGGATAGCGAAAGATCGCGCGTTGTCCATGTCACGCTTAGTTCGTTCTTGAAGATTGCGGAAATCTGCGACGGAGCGGAGATATTTATCCTGTCGGAAATTTCTGTCAGCTCTGAATACATTCAAGCTTCGGTAGCTCTAACATACCTTCAAGTCAAGAACTTCCTTGTTCTTAGCTTCAAGCTCCTTCTTGATGGCATCCTCAGGAGACTCGGCTGCTTTCTCAGCACCTTCGCCGCTCTCTTTCTTAGCATCTTCTGCTTTGGTTCCGTTTTCTGTAGAGTAGGAGCGAGGTGTGAATCTGAAGGAGGATTGTTTCAAGGCGAACTGTTGGAAAGGCGAGGTTTGTCTCAACGGTGATGACGGAACTGAAGCTCTGTTTATTGATGAGAATACAGCACGGCGCTGTCTAAGAATTGTTCGTTGCAGCATCTTTAGTATATGGTATCGTAATACAGTTGACGAAAAAGAGAAAGCAGCAGGTCGCGTGATTGATGGAATGTTAGATTGATCGTGCAGAAGGTCCGAGATAGACGGAGTGATGGCATAACTTTTTCGGAAAAATGATGCAGGGAAAAACCATCTGCCGAGATACCGATATTATGTAATCAGCACTATGCCCTAACCTGACGTAGTTAGTCTTTTAAGTATAGTAAAGAGGGCTTTTCATTCCCTATAATGATCATATACTGACAAAGTATATGTTCTAGATAGCTTAAAAATCCTTTATTACGATAGATGGTCTTTCTATTTCCCAAACTGAGTGATAGACCTCTGGAGCTTTCTGAGGGAGAATCCGGTTCATGCAACCAAGATGTAATTGATACCCCATCCAGAAACACAATGTAGCGCTTGCAGTGTTGCAATGTTGATGGATCCAGTGTACCTCACTCATGAACCTGTTTGAGATTTATTGCAGCGGCCAGTGGTCGCACTATACTTGTCGAATAAACGCATCAAAAACGACCGACGTAAACGACCCGACTGCAAAGAGAGATGTCTCAAACACTTGGAGAATATATGTGGCTGGTGTAGTTGCTGAGAACCTAAGATAGATGCATACGAAGCCCACATCGTATATGCGCATTTTTCGGTCGAAGAATACCAGCGATCCCTGGTAGACTTGTACGAGACCCTCAAATAGCAGTTAAGAGACGCAGAAAGCAAGGACCTTTGAACCTGATTTAGGAAATAAGCTCAAGAGGTGCAAAACTAAGCTAACGTTTCGCAGAAAACACATATGAATACTATCATGTCACAATGAATAGTGAATATCATATTTTATGGCTATCTATCTATTATGTATTGACAGCCTTTTGCTGTGGGAAACCCACGATGGTAAAGTTATTGATCCTAGGCAGGGCTGTATCCGGTTTAAAGTCATGCCTCACCGTGATCTTTTTTTTTTAATCGTCCGCCATTTCGGCTAGACACGGAGAGAGTCGAATAAGGTGGAAATCAGAGGTAGATGATTCATATAATTTCATGGATATGGATTTGTGAATCTTCCCATCACTTGTCTCCACTAAGCGCAGTAGCTAAATTCGACTTCATATCTAAAACACGCTTTTAATGAGTACGAGACAGGCTCAAGTATATTCTTTGGCCACGCATCATACCTGATCATTGACAAGTTGACGAGTGTAGTAGAAAGTTTTGAGAACGATGTAGTTTTAGTGGAAAGGAGAAAAATTGACTCGACGCAAGTAACCGTTCGTCAAGCAGAACCTTCACAAAAGTAGAAGCGCGCAAACCTAAAGCAATGAAAGGTAGATATGAAGCTAGTTATGCTGCTTACTTTCTACAAAAGCATGATTGTTCCCGCCCAGAACCTCCACGTCAGCCTTGTCATTTCCTTCGCGCTTCAGCCTTGTCGAGGTTCATCTTAAAACGTCCCATCATAACATATCAGGTGAGTTATTTGTTGACACCCTTCAATCAGGCAGTCTCAAAGGACATCTTGAAACCATGGAAAAGCTACTGCACAGAGGAGCTAGAGTCAAAGATCATGTACGACGTTATCGAACATACGAAAATATGGTTCTGGATGAGTGGCTATACTGTGTAGTGGACATCAATTATAAGGGCGTCTTCTCGGGCATTTGTGTCTTGTGCGAACAACTTGTATCAAAATGTGGTCAAAGAATCGCCAAGGCCTGAGGGTGTTAGTCAATACCATTCGATAGAATTGATTTTAGACACGTCAAATTCTCGGCATTCTTGCAGTACGTACAGAAAGGTCACTTGGTTTTATGGTCATCGGTTTGCTGCATGAGTGGCGTAAAATACACACCAGTGAGTGGCCTAAGAATGGTTTGCCAACTCATTCATACAGCTTACACCCTCATGAAGTTATCTAAAACAACCTGGAGGTTTTCGCCCTTGAACTCTTTATCTGCTATATAGCCAGTGCCAGCCGCTATTCCTCGACTCTGTATCATCGAGAGAGCTCGGACCCCTCACGATATGTAAAACGAAATCAGGGAATGGGAGTCTGAATATGGCTGATTACAAAAAGTGACTTTTTCCGAAGACATTGTAATGAGCTTGTTGCTGACCCTACAAATCAAGGATTATTCGATCATCACAATTTATTTTCTTGGTTGGCAACGAGAAAACTCGTTTGTCAATTCATGCCGGTATTGTGCAAGCGATCTCAGATCCTCTCCGTGCTCTTATCGATAATGGTCATTTGACAGAGTCTATTACTGGTTGTGTAACTCTGGACGACGTTGAAGAGGAGACATTCATAGGATTCTGTGAATACGCGTATACCGGTGCATATGTGACTCCAGAGCTCAGCTTCGGCCAAGACCAAGAAATTACGTCAGATTCTGGCTGGTTCAAGTCTGCTAAGGAGTCAAATGGCGTACCAGTGAAACAAAGTGAAGAGCCGGCTGTTGAAGATGCAGAGCTAGATCGCACTTCTGACCACCTGGACGGCTGGGGTTTGAGCAACGCAAAAAAATTAAAGAGACCCCGAAAGAAGAAATCGGCTTTTTATTATGATGGAATCGAGGGAGAACAGCCTGAAGAACCTCCAGGCGAAATCACAATCATTTATCCATATGAAGAACTCTGGAAAAGGTTTCGACTCCGTAAATTTGACAGCGGACCAGCATCGTTCTCACCAAATCCCAATATCCTCTTTCACGCTAAGTTATGGGTTTTTGCAACCAAGTACCTCATTGAGCCGTTACGTCAGCAGTGCTTAAGATCTCTTCACAGAGATCTTAGTAGTTTCTCCCTGAATCGGAAGAATCGATCGTTGATTTTTGACCTTCTCGACCTCACATACGCGCACACGGGACGACTTGAAGTTGACGGACGATCCGCACTTCGCGATCTAGTCATCCATTATGTCGCCTGTGAAATACGAACGCTAGCCGACGATGAAAAGCTCACAGAGCTTCTGGACTCTGATGCGGAGATTGGCTCAGACCTTGTCATGAAATTAGTCACTTAGACTGACCTAATTGCATGCTACTTAGGCTCCTATTGACCTACGATCAATTCTTTTATCAGTTACATTGACCCTATAATACGATCAGAAATGACGTGCAGCAGTATAGAATGAAATTCATAGGGTGAAATATATCTGACATTCTGTGGATTACTACTCTACGCATCTTGCCTTGGAGTGAAATTCGAGCCTTATAACAGAGTCACGAGTGGCCATGTACAAACTATTCTTGTTGCACATAGTATGAGAAGCTTCGGTATTAAGAGATTCCACGTCTATAACACATCTTGAATGACACTTTCCTTCAGATTTTTTGGCCACCTCGGCTGTCAGCCATTCAATAGTGTAAAGTAGGCCATTTGCGGGAGCATCCACTGATCGTGATCGCCCATCGCATTCGATCTGCACTTCTAGTGATCCCGCAGTATATAAAGGGGAAACGCTCTTCATCTGCTTCGTCAACGAGGTACCTGGACAGAGCAGATCAACAGGTAAGTCATCCGAATCAGACGATACGTTCACACTTGAATTATCTGATCCCGTAATAACTTCGGTTACAGGAATATCCTCGATAGAAACCGCACTATCGATATCCAGCCCATGACCTTGGTTTTCATGCATTTGACTCCTAGCAGATGATGAATGACTATCTTCCGAACGCATGGATAATGGACTCAAGCCAGGTACAACGCTTTCTAGCGTTGAATCCGATATGGGCAGCGTCAACAGCGTGCTTTCTTGTGGAAACGGAAATATGATTCGCTTTTGCCTTGACAACATGGTACTCAAACTATCCTTGATTACAGCATCAAGGTAGCAATTTAACCGTCTTTCTAGATTGCTCAGATGCGGAATGGACGGGAGCCTCCAGCCAGGATATATTCTGCCATGACTTCGGGGCGCGTGCGCTATACCATGCATCGAAAGAAACGCATTACACAGATAACAGGCATCCTTGCTGGAAGCAATCACTCGAGGAAACTTCAGCAGGCGCTGAAGTTCACAATGGAAAATAAGCTGGACCTCCGCGTGAATCTTCGCTTGCTGTAATGTGTCCTTTGTTTGTTGTGAAAATCGACGAGCTGCCTCTGTTTGTGTTATTTGCAATGAATGCCAAATTTGACTGAGGTTGTTCGCTTTCATATTCGGTGCTATCCGCAAAATGGTGGATAGAAGTTGAGGTTCGTGCTTGTCGAATGAGAAACGTTGAAATGCGTCTTGCGGAAGGATGACAGTCTCAACTCTCGCTCGTCTGACAATAGGGAATTTTTTAGCAGTGCGAACCAGAAATCTGGTCGCCTCTCGATATCTTGCACATTTACTAATCATGTTCATCAGACTTCTTCTTGCTGATGGGTCCATATCCTTATTTGTGATCAGACGGAGTGTCTCGTGGAAGGTCTGCTGCTGGTATAATCGATGTATACCTTCAAGAAGGCTTTCTAGTCGTGCCGTAGTCTGGTGGCTGCACCAGGAATTTATAAGCTTCATCAATTCCTTCGCTGCCGTTATAAATGACATGACAACCGTTTTTGTGCGCGTATTTTTGCCATTAACAAGATGTCTGGTGCAGTTGATAGCTTCAGAAAGGTTGTCTTTAACAGACTTCTTAGATCGCTTCCTTCCTGGTATTAAACCTAGTCGGCTCAAGATGCGAGATGTGCACATAGACACTATCGTGGTAAAAACCTCATTTTCTGTGCTGGAAGCATCACGTTCGCCTTTTCCTGTTAGCAGGGAGACATTATTCACATGAGAATGTGTTTCTTAACTTACCATCAAGTCTTCCTGCAAGGATACTAAATATCTTATCGAAACCTTGTTTCAAATCACGGAGAATATCGGTGCCATCGTTGAACCCAACTCTGTTGACAGCGAGAAGAATCATACAGTTTGAATCAAGTTCCTCCACAATACAAACCGCAGGTATATGATCAGTGTCATCTCGTATGCTCGAAATGAAAGCTAGCGTACCAACCAAGCCGCGTTCCTTATCCAGGGGCAATGCATATGTATAGCTCTGAGAAATAGATAGACAGCTGGAAGGATTTCTTTTCGGCCGTACTGGCACAGAATGCAAAAGAAACAACAAGGAAATGTTTTCAGCACCATTAATTTGAAGGGTCTCTCTTTCGGTCATTGTTGTTTTCACGCGGGATATGGTGGAACAGACTAGCCGTTATCCACAAGGAAGGGCTAGGTTTGTACATTTTCAAAAAGAAAGAACACAATCGAGAAACAAGTAGTGTAGACCAAAGATGGGAGCAGTTGGTTGCTCACGATTAGTCTGGTAAGCTCCCAGATAGGAGCACTTCGGAATCGGAAGGTTACACAAGCATTTCAATCAGGACGTAACCCCTCATTGTTCAAAGGACGACTCCAATCACTTGCCACATCATAAATATACATGCATTAGCCTTGGCCATTTCCTGATGCTCAGCCAATCCGTAATAGCCGGTCAGATGAGCTGTCATCAATATCTCCATATATTCGATATATTGATAGCTGATTCCTAGGACCAATTGATGGGTGAACGTAGGGCATATATACCCAAAGGTTCGGTCCCGAATAGGTAGAGTACCTGATAACAACATTCCCTTGATGTAAGAGTGTGAGATCATAGTTCCAACATATTGTGTAGAGATGTCAGAGGTGAAATACCGCTTTACTAAAAAGGAGATACCCTTAATGGGGCGATATTGTAAACGGACTGTATGACTGCTTGTGACGCTATGTATCACTTGCGGTCTTTGAATCAGGTAAAGTTGCTTAAGAGGCTAATGAGGCTGATGATAGTTCATTACTTTTTCTTAGATAGAAGACTCCCGTCGTTGAAACATAGGTGTGGAGCGGCATCACGAAACTAAATACATATTGAAACTTAAGTCCTAGTCACAGGCCATGGCCTCATCTTCCAATATCCACTAAGCACAAACCCAGCCCACGAATAGAGCCCCTCTGCACCATATTTCTCACGAAGAGCCATCACAACACTTTGCTGCAACCCAGCTAAATCAATCCAATTATCCAGAGCGCCAGAAGTGTCAATGTGTGCATCCTCATCACCGGTAGAGCCATTACCCGTAGTTCCAAGCCTCTGCTGGTGCTGCTCCTCAGCTAACTTCCTCAATCCTGAAAAGAATCTCTTCCCGAACTCCGCCGCATACTCGTCCTTGATTGCCCAAGTCGCACTGACGACTGAACCAGCACCAGCCACCATCCACGCCGGCACGAGTCCTGTTACCTCGTCTGTTGTAACGGCATAGCCTTCCCTGTTGGTCCCAGCATCAAAGCGTCCGCTTGCACATGCGACCAAGCTAATATGTGCTCCTCTCATAGTGTTGATATCGAAGATTTCTCGAGCAGTCAGGAGAGCGGCAGAGCCATCTTCATTTCTATCGTTGAATTTCAATGCTTGGTTCAGGGGCTTGATAGTGAACTCGTTGTTCAGACGACGTTTGAAGGTGGAGTGCAGGTGGACGTGCACGATCTCTGCTTGGCCTACATGCAAGCGGAAGTTGACGAGAGTAGCTTCTGGGCCGGCGAATACGGTGTCTGGACATTGCAATGATTTGGTTCCAATCTCGGTGACGGACCCACTTCCATGGTGATGTTCCTGATCTTCTACTCCACCTATAGACAGTGCAATTCGCGACGCGGTGTTAGATGCGTTTATTCGGGTTCGGAATGAGTTGTGGAGCACGGAGAGGGATGGACAATAGACAACGGGATGATGTGCTATGATCGGAGTCCCATCATAGCTCTTGTCGGTATTGTCATGGTAATTAACTGCGTGGAACGGAAAGTGGTACAGGCCTTCAGTCTGACAGATAACAAGTGTGTCGCCCTGCTCCACGATTTTCTGTTGAAAAAGTGGAAGTATCAGTGACTGACATAAGTCGAGGTTTTCTCTGCGACCTTGATTTGTGTTAGGTTTCATGCCTGTAAGAAATCCCTGCACAGCATCCCCCACAATCCTCGAGTCGATTTGAAGGTCTACCAAACGGTAGACCCCATTTCGTACTGTCAGCATGTGTACTCGCATATCTCTTTCAAGTAAATGAGTGACACGGAACCAATCTATAAAAACCACCTTGCTATTACGACTCCCACATAGCGTTTGCAAGTCATCCTCGGAAAGAGGGTTGCCTTCTCGAATATCCAGATACTTCTTGAGCAGCGTATCTTGCCTCATCTCTTCTTTCAAGTGTCGAAGTTGAAAATTCAGGTCGAAAATACTTGAATCTGAAGCTACGTCCAGGTCTTGAAGCAGCCTCTCTTCGTTATTGATTGCCATGCAGATTTCTAGAATCCTGAGGATGCCTTTTTTGCTAATGGATCTCGCTCGCATCGACTTCAGTAGCGTCTTCAAATCTGCCTTTCCATCCTCCTCAGGCGTGAGTCTGTCTTCCGAGTTGTCTATTTCGTGAAGCATTCTCTGTAACTTGGCCTGGATCGCTACCCATGGTTTTTGCTTCCGCACAGGGTCATCAAGGTTTAGTTCGGCAAATGCTTCATGTGCAGTACTTCCACTTCCTCCTAAAGGACTCTCGATGGTTTTGAGGTATTCACGTATGTAGCCAAGGTGTTGAAATCCTGCAAGTGCTTCCGAATCACATCGCAAATGCTCTAATTTCTCCACCATATCGGATCGAGCTTCCGGTTTCGTATCTTGGATTGCGTTCGTCAGTTTTACTTGCTCACGATGATTCCCATGAAGTAACTCATTCTGCATATCGTGCAGCATGCTCTCCGGTGGAACTGAATCAAGTCTCATGTGTTGAGCAAGAGTCCGTGCCTTTGTTCGTTGAACCCAATGCCAAAGCCTACGAACATAATGCTCACGCTGCTCTTTTTCAAATCCTGCCATGCCTTCTGTCCGGTTTTTGGCATTTAAATTTATGGCAGTTATAGCACAATGCAAGATGCGAATTGCTGTAGAGCCAATGTTCCACACAAGACTCTTTTGCCCGATTGTCGATTTCAGTTCATGTGTAAAAAGTGCGTGTCCAGTCCCAATATTAGATATGGCAATACCGAAGATAGACTCGGTCTCTTCTAGCATGCTAACAGATCTATCCACGACCTGAAACAAGTCCTGTCCGTGCAGGTTTCCAAGTTCAATCCTTATCCCTGAAATTGTGGTCATCATGTGAATTTCGGTGGCCCAAAGTGAAACGTCTTCCATGGCACGCCAATGAGCCTCTTGCGTCCGCGAAACATCTTCTGCAAGGTCCAGGAAACCAATGCGTTCATTAAGCTCCCGACATCTGGTAGAGCTCAAGAACATGACTAACAGAATCTGTGGAAGCATAGATCTCAGTATTTGGGTTTGTCGACTATAATGCTCATAAGCCAGGGTGTCTTGTGCTTCCTGAAGACCGAGTCTATCTTCTAGTGCATTCTTGAACTCCCAGATATCTTGGAAAGACTTTTCTTCCTCGTCAAGTTCACTCAAAGATCGGTTGGATGCTTCTTTGAACGATCTGACATGAGCCTGGATGTATGCTTGGAAATGTGCGTTCCAAGCTTCATATCTCTGGTTATGTAACGCGATCCACAGGCAGATAAATGTGACATTATGTCCACAGTCTTCTAGTAAATACCGTCGCAGTACTGGAGACCGTCTTCTCCATTCAGATCCTGGTACTGGTTTCTCGATGCTACCAACCAAATCGGTGAGCAGTTCCTCGTCTGATTTATTTTCAACTTCCTGAGTGCCAAAGAGCAGTGATAACTGTTGTGAGTCAAAATCTCCTCTGGAGACGATGTCCTTGATAACTCTTCCAGCAGACTCCCTCTCTGACCACATGAACCAATCCTGAAGAGCCAGAACGTCGTTGGCATTACGTTCCTCGTTTATGAGGCTTTGGTCAATGAAATCCATGTCGCTCGGCCTAACTTGAGGCTCTCGCTGAAAATCTCCTGGTTGAGAAGAAAATCCTAACTTAAGTGTCTCTAACTTCTCCATAACTTCGTTCAAATCGTCCTGCGAGTCCGGTCTCTTGATTTTATCATAGACTTGGTATTTGAAACGGAGTAATGAATATCTTATTCTTGGAAGGCCATCTTCATAGTCCTCATGTAAGGTTGGATATCTTTCTAAAAAGGATTCCAAAAGTCTGAAAGACTGTGTCATAGTGTTCAGATTGCGAACAGATGAATATAGAAAGTCCGACAAATTATTAGCAGCGTCATCTATCCGATTGCTCGCTTCCAAGAATTGTTGACTGCGATGATATATATGCGATTTCTGTATTTTGAGTACGAATGGCTGACTGGCATAGACTTTATCTGCAATGGACATGGCCAAATCAAAGCACGAAGGGGTCGACACATGTATGGAGATTGCCATTCGTTTCGCGAGTTTTAGCGCTTGGCTGAACAATTCTTGAGATCCACCGGCAGTAATGGTTTTCAATTTGAGACGGTAGAACTCGATGGTATAACTCCATGCAGTCTCTGCCCACAAGTATTTTTGCTGGCCATGTTCCTGAAGAAGCGACGATAGGGTTTCCCACTCAGAAATCAGTGTCTGGGACCAAGATTCGGCTAGAGCATCATTCTCAACAGACATACAGAGTGTCACCATTTCGAGTTTAAGCTCTAAAAGAAGCACGCGCCAGAGAATGCCATCATCTTGTCCCTCCACGGCGACGAGCTTGGCAGATATTAGGTTGATGAGATCAGTTGCCAACTGGTAACGTCCTTGCAAAGAGAGGGGTATACGTTCCACTGTACTGAGTTTAATGGCCTCATTGATGCGATTCTGCATTGTAAGGCACGTTCGGAGCTCGGTCAGACCCTCCCAGGGAACTGTATTTTCTGATGTTGATGTGGAGGATACGGTGGACAATGTTGGCAAACTTTTCATTTCAGGGGTGACTTTATTCGTGTTAACGGAGACGAAACTGCAAGCCAAAGCATATTTCCTAATACATTCGACCTGTCATAAGATTTTAATTACAGTGACATCGTGAAGGTAAAGTTACCAAGAGAGGGAATTCATACTTGAATGTCCGTATAGTCTTCCAAAGCAACGGGGCGAAGCCAGTCACCAAGGGTATTGATTTCATCGATAGCAGGTTTCCAAACCGCTTTAGTCTTGATCTTGCACGTAGCTGCAAATATTCTCATGAGTCTCGTCTCCGGCGCCTCATAATCTCTATGAGCTTGTATCGCTGATTCTAGGATCTCGCATGCGTTCCTAAATCGAAACTGTGGAAGGAATATCTCTGCATAATGGATTGCTACAACAGACAAATTGTGATAATCACGCAACTTTTGCTCAAAGATACCTTCTGCACGCGCATAAAGCCCCATTCGCGTTAGGAGAATAGCATTTTCCAGAATAGGAATCACCGACGAATCAGGAAGTGATCCGTAGAGCGACGCGAGGCTCCCAATGTATGGCATGCTGAAGCTTTTAGTATTTCGTAAAGGGGATGTTTGTTGGACTGGGTGTGTTGTTCAAAGTGCTATTTAGAGGGTATTACATAGAATAGAGAGTATATGTGGAAATACATGGAGATTCAGCGTGGATTTCTTTTCACCTCCTTCCAAGTCTGCAGCCGTGTGGGCTAGGGCAGAGAGCTGATAGCGGTCTCCAAGTGTGTGACACATGCAMAAGCCGGTAACGTGGCACGAATAAGCGCCAATTGGAAGCGAGCCAAAACCCAGCCACATTGTCCAGCTGAAAACTGCATTGCTTTTTCTATCTCGCTGTGGAACATAAAGGTATGGGTGTCTGTCCAGCTGAACCGAACCTTTTCACTGCATGCATCCCTTTCTGTTTCTGTTGAACTACAGTTTATCAACAATGGACGGCGCAAACTTCTCAATCAACTCCTATGAATCATCAACCGAGACTTCAGACGCTGAATTTGAAAAAATCGACTTCATTACGGACACTGTACTGGACTGCGATCTTGAAATCAACGAAGATGCACTTGCAGAGCTAGCGGACGACGACGATGCTACTGCTGATCCATCGACACCATGCCCAGAAACTGGAGAGGCGTACGGACAGATGATCTCTCACACTCGCGTTATTGCAGCCTTCGCGCGCCCAATTACGTTCGCTAAGTTCCGCGGCGCTCCTGCTTGTCTGATGACTTTTGTCGTTGACTTCTACAAGGGGTCTCGGAAGAGCTGGGCAAAGGTTGCTCGGTTCAAAGAAGCAACAATTACGCTGGAATTGCGAGGGTTAGATCCGGTACAGGCACCTGAGCTTGTCATGTTCTGCCCGAAAGAATATGACGGCCCTAAGACAGAGGTGGCTGTCTCGAAGGAAGCTTCATGGTCTCTCAACTTAAATGCCCCATACGCAGCTGACGCGGCCAGCCTACAAACTGGAAGCTCAAAATCGGAATCATATATAGACAGTCACTACGTACACGTGACTGGTACTAGCAAGATAGCAAGCGGCTGGAAGCACACAATCGTTGAGTGGGATATAGAAGAAAATCGTACTCTGAAGAAGGGGATCCCGAGATATATGAAGTTTATCATGGTGGTACTGAACCCGGGTTCAAAGCCATTCCATGTCGACTTGGAGCTAGCGGCCAAATTGGGATTCGGACTGAAGAGAAACGTGAGTTTCGGCCTCAGAAATAAAAATAAGACCTTGTCCGTTACGATCCATCCAGGGATCTTGATGAAAGGGGTAACAAATGCGGAACAGTTGACGTATGCAAATCTCGATCGCTGTATCATTTCTGAGGAGGACTTGGCCGGCTCCAGTTTAGAGAGCTACACAAACCTTCAGCCATGTAAAACGGGTTATGTAACCCTAGTATGAATAAATTAGGACAAATCTTAACTAAACGCTTCGCTATCACATATTGATGGCGTATAGATCATAAGACCCCGGAACGGATATATATGCGTATGGAATATGAAACCTCACCCCGAGAACAGTTCCCTAGAAAGACAAACTAGAAAGAGAGAGTAAGAATGTTGAGAACGCTCCATCAAGAATCCATCATAACCTACAGGGAAAGGAACAACTGAATCTCCATTATTGCTCATGATCCTCGACATCCAGATCCTCCTCAGGACCCTTTGCAGATGAACCGATATGTGCTAAATTCTACCTATAGTCTTAAGATGGATGGGCTGGTCTTTTCCGTGCCTAGCGGTGCCCAAAATTCTATACAGTGTATGCAACAACCCCCCGTGTCTTGGGCATTTCCCCTCTGCTTCCGTGCTATGAGGGAAAGATAATTGCCAGGAACTTCGAGGAGTAAGTGTCAGCATTTAGAGTATTTCTATGGAGATATTGGCATTAGGACTCTACATTTTGTATTACAGCGGCGCGAGGACTACTAGAATTAGCAGAGACTGATCGAGACATAGTTGCTGAATGAGTTCCTTATCCGAGTTCTTGCTCCTTGTGGACAAGAGCTCTGCATATAATCTGCTTAACCTAACGACAGGGTTTGTCGAATACGTACGTTATATTAGCCCACACGGCGACAATGGCCAAGGCCAGCTTCATCGACGACTTGATAAAACTGAAAGTTACTGAGCCACCCCTCGGAGAATAACCCAATAGTAGTGACATTTAAGGGAACTGGACTCACCAGGTCAACTCAAAACAGATTGAAGTACAAACAAAGCCAAGTTCAAAATGATTTCATACGAGTCAGTCAAATAACCACCAGCTAAGAATAGCCTATACAAATTTTCTATTATGCTAGATAAATGCTGAATTGAACTCTTACCATATTCATAAAAGCATTGGAAACTCTGGCTAGAAGGGGCATATATTCAATACTCCGAAGAAAGATGATTCAGGCTCCAGGTTAGATTATTCTTGGCCCGTATGTCTAGTCAGAGCCTAGAAGGCTTATAGATACATGAGGCATGAAGGTAAATACTATCCCACGATAACCTGACTGACTTTGTATTCAACCATGGTCTTCTCTCCTACCTTAATAATGAAATGGCCCTGGCCGACAAATACTCCGTTTTCGAGGTCCTTGTATCTCTCATCTCCAGTCTATGCGATGATAAGCTTGGTGAATAATCACAATATTTGCGGCACAAACATACCTCAAAGTTAAATGACGTGACTAGCAAGCCGTGACTCTGTGCATTAGTACTCGTGTAAACTCATCTTATGTAGACCTTGAGGAGCGACACGTACAGCTATCCCCAAACGGCGTTTCTACGTCACCAGCGTGACCCGACATGGCTTTCATAGTACTCTCAGTCAAGTTCACAGTTCCTTGGAAGTGCAGATAAATCAACTAAATCAGTGTCAGCTGAGATACCCGAGTACTCTTTTTCGGAGACTCCTCACCGCTTCATCATTTGTTTTTATCACGCTGTGGGCATTCAACCGCGTTCGTTTTCCATCGGGGTCGCTACGAACATAGTCATTTCCGGTGCCTTCGAATTTAGCATTCAAAGACGGTGTAAAGCCGGGCTCTGAGACGACGGTTCCTCCCGCTATTGGCTGTGGTCGTTAATGGACATGTGTTACTCTTGAGCCAGGATCTATTCAGGACTTACGACAACGAGGAGAGGTGTCTTGCGGTGGTGACTTCCTATATGTATGGCATATGCATTAAAACGCTGTATGTCCTCTCCGTATTCGCAGTCTCCCATGGCACGGATTGGAATCTGGGAGCATACCAACAGATAATGGCGCATCAGCCGAGATCTGGATGAGTATGTCAGCAACGTATTCCACGACAGACACGTCGAGCATCAACTGATGAAAAGACATTGCACCGTGGAAGGTCGACTTACCCGCACGGTAAACGCTGGTTTGAGCGCTGGGAAACCGGCCATAATGATCAAGAAGCGGATATCAAAAAACTGAATCTCAGCTTCACCTGTGCTAATTCTCGTTGCTAAGGTGGTAAGCGTTCAATGAAACTGGCGTGATCCTGTTCGGTTCTTGTTGGAGAGAGTTGGGTGTGACGGAGGAGGAAGCTGACGAGACTTATGAGAGTGGGAGTTGACGTTTCGCTCACAATTTGACGAATCCTGATCACAGCCACGTTAACCGTGGGATAAAAATACAATTTGGGTGTACTCCATGACCGGTAATCTAGGTTGTACTATGTATTTTTCAAAGCTCGATCAGAGTAATCCGTGACGGACTACATAGTACACAGTTAATTCAGTGGGGAATAGCTAGATCAGAAATAATCTCCACCAAAAGACTACGCTAATGCACGCGACTGACTGTAAATCGGTGGGTCTACGTACTGATATCATTATGGATACTCGCCTCTCGATGCTGATTGGTACCGTTGCCTATATCGACCTTGAAACGACAAAATTCGTATTTCGCTAGAAATACATTTTTCCACATATTGTTGAATTGTCACGAATTAATGTCTATTGGACAGTAAAATTTTATGGTTCTTCTTAACAATGCACCAGTGGCGAGATCGCTTCATCGAAATAATGTCGCTCATACTGTGAGCTTGTATGATCGGAGTTAACGGATCTAAACGAAAGCCTCCGCGAGGGTATGGGTCAACTTCGTCCATATATAATCCATGAGACTGTTGCGGATTGAATCACGCCTGTTGAGTACTTTATATTTTATAGTTGAAATCTTTTCTAAATCATCAGGATGGTGAACACACTCCCTTTCGGCGATACCCATGTTGCAACACCCGGCTTCGGTGCTATGGGTCTAAGCTCTGGCCTAGGAAGTAATCTTAGCTTGGAGGAAGCTGAACCGGTTTTACTGAAGGCCATAGAGCTTGGATGTACCTTCTGGGATACTGCAGTAAGTGAAGCCAATTTCTGTCCATACATTTTCACGACAGGAAGGCTGACTTGTGGGGGGAAAGTCCGCATATCGAGCCGGTGTTAACGAGAAGCTTTTGGGAGACTTCATTCGCAAACACAATGCTCGCGATAAAGTATTCAGTGAGTTTTGGGGTGTTTTGGTTTTCAAAAGGCCTATTTTTACTGATTTTTGCTGCCTGGTAGTTGCCTCAAAATGCGGCTTTGACGTATTTGGTAGTGGTGGCGTCACCAATTCTGCCTCTCACATCAAGGAGTACATTGCAGGCACCATTGATAGGCTCGGCTTTACTCCCGATCTATATTACCTCCATCGAATAGATCCTAGTGAGTTAGTTCAATACAGTGGCCATGTAAAGTTACTAATATCTTATGTATAGGTACTCCTTTGGAAGAATCCATACCGACTCTCGATGAGCTCCGAAAGACGGGTAAAACCAAGTACATTGGTCTTTCGGAATGCTCTGCCAACACCTTACGTAAAGCCAATTCAAGTTAGTTTCTTGTTGCCGTCTTATCTGAGTTGCGAGCTTGTCTAATTTCAATCACAGTTGCCAAGATCGATGCTGTACAGGCGGAGTACTCGGCTTTTGAGACATTGCACGAAACCGATGGCTTGATTGACACAGCTAAAGAGTTAGGAGTAGCCTACGTCGCCTTTAGTCCCTTGGGTCACGGGTGGCTTGTCGATGAATTTCCCTATAAATCTCCCAACGATTTTCCGGCTGATGACTTCCGCCGTCGACGTAAGTGCTTTCCCTATCAAGATCTTACACGGCTGCTAATATGCACTGGTCATTAGTTCCAAAATTCCAAGGTGATAACTTCTACAAAAATTTGGCTATTGTGAAAGAGATAAAAAAGCTCGCTACTCGAAAAGGCTGCAGTACTACTCAGATCGCACTCGCCTGGGTTGCTGCTCAGGGGCTAATTGCTATTCCGGGTACTACCAAAGCAAAGCGACTAGAGGAGAATTGGGCATCAAGGTATATTGATCTGACAGAAGAAGAGAAGCAGGAAATGCGACAGATTATTGATGCTGCCAAGCCTCATGGGAACAGATATTCTCCCGAACAGCAGGCAACAGTCGGACATTGAAATGATATGATAATTCTCGTCTTGATCAGGCAGAAGCGACGATGTTTCTGATCGCACGACGAGGTGAGCGGCGGATCACTCCGATATTCTTCTAGTTACTCAATCTATTTCTTCCATGCTCATCTCTTGTTGACAATCGATACCTATATCGTATTTCTTGCGAGATTTATTAGAGAGGTAATGATAGATCAAAGCATTTCCATATCTTAGCCCCTAAATCTTGGGGCTGTCTAGCCTCAATGTTTCAACTCCCTGCTAGTATACGGTGCATGTCACTTTTGAGGCTTATTTGGGCCTCCTTGTAAATTGGTACATTGAATGCTCCTGCTCAGGATTGTCCCAGGAATATGGCATCGATAACATCTTTCTGTGGCTTGCATCGTCGTTGACGGTCAACAAATTATGCTTGTGTTGTCACTGTACATTAATGTGAGATTCTTTTCCTTGATAGAGCCGATACTGTGACGCGAATAAAAAACTTCGGAAAATTCATTCTGCAATAGTATTGTACATTTTTTGTAAGCCCTCCGTCGAGAGAACGTCCAGACTGAATAGTTCTAGCTAACTGTTTGGCACAAAGTGAGATGTATTACAGGTCCACTCTAACAACAAGACCACCGGTTCCAGTACTGTTAGAATTTGGATCAAGTTCGCCACCGGAAGAAATATATAAGCTGCAATCATCCAACCTAGTTCTTCCAAATGCTACTGCCGAAGCTGATGCCAAGTACGTAGATTCAACGACAACTCGCGCGTCCCTGCGTGGAATATCAATCTCCACCAATTTACTCTGCCCATTCATAGCGACCCATGCTTTCTTTCCATCTTCCGAAATAACGAAATCATCGCCAGCTGTACCGTTGACAATGATTTCGACGGGACCGGTGGGGTGAGCATCTGTCAGAGAGACTGGAATTCTTGCAAAGATGCCCTGGTTTAGGTCGGTAAAATAAAGATAAGAATCATGCATGTGAAGGCCATCAATTGCAATTTGTAGACCAGATGGTCCATTCTCCATAGTCATATCATCCATGACCACTTCGTAGCTGCCGGTATTGACATCGAGCCTTACGACGTCCCCTGAAGTGGAGTCCGCCATGAGCAAAGTCGAAGTATCATTTTTCGCCAGACGGCACATGCCATTGAGTGTTGCTGCGGTGGATACCTGCGCAACGAGTGATGCAGTTGCATGTGTTTTGTCAACAGTCCCAGGCGCACAAGAACGATCGTTGAAGTCTACCTTCCAAACTGCATTTGATCCAGGGGCGGCGGGTAATGTCGTAAGATTCGAGGCGATTACGTAGAAAACGTCCTGTTCCAGCTCTGCAATACCAAGTAGACTAGTAGCATCAGGGATGACCGCCACGACAGCTGGAGCCTTTGCTACGACTGGAGAGACTTGATAAAGGACTGGCGAATTGATAGAAGTGACAAGTAGGTCCCCATCGTAACGAGCCGCAACATTCTCAAAGATGTGCGGGATGGTGGTTTCTTCGATAACGGTTAGGGCATAGGTTGTAGTTTCTGCCAGGGGACGGGCGAGCGATTGTGTCGATTGCAGCAAGAGTGCTAAATCGATAATAAATGCGGAGAAGAGCATGCTGGACTGGTTTTGTTCCTTAAAGCGGTCCTTGAAGCGGTCGAGGGAGAAAGAACAAAAGATACCTCCTACTTCGCGAAATGAGCTGGTACCTGTAGCACTCTTATATATCTTTCTCAGTCTCAATTGATATTATTAATCCGTGCTTGCCGGACACGCCGGATTCTAAAATCTGTGCTTTCCTAAAAGGGTGGGTCTTTTGATAACATAGAATTGAGAACAAATTACCCTATCCACCCCACAAGTTAGTTGTCATCCGTTTCAGGCCCACATACGACGACATTGTGTATTTATTGATTGCCACGGCGATGTTCAAAACAGTGTATTTTTAAGATGTAATATGGCTACAAGAATGAGGAGTCGTTCCAGCATACTGGTATACTTGGACAATATTAGCTTTGTTCAGGGTCAGCAAAGGTACACAAGTTTTCCCAACAATTGTATGATCTAATGATCTGGTTACCGATACTCCATGCTCTGTATTTTGTTTTATATACTACTCACCTTTCAAGGCCTGACCAGAAAAATCGAATTGAAAACCTCGCGCACCTATGAAAACGCACCCCTCCAGGTAAAATGTCTACAAGAAAGAATCCAAGTTATAAAAGACTCCATTTTATACCCGCTTACCGACTTTCGATAGCTTATTTAGTGTGGTTGAGTGATGCTACTAAAAGACATAAAAAGAAAAGACTATAACTAATACATGTATTATAGTTGAATAAGGACCCTCTGATATGTACTAAGGTGTTCTTATTTTTCAGTACTAGTTCTGAGAGCTAAAAGTATGATACTTTTTGCCTACTTATTCAATAGGTTATTTTTTCCTATACTGAAGCTCAGCTGCTGAAAGATCCTACGAACTTAACAAGAGCAAGATGTTAATCCAGCAATGGGTCCAAGCAAACCCCCTATCCCATCGTGGTATGGAAAAACAAAGGTAATATCTGGGCTAGAGACGAAATGAAGCTAATATGTTATTTGTACCAACAATGTGACAATTGGGACTGCTTATATCAAAGCTCAAAACCTTCTTGCTTTTCCCAGTCATACAAGAACCGAGTCTCAACCTTTCTGCCACCCAGCCCCTGAACCTTAACTTCCACAACCTCCTCTGGTACTAGATCCACAAAATTATCTTCGAAAATTGCATCCTCGCCGCTTTCGGATATTGGTACTGCCAGTACGACGCCCTTGACAGGTGCATTTGAACTGAGAAGAATCTTGTCGCCCGAATCTGCCACATGAGCCGACACAATAAGTTCTGGGGATAGCTGGATATACTTGAGAGGTTCAGGCCAGGAAACCCACCTGGCCAAACGCTCCCCAGTGAAAACAGAATGTAAAGAACCAACGATAACGGTATTTTCAGCATTCGGAATAGAAATATTGGTGATCTCCAATGCTTGATTAGATGGAAGATCTAGACGCTGGCTTTCAATCTCGGTTGGCAGGGGTTGTCGTTTTCCAGACTCAATGTCATAAGCACGGATATTGAGCGTAACATCCAATCCTTCCAGAGTACCATTCACAGCCCAAATGTCCACCGAGTGCTTTTCCGGTAAATATCCGGTAACAATATAAGGTGGCTGTTTGGTGATGATGCGTGACATCCCTAAAACCACCTTTGCTAGTGCTCGCTTTGTGACGTAAAATGCAGGTTTTGGATTTAAATCAACGTCCACCAAGGCCCAGCTTGCGCCCGGCCAGATATCATTCATTTGCCATACTAAGGCACCCGCGCAATATTCTTGATCGAGACCTCTAAATTCTCGACGCCAGCAATTATACGCATATGACATAGCCTCAGCTTGAAGGAACTGAGTACAATAAACAAAATCGCGTAAGGGATTCATACGAAAGCGAAAATTCTCCCCCATGTACATTGGATAGCGACGAGTGTGTCCGGGTCCTTTGTCGTGATTGTCGAAAAGTCTTGATTGAGCGTGTCTCTCCGACGGAACGGTAATTGCTCTGTACAGAGTTCGCAGCGACGGGCAGGACTCAAATCCAAACTCACTGATGAAGCGAGAGGTATAATTCTGATAATCCTGGTACGGAGATACTTTCCCATGCCAAACTAGACAAAAAGAAGCCGACATTAGCGTTCACTGTTGGCTCAACTGTCAAAATGAAACCAGAAAGAGCTCACCATCCCAGATATGCGTGTCTCCTACGGTCGTATCATTTGAGAACGAACCGCCGTAAGGACTACTTGGCCAATAGGGTACATCACCCCCCAGGCTTTCCACGAGCCTAGGTAACAGTCTTTCATAGATCTCTCTGGCAGGGAAATTAGTTTCGTTCCACGGACCCTCCTCGTCACTCATATCAAGATCCCAGCCGAATCTTTCAGCCAGCAGATAGTCTTCATTATTCCCGGCCCAAAGAACAAGACTTGCATGATGCCCAACGCGTTTCAATTGCGTCTCTGCTTCGACTTCTACATTTCTCAAGAAATCTGGAGATGCCGGGTAATTTCCACATGCAAATAGGAAATCTTGCCAGACCAAGAGCCCTTCGCGATCGCACAAGTCGTAAAAATCGTCGGACTCAACAATACCCCCACCCCAGACACGAATCATAGTTTGGTTTCCCGATTTTGCTAAGTTGAGCCATTTTGAGTACCGATGACGGTCCATTCTTGGTAGCATGCAGTCCCCGGGAATCCAGCACGAACCACCCGCAAATATGCGAATGTTGTTGATTTCAAAAACAAAAGATCGACCCTTTGAGTTCTTCAATGGATTTTGGACCAATTTCAGTCGGCGAAGACCGATGTGTTGACTTTTGCTGTGCCCGTTACCCAGACTCACGGTGACCTTGTATAGAGGTTGATCTCCATATAGGTGAGGAAACCACAGCAGTGGCTCGTCGATAGCGATGGTCGTATTGAAGTTGCCATTCACCAACTCCACGGCATTTTGTTGTAGGAGTTCGCCTGTAGGGCTAAAGACTTCGACCGCAGCCTCCGGCTCCTTCTCCGAGAATTCAACAGAACCAATCACGATTATATCCGCAGTCGTCAGATCCTCGCTGACTTGTTGTCTGACGATGAATTCGCTAACTCTCTGCTGATAAATTTGCAAATACACTGGCTTCCACGGACCAGCAGTGTTGATACTTGGGCCCCAATCCCACCCCTAAGATAGCATTAGCTGCTGTTGTATTTTTATTCTGGTAAGATCTTTTTACCCAATGATACTGAGCCTTCCTCAAAAACAGTCTCTCCGGCCCCCCAAAATGCACGTCACTCGGGTTCTTGCATTTGTATCCAATGCGATCTTTCTCTTCCCTAGCGAATGCGGGAGCATTTCGAAATCTTAGTTCAAGAACACTCTTTCCGTCCGCGTGCTTGAGCAAATGAGTAACATCAACCCTGTGACAAATGTGCATATTATTGCTGAAAAGAATATGGTGTCCATTCAAGTAGACGTCAACGACTGTATCAAGTCCTTCAAAGACAAGAACAGCCTTCTCATTCTCATTCGATAACTGAACCTTTGGTATTTCCGATGTACGATAAATCCAGTCTGCTTCATTGACCCAAAGAGACTTGATTTCATTGCTATCAATGAAAGGATCATCAATGAGATTGTGTCCAAGAAGATCAATGTGGGCCACTGTAGGAAATTGGGTTACGGGCAGGAAAGAACGAGCAGAATCATTCAAATTACTGCTCTGTTTGAATTCCCAGCCCTGATCCAAGGTAATTTCTGTCATCTTCAGTCACGATTGCTCCCGAGAAAGAACGAAAAGAGACTGAAGCCAATTTAAAATAAGTTTTTACACTGATGAAGGGACAGTATCACTTTGGTATCTACTGATCGCATTTTGTATTCGAGATAAGGCAGTCGCTGAGCCTGCTTACAACTAACTAGATTTAGAACGGGGAAATAAGAATATCTCCCGTACCCAAACCAGCATATGGGATGGTAGATCCGTTTCAATTTAGTCGAGAACCCACCCGAAACCTCATTCTATTACTGGCTTGGTATTGTTGCAACCCTAAAAGGAGAGGGGAATTTCAAAAGCGTTGGTGATTCCCTAGAACTGAATAAACTATCCAAAGCTTCTTTCTAAGTTACTACACCTAATTTAGAACACGTAAGTCACTCAAAATATTTGCATTCGCTCTTCAATGAAACTCTGACTCGCTTATGATATTGACTAAATTCAGTTTGTACGAGTCATCTGTTCCGGGAAAACGGGGAAACAATTGTCGAAGCCTAAATCCTGATCGTTGAAGAAGGCGAAATCAAAATTGTTGAAATTAGTACCGATAATTTCCGAAGACAAATCTCTCTCCGTTTGTGACACGAGATTCCATAGAACAGTCCTAGTAGCATCATCATGCATTTCTGGCAAACTTTCTCGTGAGGCTTCTGATGAAGCTGCTAGATCTGTATTCATTTGACCATAAGCTGCATGATTGTTAAAGTCATTTCTACGAGGAACTGAATCATGAGGGCCATCAAAGCCAGCACGATTTGTGGCAGCGAGCACTTGGCGTAGGAAGGTCTTTGCGCGGGACGCAGTCAAGCTCCATTCCTGCAGCTTTGCTAGCGTATTCAAGGTCATCTCGACTTGCTCGCGACATGATTCCTGTCTCACTCGAAAGTCAACGATGCTGATCTTAGGTAATAGCAGTAGCAATAGAGGTGTCATTGCAGCCTGGTAAAGGTACCAGATACCATTTCCACAAAGGACATTGTTGGTGAACTCGCAAGACGATATGTCTTTTATTGTTTCCTTGGCGACAATCCCACAGATCTCAAGAGATTGACAGTCTTCGATGGTCAATTCTTCATAAGGCAATCTCTTCAGAGCGCAATTGAGAAGAATTGGTCGATGTAAAAGCATTCTTTGATTTTGGAATTTCCAGCGCATCAAAATGCTGGTAAGTTCGATTCCATTTGTAGCAGGTTCATGAGTTTTGAAGATTGGGTCTATGTGGTCATACCACTGGAGAAGCTTCGTATCGAGATTTTTGAGTTCACCATAAGGAAGCAAAGGGGAATGTGCAAGCGCTTCTTGAATTTCTGTGGCCAACTTGCAAAACGAGATACTTTCTACGAGCGGCAATACTGTGTGCGGCTCTTCCTGTGAGCAGTTTAAGTGATCTGTGAGTAACAAGGGCTCGGTATTACTTACATCTGCAAGTCCTCCCTGCGGAGGTTGAACAGATATTGCACGACCCCATCGACCAAAAGCAGGTCGTCCAAGGGACATACAAGCCCATGTATCCAAACAAAACAGGGACCACCAGATTCGTCGTCTAAGTTCCAATGAAATAAAGCTTGCCCTCTTCTCTACAACGCCTTCGAAGTTTTTGTATAGCCCCAATGATGCCGCCATCCGTAGTGCAGCCCCCAGTAAACAGTTAGCCATATTCGGCTGGTTCAGGTAGTGGAGGTAAAATCCTCCGATCAGGCCGAGTGCTTGGATAGTTTCGACATGATGGTCACCGAGTGAGGCGAGGTTAAGATAAGTCATCGATCTCCGATAATATGAAAAATGTGACAAGTCGTCGGCTTTAGAAACAGCAAGGCTTCCTAGAGCAAACACTGTGTTCAACAACGCCATCCAACGAGCGTCTGTCCGTTGGCAGGACATGTACGTCTTGCGGAATGATGCTTCATCAATCAAAGGTGCAATGTGGTGGAAAGTTGAAAAATACACATCAATCAATTGAAGAGCAGTAAGTGGACGAGCTGCTTCCTCGTGGGTAGCGGATGAGATGGTGGAAAATCTAGTGGATGAGTTGACGTCCGAGTCTTGCTCTTCCAACTTGTCTGAAGCAACGCTGAGTTTTGGATCAATATGGAGCATTGCATTGACTACAGCATAGAGTGAGGTTATTCCTTGAAAAGTCGAAGGTTTGCTCGTGAGAGACGAAAGTGCATTAACGTCGTCTGAAATGCTAGGTCGAATGTCAGGTGCGTCTAGTGGATTGACATTCGGATGTTCTTCCGGGATATATTCCAGCATCTCAAGATTGTTGTGAGGTGTAGAGACGGATAAGTAATCGATTTCTTCTGCTTGTAGCTGGCCGGATGGTGATTGGAGAGGCGAATCTTGCTGATTGTTGTTGAGGATTTGTAATAGCGCATCTCTTGGAAGATCGACGATTTCCTGCGGTCTCGTCTGAGGGAAAAGTTTACTAAAAATGATTTGGTATTGCTCTAATTCTTTGGACAGTCTTGAAACATGCCTAGATGTCATGATGAATAAACGTTCTTGTGCTTAGATACAGCAGAAACGGAATGGAATTATGCCAAAGCTTACTTCCAAGTTGGTGGTGGCAGCGCGTAGCGACACAAATGACCTTTCTCATACCACTCGCAGGCCGTACAGGGTTGCCCACCCGAACAACGAATCTTTCGTTGCCGGCAGCTATCACACGCTGAGGTATTGCGACGGATCGATGCGCTTTTTGAATTTCTCTTCCGATCATCGCTGCCGGACTGGTCGGTAACTGCACTTTGTTCCTCTAATATCTGTGAGGCCGGTGGACTGTCCCTGTCATCTGCATAATCTGTCGACATTCTAAAAATAGAGAACATAGTCACAAGAAATATCGATTTAGTTCCTGCGATACCATATCTCCTGTGTCAACGTCGCTCGTTTTAACATGAGGATGAGACGTGAGGATCAATCAATTGTCGTTGCGAGTACTAACCGCGGCAGTGAGTTGGACTGTTGGCCACCTCTAGCGCTGTGTCTTAGCTTGGACTATGGAGTCGGGCAGGTCATTTACAGTGTCTTCCCCACATTTTGCGGCTTCATTGGAAAAATCTTAATTTACTGTTCTGCTGAGAATGGAGTTTGTAATATCCGTCACACCCTGGAATGTATACATACTGAAACACGGATGTTTTGCTTGTTCCATCGCTTATCGTCTTCTTTCCATTGACTTTGGTGCACCTTTTGGCACATCCATTCCTAGGACAATTTTTAAGCCGGGTCATATTTGTATTGATATGATCATTCACATGTCAGTTAGAATATCAAGTTCCAAGCAAATTCTAACGCAATCTATTGATCGGCCAGCGTTACGAAAGCAGATGGGTGAATTCGAACTCGCCAGATATTAGATTGAATATGCATATATATATATAAATTTTGCGGATGTACTTTTCGGCTTACGAGTTGGCGCGTGCTCTTGTGTAATATCAGAAACCAACACAAGAAAAGGCCTCGCATATAAACAGGCATATGTAACTTTTCCTGAAAATCGATGTTTGCCGTGTATGCGTTTCGAGGGTTCCGTCTTTTCGAATAAAGTTACCATTTTCCAGTGAGTCTGTGTTACCACATGGACCTCAGATCTCTAGTTGCTAGCAGAATTGGGGTAGCTTTTTCCTAATTTATCAATCAAATGCGACGGCGTTGCCGAAACCTAAAGATCGTGATTTGTCTGATAAGATACCCCGTTAGGTCGCTGAAACAACCAGTTGACTAACAAGAAGGTGATCTAAGTAATCTATTTGGACTTACCGGACAAGATCAACTTTACCATCGAACCTGTGCTTACAGTCCGTATTCGTAAACTTCAGCAGTCAGAAGTAGAATCACTGTATCTTAAAGAACGAGAATGATCATCATGCTCTCTTAACTCAACGGAAACGGCCGGCTGCTCTCTCATCTTCGAGATTGTCTCGATGCAAAAACTCCGCGCTCCCGAAATAGTATAGCTTCAACTTTTCGGCTTTCAGAAATGTAACCTTATTCTCGAAATGTCGAATAACGTCTTCTAATCCAAAAGCAAGTGCAGTCAGCATTTACCTTGAAGCTTACTTTAGGTATACCTCCAATTATACTGTTGAGGAATCGAGGCTGTAGGATAATGGGTATAAAATCTCCCATGTGTCACGACATCTCAAGATGAATTTCTATCAAATAAAGTGAACAGTCTACATCTTCCATCTTGACACTACTTTCTTTACGAAGTCTACGCAGAAGACACCATGGCTATTTTCAAAGGGATAGCATTCATATTAAGCCTCACTGGAGTGGCGTCGGCGTTCAATGCCTCTCTGTTCGCCGGCAAGACGGACTACAAGCGCGTAAGTTCGATCATTTCAATCATGTGGCTATGATAGAGAAAAGGACTAACCATTTCATGAAAATAGGAGAGCAACAGCCTTGCAGAACAATACGGTATCAAATCGGACTCAATGATTAGTTATGATGGGGTCTACTTTGGTTATGCTCCTAATTGGAATCCGGCGGTCACAATGGAATACTTGAATGGCTACACGGGCCAGAAAGGAGCGACGTATGTATAAACTAAGGCATCTTTCTGCGTTGACCTCAAGACTCTAACTTTGTGTACAAGATATAACGTTTACTCGCAAATAACCTCGGACAATGTCAACTCTGGTTCCTATGGTGGGAACGGACAATATAACCCGACCGATATTATACAATCGGGTGCTGTCTTGATCGCTTCGCTTATGCCGTATGTCGACTGGACAGATATTACTCCTGGGTTGTGCGATTCAGTTGCGAATTATTTCGAATCTACTTTTACCAGTCAGGGAACGACTGTTTGGCTCCGATTTGCTCACGAAATGAACTATTATTCTAACGTAGGAGTATATCCTGGCGGAAGTATGTGATCGAATCATCAAAACCCATCTTGCTGTTTTGGATCAGGGTCCTAATGCTTTTTAGAAAATTACGGGGCATTCCTCACTGCTTGGAAAACCATGTACAATGCGATTAGCGGAAATGATATGATCCACATGTACTGGTCGCCCAACGACGACACTTCATCCGAACCAGTAGCACCTTGGTGGCCTGGTACTGAGTATGTGGATATTGTCGGCATGGATTATTATCCCAATGCAGACGAAGGTCTTCCAAGTTTTGAAACTGCATATGGAAACTTCTACAATACCTATGCTGCTGCAAATAAGATTCCCTTTGCAATTGGTGAGACTGGCACACAGCTTTCAGGCGGTGGCTCCGCATCAATTGCCCAAAGAGAACAATGGCTTAAGAATGTTATCAATCCTTCTTCGGGATTTGGTAGCTACTCGGAGTATTATATCAGCTGCACCTGGTTTGAATATGGACCACCGGCAAACGATGCCACTTACTACGTCGTATACAACCAAGGATCAGTTGTTATTGACGAAACAATCTCAAACACTGAAAACGGGTCTTGAACTCGGCTTATCACTCGCTAGCATGAGTCTGAAGGACTATGTGACATGATCGAAAATTTTATGGACTCCTCTCCATTGTTTTGGTTAGATCACCCTCAGTAATTCGAGTTTTGCAGAATTTCAAGGAAAATGGACACATCATACCATCCTCTTTTAATTAAAAAATATTTCTTTGCTCCTTTCTCTGAGTTCTTGAAATAGTCCTCTTCTCTATAACATGTATTTATAAGGCCTCACACTGTAGCAGACAAAAACACTTTTAGAAAATCTTCTTGTTACTAGCAAGACTAGCAGAATGTTTCATGATATAGCTGGTGTATATTCTGCAAAATCTCACCGACGATGATCGCTACCCGGAAAACATTTTCAATCAAAAAGGCGTAGAATAGGGGGTGGGGAGAAGGACTCCATCGTGAGTTCGTGACAATTCAAACCATGCTAGGGCGCGGTGTATACGAATTACCAGTATGTTTCTCTTAAATAATAATGAAGATGATGAGTCTATAAGATTTTATGAATTTAATTGATATTGGAGACTGATTCATCAAAACTCTGCTACGAACTCTAGGAAATTCGAACACATGTAATCAAACCAATATTGTAACTTGTCACCTTGCTTTGCTTGGCTACTGCCTGTAGAGTGCAGCTAAACAACCTATGGCCTCAACCTACAGGCCGCTTGGTCAGCGTCACCAAAATACGGTCTTTGTGACCAGGAGGAAAAGGGAGGTTAGAGTTTTACGAGTCAGCGGACCTACTTATGGCCGCCGGTGCTCCACAAATTCAAGTACAAATTCCCCAAAGTCCCCGCACCCGTTAAGGAATTTGACGCACCCCGGCCGGGGAAAGCCGAGACATTCAGAATCCATCATCAAAATCTAAAATGTCGATGTACAGTTTCGCTGAAAAATTTGAAGACATTGATAGATACGTTCAGCTATTTACTCATTTTCAAAGCAATGTCCGCATTCTTATGTCGTCTATCAACTCAACTCAACTCAGCAATGTGGTCGAGGAGAAAACTGATATGCTCAAAGCCACTCCAAATTATAGTATACAACGTGCGAACTTTTACCGGGTACCATCATTACATATGATTTGAAGGCAGCCCCCACCATCGGCAGCTATAGCTTGATGAGAAATACTCTTACGTTCTTTTGTCCGTGCCTAATTAGGAATACAAGACTACAAATCACTCCGTCTAGTATGACTGTGGACGACGAGTGCGGGAAGAAAGAGAAATGGAATAGGTTTGCTCGGTGAAAACGGTCTCTCACCTGTCGTTCGATAATGCTGTAAGATAAGTATCTGGCTGAATGCCACAATTTTGGTCTCCATTGGAGTTCTTTCCACACAAATAAATTTCAACCGCAAAACGTGCATTGAAGTCCAGAATGAAGTCATTTCTTCAAATCATTCCATTCATACCCTTAATCACCGGGTCTGTTATACCTTGTATGTGTACAACTCTATAACAATAGTATTGATTGTGCTGGTAACTGACGGATATTAGTTGATAACTGTGGTCTTCCTTGGTATGGACTTCAAAAGGATGGTATTGCCATTGGCTGGKTGCCATCAAATGGCAACGAAACAGAGGGCGTGTCATCCCCACGGTACACAATGGCCGAAATCAACCACAGGCTTGGCGCTATTTCCAGTACTTATGGGATGTATTCCCACATCACGTCCCAGAACTACGATGGCTATGAACTCCTTGAGGAACTCTACGACATTATTGAGTCAAAGGCCATTTTTATTGCCTCCGTGATGCCCGTGCTTCAGGCTGGCTTCAACGCAATCACACCAGATGTAGCCTCTCAGATAGCTGCTGTGATGAGAGAATTCACGGATCGAGGAGTTCTTGTTTGGCTACGATACGGTCACGAAATGAATTGGTACGTTGATCCGGTAAGCTCGCCATAATTATCCCTACAATATAAATTGTATCTCATTCATGTGCTGGCAAGGCTGCGGAACCCCGATACTACGGAACATCTGCAGAATTTGTTGCATCATTTCAACGTGTCGCTGAAGCTGTCGCAGACAATCCGATGGTATTGATGTTCTGGTCGCCAAACAACCTGGGTGGAGGCCCAGCTTCTTCTCTGGATGAATGGTACCCAGGAGATGATGTTGTTGATCTCGTCGGCATTGACTGCTATCCGCAGTCTTTAAATGAAACGTTTGAATGGTGCTACAGAAATTTTTATAACCATTTCTCTGCAGCTAAAAACAAACCATTTGCTATAGGCGAAACCGGCGCGTCTGGAGACCTCAAAGAGCACTGGCTCACAGAGCTCGTCAGTCAAAACAGAGAGCAATATTCACAGTACATTTCCACGGCTTGGTTCGAATATAACAAGTCAACCGATTTTCAACTTGTCATGGGAAATAAATCAGTTCTAGAAGAGACCAGAGAAATCCTAGGTTTGAACTGAGATAGTTCCTCTTTGCTTTGCGCGTGGAACGGCTGAGCTTTCTCATGCTGGAGAAGTGCTGAAAGGGCACTTATCTAGGCTAAAATTTATGGTTTATGGCGAACTTGATTAAACAATCACAGACTGAACATTTCATATCTATAATCCGAGAGTGCAATGTGTCCGCTGTAATACTCAGAATCAAGGGCCGTTTGGCTTGGCTGTGTAAATCTTAATTATAACTCGACGTAGAACTCCAGATTCTGATGAGTTGGGGGTGTGGCAATGCCTCATCTCAGCTAGAGATAAAACTGCCACCGATTGTTGTACCTCCAAAATTTGTCTGACGCAGTCATCACTCTCGTAGACTTATTACCGATAATATCTTGAGATCTTCAACATGAAAATGGAAAACACTCGTTTTCGGAAGCAGATAGAGCTTGCTTCACTGCAGTCGAACTGCTACCATACCGGTATGCAGAACTGGTACCGAGTGGCACTTCATCCGAAGTGGGTCGCCATTGTATCGATCTGTCTTTCGGGGGAGAGACAGGCTGTTGTGGAATATATTGCTTCTCAGAAAGTTCCGAATGCTTATCAAAATCCATGCTCATCCCGATAAGATGATAGATCAATGTCAAATTCCGGAAAGCGCAATCTTCACTAGGCCGTCAGCGAGCCGCCTGAACCTTCCGAACGAGGATTTGGTAACCCGTGGTGAATTTAGAGCGGGGAGACACGAAAATTCCTCGTACCATTTTTGGCATAACGGTGGCACGGTACCGACGACAATAATCCCCTGCCTAACCGCTTTAGATGCGCGGACTATCGTGGAATGGGCGCCTAACCTTGTTTGCTCCTCACAAGCCTCAAACCAATTGTCCGAGTCTACTGAGCTTGCTGATGAAAAATCCGTGCGATCACTTATTGTCCAAAAGACACAATAATATAAAACCCCGCGTCCTGAATCCCCGAGATCTGGAATCCGGGGTTAAAAGGATCGTCTCTGCATAACGAATGTTGCCCGAGAATTTCATTAATAACACACCTAAAAGCAACTAGCTGTTTTCTTTTTTGCAATATGGTCGCTCAAGTGGCGCCAGTCGAGAGTGAAATGACTGTAAAGCCAGGACATGAAGTGATTGAGCACGAAAAATTGCAGATTGTTGGTAGCTCACGACTGGCTGAGGCACTGCTCATTTCCAAGCCCGACCCATGGGGAAGTGGCTACCTTCGCATGTATCTTTGCTGCGGACTTATTTTTCTTTGTTCAACAATGAATGGTTAGTGATTCAACTCTAGGGATCTTGATCAGATTCTGATTGCGAATTTAGGATTCGATGGGAGTCTGATGGGCAGCATTAATACATTACCAAATTACACACAGTACTACAATCTTCCGTCGAGCGGAAGTGCTGGAACTGGAATTGTTTTCTCTATATTTCAGGTTTGACCCTCCTTTCATGTCTACAGGCGCTCGGAAAGCCCAGCTAAATATTGGCATCGATTTATAGATTGGGCAAATGGCTGGCGCTCTCTTCATTTGGGTTGCTGATTGGCGTGGCCGCCGTCTACCAATATTCGCTGGCTGTGCCGGTGTTTGCATTGGTACAATTGTGACTTGTGTAGCGTCAGACTTGAAAACCTTTGTGGGAGGTCGATTTTTGCTCTCTTTCTGTTCCACGATTGCCAGCACATCTGCACCACTCTATCTCATCGAGCTTGCAGCGCCTCAATATCGAGGAACCGTAGCCGGCATGTACAATACACTATATTATCTGGTAAGTTACAATGAATAGTCTTAATGTCTCGGAAAACAACCTAATTTTTGATATTCAGGGATCAATCATCGCAACTGCCGCAGTATATGCCGCCCACAATAATCTTTCAAATGATGGAGAGCTTGATTGGCGACTGCCATTATGGCTTCAAATGCTCTGCCCTGGACTCGTTACCCTAGGTATTTGGTTTTGTCCAGAGTCTCCGAGGTGGTAAGTCTTTGTCTTGATAGTTTTTCGCCGTGTATAGATAGTTGGATTATTTTCTATGCTCAAGAATACTAATATCGAAAAGGCTGCTCGCAAAAGGTCGACTTGAAGAGGCTAAAGTCATTTTGACTGAATTGCACGCCAATGGAGTGCACGACCATCCGCTTGTTAATCTCGAAATTGCGGAAGTTTCGGAATCTATTGAGCGCGAAGGGATGCTGTCCTGGCGAACTTTCTTCGATCTAAGGGTGCTTTTTCGAACCCGCGCAAGAAGATATAGAATTGGATTGAACATCGCATTCTCATGGTTTGGACAGTTCTCGGGAAATAAGTAAGCCCATTTCTGTTTCCAGTGTAGAAATATGAGATCTGACCGGATGATATCGTGTTTAGTGTGGCATCCTATTATTTACCCTACTTGCTTGAAAATGTTGGAATCACAGATACCAACACGAAGCTCCTTTTAAACATCATTTATGCAATTACTGGATGGATTCCCGCAATGATTGGCGCGAGACTGCACGATGTTGTTGGCCGACGCAAATTGCTGCTTGCATCGACAGCTGGTATGGCAGTCTGCCTTGCTCTCGCCGCTGGTACAGCAGCTGGTTATGTGCACACGGGCAGTCATGCATCTTCTTCAGCTTCTATAGCTTTCATCTATCTTTTTGGATCCGTGTTCGCAATTGGATTCACTTCGATGCAACCCATTTACCCCGGAGAGGTTTTATCAAACGATATGCGCGCGAAAGGCAAGCTACAATCTGTTTTGTTAATTTTTGACGATTGCTGATAGCTTCAATCATTAGGAATGGGTGTAATGCAGCTTACAAGCGGTTGTGCGGGATTTGTTAACACTTTTGCAGCTCCAATTGCACTCAAAAACGTGAGTTCCACTTCAAAATATGGCCGAGAAATTGAAGCTTGTGCTCATCTACCTCCTAGATTGGATACTGGTTTTATGTTTTCTTCGTGGTATGGGATATTTTCGAATTCTTCGTAATTTACTTCTTCTTCGTCGAAACCAAAGGTCGCACCCTAGAGGAACTTGATTCCGTCTTCGAGTCGAAGAATCCCCGGAAGGCCAGCACTCAGGTTGTGACGATGTCCACAAATCTTTCCAGTGACCAGAAAAATGGACATGTCCATTTGGAATCACTTGAGCCAGTAGCTTGAGATGACTGATTGGCTCAAAAGGGAAGTTATCGCGACTTAAATCGACTTTGGTTGGCTACTTAGTGCCTCCAAGTCCCAAGATTCCCAAAAATGTCATACACATCGGTCATACGTCGATAGATACAAATTACTTTCAAAGTTCGAAATTGAAGACACTCATAATCGAACTTTGGAGTTCTCGCGCCTAAATAATTTTTCACTCTACACTAACCGAAGTTAATTTCAATCCAAGCTGACACTGATGCGTGTTCGCTTTGATTTTTTGGTTCGTAGTCATCCGGAGACAAGTATGAGCCTGTGGTAATCACCCTCCTAAACTTAGATCTAACTTGCATTAAAAAGTGGCAAGTTTTCATAAGGCCAAGATTGCAGACACATAATTCAAAATCGCCTCAACTGGGATGTCACTTGATTAAGCAGTAAAGACACCATCCCGATCTCGTCAAGAATCGCTTGGTATTCATTGGAAGGAAATTTATTGATTCGCCTATTCCAACCAACATTGAAGTGCTTCCCAACCGTAACCCCACCAAATTGTAGGCAATGGTCTTCACGGCGCTGGGAACATGATAAGGTGAATCTAGTGATACCGCAAGATTGTCCATGATGATGGCAAATCTATCAGATATCGAATTAGAGCCCATGATGAAGTTCTTCAATGCAAAAATACCATTGAGAATGTCTGATCAAGTCCAAATTCTTGAGATCGTCAAATCTGCAAATAAGTAGTGCTGCTCAAATTTGGTCAAGAAACACTATCTTCTTCCAATATGCATCAGTCACATTAGGAGATCCGTTTATGGCAAATATTGATTATTTGTATGATTGGCATCATCCTATTTATCTCTTTACCGAACGATATCCCAACACCAACGTTGAAGATGACAGGTTTGTCGAAACTATGATTGGCAAGAAGGAGATGTGCAGATGTTGACTAATGTCATGGTTCGACAGGAATTGGCATTCCAGGTGATCATCCAATGTTCGCCGCAATAGTTTCTAAGCGCGGTCGTCTCCATTCACGCGGAGCCCTTTTCGGTTGGATTTTCTCCGGCCAGGGATGAGGACATCTTCTAGGTTCAGTCATTACGATTGCCATACTTGCATGCTTTGAAACTGCTCTTAACGCTCGAGGAGAATATAATCGACTCAATGCTGTCTAGCGCATCCAGATTGGTGCAGTTCTGGTTCCAGCAATTATTGCCCTTCCCTTCTGTCGTACAATGCCCGATAGGCAGAAATACATTCAGAGTCGGAAACTGAATGTCACCAAACGTGTTAACGAAGGCGATCATATCAGGCCTAAACAGCCATCCACTTCTGATCCGTCTTCAAGCATGGCAAACATGCTAATAGCCGACTCCTCTCCCGCAATTCCTTCTAGGTATGTGTGAGTTTGTACGCTAGGAATCTTTTCGTACGTTCATTGAGTTCCTCGGAAGGAATGGAATTCTCTTGGATTGGGAGCTTTTCCGAAAATGTTGAGCTTACTATTGATGATTATATTTGCTTGCATTGATAGTAAGATGTGTTTCAGGAGCTTATGCAGGACAGAGCATCAGAATATGCAGCATGGAATTGGACGAAGGAATGATCTTAGAGCAATATTCAGAGGAGGAAAAGTTTTTCTGGAATCAATTTCATGAGGCTGTCCGGCTTTCGTAATATGTATTGCTTGAGCAGTTTCTAATAAAAGGAATGCCATCATTAAAGCAAATAAACCTGTGGCTTCTGGGAAAAGCAACCCCTAAGATAGCATAGTCAAATAATTGTCCTCTTAATGAGGGATTTCTAGATACACCTAAATTTAAGGCTCCAAAAACTAAACCTATTCCTACACCTGCACCTGTTAAACCTGTAGTAGCTAGATTTCTTCCTGCATACTCCGTAAAGAATTTGATTGATTCCATATACACCGAAGGCTAGTCACAGACCAGTCTCGGACAGTTCAGCCCCTCGACGCCTTTGGAATAGAAACATGGACCGGAGCATACTATGTATCGCTCGCACCTAATCATACTAGTAGTGAATTTTGTATATAAGAAACTTATTTAGATTTGAGGATTACGATTCAAATTCAATATCACCTACCTGTTCAGACAAAGAAAGGCGCTTCACTCACACTGACACTTCACTTTAAGTTAATAGACTTTCCATCAATTGACATTTTGACTTGACTAGACAACTCTATATATCTCAATGATCACTTACGCCATCATGGAAGAGTCTATGGATTTCTGGCTGGATGAAGGAGCGTGATATAGAGCAAGCGTCAAACGGATAAGCAATGTCTAAATAATAAATTATTCAAGTGTCTGTCGGAGATTCATGTTCCTAGATGAAATGACGCTAAGAAAAAGAAATGAAAAAAAGAAAGGTACATAATAATTGACATATGGAACGTCGCTAGAGAAAGGAATGCCATAATAATAACACCGCCGGGGTAATCGTCAATATGAATGAAGTGAACATTCGAGGCACATGTCAACACGGCCTCGACAAAAGAAGAAAAGAGCTTTTGGCCTAAGCCACAATACTATACTCTGAAAACGAAGGAGGTCGGCGAGAATCATTCATCGTTTCCATCTGCCGTTCAATGTCGGCCAGTAAATCCGCCATCTCGCCATCTCCATACACCCCATAGTCTGCATATATCTTGATCGACTCGCGGGCCACACTGGCAACATCATTAAACTCAATATCGAGAGCATCAACTTCGATGTCAGCTTCATTTTGAATGGTAGAGACATCTTCCTGTTTTGAAGCCTGAGTGTCATAACTGGCCGACAGTATCAGCGAGGCAGCGATGTGTTCGAGCAGCATTTGTCGAACCCGGGTCCTCCTATTGTCGACTTGCTCGAGTTTGGTTACCCACTCATCGATCGACTTATCAAGTTGTACCATGGCTTCCTCTTGTCCTAGTATGTTTTCACGGGAGTTACTGGCTGATCGGGGGGAGCGGAGGTGAGCTATCACTCGTTCGTGGAGTTGGTTGCGTCCTGCACGAAGCGCTTTGCTCGTAGTTCGGAGGTAATCGCAACGCGCGTCGAGGTATCGAAGCTCCTATTGTATGTTAGTCAGCATGCTGCTTAAGTCTGAGTCTTTGGGGTTGGCTCACCTTTGATAAAGATTTCACTTCATGGTATTGTAGTACTTTGAACTTCTCAGCTTGGGTCTTTGCCTGCTTTCGCAGTTTCTCGACGTCGGAAGAATTGAATTGAGACTTTGCATCTGGTAGAGTAACTCCGACAGGTAACTGGGAGAACTTGGTTTTTTCGACTGCAAATGTCTTGGATGTGCGGTCCCCAGTTCCGAGCAGGCTACGCCTTCTCTTTGACCGATCTTGGCTGTGCATTGCTGATTCGCCCGCCTCATGTTTGAGCTTGACGATTCTCTGGTTTGGTCGTGAGATATGAATCTTTGATACAGTAGCTATCGGGGTGCTTTCATTGCGTCGATGCAATTCAGCTATGTGTCGGCGTGGTCGGATTTCCATCGCCGTTGCGGCGCGCGGCCGCAGGCTGTTGTTGCTATTTTTGGGTGTTATTAGGTGCGCCTCTGCTATGTTTGGTAGGGCCATCGCTGAACGATTGATTAGACGGGGCGACTTGGGTGGCACTGCTGGTGGTTTGTCTTCTTCCTGGACTTCCGAAACCTCTTCACTCGAGAGAAACGAGGTTTCTTTCAGGTCAGATGGTCGCACACGCTCGGCTGCAGATTGGCTCCTAGCAGCATCCCGTACTTCTTCAATTTTGACAGGAGCTTTCTTAATATCTAGATCTGTTCGTGAAAATAGTATCAGTGGTTCCGAAATGGGCTCCTGGATAGATCTTTCAAAAGGTGTCTGGTTGGCGGATGATCCCGGAGCACTATTCGACCTTCCGTGAACGGGAATTCTTCCCGGGATAGTTGCTGAATAGCGTCAGCCTGACAAATTCATATCAATCTTCAGGCTAAGGTATACTCACGCGAGTCCATCCGTGGTCCCTGACAGTCCTTCATTGGCATAATACCCAACCCTGCCAAAGCGATATCCCGCCTTTCAGCCAAGGATCCGCTTGCTGCTTTCTTCAACTGTTTCGCTTCGAAAGTCACAGATGGCAATGCCACATTTGACGGTTGGCTATCCTGGCGTTTGCGAGTTATCTTAGTGCTTTCTACGAGACTTGTCGATATGCCCTTTTTCAGGGCTGGCCAGACATGATTCTTCAGCCGTTCTGTCGGACTATTTGACCTCAGCAGAGAGTCGTCCGGTGAAGCGGTGGGCTTGTTCTGCTAAAGTCTGTCAGTAAGCTTTTCTGTCACGAAGTTTATAGGAAATATGAGAATGAGCTGTAACAAACCTCGACCCGGGTCTCTCGAGCAACAATATTGTTCAGACCAAAAGTAATGTAGAAGCTCGACGGAGATTCCGGCAAGAGCACCATTGTGAAGCCTTCGTGTGTATACAGTACGTATACAAGTCTAGTGTGAAGAACCAGTATCCTGATTTCTAGTCTTGCTTGGTGTTGAGGTGAGGGAATCTAGGGGTGGAGACTAGACAGTTTAATAAGTAACCTGAAAATACCTCCCACGAGACTGTACCACAGCCATGGTAAAGGGCTATTGAAAATCGCCTAGTTTAGTGTCTTGTGTGGGTTTTACGCTTGCGGGATTGATGAAAAACCTCCGGTCATGAAACTGATACCAGACATTTCTAGGCACACCTAGTCATTGATAGCTGTCAGATAGTCGTTGTGAACCCTTGGCACAAGTGAAGCAGGGCTTGTTTGCAGCATGCAGCTAGAAAGGTAGAAGGTACTAGATTGTTCACAAAGTGAAACAATGATTCCCACCTGGGGCACTGCATCCATTCCTAAACAAGTAATGTAGGAGAAGTCTAATGCAGACGTTGGACTCCTCTCGTGTCCGGATTTGGCAATCATGGCCATTTTTGCGTGGCTGTAGCTTGTCTCTCATTGATTGCTAGTTGATTGACGTACCCACAACAATCCATTCACTAATACGATTACGAGCTATGGCCTCAATTTCTAGCGTTGCTGTCATTGGTCCTTACCCACTTAAGCCGCATTGTATAGCATAGGGATGCCGATGGCGACCAGAATCCGGCCCATAACGGATGCATTCTTATGACTGTCTGGTATAACTAGTATATCCAAGTAGGCAGGTACTTACAAGTCGCATGTATTTCAAGTAATTGATACGACATCTACTCACCCTAACCCATCGACATTACTCGTAGAATACACATCACAAGGCCACCTGCATACGGCCTTTTTCTGGATGCATCGCATTGAGTCGTGTACCTGGACAGTCTACATACGTAGTACATGCAGTGGTTCTTCACACCGACCTCGGGATATGGATTTATGTCAGGGTCAACGTCCAATAGAAAACTGCGATATGAGGGGATGATCAGCTACCCCTGTATCGAACCCCTCATTTTGATGAGTATTTTCCTTCTTTTCACAAATACAGTCGTCACTATAGGTTTTTTCGGTGCTATAAGTGACTATACCTAACTTTTTCAATAAAATAAGAGGTTGGCGTGGTATTTTCCTGAGAGTCGAGAGTAATTACCGTTTTGCGCTCTGAATGCTATGATCTCTGCAGTCTAGACTCAAACGCCCCCCAATTACCCAATAAAGCAAGTTTCGGATTCAGATCCCTGGTGTGTCTTAGTAGATTTAGCGCTATCTGATGGTCAGTGTGTGCATACGTGTGTACTGCGTTTTCGGTCTAGTGTTTGGTGGTAGAACAAGAGCATCATCTTCATCATCAGCATCTTGAACATCACTGTCATTGTCCGTCATCATGCTTCAGAGAAGAGTCAGACTGATCGTCTTTGATACGGTTCTTTAGTAACGTGCACAGAAAAGTTGCTGACAATACATAATCGGCTCTGATAAGAACTTACTGATTACTCTAAGAGAGACAAAACAGAAAAGAAAAGAGCAAGCCCCTCGTAATCTTGGAACATTCCGGATCGTTTTGACTAGGGCTAGGAGAATCTGCGGGCCGTCTCCGGATAGTGACATCGCTGTCCGATTGATAAGTTTTCAAGATTATAGAGTTTTCGGTCAGAAACTTCCGCTTGTTTAATTGTGGCTCAATCGCATATTGGCAATTAAGTGACTTTACTTTTCTGAATTCTTCTTTCAGGTACAATGTCCGTCCTGCATAGTGCCACCAACTTTGCGGTAAATTAAATGTGATGTGTGATTAGCTAGAAACGAGGGAGGCTTACACAAGGTTAAGTAAAAAACGGCCAATTCTCGGACATGTACACAAAAAAGAATTGTCATAAAAATTCTTTCCTTCCTAGAATACGTAAGTTACTGTTACTCCGCACATTTTCCAAGACTTGAGGCTGTACGCTAGGCACGATTAAGAGGCTGCCATATGGCCTTAGCGCTGTTTCACACCTGCAGCACTAGGCCGCTTAGGTAGTTACATTTAACTTATCTGTCACCATTAGACTCTGCTCTTGAGACGCCCCATCTCACTAAACTGGCCAGTCACGATAGTTGGCCTAAGCAGCTAAAGCAATGACCTCGCCCTTGGACAGAACACCCACATGGAATGAAGTAATCTTTGGCGAGGATTTCGCAAGTGTCACGGAGATGTCTCTGGATTCGGAGTCGCCGGACTTCTATGATTTACACTTCTAGGTCCGGTCTACGTACTGATTTTTTCTATTTCTACTTTTCCTTCTTCGTGTGTAACTATGATGATTCTGTAGATGTTCTATGCTGATCTCGTGTTTCGTGCACGGTGTCCGCTAAGATCTTTTTCAAGCTTTCTGAGGGATTTCATCGCTGCAAAATAACAAGATTTTGATTTCAACTTAGTTGAAATTACACAGTGAGATCATCGTCTCGCTTTCCGGGTGGAAGCAGTTGTCATCATCCCCGTGCACGACCGTTTTATCGTCAAACCTGGCGTCCGCACGTTTTTTAAAGTAATAGCAGAAATCCCTGGTCAATAAATGAGTCACGAATTAGGAAATCTGATTTTTGATCTAAAAATTAGGGMAGCCACCTGTTGACCCTAGGTGATTAGGACATTGTCACGTCAGGATCTAGGAGGGTTGGTGATCGAAGGGCGAAGGTGGGCTCGTCTTGGGTCGACTTTCATCGAGGTCTTCCACGGAGATTCGTGGTTGATCTAACGGATATTTATCTTTCACATGTCTGCCAGACGGTAAAAATGATTGTCCTATATCTTTATCAATTATAAATATAACCCCTCAACGGAATCTCGTTTCCGGTGATGTGATCTGATGCACGTTTTTCACATTCGGATTCTAATAATTTGTAGAATCACCAAGGGCAAAGCAAGGTAAGTACAAATAATGAGATTTCATGGCATAGATGAACCGGGTGACATCCAAGTCTCAACATTCCAATGGTGGGAATTGACCAGTCGTAGAATACACTCTTCGAGAAATCTGCCTGCCCTCGTCATATCCATGCAAGTATTAACTAAGAATGCCTACTTGATTTTTTTGACTAGCGCCCGAGGAGGTATTTTACTCCTGCTGCGGTCCACAGCCTGCAGCCAGCAGATGTAAGTGCGTATGTGCTCTCATGACTTCATGTGAGTTCTGTCTTGCTGACGTTTGGTTCGAATTTTAATTCCTACATAGTGTGTGTGTGATTGAAGCGCAATATGCACCCCGCAGAAGACACATCTCTTTCATATCAGGCCTCCTAGATGGCCCCTTCTCACGCGAGAAACAGATTATTTGTCATAATATCTGCTCTGGATAGTCTCATATCGTCGATCTCGGTCAACCCCGCAAAGTTGCTGTTTTTAGGTAGCAGTTGCTCGAACCTAATCTGATCGTCTTGATCTGATAGCCTTTCACTATGACTGTACAGCATCAAACTTTCCATGTCTGATCGCCAATGAGACAATATTCTGCGTTTAGGTTCTCAGCGACTCGGCCAAAATTGCATTTTATGGGTTAGTAGCAGTATCCTGGAGGGTGGTATCCCATGTCTTGCATAACCCACCAGCATGGTCAGCACTTTATTTGGAGAGGGCATTGACAAAGAATAGACTTTTGCCTTCCAAGTATCTCGAACTATTCTTACCATATCAAATCTCCTGATTGGCTGCTATGTCCATTAACAATCGGCAAGATAGGGTCACGCTGAACATTACCATGTTAGGATGTAGAAGCTGGATAATTGAGACGTCTAGGAAGGTTTCCAATTCATGTACACCTAGCCAGGTCTCGTATAACAAGCAAATCAACGTGATCACATAGCTCTGGAGATTGATCAACCATGCATCGTGGTCAGTCGAGATACCCCTAAAAGTCAAATTGATGGACCAAGGACCCCTAGAATTATACCCCTTATTCAAGACTCAATTCAAATGGTAATCATGGGATCGAGGATACTGTAACAGATGCCCTGAAAAGGGGCACATTCACTCCTTCAGCAGATCTTGCACTAATCCGTATAACTTCTCTTTCTAGGAGAACCAAGATATCTAGCAGTATTTACAGGTATACGTACACTAATACAAATCATCTCTTCTATGCTTGTTACTCTCCACTTGAGCATTACCCTACACTATCCCCTCAGATTTAGGGATTGTAGCATTCATTTTATGTCAAAACTCGTCGCTTACAACCCTTAATGCCAGTCAACCAAGAGTACCTTCTGAAGTCTCTTTGCTCCTGTCTCCCTCGAGCATTGAGTATGGACTGACCATGGGGAAACTCTTGTCTTGGCTTTTTATATAAAGGTGTTGGTCAATGCTCCTGCATGCCTGCCTGTCTCGTCCAAGTTAGCTGGACATTTGAGACTAATTAGGCAGACAGCTAATATTGTGCTAATGATCTTTTAACTGGAAACTCCCCAGGCCAAATTGACTGGTAATACTTGTCCTGTATATCACACATTCTCCATGATACTAACATTCAGGATACGGCATTGTGATTGTGCAACAAAGACCATTGAACCCAAATGTTGAAGAAAGACTATGCATCAAAGTTTGATTTGAGTATATACTTATAGGTAGCTTGATCTGGAAAGTTTGATTGTTCAATCCTACCCTTCAGATCTACCTAGGTATACTTATATATTGTGGTCCTGATGATTGATGTCAGATGAAATACCAGTGAAAACAAATCTACCTAGATATCTGAAACCTCTAGTAGTCTTCTGTATCTTTTGCCGATCTTGAATAATGATCAAGAACGAACACATAACTCTGACGGAGCGGCCTGGGGAATTAACACGTCACAGTTGACTAGGTACCTTCAGATCTGTCTTACCTAGGTATACATGTATAGATAGATTGTTTTATGTGTATATCACTCTATATATATATTCGACTCACGTAATTGTTTTCATAAGATGCTACAGTGGATAAAGGCACATTCAGATCAGCAGATGATCCACAAAGACCACCGTATCCCCTGGAACTGTAACTGGTACACAGCAAGCTGTACTGATGGTTCCTTAAATCATATCAGAGTCGGAATGCGCGGACATGTATCTATTGATTACGCGTGTTCAGGGGCTGTGTAGTGATCACAATGGCTGGTTCGAGACAATTGTCCCAAGTACCAAGAAAGCATTGCTTGGCCATTGCTCGATTAAAATCTGGAGCAGTTTTTCCTGACCGAAACTCGCGATGATGGCCCTTTGGATGGAAACGACTTCTTAGTATCCGGTATAGAGTGAAGCTGAAGAACACCAATTCTAGGAGAACGATTGGTAGCCCGACCTTCTAGTCCGCAACGCTAATAATGAAGCTACGTCGACGAAATATAGCTATAATATACTATTCATCGTATTCGTAAGTCATTTCCACATCAGAGCTGCGGCAGCTGTACATCGTGCCGACGAAACCACGACTGTACCCATACCAAAGTTGAAAATTCGCCATATCAGATCAATTCAGCCTCCACTAAACATTTTCGCATTGTCTTGAAAATGAGGTTGCCTGAGATTGCCTTGGCTGTGTATGGGTTTTATCTATCAGACGATAGCCATGGCGCAAGTACCATGCGGCGGCGCTTCGCCAATGCTCAGCACTCGGTTGATCAGCTATATTGCGCATTACGAGCCGCAACTGGCTCGGCCAAGCTGAGGGGTATCTCTAATGAGTCTAGAAAGGCATAGTTTCCGGATGTGTTGGAAGGATTGTTGAGATGAAGTTGGTTTTGAGGCTGTGTCTTGACTTTTTCGGATGCGGAGTACGTACAATGCTGGGTCAGGACACGCACGCCCGGACTGGCTGAGCTACACACGTGGATAAAACCATACGAGTCTCACAAATGAACAGTAGATTATGCAGCGAAGAAGAATCAAACAGCATCTTGTTTCAAGATCTAAAGTCCATGGAAAACGGGTGAAGATTGACAAGTGGTTGTCAAGCGCTGAATGGCCTGCTCTGCGCCACAGCGGGTATCAAGGGAAAGTGTGGCCGTGCAGTCTCTGTGCCTCGGAGTCTTCTCCAGGGCAATCAGCATAGTCAGTGGGTAGCACAGGCAGAAGAATTCGCTCTTATTCCGCATACGGCAAGTCGCAATCTCTGCTCCATAGACTATCTACACAGCCAACTTTGTGGGGAAACGTTGAGGCAATCCAAGTGATCTGCCTGCGAAGGAGCCGAGTGGCTGCTGCGCCACCGGGTCAACGCTGCGGCCGGATGCGTATGCGGCAAACAAGCACAAGATAAAAGGCTGGATGCAGAACCATCAAGTCAGTCGTTTATCAAGCAAAGAATCTGCAAAAAAAGTGAAAGCAAGCACACAATTCAAACTCAGACAGAAATCTCGTCCTCGGGAACAGAAAGACATACAGAAGAAAGAGAAAGAATCTTCAGGGGTTCCTTCAGATCTAGACCGCTTTCTGTGCCGGATCAGGACTAGCGCGTTGTTATCGGCTTATCTACGACGATGACGGTGGCAACCTTCCAACAGCGCAGCAACTCTCCTCCGCCATCTACCTCTAATAGAATTCGCAAGCTATCGCACTCTTCCTCTTCTCTAGAGCAACTTCATACCTTGTCGAAAAAACTGCGACTACTCTCAGAAGAGCACAAACACTTCAAAGGCAACATCAGCAAAATGGCTTCTTTGATCGAGGTCAATTCACACTCATCCCAATCCTCGCCCAGGTCTAAACCTTCCCTGACACTAGACCTCTCCAATCTACCACCTCTCTCACGACCAAGCCCGCCTAGCAACACGCTCATCATAACCGAACTCCATAACCTCCGCGTCTTCCAACCCGCTTCCCTAGCTGCCATCCGCGAGAGAATCACCTCCATCGCCGCGCTAAACTCCTTCTCGCCCCTCCCCAGCTTCCGACGGATCGTCTGCTCATTTCTGAATGTTGAAGACGCCGTTAAAGTCCGACAACTCCTCGAATCAACAAAGACGGTTTTCGACGAATGCGGGGTTCGCGCTCGTATCTATTTCGGTGAACCGACGCCCATTGAGAATACGGAAGACGCCAAGAGGAAGAAGCTACTCGAAGCGCCGCAGTCGCAAAAGATGTTTTTTATTAGCCCGCCCCCCAGTCCGCCGCATGGATGGGTGATGCGCAATGAGGAGCCACCTAACAAAGAGGTCCACGCTAGTGATTTGGCTGATGCGCTTGCCCGGCTGGGCACGGCTGGACAGCAGCAATCTGAGAGCGACCCCCTTTCACCTGTTTCGGTGGCATCTTCGTCAGAGGGTGCCCAAAGGGAAACCACTCCTAGCATTGCGCGCAACAATGGGTCGTGGCCTTCCTCTGCCGAGGGCACTAGACGCAGTCGCTCAAGCACACTCATCTACCACCCAAATGATCATGGTGGATCGCCAAATCTTCCCGCTGTGATGGTGGAGGATACATCGATTGTTGAAGATATCGATGATGATGAACTCATGATCGGCTCTTCGGAGAAAGAGGGCAAGAAGATTTTTGCGCATACTGCTAGACCACCTGTTGAATTGATGCATTGATTAGACTTTTGCTTGGCCAAAGGTTGGTAGATAGGCGCATTGCATACTGGAGTTGTCGTTTTGGTTTACATTTTTCTGGCCTGGGAGTGCATTTACATACATACACCTGTGCATAAATCATAATACATTCAGACATACTTGTTCGAAAAGTCATTGAGCTTGATCACTAGACTGGCTGTAGAGTTGATAGAGTCTAATCAAAAAGTACACAAGCACTCTTTCTAGCAATTTCCACTCCCAATACGGCCACCAGTTCGCCGACAATACCCTTGACACTCTGCGCATCCGTGATTTGTGCATCTTCCCATCCAACCAAGTCCTCCATATGCACGAATGTGCCATGCACCAGCAAAAGCCAGTGATCAAGGTCGAATTGACTCAGGACCTCTTCTGCGGTCAGGACGCCGGGCATACCGATAGAGAAAAGGGACAGTGATTCCTCGTTGACTAGTTCGGGCAGTTCATCTTCCATGTCGTCTTCGGCCTTGGATTCGGAGGATGACAGTTGACGAGCCCGATCGCGGGAAAGTGAGACGTATTTGCGTTTGTCGAGTTTGCCTACCATTTCGCCGTCGAGAGGGTCCCAGGTCATACTTTCTGGATCTTTGATCGTTTAGTACACAGTTCTTATGTCATGATATTGATAACAACAAAGACTTACCTAGGATATATTGTGGCCGGTAAAGAGCTTTGTATCGCATCTTTTGGCAAGTATGGATATAATAGCCTGTCCATACGTTAGCCAATAAGGAGTACACAAGCAAGACAAGGCATACCCATGTAGTAATATTTGTAACCCTCCTCCAGCGCGAATGCAATTTCTCGCAAGGCACTCAATTTGCCAAACTCCCAGTTTCCGAACTCAGGGTCATAACTCCTTACATCAGCCACAATTCTTCGCAATATATCGATAAACTCACAACAGATATACAGAGCTCGCACCCTCAGGCAACAGGTCCAGTACTGCAACGGCAATCAAACGTCCGTCCAGACGGTAACATTGATGCCATGACCCCAATCTCTTCTCGCCTGAGCCTTCTTTTGGTGTGTTTCGTTTCAGCCCGGAACAGAGAAATCGCTTGAAGTCAGCATTCTTCCATCTGTCGGTGGACTCTTTGTGTATGGTTTGCTGGTATTTGAGGAAGACTTCATATCTGGCATGTTGGATCAATACCTATGCTGCTTGGAAGAACAGCGTATAAAGTCAAGCTTACTTTCGTTGTGAAATGGAGTCCCCTTCTATGGTTACCTCGAATTTATGCGCAGGCTCGATTGGCCGCTTGGTCTTTGGGTCAATGGGACGTTTCAGATTGGAGTATTCGGCCTCATGGACTGCCTTTACAACGTCGAATTTCTCTTTGCGCTGCTTCTTCTCCCTTGATTGTCGTCAGTGGGACTTTCGGCGAATTAAACGACTTGACCTACTCTCGACTTTTCGGAGCGAGCATTGCAGCTTTCCGGATATACTCCTGGCCCAACACATACTTGTTCCACCGGTTGATGGCTTTGCGTTGGTCTCGTCTTGCTTTGTACTCCGAGACATCAAGTCTGTGCAAAAGTTAGGGATTCGGCACCGCAATATCTCAGCATTGAGAGGCTTACCTCAAAGTGTAGTGCGGACAACATGAGCGTTGCAAGTTTTGCTTGTAATACAACGTCCCGGATCTGTTCCATGTACATCGTAAGTATGCAGCGACTTCCAGGACCGATAATGACGAGAACATACCTCCGCCATCCCCGGTTGACTAGGTCTTCGTAATGTTCAGGTCGAACCGAGACCGAACTTGCATAATAGGAGGCACCTGTTCAGCGATTGGGTTAGGCACTGCATACACAAACTGAGAGATAGATGTTGGGCACGTATTAATCATTAATACTTACTGCCATCCTCAGACTTGCAATAGCCACATGAGTTGCGTTGGTAGCCTGTAGCAGTATGTATCGTCAGCAACCAATGAACGTCGGTCTATTGTATACTCGATAGTACTCCAAAGTAGTGGTGCAAACAAGGCAAAAATAGGCACAATTGATGAAGAACATGCACGTGAGAAAATATGGAGACGCAGGCATCGCACACCCAAACCAGTGGATGCAGCACGAGGAGCCTCAACGGGATCCGACTGGCTAGCAAGCGACTTAGTCATTTAGATTACCTACCCAAAGGACGGAAGAGGGACAGATGTCTAGCCGTCTCGGCGTCCACCACCGTGCTCATTCTCGATGGCTTGACTTCAGCGCGCGACGATCGGTGAGGGATGGATCATAGTACGTAACTCCCTGTCTGCGAAAGCGGCCGAATGAGAGGAATTTGAGCAGCCGAGATTAGCGATCGTGAGCAGGGCTGCTCTGGTGTTGATTCCTGGGCGATGCGATGAAGTCGTTACTTCGGAGGACTGTGGACTTTGGAGGGGTAACTTGTCAGTGGTTCGTCCCCACAATGGACTTGTTCCTGTGACGACGGGTGGACTGGACGAGCAGAACAGGAGGAAGACGAGTGCTTGACAGAGGGTTATGTGGCAAGATGAGACCAATTTTTTTTTTTGATCAGGTACTCAGATCGATGTTTCTTGCTGGTAGTAGGTGTGACAAGGCAGGAGCGATCCAGGCAGATCACGGGGTCGTCTCCAGGCCTTCCTTGGGCCTTCTAGAMCCCGCCTGTGGCTCTATATTGCATGCAGCACACTATGTTTTCTTTTTTCTACGTCGACTGGATCTGCTACGTACTACTACTTTTAGGTTCTTTGCTTTCCTTTGCGTCTTTGCTTTTGCTCTCCGCATTTGTATACCACATACGTAGTGGTTAGTTTAGCCAGATAGCCTTGTTCGCTCGATCAAGGCATCTGACCCAGTGGTCTGATGATCTAGTCGCCCCTAGTACAGACGGCGGGGTACCTACTTTGCTGCATTTTATACAATCCTGGGCAGATACATTAGTGGCAGCTTCAATTAATGCAACGCTCGATTGGTTGTTAGCTCGACAACACAGCAACTCGTTGACCTTGTGAATATGTAGATTGAAGTCGGTATCCAATATAAACAAAGTATTGGATCAACGAGTTCAAGGGAGGCAGCATGGTTGGACTCGGTAGCAATTGAAAATTGAGGTCGTCATCAGCATATTCGACGAAACTAGAGGAACATGTTACATAGTACTCATCTGCAAGTACTAGTGGGCTGACTAAGTTAGTAGTTGAATTAATACTGGCGAGACGATCTGCATATGACCGACGAAGCCAACTTATGATGGTCGAAAAGATGCAGTCTCATTGAAGTCAACTTGTAAATACCGAGTACGCCTTGTAGAGTTGATGGACTAGGGCTGACACGGAGTTAAGGGACATAGTTGTAGCGGTATTGATACAGTCATGCTAGGATACGGCCCACTGGAGCGGTACTGCTGTTTCCGTGGTTGGGACTGAAGCTGAAGGCATCATTGGGCGAGGTCATCACCGCCAAATTGAGAATCTACGATGACAGGCAGTTTGCATCCGTCTGTTACTGCAATGCTCGTGGAAGTAATTTTGATATCGATAAAACGCTGGTGGCCGTTACCATAAGTCACTGTCTATTACGGTATGTATTAAGTAACACTCGATGCCGCGTACAGAGTTCAACGAGCACAAAATACACATTACTGTGTAGTTTAGGGTTTGCTCTACACAACCGCAGGTTCAATCATTAATAGCCGGAGGACTCAATGGTGGCGTGTAGGGCAGATTTGGCAGTTGTCTGTTGGTCTGCTAGCTGTAATATATTACAATTTCAGGGTTTGACATGACAATCGATATTTCAACCCTCTTGTCGATACCTGATGAAGTAGGCGGTTCTCATTATTCTTCTCTATCGTGAATCGCAGTATGATGCATATGAATAGAACGAAGTACGTAGTAGCAAGTCCGCGAACAAAGAGTGTATGTAATTTTGGTATGCCGGATACGACTCGGTACCAATGGGGAGCACCATCACTGGAAGCTACCGCCTAGGCGACTATCGTAAGCACCCCTCTGGCGTTCCTCCCCTCCTGTCTCCGTCCCCACGTAATTTATTCTTTAATTTTTTTCCCTTCCTCGCTCTTCCTAGTCTCCCCCTCTACCCTCCACCGTTCCCTTTTCATAAGATGTCTTCTTCAACCTCATCCCTCGTCGGGCTCCCGTCCATAGCGGGCCTCATTGGGAAGACTTAATTCTTTTTTCTTCAGTGCCAAACTAACTTCGCGAATCACTTCCTCATCTCTTTCATCGACCCCATTCCTACGCCGTTACCGCTTCCCGTTCGTTCTCTTTCCGTGCGAAACGACCTAACCTCCGATCTGTGGATCGCTTGGCTGCTCGACCTGCCAACAGTCATTCACCTTGCCTGGTCAGCCTCTACGAATTTGCAGGAACACCCTACTATCTGTGCGCTCGGCCAAAACGCGTCTCCTCCCTCAGAAATCGTCGACTCCAAGCTGTCCAGGTCAGCGCAGACGTCATCGATCTGCAAAAAGCGAAGCGGACACATAACGAGAGAGACTCACCACAACCGTCGCTACGAAATTTCACACCAGTGGCAACTGAAGAATACATTCGTTTGCAGACCGAATACGATAAATTGACCGATTCGGAGACAATTTTTGACTGTTTGCCGCAACATCGGATTTCGTTTCCTGGACCTCAACCTAGACGGATCCGCACTTGTTAGTCAAAATGGCGGCTGCAAATCGTTCAATGGAGTCCCGCGTGGGCAGGACTAATCAAAGTGAGTCTACCGTCATTAAGTCCCCATCAAGCACGTGCGCATCGATCGAGTCTAGGGGCTCAACCGCAGATGTCGCATTCCAACGTACCCGTTCGTCTTGTCCAAAAACTAACCACTCGTTTAATTTTAGGATACGGCGCAAAAGGCGAGCGACTCGTGGCTGGTATTGTACCGTTATCTGCCGACAAGACCAAAGTTTTGATGATCCAATCTGCTGGGCCAGGTGGATGGGTGTTGCCCAAAGGAGGCTGGGAGCTGGATGAGCCAACTGCTCAACAGGCAGCACAACGAGAAGCTTGGGAAGAAGCAGGTGTCATCTGCACCGTGCAGCGAGATCTTGGTGTGATTCCTGACATGAGACCCGCCACACTGCTCACAACTTCTGCACCCAAAGCATCATATCAATTTTTCGAAGCTATCGTCAGCCGCGAGGAAGCTCAATGGCCTGAAATGCACAAGAGGAAACGACAGTGGGTCACATATGCACAAGCTGCAACAGCTTTGGTCAATCGACCAGAGCTGCTGGAAGCCTTGAATCGCAGTTCATTACGACGTTAGTCACCACTCTGGACTGGCTTTGTGCACAAGCTATAAGCTACGTCAACAGTCCCAGCTGGCTACACTACTGTCTGTAGCGCTGTCTAACGACCTGACATGACTGATATGCCTTGAAAAGTTGTTGTTCTAAAATTCATCTTTTTCATTTTGTTGATCCCTTGCTCCTCTTCTGTTACCCATTTCTTCTGGGAGGTATTGCTGAGATTGATTCTTATTTCCCTTCACTCTACGCTTTAATACATGCATCATCTGGGGGGTCTCTGTTTCCTGGGTTGATGGCACCGTTGCACCTTTCAATTCATATAGAGATTTCTTATGTCTGTTCGGGTTATCATAGACTGCTCATGGCTACTGGTGGTTTGCACGATCAATCTGAAGGGAAGAGACGTATACATCAATCGGGAATGATTGCTATTGACAGTGTTGGTCTCTATCTCTTTCAGAATCATTGACCGCAACTCTCGAAGTTTTCAAACCCTGTCATGTTCCTCGAATACCAAACGTGTGTCAAGAAGTGATATCGCTTACAACTTACATCACCCCTGGTCACATCATGTTTCTCTCTTCAATCCACATCGCACCAACAACACTCTACAATGCCCACTACCAAGAAAGAGGACAAGATCAGGAGCCATGGCTAGAAAATGGCTAAGAAAATACAAGGTTTATGGTGTGGAACTCTTTGACTTTGACTGATTTCGCATCGCTTTGCATTGCATCATATGGCATGGCATCATCTTTACTGTTTTCTTTTACTCTTTTTGCATAGTGAGCAAGCAGGATAAAGAGGAGCTGATAGAAAACATCTTTTCAAATGCTCTATGCAGTAATCCGTGCTCTCTCTGTCTGGTTGCTGTAATTGTACTGTATATTATAGGCTAGGTGTTTGTGCCAATGCAACAACCGGATGTTCTATCACACTATAGACGTCTAAATCCAACTTCTTGCGGTATTCAAAAATGTGCTCAAGTTCATTTTCTCAAAGAACTGGATACTGAAACTCCCTGGTAAACTTATTTTTAGGTAAAAACCTAACCAACCCCTAGACAATAAAGCTAGATTGGGTTGAATACCTTCAAAAACCCAACCCAACCTACCCCGTGCCATCTCTGGTTCTACAGAGTAAGATAAACTAACTAATTAGAGGCTGGATTAATCCAATTATATAATCATACTTATATATAAGTAGCTTGATAAGTTAATAATGTAATATTAGAAGCATAAATTCTTTTTTATCTAAATTCAGTTATCTCTATTGCATGTTTATATGAATATTCGACTAGGCTGGGTTAACTAGGTGCTAGGACCAAGGCAGGCTGCATGTATAGTGTGACAGCAGAGTCACCACTATAATATTTAATAAATAATAATAAAAATAAAAATAA